TCAGCGAAAGGTCAAGTCACAGACCGGATCCCACAGTGGACGCCTTTCTAGAAGCACCAGTTTTCCGATTGATGCGTTCCAAGACTTCAACTCTTAGTCAAAAAAAAGCGTCCCAGGTACGTTTTTGAGATTGATATCGAACATTAATTCACAATTTTTTTTTGTTGATAAGAGTGCTGTGGATTCAGACCGCTCTCAATGGTCTCCAGCTGATACCACTGGCATCCAAGTAATGGCATCGTCCCTTCAGTCCTTAAGCGCTCAGTCCAGCATCCAGAATGGTTCGATCTTGGAAACTGTGAGTTCTGAACCGTCATCAGGCTTGTTCGGGGCTGAAACATATATAAGAGCCAGAAGCCGGCCACAATCTCATCCGTTGGATCCGGATCAAAGAAAAGATCCGCTGAAGATGACAATGAGCCGCAACGGCAGCGGCCACGCCATGATCTTGATATTCATGAGATCAAGACGGTCGAGGACGTTTATCACCCTGTGGATCTCAAGCGCATGGCCAAAGCGCTTACTTTGAGTGGTTCAGTACCCGCATCTTCAAGAGAAGCTGGTTTGTGATCTCTTAATCAATTTGTACATCAGCGATGCTCATGTTTCATAGCTGCGCACATCACAGAAACAATTGAATTTTTTTGCGTTCGATCTGCTCCCCTTTCTGTTGTCCTTGAAAGCGCGAAAGCTTTCACCTGTGATATTGCTGACAAGGAAGTCGGCTCGCTGTCCCTCAAGACATTCCTGCCGCCGCTTGGTGTTGGAACATTCAAATCCGCGCATTCAGCCTATCTCACATTGGCATCACTCTCGTCGACACCTTTGGGTGCAGCGCCAAATCAGCTGGTGGCCCTTAAGCGTATGTTTACCGAGAGGCACACCCTGAAGCGCTTCAGCCCCGTTGAGGAGTTTCAACATACAACCTCAGAGGCCAATCTACTCTTTTGGGGCACAACGTTACTGAACTTCACATACTCGTTCATTCGAGATTACATTTCAAAGCATTCTTCGCCGCCCGCAGAACTTCCAATCTACGCCATTCGATTTGTGGAGGCGGGTGTAGCACTGGTTCACGACTCTGCAGCCACGGGAAGTTCCAGCAAAAATACATCTTCTCTTCTGCGCTCTTACTTGATCGAGGAGATGATTGAGACAAGTAATCGAGCTTTCTGTCACAAGTATTTACTTTCACTCACTGTTCAACAGGAAAATTTGTCAAGTTCATTAACAACAACAGTGCCCTTCCTGTTGCAAGTCTTGACCCGGAGTTGTACCCAATTGCGGTGTTCCTATGCTTTACACAACATGTTCAATACGAGCATACCGGCAAACTTGTGTTTCTTTCCAATTTGCAAGGTCATAGACATGTACCGTGCATTACAATCTTACTCATTTGATTCCAGGATCGCGCGGACTCCTGACCGACCCGCAAGTCATGACCTCACCGTAAGTTTTGGATCAATCATTGTTAAAAATGTCTGATTTTCCCTAGGACTCTGAAGCGCGGTCTTTTCGGCGGCGGAAACTCGGGGACGTTCTTCGAGAAGTTTCCGGAACAACATGTCTGCTCTGGGTACTGCAAGTTCTTTGGGTTGAGTGATCTCCAGAGCAAGGATTGAGAGACCCGCCGCATCAGAGTTTGGTCTGTAGTTCAAAGCTTATCATAGGGCAGACATTGTCTTCATCTTCCTCAATTTCATTGCAGCTTGAATCAAAACACTAGTGCTGTACTACAATGCTCCAGACATTCGAAATATTGGTACTGACGAGCAGTGATGCACCCTGGCCCCGCGATCAATTGATCAGAGGCCACATCAGTATGACGTAGCAAGCTGCTTGAGCTGACAAAGCAGCCACAATTGATCTGGCACGTGATGACAAGTGTCGGTCAATGGATTTGTCAGCGAGCTCGTCAAGGTTATTGCACGTGATCGTTCTGATCATCACTCATGGTCTTTGGGGTCCTGACATAATAACATATGATCCGTAGTTCAACAACATATTGCATCACTGATATGCGTCTCGGTTATCAGCATGTAGTTTTGAGCCTCCATAGAATGCTCCACTGCCAGCCCACGTAGCGCACCGTCCGAGGTGTGATGTGAGTCGGGATGCATCGCCGAGGAATACGTCTTCCTACTGCAGATGGAAAGCTCGTCTGTTTCTGGCCCGGGACGGCTCGGAGATGCTGTTCGGGATGATTGCTGCAGCGTATGTAGTTACGCGAATGTTCAAATAGATGCAGCGCACATTTAGTGAGCCGGACTCACTTTGCACGGACGACGCGCTCAAGTTTCTTGTGAAGCTGCCAAACTCGTAAAGCGCGACGCACATGCCTGGGGCGAATCTCGAGATACTCCGCCAGCCCCAGTTCCAGGACGAACGCCGGGAGATGCTGTGCAACCCCGTCGGCGATGTTCGCTGTCAAAGCCACGAGTCTGATTTCATTTCTCGATGTACAGCTCTACGCACACAAGACACGTCCTCTCCCACCCGAACCGCCGCATACGTATAGATGGAAGGGAAGAAAGACGACCGATTGACCTCGGCCGTGAGCGTCCATCCTGTCGCGAATGTCAGGGCGTCCACACCCCGCAGTACCAGACAGTCAGACTATCCTGGCCGCCATGCTTGTCGGGTACATCAGCTTCCTCTGGTTTCGCTTCCGGCGAAAGTGATCGACGCGCGGTTATCCACCAAGACACGACAGACTCGTGTCCGCCACACTGGTGTCGTTCGTGTCGACATTCAAGCTGAGTGCGCCGCCCGTGCTGTTGCCTGCGCCCGACATCAAGTCGCAGAAGCAGCATCTAGACTCGGGCCAGGCCGGGAAGTTCCACGCGATTCTGTCGCTGAAGCAGGTGTGGCCGAGCAAGTGGAGCGAGGTGCTGGGTGCAATTATGGTTGTTGGACACCGGGTAACGGTCACCAAACAGCTGCGGCGTGCGTCTGTGCGTCGGACCCACGCAGATTACGCCCAGGTGGACAGTGTCGTGGCGTGCGTACAAGAGGGCTGAATGATAGATTATCTCAGGACTGCCGTCGAATTAGCCCCCGAGGGCGATCCTGTTTCTGTCGGATCTCTGCACACCTGCTGCTTACGATGGGCAACGAGCTGACGTCGACGGCTATGCACTGGAACATGATGAGCTTGGATGAGCTGACGACGTTCAGCCGACTGTTCCTTGACATCCCATTGTCATGCCCTAGCTCTGGAGCAGGATCCTTCCGCGAGCACGCGAACTCGTGCTAGGAAGGCAGTGTTTCGGTCGCCTTGGCTGTTGGCGTCAGTCTGTGCGCGGTTTCCGCTTGAGGTCGACAATGCGAGTCGGAATGATCCGCCGGCAGCCAACAGTCCCAGGCTCTGGCTGCACCTGCGACTGCTGCTTGTGGTGTATTGCCAAAAGACGATGCGTCGATGTGCACCGTCTCAGGGTAAAGCTATCGGACAGATGAGAGTGTGAATGCTTGTGACCGGCATGTCAGTCACGGCATGGTACGAGTGCGAAGGGGAGGAAGAGGATGTGGCGCGCCACTGCTGTTGCTGCTAGTTGCTCGGAGTCGGATGCAGTCGCCTGGCTTGCCGACCAAAACAGCTCGTGCAGCGAAGCAAGTTGACCATGAGAGTATGCGTAATGCATAATGTTGTTGTTGTTGTCGTCGTCGTTGTTCCTGGTCCGAAATTTGAAACTCTTGCTGACACCTCTTTCCCTTGTGCCGAAAACGAAGCTGTTCCTCGAGCTGCCGCCGCCGATGCTCCTCCTCCGCCTCCTGCTACCGGTATTCTTGCCTTGACGCAAGCCAATCTGATGCCGCAGAATCAGAACACGAAGCTGAAGTGTGATGAATAGACCCACGATTTGTGCCAGTTTCGCAGAAAGCTCAAGGATAGCCCAGGTGTTCCCGACGCTGTGTTCTCTCCAACACGCAACACTCGAATACCGCCATGAACGCCATCTTCTTCACAGTTTCGAAGCGCACAAGAGTACGCCGAATCTCTGAGCAACGCGCGCGATTGGGTCTGTTTCAGTCGCATTCGGATCGTGGGAGCCAGGATGAGGTAGATGTGAGGGCTCGTCTCGATTTCCCTGGTGCTTTAGGATGTTACAGCGGATGCATCTCGTCTCTCAGCTGTCTTGCGTGAGAACGTCGGAGAATCAGGGTGCTTGCGCCAACTATAGGTAACAGAGACGGGCCGTATCCTCGTATGGTGCGAGACGGCCGGTCAAAAGTCGCAGTCGATTCCCGACGCGTCGCCAGAGGCGGGGATGCAGAATGTCGTTGCTGCTGCAGCTAACTGCTACCGTCAAGTTCGTGATGAGCTTGATGGAGTGTGACAGCACCTGTTGCTTTCCATCTTCTTCTTGAATCAAAAGGTGCTTTAAACAACCGATTTCATTTCGATGCGGACAGTGTCACTCTCAGGATGGGCGTGCACTGCATGCACGGTGATGAACGGCATTCTATCTGATGTTGCTCTCGGTCAAGGTCAGGAAGATCGGAGCCGTGGACTGCCTGACAAGACATCGGAGTGGCTATGACAGTGCGACTTTGAGAGGAGCTGTCACTCATGGGTCGATCGCATTACATCGCATGCGACCAAGTTCAACGGGGCTATTGGAGCTCACTCTTTCCCCTTTCGAAACTATGTCGCCTTCCAGTTTGCTCAGTGATATTCTACGACGACTCGTGGACACATGCACACCTCCTGGGACCGATGCCGTCTTCATAGTGCTCGATACCATCCGTCGATCTCACGGAAGCGCCTCATGGAAGCGCCCACGGACCGCCCTGGACTGCTATGCTTAGGGATGCGCAACCAGGCCATCTTTGTGTTGCCCGAGCATGTGTTTGCTTCCTTAGGCGCCTATGTCTAAATCCGCCACTCTGGCGCTGGGCGCTTAGTGGCTATGAACGGTGGCGTGTTTCCAGCGAGGCAGCGTGTGTGGAGAATGGCTTGAACACGAGACAAAGCAGTTTCCCTCCTGCCTTGAACTATGCCGCGAGCTGAACAACGACAGACCAACCAACGGGACGCCGATGACGCTTTTTCCGAACGCGAGAAAGCCATCGGGAACAAACTCTGGGGCGTCTACATCACCGAGGCGGAGAAGTACGATCAAGGTCTGATCGATGGCTGGCGCAGTGAGATGGACGGCCTGTTGATCTTCGTGCGTCTCCGACCGTTCTCAATCCCAGTCCCTTTCTGAATTTGACTCATCAGGCTGGTCTATTCTCCGGCGTCGTGACGACGTTCATCATAGACAGCTATAAGACGCTGAACCCCGACTCAGGCAGCCAGACCGTCGTGTCGCTCAACCAGATCTCGCAACAGCTTGCAAACATAAACAACAGCACGGCGGGGATGGACGCACTCTCTCCCACCGCTCCCTTTTCGCCCCCTGCCTCAGCTCTCGTCTGCAATGCACTCTGGTTCGCCAGCCTCGCACTCAGCTTGTCGAGTGCCCTCGTCGCGACCCTGGTCGAGCAGTGGGCGCGGGAGTACCAGCACCGCACATCCATGTTCTCCTCCATCTCCATCCGGTCGCGCGTGTACATGTATCTCTACTACGGTTTGCAACGCTTCAATATGCATACCATTGTTGGCATTCCCCCGCTGCTCCTGCACGCATCACTGGTGCTGTTCCTCGCAGGTTTAGTGGCGTTTCTGGTGCCCGTCAACGTGATCATCATGAGCATCTCCTCCGCTCTTCTGGGCCTCTTTGTCTTTGTCTACCTATTGTTCACGGTGCTTCCGCTGTTTTTCCTCGACTGTCCATACCAGACGCCACTCACACGGATCCTCTGGCCGCTGAAACAGAGCATGGCAAGCATGCTGACAGCCAGTGTCCAGAGGGCTGCAGCTGCTTGGAAGGCCTTCCTTCAAAGGAGCATCGCTGTGCCGGACCCCGAGAAAGCCGCCGAACCCACTGTGACGAATCCCGACGCATCTACCGAGCCTTTCACGGCTGAAGACACTCTTCTTCAGCCCCAGAGCATGGTGGATGCCATGAAATCAGAAGCGCTACGTTCCACTGTCAAGACGGAGACCCGGGCACTGGCATGGACTGTCCGGTCTCTCTCTGACGATCAGGAGCTTGAGCCATTCGTGGAGGGGCTCCCCCAGGTCCTGTGGGATTTCGAGCACAGCAAGCCTCGCCGCGTGTATCAGGCCTTGTTCCAGTCCCTGTTGCGTGATCCGGAAATCCATCTCTGCCAGCGTCTCGGCGATTTCATGGTTGGCTCCACAAGCAATCTGCTTGAGGACAAAGTCCGGGTCCGCCGCCAGCTGTCCGTGCTCCGGGCCATCTGGGCCATCTGCGCGTTCTCCCTTCACACGGGGTCGCCTCTGCAAAGTCCGATCGGAGAAGCCGACGTGGACAGCGCCCTACTCGGCACGAAATTTCTTAATTCTCCTGACGTACAGAGCATGGTCCCCGCCGTGACCGCTTTGATCCATCTGAACGTGATCGACTCTCGGGGCCGGGATGGGGCCTCTACACAAGCAAGGAGCTCCGATGGTCATTTGGGTGCCGAGGCCCATGCAGACATGCATGACGCGTATACACGCTATCTGATGGCATTTTCCCAATGCGCTGCCACCTTCCAGCGGGATGTGACCGTTTCACTCTTTGATCCGCCACAACTGCGCTGCACGGAAGCGGGCTACTGGATTCTGCAAGACGCTCTCGAAAAGCTGATCGATTCGGCGTTGGACAAGACAGCGGACGAGACTGCAGACAACGTTGTCTTTGCTGCTCGCCAGATGATCAGCCTGTTTGCCCAGACATCGGAATATCCAGTGTGGTGGCTGCCAGGGCTTGGGCCGTTCCTTGTCCGACATTCGACCCTCGTCGGCTCCGACCCAAAATTTGACGCAGAGCACGATTACACCCGATTCCTGTGCCATAAGCTATGCGATAACCTGAAGGACAAAGACAAACCGCAGGAATCTGTCGACGCCCTCCAACTGATCTATCGGAATTTACTCGAGTCCGATGAGCCACCAAGAGACCTCGATACCCATCTTCTGGTCCTCTATACTCTGCGGACTAAAGCAGCCGACATCCGCACGTACCATTTGGCTGCCATCGTCCAGTGCGTCGTGCTCAAATATCTGCGGCGCGACCCATCGAAACTGGAGCAATTGCCGAGTATGTTCGATGACGAGGACTGGTTCCGTTCCGTGCTCGGCCTTGAAAACGATGAGCCTACGGAGCAGGTATCGACACTGCAAATTTCCGAGTGTGTCCGTGTCGGTGCTATGACGGCTTTCTTCGAGCAGTGCGCGGCCCGGAGTCCGGATCAAACAGAGCGCGACCTGGACTTGGAGACGTTCAAAGTGGTACGCCACGCACACATGGTGATTTTTTTGGCGATTCCGATCAAACTGCAACGTCGATTCGCCAACGCCGCCGCCGGATTCATCCGCAAATATCCAGAAAACTGCCTTGCGAATCGGGATGGGCTCTTCTCGGTGCTTGTCTGGGCCGTCGCTGGCGGCGGGTTCATCAGGGAAGACGGGTATATCACCGATTTGGACGCATTGCGCGTCCTGGACACGGCTGTCTCGGAGATGCAGACGGACGATCAGCAGCAAGACCATCGGGACAATGCTCAACGGATCCGGGAACGGATGCAGGACCGGCTCCGTCCCAAGAACATCTCTGCCGAGTATGTCCCGCTTGTGAGTGACGGGGAATGAAGGGACCGAGTGCACAGAGGGTGCTGTTTTCTATTCATTTAGCCTAAAATCATGTGTGTATTCTGTATACATGATGAGATCCTCTTCAGTCTGCGTGAGAACCTCCGTAGATCTAGTCATCCTGCGTCTTTACACATTTGTCGCGATCAGGCAGATCGTGCCGTCCGGACTGCGCGTCTCTCCAGGGATGATCCAATAACGAGCACTAGGAAGGCGGTGTAATGGTCGACTTGGCGTTCGTTGTCAGCATATATGTCTTCCTGCTGAAGATCTACAGCTCGTCATTTTCCCTCGGACGGCTCAAAGAGTGTTATTTGGAATGATTGTTCCAGCGACCCGTGTGGTCGACATAAGCCTGATCTAGATCTATGGCACGTCCGCGGGAGACAACATGATCTGCGGGACGTTTGAACTGAAGAGACGGACCACCAGATGCACAAGATAGCTCACCGACACTGTGTCCCTAGCGCACACAGGCAACAACTCTGAGACAGCAACACAGGCGACTAGCTCCTCCGAGTGGGGAGCAGCCCACACAAACAATGGTAGACCGGCAAGAAGGTCGGCGCAAAGGGGATCTTCACGGGATCATTCGGGTGCTTGGAGATGGCATGTGCGAAGGACGATCGATGACCGTAGGGAAGCTTCAGCGCAGACACGCGTAGGGCCTCAGACTCAGAGAATGCGGCCGAATGTCGATTCATTGTGGCCATCTAGGGACACATCGTCCTACACCAGGAACTACTCGACATCCTTCAGTGGCTCGCAATCCATGAAGGGCAGCGGACGCGTTGCCACAACCTGAGAGCCGCAAAAAACACCAACACAGAGCAGACGCAAGCGAACCACTCACCTGCCAACGATCGGTAATGGCACAGGTCCCAGACGATAGCGCCCCATGAATGGACCCTGGGCCCTGCTCTCAAATCCGATCTAGCGTAGCCACAGTCTGGAAAGAGGAATCTCAGGTAAGGCATGACAGGAAGGATGCAAGCCACTGGGATCGGCCAGTCTGAAAGCGCAGAATCAGACTCTAACACTGAAGTCCGATCAATCAACTTGCGCTGCGCCCTGTGCCCGTTTCGCAGACAGTCCAGAGGTAGCCGAGGTGCTCTCTGCGCTGTGTTCTCTTCAGCACGCAACACTCGAATATCGCCATGGACACCATCGTCTTCACCGGCGCGACACTGGGGGAGGCTTCGAACACAGGCCCGAGTGTCAAAGGGACTGTAGTAATCACATAAGTAAGAGTACTCCAGAGTCCACAATGCACGAAAGCACAAGATGACGTAGAGCAACACAAAGTCGTGGACAGTGCCAATGGGGAGTCAAATCTCCCTCGTGTCAACTGCTCGGGTGCCACAGCGGCTGCGTCTCGTCTTGCGGTAATCAAGTGAGAGCGTCGAAGAAGCGCGGTGCTTGTGCCAAGTATAGCTCGCACAGGCAGACAATCTCTTCGTATGGTGCAAGAAGGCCAGTCACAAAGTCGCAGTTGATATCAGACGCATCGCCAGAGAACAGGTATGTTTGCAGAATGTCGTTGTCGCCAAGTCGAATTTCAAGACTCGTGATGAGCTTGATGGGGTGTGACAGTACGTGTTTCTCTCAATCGACACCAAACGTTTGAAGGCGTTTGTGAACGACCACTTTCAGTTCGATGCGAACTGTACTCTCTCAGGATTTGCGTGTGCCGTGAATCACAGGGAGAGCCATCTCAGCCGAGGCCAGGGAGATCGGAGCACCGTCATGCATGGCCATGGATCAGATTGGCCCTGGCAGGCTGCTGTCGGACTTGGAGAAGAGCGGCGAGAACACGGATGATCGAATAACATCGCACGCGGCCAAGTACGACGGGCCTGTCCGAGTCTACCCTCCCACTTTCGAAAGTACGCGTCTCGTTCGTTCTCCGGGACTTCCCAGGACCCATCTGGGTTCTACGACAAATGTGCGCCTGCTAGGACCGACACTCTTCCTACTGTTTCATGGCGTCCGTCAATCTGCCGCAAACACTGATGGACTGCCATGCCCTGGGACGCACCGCCGGCCAATCTTTGTGCCGTCCGAGCTTGCGTTGGCTTCCTTGAGCGCCTATATCTAAATCAGTCACTCTGGCGCTGGGCGCTTGAGGGCTGTGAACCGTGGCATCGTTCGAGTAAGACAACGTGTGTGGAAAACCACTGCTCAAACACGCGGTGGTGCACTTCACTTCCTGCCTTTGACCATGTCGCAAGCTGACGAACAACAGACCGACAAACGAGAGACTGATGAAGTAGCTCTCGAGCACGAAAGGGCCAGTGGGACCGAGCTCTCGGGCATATACATCTCTGAGGCGCAAAGCTCCGATCAAGGTCTCTTCGATGGCTGGCGCAGCAACATGGATGGACTACTGATTTTTGTGCGTCCCCGACCGCTTCCGATCCCGATCCCTCTCTGAATGCGAACCCTCAGGCCGGCCTCTTCTCTGCCGTTGTCACGAGATTCATCGTCGAAAGCTACAAGACGCTAAAACCTGACTTGGGTAGCCAGACCGTCGCACTGCTCACCCAGATCTTGCACCAGCTCGCGGACCTAAGCAATGGCACGGCCGTGACGGACGCACTCCCTCCTCCCGCTGCTTTCTCGCCCCCGCTCTCATCCATCATATGCAACGCACTCTGGTTTACCAGACTCGCACTGAGCTTGGCCAGCGCATTCATCGCGACGCTGGTCAAGCATCGGGCGCAAGACTTTCCACACCGCACAGGCATTCTTCCCGCCATCTTCGCTCAGTCGCGCATGTACATCTGTCTTCGGGGCGGTTTGCGCCGCTTCGATATGCATTTCGTTGCCAGTGTCCCTCTCCTTCTCCTGCACGCGACACTTGACATTTCTTGCGCCAGTTAACGTCATCATAAGCATATCTTCCACTCTCTTGGTCTTTTTCATTGTCGTCTATGGGATGCTCAACAAACACCCATCCTGGCTTGGGATCGTTTACGCCAATCCGTTATTTCTCTGCCTCTGCTGATGTTTGACAAAGATTAGATTGGATAGGAATCGATTTGCACGAACTGCTTGACATGCTCGTAGCTAAACTGATAAATCATCCAACAATACAATGCCTTTTGTTCTATATCATGCTTATGTACGCAATCGGCATCTTGGTACACACTGCGGGGGGACTTATTTTTTTTCTGTGGAAAATGCGTGACAATCTAGAAGTCCGATTTTCATCGTTATGTTTTCAGACAAAAAATATATATTGAAAATAGACGTCGATTTACAGCTCGATTTTTACCATGAATAGACATCTATTCCTCCCGAAAACAGAACTGTAAATAGATCATCTTTTTTTTGATCGATTCCCACTGGGAATAGACGTTGATTTTCACTGAAAATAGAAAGAAAAGATGATCTTTTTTCACTGAAAACAGATTAAAACCACTGGAAGAATCTGTTGATTCTGGCCTCAATTTGCATCCCTGGCCTTGCAAAAGGCTACTGGATGCTACTCACAACATGTTGGAATCATGCTGCAGGACTTGTGATGTGAATTGGGGCCGGAATCAACAGATTCTTCCAGTGGTTTTAATCTGTTTTCAGTGAAAAAAGATCATCTTTTCTTTGTCTCTATTTTCAGTGAAAATCAACGTCTATTCCCAGTGGGAATCGATCAAAAAAAAGATGATCTATTTACAGTTCTGTTTTCGGGAGGAATAGATGTCTATTCATGGTAAAAATCGAGCTGTAAATCGACGTCTATTTTCAATATATATTTTTGTCTGAAAACATAACGGTGAAAATCGGACTTCTAGATTGTCACGCATTTTCCACAGAAAAAAAATAAGTCCCCCCGCAGTGACAGCGGCTTCTGACAATATTTCGTGAACGCTGCAAGATGGACCTCGGTCGTTTCCAGTGTAAGCTCGAGCGGCCGGGTTTACGGCTTGCCCCGGGTCCCCCACTCCGCCAGGTGAGCACCATGGAGCTGGATTGGGACACAATCCCACCCATTCGACGAGACCTCGACACGCTCGACCCAGTTCCTACCTCTGGAATACGCCCAGCCCTGAAGCGATATCTTCCCGCTGTGCACGATAACTTCCCTCGACGCCGTAATAGCGCTCCTGCAACGTAGCAGTTAAGTGTCCTCCCACGACAGGACATGCGAGACAGGCTCTGCTGGATCGTGAACCCATTTGACAAGCGCGTGTTTTGCTTCTGGCTCTGCTGCGCGTAGCACAGATACTCCTGCACTGCACAGGCCCGAGTCCGATGCTCGGCTCAGACAGCGGGTTGATGCGGTTGACCCACTTGCAGCTGCGTGCACCGATGTGCTCCGTGCCGATGATGTGCGGCGTGAAGCTGTGCGAGTTGCGAAGCGGCGTGCCGTCGAACTCCCATGCCAGTAACACCTCCTCGAACTGAAAGCCTGACCGGCGTTGTCGACTTGCACGATTTGCTGAGGGTTCGGGACGCGAACCTGATGAGCATACGCCCCGGCAGAGCCAGCTGTTCGACCAGAGCCTGATTGCGCTCATCCTCGGCGACCCGACCTTCGACGGGTATATCTCCCAATGCTCTGGCAACCTGAGATTGTCCGCCGCCAGCCCGCACATCACGCAGCCCCACAGTTCAACGCTAACCGAAATGCTCACCCGCCAGCCCACTGATGTCGTTACTGCTGCTGAAATTGTGATGCCAGCGACGACACATCCTAGTCCACTGTCTCAGGAGTCGATCGACCGAACGGAGTAGGGTGCAAATGCCGTGGCGATCCACACTGATACAGAGACGAAGGTGGGGAGGAGATTGTGACCGGTCGCCGTCGCACGCGAAGCTTTTTCTGACGCATCTCTTCGACATCTAGAATGTCAAGCCGTTCCTCTCGCTGCCGCTGCCGCAGCCAACGCTCTTCCTCCTCCTCCTCCTCCTCCTGCGGGTCCTCATACCGTCCGACTCGACTTGAACGGCCAATCGACGCGACAGCTGAACTTGTCAGAATCATCTCGCCCCAGCTGCAGGTGCTCTGGACGAAAAAGCATGTCCTATAACATCCCAGGGGATCTAGAAGCACCGCGTGCACAGGAGTAGATGGACAAAAACATTCTAGGCACTGGTGGCCGGGTCTGTGCGCTGGCAGAGCGAGAGAATTAGATTCGCCCGCAGTTGATGACCACTGTCTGGGGTGGCCGAGCTCATAGAGCGAGACATGCTCTCGAATCCGTCGTAATGAAGCGTGGTCTCAATAAAAAGTGACATTCTCAGACGTGGGGAGGCAGGACAGAACCGCAAAGTCGATCGCTGGCTGTACAAATGATCGGACAGCGGAGAGTTTCAAAAGGCGCAGAACGTGGATCCATCTTTTTCATCCAAAACGGCTCGAAGTTGTGCGGGAGCCCGTTGCGCAATGTATCAGGATGGAGCACCCGTTTGAGGAGTCCGTGAATGCCCCGCATGCTCTGGAGCTCGGGCTTGACAACGGGAAGTCGAAGAACAGCGGATTGAAATTCAACCCCCATCCCGACCTCATTGGGTTTCCGGGGCGCAGCCGTTGTCGTCGACGTGCCTGAGAGCTCGTCGTCGCCCGTTGTCAGAGGCTCGAGAGGGAAAGGACCGCCTGCAGAGTCGCCCTTGGGGGGTGATTCGAGTCCTTCGATGGTAGTCCTGAAATAACTGATCATTCAGCTCTCTCAGACGCACTCCAAGACACAATCTACCTACGCGTAAACTCTTGCAGAGTTCCAGCAGCGTGGGCCCGACGCACAAATCCGCGCCAAAACTCGTCGACGACCGTGAATCCCTATCCACCACTGATAATCGCACCGAGCACCTCGCTCCCCTCGCTCGCCCACGCCCGCTCCAGCAACGCCATCATGTGGAACAGCACAGCCGAGCTCGAGTCCAGATGCCACTGCGTGGTCGCTAGTAGCACGTGAGCCTTTTACCACTGTGGTATGAATCGCCCTTGGTCGACATGGCCTGCAACTACCTCCCCAGCTGCACGCTAATCATCTCGTTCTCGAGGACGACCGACCTGTCCTACCCTCATCGCGCGTATCTGATCACGGGGGACATCTACGTGTGTATGCGGCGGGGTATATCGGACAGGACGTGCCGTACGCCTAGGCAGGTGTGTTCCTCCTGGAGTTGGGCCTCCAGCGTCTCGAGATTCGGGCATAGCATGAGTACGCCAAGTTGGGCGCCGGGACGAGGGACTCGAGCGCGTCGTCCGTGTACGGCAATTTTGAACACACCATCTCGACCCAGGGGATTGGAGAGGAAGTGTCATGCACGGGTGGAGGCGTCAAGGACGAAATGAGATCAGACTCAATGAGGGTCGTGGCTGTGTCGGCGGTGATCCGCAGCCGAGACTACACAGCATTGCCCGATGCTCCCTCCAGAAACTGGGCCCCAGGATAGCGTCTCAAAATTGGCACATGGCATGCGCGTCACGCTCTCCAAGTCGGGCAGTGGTCCAAAAAGCGCAAAGCGTCCTTCGTTCATAGCGAGCTCAAGCACGCGAATTTGCACACGGCGGTAAACAGGCGCGCAATGCCTTGGTATGCTCTTTCCAGCTCGCTGGGCACGCTTGGATACAACCCCGAGAGCGACAGCTCGTACCCGAAAGGTTGCTCGAGTCCATCCAATAACAAGCGCCAGGTAGGCGGTGTTTTGGCTGCTCAGGTTTGGTCGTCAGCGTGGATGTCTTCCCTCCGAGGATACAAAAAGCTCGTCCTGTCCGAGCTGGGAGGTGTCGGATGTGTTGTTAGAGATCCAGTTGCGCGACTCTTTGCGCACGTTTTGCCACTTGCTGGGTGATCGTCGCAAACTTACATGTTTCAGAGCCAGGGCATGTTCAGGCGAGACAGCACGATCTGTACATAGGCGTTGGGACAGAAGAGACGGACAAACAGACACAAAGAACCTTCCACTGTCGCAGGAAAAGAGTGTGCCTGCAGCATTCAGAAAGGAGCAATCTCGGGCAGAAACACTTGGAACTGCTTCCTCGAAGCAGAAAGCAATCGTCCTCCACTCAGAAATGCCAGCGCGTAAGGGCTCTTGATAGGATCATTAGATTGGTTGCACATGGGATGTGGAAAGGATCAGCCGACGTAAAGAAGTGCTGGATGTGTTTATGAGAAAGACGCGCGTGGTTCCTGAGGGCACGCACTAAAATGTCGATACATCGTTGACAACCAGTGAATCGTGAACAAAGAAAGTGGGATCTTGCTGGGAATGGCGCGCGTGAACATTGAGGGGCACCATCCTCGGCCAGTGCTTGATGTCTTGGAATAGCTGCCATTCCACAAAAGGCAGCGCGCGTATCGGCGGTAGACGCGTTGCCAGAGCCTGAGAATCTGAGTGACCACCAGGAAATGGTAAGCACAATCAAACCTACCTACCTGCCAGCAATGGGCGATGGTCTCCTTCCAGGAGAGGGGCTTCATGAACAGCCACAGTCTGGAATATATCCGGTTAGGCAAGACCGGAAACGACTCGGGGCACTGACACAGGTAGCGGTTCTGATGCGGCAGAATTAGACAACGAATTGAAGTGCCAGGAAACGACTTGCACTCTGCACCATTTGAGTAGCAGCCTGAGAATAGCCCCGGTGCTCTCGATGCCGTATTCTCTCCGGCACACATGCCCTCGTATCGTCGGCAGAGAAGGACGGCGGTTGCCGATCACCCAGCGCACGAAAGCATAGGATAACGTGGACCAACGCCAGGTTGTAGGTCGTACTAATGAGGGGTGAATTGACCCTCGTGTCGATTGCCCTGGGTGGATCAGAATGCGACAGCGGCAGTAGCTCGCCGTCCAGATCAACGCTAGGTCGTGGTGGAATGCCCCTCGTGTCGATTGCCTTCACGCCTCAAGTTACCGCGGCCGTAGTACATAGAGTTGACGCGAGGTGAGAGCACCGAAGAATCACGGCGCTTGCGCCAATTAGAGCCCACACACACGGGTTGTCTCCTCGTTTAGTGCGAGACGGCTGTTCCCAAAGTCGAAGTTGATGCCTGATGCGTCGGCAGAGAACGGGTGCGCAGGATGTCGCCGTTGCTGCAGTGCCAAGTGACCACATTCAAGATTCGTGACGAGCTTGATGGAGTGTGACAGCCCGTGTCTCTTCGAATCCACTTCAATCGAAAGGTGTTTGTGAACAACCGATTTCATTTCGATGCGGACAGCATCACTCTCAGGATGGGCGTGCGCTGCATCCATGGTGAAGAAAGGCAATCTATCTGATGTTGCTCGCGGCCGAGGTCGAGCACTGGACTGCCTGACAAGACATCAGATTGGCTGTCGCAGGGCGACGTTGAGATGAGCTGCGAGAGATGGGACAATCACATGTATGTGACCGAGTACAATGAATGGGCCCATCTGAATCTACTTCTTCCATTTCGAAACTGTGCGTGTCGTTGGATTTCAACGACCTCCCAACTGCTCACGGAGATTCTACGACGACTCATGCACACCTCCTGGGATCGACGCCGTCTATCTAGTGCTTGGGCCCTGGGATGTGCTACCAGGCAATCTTTGTGCCGTCCGAGCTTTCTTCGGCTTCCTTGAGCGCCTAAGTCTAATTCCGCCACTCTGGCGCTGGGCGCTAATTGGCTGTGAGCCGTGGCATCGTACTGGTGACCAAGTACCACGGAGATCTCTCGGGAACTTCTACTCGGTTTCCTGAGAGATTATGCATCTTATTGGCTTTTCGCGACCTCCCATCTGCTCACCGAGATGCTACGCCAATCCCGGGGACAAAGACACGCGCCTCCTGGGACCGATACCGTCGCACTGTCGCACTAGTGTCGGATGCCATCTATCCGTCTTTTGAAAATGTTGACTGGCATGCCCCTGGTTACTGGTACACGCCGCCGTCTGAGCTTGTGTGAGCTTCCTTGCGTGCCGCTGTCTAAATCCGTCAATCGAGCGATGGGTGCTCAGCGGCTGTCAGTTTCCCTCTTGCCTTTGACCATGTCGCAAGCTGAGAAAGAACAGGCCGACAAACGAAAGGCAGAAGAAGAGAGTATCGAGCGCGAGAGGGCGAGCGGGAACAAACTATGGAGCGCCTACATCAGCGAGGCCCAAAACTACGATCAGGGTCTGCTTGAAGGCTGGCGCAGTGAGATGGATGGCATGCTGATCTTCGTGCGTCTCCGACCGTTGTTCAACCTAGCCACCTTCTGAATGTGACTCGTCAGGCCGGTCTCTTCTCGGGCGTTATCACGACTTTCATCATCGATAGTTACAAGACCCTGAACCCAGACTCGGGCAGCCAGACTGTCGTTCTGCTCAGCCAGACCGTTGCGCTCCTCGGCCAGATCTCGCTTCAGCTCGCGAACATGAGCAATGGGACTGCAATAGCAGACGCCCTGCCTCCCGCCGCTGTGTTCTCGCCCCCGATCTCCTCCCTGGTCTGCAACGTACTCTGGTTCACGAGTCTCGCACTGAGCCTGTCGAGCGCACTTGTTGCGACACTGGTCAAGCAGTGGGCGCAGGAGTACCAGCACCGGACATCGATGTTCTCATCTCCCTCCGTCCGGGCGCGTGTATACATGTATCTGTACTACGGCTTACAACGCTTCAATATGCATGCCGTCGTCGGAGTCCCCCCCCCTCCTCTTGCATGCAGCACTGCTTCTGTTCTTCGCGGGCCTCGTTGCCTTTCTTGTGCCCATCAACATCATCATCATGGGCATCTCCTCCGCTCTTCTAATCCTCTTCATCTCGGTCTATGCAACATTCACTGCACACCCGCTGTTCTACCTCGACAGTCCATTCCAGACACCCCTCACACGCATCCTGTGGTCGCTGAACCAGAGCTTGGGGCACACGCTGAGGGTTTATATTTGGAGGGCAATGGCTAGTTGCAAGGTCTTCATCCGAACCAAAGTCGCTGTGCCAGACGCCGAGAAAGCCACGGAATCTGCTGTGACGAGCCCAGGGGTCTCTGGCGAGGCTGAAGACACGCATCCGCAGTCCCAGAGCATGATTGTGGCCGTGAAATCAGCCGCACTGCATCCCGCTGTCGAGACGGAGATCAGGGCTCTCGCGTGGACCGTCCGGTCTCTGTCTGACGATGATGATCTTGAGCGACTAGTCGAGGGACTCCCTGTGCTGTGGGATTTCGATCAAAACAAGCCTCGGAGCGTGTATCGGGAACATTTCCACAACTTGTTGCGGCATCCAGAAATCCATCTCTGCCAGCGTCTTGCTGATTTCATGGACGGCTCCAAAAGTAATCTGCTTGAGGACAAGGTCCGCCTCCGTCGCCAGCTGTCTGTGCTCCGGGCCATTTGGGCCATCTGCGCGTTCTCTCTTCACACGGGATTGCCTCTGCAAAGTGCGATCAGCGAAGCCGATGCGGGCAACACGTTGCTCGGCTCCAGGTTTCATACTTCTCCCGATGTACAGAGCATGCTTCCCGACGTGACCGCTTTGATCCGTCTCAACAAGATCGAGTCTCGGAGCCGGGAACAGGCCTCCACCCAGCCGAGCAACTCCGACAGTCATCTCCGTGCCAACGTGGAGGAGCAACGGCAACGAGACATGCATCGGACGTATCTGGATTATCTGCTGGCACATTCCAAATGCGCTGCCAGCTTTCAACGGGATGCGACCATTTCACTCTTTGATCGGTCACAAATGCGGTTCACGGAAGTGGATGGCTATAACATTCTGCAAATTGCTCTCCGACAGCTGATCAGATCAGCGTTGGAAAATGGAACGGACGAGACAACAGCGGACAACGTTGTCTTTGCTGCTCGGCAGATGATCAGCCAGTTTGCCCACATATCGGTTTATCCATATCGGTCAGCGTGGGGTCATATGTCGTCGCCGTTTGCCCAGTCATCAGAATATCCCGGTGAGTACCTGCCGGGTCTTGAGACGTTCCTCGTCCGGCACCCGTCCCTCGCCGCCTCCGACCAAAAATTCGACGCACAGCATCATTACACACGATTCTTGTGCCACATGCTATGCGGGAACTTTGCATACGCCCAGAAATCTTTCGACGCCCTCCAGCTGATTTATCGGAAATTGCTCAAGTCTGATGTGCCACTAAAAGACCTCGGCACCCATCTGTTGGTTCTTCGCACTCTGCGGAAACAAGCAGCCACCATCTGCACGCACCGTTTGGCTGCCATCGTCCAGTCCGTCGCGCTCAAAAGTCCCAAGGATGATTTGTTGGAATGGGAGCGATTGCCGAATATCTTAAATGACGAGGGCTGGTTCCGCGCCGTGCTCGGCCTTGGCAGTGATAAACGGACGGAGCGGGCATCGGCACAGGAAATTTACCACTGTGCATGTGTGGGTGTTTGGACCACTTTCTTCGAGCAGTGCGTCGCCCGGAGTCCAGATTAAACAGAGCGCGACCTGGACTTTGAGACGCTCCGATTGGTACACTCACCCGCCTTCTTTTTTCCTAGATACGCAGACACTGAACTGGAACGTCGATTCGCCGCCGCCGCCGCTGCATTCATCCGCAAATATCCACAGAACTGTCTTGCAGATGGGAATGGGCTCGACTGGGTGCTTGGCCGGGCCGCCGATGCGTACAACGGCTGGATGACTGATGTGGATGCTTTGCGCGTCCTGGACGTGGCTGTGTCCGAGGTGCAGACGGCAGATCAGCAGGAATCACACCGGGACCATGCTCAAGAGATCCGGGAACACATACAAAACCGGCTCCATCCCAAGAACTCCTTGACTCCCTTTGTCTTGTTCGGGGGTGGTAGGGTGTGAGGATCATTTGATATTTATTTAGCCTATAATCCATGTAAGTATTCCATATGTTCAATGAGATCCTACATACACACGAAGCGCTGGATTTGTTTATTAGCTAGACACGCGTGTTACCTGAGGCACGCACCGGTATGTCGATACATTGTCGACATCCAGTGGCTCATGAATGCGAAAAGCAGTATCCCACCCGGCATGGCGCGCATGATGACTGGGGGTGCTGTCCCTAGCTCGACGTCCAATGGTAGCTTGTAGTCCGTGAAAGGCAGGAAGAACGTCGACGGCTGACCCATCGCCCGGGTCTGAGCACCGCAATGAGCGCACCGAAACACCGCCAGCAGAAGTAAGCCTGTCCACGCGGCAGCAATCAGCAATCGGTGAAGTAGGGCTCGCGGGAGAGATCACGCCGTTTCTGGATCCAGGGTACTTTCAAACCCGATTCAGCACAGTCACAGCTGGGGAATGGAAATCAGATTAAGCAAGGGCCAGGAAAGATATAATCCACGGACGTAATGCCGCAGATTCAATCAATGCAACTAAAGCGCAAGGAATCGACTTGCGCTTTGTGTCAGTTTCATACAGAGCCCGAAGATAGGCCAACTACTCTCGACACCATATTCTCTCCAGCACACTCGCCATCGAATCGTGGGCTGCAGGGAATGGCAGTCGCACATCAGCCACTGCATGAAAGCACAGGATAACGTGAAGCAACGCGAAGTCGTGGAAAGTGCCAATGGGCAGTGGAATCCCCTCGTGTCAATTACTTTGGTGCACCACGTCGTCCAGTCAAATTGACGTGGCCGTGCCGAAGCTCCCCAGGGCTTGCCTCGAGTATAGCTCAGGCTGATATCCCGCGTTTCTTCAAACCATCCACACGAAAGCGTTTGTGAACAACCAGTTTCATTTCGCTGGGAACCGCATTTCCCTGAGGAGTGGCACACCGTACATCGAAAATGAAGAAGGACCACCTATCGGATGTCGCTGCGACCCGACCTTTGATGTGTACATCAATGCTCACGCAGCCTCGGATCCTCCGCCGCCAGCCCACGCATCATGACGTCCCGGGCGTCATGCGAGTCAAGACGCCCCGCCGCCAACCACCAGCGGTAGCGGTAACAGTTCCACTGATTCGTTCCTGCGACTGCGACTGCGGGGGCTGCTGCTGATAGTTCGTTGCTGCGGCATCTCTTCGACATCTGGTAAGTCAAGCTGTTCCTCGCGCTGCCACTGCCGCCGCCGATGCTCCTCCTTCTGCTGCTCCTCCCGCTACTCCTGATACTGCCCGAATCGATTAAACGGCCAATCGATGTGACCGCCCTAACTGCAGGTGCACTGGACGCTGATCTCGTTGCTGCCGAGACCGCCTATCCAGCCGGTAACATTCTGGACTCTCAGGAGGCCAGCTGAACCAGCCCTCGTCTCATCGCTGAAATGCCGCGCAAGACACTCTTCGAGCTCCTGCCGCCGGTTCCGCTGGCGCGCAAGCGGTTCCACCCATGCATACCCGAATTGTCACATCGGGTCTTTCCCCGGCTGAGCGTCGACTGGCGCCAGAAATGCAGCTCGTTCGTGTGGCAGTGAAAACGCCATGGGCGAGGATACCATCAGGGAAGGAGACGGACGAGAGAAGTGTCGAGCAGATATCTGGAGCATAGAAGTAAGCAAACAAGTCACTGAGCAAAACAGGATGTCCTGCACCACCACAGAGGACCCAAAAGCGCCGCGGAAACAGGATTGGATGAACAAAAACATCCTAGGCGGTGGCAGGGCCCGTGTGCTGGCCGAGTTCGAGGATCAGATACGCCCGCAGTTGATGTCCACCGGCTAGGGTGGCCGAGCTCACAGAGCGAGACATGCACTCGAATCCATCGTAGTCAAGCGTGATCGCAACAAAAAAGCGACATTCGCAGATGTCGGAGGCAGGACAGGGCCCCAAAGTCGGTGGCTGGCTGACAAGTGATCGGGAAGCAGGAGGCGAGGAAATGCGGCGCGGCGACTGTTGATCCACACGCAACAGCGAGCTGCAATCCATCATGATGATGGCTCGTTCTGACGGGTCCCCGGTCCCGACTCGCCATGCGTGTTTTTGTCACTCTCTGTCGCGAATCCATGCACACATGGTCTTGTTGCTGTGCGTTCAGCTGAGCTATCTTCAATCATAAGCAGAGTCCGAGATCCGTGTATGCGCTGGTGTATCCAGTACGACGTCCACATGTCCTGCAGACATCGCATCTGCGGCTGCGTTGCAATCCTAGAGCTCCACCGCCACCCAGCAATCGAGCCATCGGGTTCTCAAGTACCCCCTCGCTGAAACGCGCTAATCTAACCTCTTCACAATTGGATGTGGCAGAGGCGTTTCTGAGAATGCAGCTTCAATGTTCACCCTGCACCAGGAGCTTCTGCGAGCTGGGCAACGCCGCTGTCGGCTGAGATGGCCAAAACTCATGTGAATTTCGGATCGAACGTGGCCGCCGATACACTGAATGCGGTCTATCTTGTGTTTCGACAGGCGCCTGCCAATTGCGCGCCGGCGCACGGATGGTCGCTGTGGCATGTCGATAATCTTGCCTTCACGCAAGATACACTGTGTGCTCTGGGAAAGGAATATCTGCTTCGAGACACGGGTGCGGAGACACGATATGTGAAAGCGATGGTGCAGTGTCTCTCCAATACCGGCAGCGCCAAGGCTTGGGCCTGTGAGAGCTGCATCTGCTCATGTTGGGCTCATACCGTCTGCCAACAGATTTTGAATGAGGTCCTCGTTCGTCTTACCCGAGGATCACGAAGTTAACTATGCTGGGCCTCGCATTCAAGTGCTGTGAATCACGGCTGGTGTCATCTCATCGTCGCAGCTTAGATTCTTGGCGCTTTGGCGCCCTCGTCTCTGCGTGCAAGACATTAGATCCCAACTCCTTGCGCTTTTCGTATCGCAAATTCATTCCGTCTCACAATGGCTGAGGTGGGATCGCGTCTGGCCTTCCTTGCACTAGCTTCCACGGCCCCAGTCCACTTATTCCCGTCACCATGCTCGTCTCATCTTTCGCGAAGTGGATAGATGCTGCGAGGCCTCCTTGCAGTTCGATCAGTTTACATTTCATACTATATGTTACTTCATACATATGATGATATAGATGCGACGAAAACAAACGACCAGGCAATGATGAATATACATGTGACTTCCTCTGCCAATGCTCTCGCAGCGTCGGATCCTCCGCCGCCAGCCCACGCACTGCGCCGTTCGGGATGCAACGGCAGCTGAAATGCTGCGCCGGGCCAAGTCTGATCGTGTGCGGCCAAAGACGACGCGGCGATGCATACCGTCTCAGGGATAGAGCCAGGATGCGAATGCCTGTCGCCGGCATGTCAAGTCACTGCATGTTACGAGGACGGAGGCGAGGAGAGAATGTAGCCAGCCGCCACGGTCGCTGTTGCTCTTGCTGCTTCTGCCGTATCTGAAACTGTTTCTGACGCATCCCTTCCTCATTCCGAAGGGAAAGCTGCGGCTGCTGGTGCTCTTCCTACTGTTGCTACTAGTGGTGGTACTAATATGTGAGGCGCCGTTCTCGGATCTGGGCTTGGACATGACATCGAATCCATGCAGCTAGCTGATCGGACTCGGATGTGCACCCCGTCAAGAAACAAATTCACCGTGGAACGCCGCTGAGGCGAATATGATAACGGGTGCCCGAAGGGTGACGTTTCGGCCGCCTCGGTTCTTATTCGTCGGTGTTATGCGTCTTCCTGCTGAAGTTCGACAGCTCGTCGTTTTCGGCCCGGGATGGCCTGGAGAAGTTGTGCGGGAGCCCATTGCACAATGTATCAAGATGTAGCGCCCATTTGGGGAGCCGTTGAATGTTCCATATGCTCTGGAGCTCGGGCTTGACAATGGGAAGTCGGGGAACAGCGGATTGAAAATCGACGCCTCATCCCAAGCTCATCGGGTTCTGGGGCACAGCCGTCGTCGTCGCCCATCGTCAGAGGTTCGAGAGGGAAAGGACCGCTTGCAGAGTCGCACTCGGGGGTGATTCAAGTCGTTCGAGGGTAGTCTTGAGATAATTTGTCATTCAGTCCTCCCAAACCCGAGCCACGACACGGTCCACGTAAGTGTAAACTCTTGCAGATGAAGAATCCCAACAGCGTGAGCCCGACGCACAAACCCACACCACAGCTTTTCGACGACCGCGAATCCCTATCCACGAATCACAATCGCACACAGCACCTCGCTCCACTCGCTCGGCCACTTAGCCTTGTCCCGTAGTGTTATGAATCGCCCCTGGTGGACATGTCCTGCGGCCACCTCCTCAGCACCGTGCTAATCATCCCATTCTCCAGGACGATCCCCCGGTCGGACCCTCCGCATCACGTGTCACCGCGTCGCTCCTGCGCCGTATCTGATCACGGGGCCGTGTGCGTATGCAGCGCCGCGTGTGGACGTATGTTGGACAGGACTTTCTATTCGCCCGTGGAGGCGTCAATCGAGAAATGTGTTACTCCTGGAGTCGGGCCTCGCTGTAGGCCAGCGTCTCGAGGTTCGGGCATAGCATGTGCGTCGCGCTCCAAGTTGGGCGGCGGGACGAGTAACTTGAGTGCGTCGTCCATGTACGGCGAGTTCGAGCACGCAAACTTGCGCCAGGAAGTGGGAATGGAGGTGTCGTCCGTGGGTGGAGGCGTCGAGCAAGAAATGATATCCGAATCGACGAGCGTCGTGATTGTGTCGGCGATGATCCGCCACCGAGGCTGCATAGCATTGCCCGATGCTCCTCCTCCTGGAACTGGGCCCCACCAAAGAATAGTGTCTCGAAATTGGGCCATGGCATGCGCGTCGCGCTTTCCAAGCCGGGCAGTTGCACGACAAATTCAGAATCGTCCTCCGTTGACAGTGAGCCCAAGCACACGAGTTTGCGCACGGGGGGAAACAGGCACGCGATGTTACGGTAGAATGTTTCCAGTTTGCTGAGCACGCATGGATGCACTCTAGCGAGTCACAGATCGTGCTCGAATAGTTGCTGGAGTACATCCAATGACAAGTGCCAGACGGGCGGTGTTTTGGCCAGCTCGGTTTTGGTCATCGGTGAATGCATCTTCGCTCTGAAGATAAACAGCTTGTCTTGCCTGGGCAGGGACAGGTCGAGGGTGTTGTGAGGAATTCCGTTGGGCGATTCTTCGAGCGGATACAATGTCCGTTTTTCAGCCGCTGGATGATTCGTACAAACTTGTCCGCATTGCCAGTGGAGCTGGGGCCTGATTACAAGAGACAGCACGGTCTTGGTGAGTCTACAAAAGCGCTAGATGTCTTGGTGAGATAGACATAGGTTTTGCCTGAGGGTACGCACCGAAATGTCGATACATTGACGGCATCCACCTGTATAAGGCTGACAAATGGAATCCCATCTCGAGTGACGTGCATGAAGAGTGAGGGACGCATTCTCGACCTCTGACTGCTCGACGTCCCACGGGTGCACACAGTGAGCGGCGGGCATTGTGCATGTTGGCAGGGGACCCGTCGCAATGACCTGAGAGCCGGAACGAACACCGACAAAGAGCAAACGAAAGGTAGCCTGCCCACCAGTCAACAATCGGTGATCAACGACTGCGAGACGAGACCACGCCGTTGCTGGACCTCGCGTGCTCTGGAACCCCATCATGGACAGCGAAAGTCCGGGAAGAGGAACTTCAGATTAGCCAGGACCGAACACGATACATCCCGCTGACGCAGGCCAATCTAATGCCACAGAATCAGACCCCGAAGCTGAACGATGATGAATCGACCGACGCTTTGTGCCAGTCTCGCAGGAAGATCAAAGACGGCTCAGTTGTACTTGATGGTGTGCGGGAGAGCACGCAGCCGCCTGAGTATCATCAACACAAGCTTCTGCACTTCTGAGACGCATGGAGGGCCCTCAGAGATTGGATCGAGTGTCAGAGATAGGCTAGTGAGCGCCTAATAGTAATGCCCATCTCTCATAGCGCCCGCCTGCCAGTGTGAGACTGCTTCCGCCTTATTCAGATTGTGCGCAGCAGAGCGCGGCACCCGGTCCCCCGAAACCAGAATAAGATAGATCAAAAGCGAGGTCGGGTGCGGAACCAATGAGCGGCGAACTCCTCCTCTCGTCTCGATCGCCCTGGTGCATCAGAATTCAGGATGCCACCGCGGCTGCATCTCGTCGTCCAGCTGACTTGACGTGAGAGCGTCGAAGAATCTCGGCGCTTGCGCCAACTATCGCCCATACAGACGCGCGCGCTCTCCTCGTATGTTCTGAGACGGCTGGTCACAGAGTCCGAGTAATTCCGACGTGTCGCCAGAGAACCGGTGTGCAGAATGTCGTTGCTGCAGGAGTGAGTGCGACCGTGGCGGCTTTTGAGATTCGTGACGAGAGTGACGTGGTGTGACAACACGTGTTTCTTCCAGAGTCCATTTCGAACGAAAGGTCTTCAATCTTGGTGAACAACTGATTTCATTTCGATGCGGACAGCATGATTCTCAGATTATGGGCGTAAACTGCGTCCATTTAGAACCACGGCATCCTATCTGATGTTGCTGTAAAGCGTGCGAGCGCCGTGCACCACGGGGAGGGCCATCTCGGCCGAGGCTAGGAAGATCGGAGCTCTGGACTGCCTGACAAGACATCGGATTGGCTATGACAGTGCGACTTTGAGAAGTGCTGCGAGGGATGGGACGATCGTATCCCATCGCATACGACTCGGACCGGGTACGAGGGGTCTATTTGAGTCTACTCTCTCCGTTTCAAAACTGTGCGTCTCGTTGGATTTCAACGACCTCACATCTGCTTACTGATTTTCTACAACGACCATGCGGACCTCCTGGGACCGACGCCGTCTTCTTAGTGCTGATGACATCCGTTCATCTCCAGGAAGCGCCGATGGACTGCCATGCCCAGGGATGTGCCACCGGCCAATCTTTGTGCCGTCCTAGCTTTTCTTTGGCTTCCTTGAGCGCCTATGTCTGAATCCGCCACTCTGGCGCTGGGCGCTTACTGTAGTGGCTGTGAGCCGTGAGGCGGTGTGGATGGAGAAACGCTGCACGGACACGAGGTAAAGAAGTTTCCCTCCTGTCCTTGACCATGCCACAACTCGTAGAGCCTCAGAATGACGAAGGAGAGGAACAAGAACCGAATATCGAGCGCGAGAAAGCCATTGGGAACAAGCTCTGGGGTGTCTACATCTCGGAGGCGCAGAGCTCTGATCGGGGTCTCTTGGAAGGCTGGCAGAGTCAGATGGATGGTTTACTCATTTTCGTGCGTTCCCGACTTTTTCAGAGCGTTTTCTCTCTCTGATTCTGACTGATCAGGCCGGTCTCTTTTCTGGCGTCGTGACGACATTCCTCATTGAAAGCTACAAGTTGCTGAACCCTGATTCGGGCAGCCAGACCGTCGTATTGCTTAGCCAGACCGTTGCACTCCTCAGCCAGATATCGCGCCAGCTTGAGAACACGAACAACAGCACGGCGGTGGCGGAAGCGCTCCCTCCCCCCGCAGCCTTTTCACCCCCGACCGCATCTCTTTTCTGCAACGCACTCTGGTTCACGAGTCTTGCACTTAGCTTGTCATGCGCACTCGTCGCGACGCTGGTCAAGCAATGGGCGCAGGAGTTCCCGCACCGGACAGCCATGTTCCCCACCATCTTCACTCAGTCGCGCATGTACATGTATCTCCACGACGGTCTGCTGCGCTTCCATATGCATTCGATTGTCCGCACTCCCCTCCTTTTCCTGCATGGGGCACTGGTCTTGTTCTTTGCGGGTCTGGTGGCATTTCTTGTGCCCGTCAACGGTATCGTCACGTACCTATTCTCCGCTCTCCTGCTGGTGTTTGTCTCTGTCTATACAGTTTTCACGTTGCACCCGCTGTTCTTCTTTGCCAGTCCATTCCAAACGCCGTTGACGCCACTGATCTGGTCGCTGACTCAAAACTTGAGGATCGTGCTGAGGGCTTGGATTCCAAAGAAGAACGCTTTGACAGACCCCGAATCCCTTGCCGAACCTTATGTTACTGGAGGCATCCGTCCGCAGACCCGGAGCATGCAGGAGGCCAGTAAAAATGCGGCGCTGCATTGCACTGTCGAGACGGAAACCCGGGCACTTGCGTGGACTATGCAGTCTCTCTCCGATGATGACAAGCTCGAGCGTTTTGTAGCGGGGCTTCCCGAGGTGCTTTGGGATTTCAAGCAAAACGAGCCTCGTCACGCGTATCGGAAGCATTTCCACAATTTGATGCGTGATCCGCGAGTTCGTCTCGGCCAGCAACTTGCGGATTTCATGGATGGCTCCAACAGCAATCTGCTCGAGCCCAAGGACCGCCTCCGCCGCCAGCTGTCCGTGCTCCGGGCCATCTGAGCCATCTGCGCGTTCTCCCTTCACACGGGGTCACCTCTGCAAAGTCCAATCGGAGAAGCGGACGTGGGCAATGCGCTGCTCAGCTCCAAGTTTGATGCTTCTCCTGACGTGCAGAGCATGGTCCCCGCCGTGTCCATTTTGATCTGTCTGAATACGATCGAGTCACGGAGGCGGGAACGGACCCTCACACAGACGAGCAGCTCTGACGGCAAAGCAGTGGATCGACGCCAAGTGGACATACATCGCACGTATAAGAAATATCTGGTGGGACTTTCCAAATACCCTGCCGGCTTCCAACGGGATGCGACCATTTCGCTCATTGATCAGTCACAAATCCGCGTCACGCAAGCGGAGGACTACAAAACTCTGCATTACGCTCTCAGACAGCTGATCAAACACGCGTTGGACGAGACAGCGGACAACGTCGTCTTTGCTGCTCGTCACATGATCAGCCTGTTTGCCCACACATCAGAATATCCCGTTTCGTTCCTGCCGCCTCTTGGGCCGTTCCTTGTCCGACATCCGTCCGTCGCCGTCGCTGACCCGGAATACAAATCAAAGCATCATTACACCCGATTCCTGTGCCACATGCTATGCGGGAACTTGAAGGACAAAGACAAACCGCAGGAATCTGTCGACGCCCTCCACCTGATTTATCGGAAATTGCTCGAGTCTTATGAGCCACCAAGCGACTTTGATACCCATCTTTTGGTCCTGCGCACTCTGCGAACTGAAGCAGCCGACATCCGCACGCACCGTTTGGCTGCCATCGTCCAGTCCGTCGTGCTGAAAAGCTGCAAGGACGATCCATCCAAGTGGCCGAAATTGTCGAGGATCTTCGATGACGAGGGCCGGTTCCGCTCCGTGCTCGGCCTTGACAACGATAAACGGACGGAGCAGGCATCGGCTGTGCAAATTTTGGACTATGTCCGTGTGGGTGTTCTGGCCACTTTCTTCGAGCAGTGTGCCGCCCGGAGTCCGGATCAAACAGAACGCGACCTGGACTTTGAGACGCTCCGATCGGTGGTACGCCACGCAGACATGCGCAATCGTTCTGTGATCCCGACTGGACTGCAACGACGATTCGCCGCCGCCGCCGCTGGATTCATCCGCAAATATCCAGAAAACTGTCTTGCGGATGGGAATGGGCTCGACTCGGTGCTTTTCTGGGCCATCCATGAGCGCTTTGGGTGGATGACCGATGTGGATGCATTGCGCGTCGTGGATGTGGCTGTGTCGGAAGTGCAGACGGAAGACCAGCAGGAATCACACCGGGTCAATGCTCAACTGATCCGCAGATACATGCAGGACCGGCTGCATCCCGAGGACATTTTTGCTGCCTTTGTCTCGCTCGTGAGTAATGGGGAATGAGGGGGCCATCGCAGAGGGTGGCATTTTCTGTTGATTTGGTCTACAATCCATGTATTCCGTATGTTCAACGTGATCCTCTTCACTGCGCCAGAGACCCTCAGTCAATCTCGTCTTCGCCGCGTCCATGCACTTTTGTCACGGTCACAGAGATCGGATTGTCCGCACCGCACGTCACGGAACTCTCCTTAGGGCAAATCTAAGAGCGAGCACCAACTTGCAGGCGGTGTTTTGGTCGGCTTCACTTTCATCGTCAGTGTTTGCGTCTTCGTGCTGAGGTTCGACAGCTGTTCCTTTTGGCCAGCGACAGCTCAAAAAATGCCGTTTGGGATCATCGCTGCAGCGCCGCTCGATGATCAGCACGAACTTGCCTGCTCTGGATCCAAGGCAGTTTTGGCACCGGCCTCGAACAGCTTGCATGCTCGCATGCAATCTGCAGGTCCTCTGGATTGCGCCGCATGAGTGACAACGGGTGACAGTATGATCCGTGGGTGGTTGGGCTCAAGAGACGGACAGACAGACACGGAGACAACCCACCAACACAGAGAAAGCGTGCGTCCATTACACCCAGAAGCGATCAATCTCAGACCGAAACACTTTGAACCGCTTCCTCAGGGCCAAAAGCAGTCCATATGCATTCTGGTAGCCAGCCAGGAACAAGAGCGCACAAGGGCTCTTGCTAGGATCATTCGGGTGGTTAGAGACAGCATGTGCGAAGAAGCATTATTGAACGTGGAGAGGCGCTGGATGTGTTCATTAGCTATACACGCGTGTTACCTCAGGCACACACCAAAATATCGATACATTGTCGACGTCCAGGGACCCATGAATGCTGAAAGCGGGATCCCACCCTGCATAGCGCGCATGACGATTGGGGGTGCCGTCCCTGGCTCAACATCCAATGGTAGCGTGTAGTCCGTGAATGACAGGGAGAACGTCGACGGCTGACCCATCGCCTGGGTCTGACCACCGCAATGAGTATCAAAACACCGCCAACAGAATTAAGCCTGTCCATGCGGCAGCAATCGGTGAAGAAGCCCTTGCGGGAGAGAGCGTGGTGCTTGCCTTGGCCGCCAACGAGGACTTCGGGTGGATGACCGATGCCGATGCATTGCGCGTCCTGGACGTGGCTGTGTCGGAGGTGCAGACGGACAATCAGCAGCAATCACAGCGGGAACGTGCTCAATGGATCCGGGAATGGATACAGGAGCGACTGCGTTCCGAGGACATTCCTGCCGAGCCGGTCCCGCTCGTGAGCGACGAGGACATCATACTCAATGGATCCGGGATCGAGCAATCTGTCGACGCCCTGCAGCTAACGTATCAGAATTTGCTCGAGTCCGATGTGCCACCACGCGACTTTGATACCCATCTTCTGGTCCTCCACACTCTGCGGACTGAAGCAACCAACATCCGCACGCACCGTTTGGCTGCCATCGTCCAGTCCGTCGTGCTGAAAAGCTGCAAGGACGATCCATCCAAGTGGCCGCAATTGTCGAGGATCTTTGATGACGACGCCTGGTTCCACTCCGTGATCGGCCTTGACAAGAATGAACCGATGGAGCGGGAATCGGCACAGCAAATTTACGACTGTGGCTATGTGGGTATGTTAACCACTTTCCTCGAGCAGTGTACCGCCTCGAGTCCGGATCAAACGGAGCACGACCGGGACTTGGACACGCTCAGAGTGGTCCTCTCCACAGTCGTTGACATTTCTTCGGCGATTCCGACTGAACTGCAACATCAATTTGTCGACGTTGCCTCGGTATTCATCCGCAAATATCCAGAGGACTGTCTTGGGCATGAGGATGGGCTCTGCTCGGTGCTTTACCGGGCTGTCCATGAGTATGACGGATGGATCAAGGATTGGGATGCATTGCGCATCCTGGACGCGGCGGTATATGATCAGCAGGAATCACACCAGGGCTATGCTAGAAAGATCTGCGGACAGATGCAGAACCGGCTCCGTCCCGAGAACATTCCAGCCGATTCTGTCCCACTCGTGAGTGACGGGGAGTGAAGGGTCCATCGCAGAGGGTGTCATTTCCCATTGATTTAGCCTACAATCCATGTATTCCGTATGTTCAACAAGATCTTCACTGCGCCTGAGACCCTCCGTAGATCTAGTCCTTGTCGCGTCCATGCACATTTGTCACAGTCACACAAATCGGATCGTCCAGACTGCACGTCATGGGACTCTCTTTAGGGCAAATCCGACAATGAGCACCAGGAAGGCAGTGCTTTGGTGGGCTTTACTTCCGTCGTGAGCGTATGCGTCTTCGTGCTGAGATTCCACAGCTTGTTCTTCTTGGGTCCGGACGGCTCAAATATGCCGTTTGGGGTCAAATATTCGACCAATTTGAGACAGGAACACTTGCGACTGTGTCCTCGAACTAGGCAACAGCCCACATGCACAGTGGTAGAGCGTCAGGAAGGTCGGTGCAAAATGGATCTTCCCGGAACCACTTCGGATAGTTGGAGATGGCATGTACACACGCCCCTGCGGGTCGTAGTGTAGATCGCGTTCAGAAAGTCAGTAAGGATTGTCCGTAGTGCAGTCCATGCCATGGATAGCGCAAACAGCGTACCGAATGTCTGTCTATTTCCAGCAGCAAGATCGCCGAGGATACCGATGTTTGCTGAGATGTACTCGCGCGTGCCGACGATCGCAACGGGAGTCTGCCTGAACTCTTCTGCGTCCCACCGAGAACACGGGCTGGTTTCGCTCGTCTGTCTGTAACCCCTCGAATTCACCCAACATATTCCGGATCTTGAGACAAGTCGCTGCGTGTCACGAAGGTGAAGGGGAGCAGGAGGATGTAGCTGGCCGCTGCTGTCGCCGTCGCCGTCGCCGTCGCCGGTACTTCTACGGCTACTCGTAGTCGGACCGGTTTGATATGCCGGTAAAAACAGCCTATGCGGCAAAACCAGTTGAGCATGAGAGCGCGCAAGATGTTGTTGATGTTGATGTTGCTGCCGCCGCCGCCGCATTCGTCGATCTCCTGACGCATCTTCTCTACAACTCACAGACGAAGCTCTTCCTCGACCTGCCGCCCCCGATGCCCCTCCTTAGCCCGTAGATCGTCGAAACATAGTGGCAGAGCACGCAGGTAGGTCCACTCATGCAAACCGCACTGGTTACATTCGGTCGTGCCCCATTTTAGCGTCGACCAGCGCGAGAGAGGCCTCTCAGTCGCGTGGCAGTTGGTGCGCCGTTGGCGAAGATATTGTCAGTGAGGATAGTGTGTCTACTTAGTGCTGCGGTACTGCGCTGTCTGTTTGCTGCACCAGAAGCGAAGTCGTGCATAACGCGGTGGACGTAGTGAGCATGCACGCAAGAGACCGGCGAGATCCCCGTCGACAACGTAGGACGCATGATCTGCTTGCTGAACGAGAGATAGCATGTTTATAGCATCGCAGAGGAGCTGGAAGCACCTTATACAGAGGAGCGGGTGGAATATGTAGAGCGTATTCGCAAGAAACAATCGGGGTCCACAGATGTGTGAGGCAGGACCGGACCGCAAAGTTGATTGCTGGCTGGAGAAGAGATCGAGAAGCGAAAGGTGCGGAAAAGCACAGACCATTGATTCAGGCTTCGGCAACAGAGAATGAGGCTTCATAGATGTGATAAAGCACAAACTTGAGCGTAGAACTAGGCAGCTCGCCGAATTGAGCGACCAGAACAAGTCCCCAGAGCTGATTCGTGGCGGTCGCACATCGCCCTCGAGACACCTGGGAGATCCCAAGGCGACACGTGCCAAGGTCAGAATTTGATTGCAGCAGAGATTTAGGTCTGTTTGCGCTGTGTCGACGAAGTCCTGAGCGCTCAGGAATGAGGATGATGGGCAGACAGAACAACATTAATCTGGCGGAATGCGGCGGCGATGTTGGTCACCTGACCGTCTTGTCAGAGCGGAATAGGCGCTGCCGTTTCGTGAATCGTTCTCACCTGCCACTCCAGCCTAGCTTGCCCCGTCTGAAGTTGTTTCTGAAGACGATATCAGGGCTGCCTGTATCGTCCCGACTCGCCATGCGTGTTGTTCTCACTGTCTGTCGAGCATCCATCCACCCATGGTCTCGTTGCCTTGCGTTCAGCTGAGCTGTTTCGACTCACAAGCATTCTGAATCTATGCATGCACTGATGTATCAAATGCAAAGTCCCCCTGCTAGTGAAGTCGGACGAGACTGAGACACTGGAGTGCCAGAAGTAATGTTTTGTGTTGTGATCCGCTATGTCAATATACTAGATTATTTTAGTAGCGTGCATATGAGATTATCTGCCAAGTTTGCCCATCTGTGTCACACAGCCCCCTCACCCCCTCCCCAATCTCGGACGCGCGCGTTCAGCGTTCCCGTTCCTTCAGATCCAAGTCCCGCAGGCGTATACCGTCCCAACTCTGGCTCCAAGTCTGCGTCATCTCGTTGTGGAAGTTCTCGAAGTCCCTTTCCTTGGCCCCTTCTTCCGCAACAGGCTCTCCGCGGTATCTCCTCGATCTCTGCTTCATCAGAGTCCGGAACTGGGCGCGCGTGCGACGGGTGACTTTGACGGGAACTGACCGGCCTTGATCGTCGACGCCAAGGAGTCCGTTGGCTATATGGGACAAGCACTCGTCCACCTCCTTGGTGATCTCGCCATTGTATGACGGGAAGTCCTCCCATAACCATTCTGAAGAGGGGAAAACTTGGTAGAGAAATCCGCCTCTTTCTTCGCTCTCCGAAGTCCCTAGGAGGGCGAGGCATTCCGCGGGAGTAACCCGCTCCATCATGGACCCGGAGGATCGCGGCCTCAGGAGGTCCCACTCCCCGCTTCGGCACAGGGTCGTTCGCACCGAGGGCCCACTCATGAAGTCGCCCAGGATTGAGCTGGGAGACCGTTTCCCGAACTTGTGCGCAACCCAAGCGATGACTCCTCCTTGGGCGATGAAGCCTCGCGCGTGTGGCTTGGACAGGAGGGAAGAGATCAGAGCGAGGTATTCTTGCGCGTACAGTTCGGCGTTCGAGTTCCACGGGACCCATAGGCGTTCGGACGGCTTGTTGTAGTCTTCGCATAGCATGGCGAGGCTCGCACGGAATTCACTGACGTTATCGTTCAAGTAGTCTGGGAACTTTTCCAGCGAGAGACCCAGACGGAATGGGACACATCTCTCCACGGCGAGATTCAGAAGGTCGGCCGGGGTCTTCAAGTTCTTGGTGGCTGCCCACCAGCGGAACTTGACTTCGGCGAACTTGTCTGGGAGTATCAGCACGGCGTCCTCCAGCCATTGATCCCGCCACATGTCCAGCGAAGTCCTCTCGACGCAATGGAAAGTGTGGCTAGTCACGATGCGCCCAGTCGACCGGATTAGATCGAGCCAGTCGTTCGTGCGCGAGGACACGGCTCGATCCCGACGGTCCAAGGCCCACCCTTCGTTGCTCCCTCGTTGACTCGATCCCTCCCTCGCGGCACTCGAACGATCCGCCGGCAGGGCTCGGGGGGGCTCTCGGAGTCGGTCTTTCTGAGTACGGACGGGGGAGCGATCTCGAGTGGCCTCCATGGCTTGGGGACGTCGCGGACGTCTGTAGGACGAGCCTGGACTGGCTCCGTGACTACAGGAGTCTGATGTGCTGTGACAGCACGTGTAAACCACTTCGAACGAAAGGTGTTTGTGAATAGGGGTCAATACGGTTTAATGGCAGCGTGCATGGAGAAACACTGCTCGAACACGAGGTAAAGCACGTCACCTCTTGCCTTTGACCATGTCACAAGCTGAAAGACAACAGGCCAACAAAGAAGAGGTAACAAAATCGCAGACCCACGAATCGCAGTCCGACGAAACACTACCCGCAGAAGCGCAGAACGACGAATCACAGACTGACGAAAGACAGTCTGAAGAATCGCAGACCGATGAATGGCAGACCGACGAATCGCAGACCGACGAATCGCAGTCTGAAGAATCGCAGTCTGAAGAATCGCAGACCGACGAAGCACAGACTGATGAAGCACAGCCTGCAAAAGTGCAGACCAAGAGAGCACAAGCAGACCCACGAAAGGCAGAAGAAGAGAGTATCGAGCGCGAGAGGGCGAGCGGGAACAAGCTCTGGAGCGCCTACATCAGCGAGGCGCAAAACTACGATCAGGGTCTGCTCGAGGGGTGGTGCAGTGAGATGGATGGACTGTTGATCTTTGTGCGTCTCCAACCGTTCCCGATCCTGGCCACTCTGAATGCGGCTCGTTAGGCTGGTCTCTTCTCGGGCGTCATCACGACTTTCATCATCGATAGTTACAAGCTCTCAACCCCGATTCGGGGAGTCAGACTGTCGTACTGCTCAGCCAAACGGTTGCACTCCTCGGCCAGATCTCCCTCCAGCTCGCGAACATGAACAATGGGACTGCTATGGCAGACGCACTGCCTCCCGCCGTTGCCTTCTCGCCCCCGGTCTCCTCCCTGGTCTGCAACGTGCTCTGGTTCACGAGTCTCGCACTCAGCTTGTCGAGCGCCCTTGTCGCGACTCTGGTCAAGCAGTGGGCGCAGGAGTACCAGCACCGGACAACGATGTTCTCCTCCCCCTCTGTCCGTGCGCGTGTGTACATGTATCTTTACTACGGCCTACGACGGTTCAATATGCACACCGTCGTTGGCGTTCCCCCGCTTCTCTTGCACGCAGCACTGCTTCTGTTCTTTGCGGGTCTTGTTGCCTTTCTCGTGCCCATCAACGTCATCATCATGGGCATCTCCTCCGCTCTTCTAATCCTCTTCGTCTCGGTCTATGCGACGTTCACTGCACACCCGCTGTTTTTCCTCGACAGTCCGTTCCAGACACCCCTCACGCGAATCCTCTGGTCGCTGAATCAGAGCTTGGGGCGCGCGCTGAGGGTTTATATTTCGAGGGCAATGCCTGTTTGCAAGGCCTACATCCGAGCCAAAGTCGCGCTGCCAGACCCCGAGAAAGCCACGGAATCTGGTGTGACGAGCTCTGACGTCTCTGACGAGGCTTCTCTCCGTGAAGACACGCATCCGCAGTCCCAGAGCATGATTGTAGCGGCGAAATCAGCTGCACTACATCCCACTGTTAAGACGGAGACGCGGGCTCTTGCGTGGACCGTCCGGTCTCAATCTGATGACGATGATCTTGAGCGGCTGGTCGAGGGGCTTCCCGCGCTGTGGGATTTCGATCGACACCAGCCTCGTGCCGTGTATGCGGCGCATTTCCATAACTTGTTGCGGGATCCACAAATCCATCTCTGCTAGCGTCTGGCTGATTTCATGGTTGGCTCCACCAGCAACCTGCTTGAAGACAAAGACCGTCTCCGCCGGCAGCTGTCCGTGCTCCGGGCCATCTGCGCCATCTGCGCGTTCTCTCTTAGCACGGGATCGCCTCTGAAGAATCCGATCGGAGAAGCCGGCGTGGCCAGGGCGCTGCTAGGCTCAAAGTTCCACGCTTCTCCGGACGTGCAGAGCATGGTCCCTGCCGTGTCCGCTTTGATCCGTCTCAACGTCATAAAGTCCCAGAGCCAGGATGAGGCTCCCACCCAACCAAGCAGCTCTGACGCCGAAGCGGAGGGGCGATGGCAACAAGACATGCATCGGGCGTACATGCAGTATCCGGTGGCATTCTCCAAATGCACTACCAGCTTCCAACGGGATGTCACCATTTCGTTCATTGATCCGCCACAAATGCGATTCACGGAAGCAGGCGGGTACGGCGCTGTGCATTACACTCTTGATCGGCTGATCGAATCAGCGTTGGACAAGACAGCGGACGAGACAACGGCAGACAACGTCGTCTTCGCTGCTCGTCAGATGATCAGCCTGTTTGCTCACACATCGGAATATCCCAATCTGTTGCTGTGGGGCCTTGGGCCGCTCCTTGCCCGACATCCGTCCCTCGCCGCCTCCGACCTGGAATTCCACTCAGAGCATCATTACACCCGATTCCTGTGCCACAAGCTATGCGACAACCTGAAGTACCGATCGAATCTCCAGGAATCTGTCGACGCCCTTCAGTTGATTTATCGGCCTTTGCTCGAGTTCGATCGGCCACCAAGCGACTTGAATACCCATCTCCTAGTCCTCCGCACTCTGTGGGCTCACGCAGCAGACATCCGCACGCACCGTTCGGTGGCCATCGTCCCGTGGTTTGTGTTCAAAAGTATGCGGTGGGATTTGCCAGAATGGGAGCAATCGCCGAGTATCTTCAGCGACGAGGCCTGGTTCCGCGCCGTGCTTGGCCTTGACAACGATGAGCAGACGGAGCGGCCATCGGCACGGCAAGTCGACGACTGTGTCCGTGTGGGTGTTGTGACGACTTTCTTCGAGCAGTGTGCCGCCCAGAGTCCGGATCGCACGGAGCGGGGCCTGGACGTTGCGATGCTCAAAGAGGTATGCGAACACACCGGCATTCGCTCGATCATCCCGATCAAACTGCAACGTCGATTCGCCAACGCCTTTGCTGCATTCATCCGCAAATATCCAGAGGACTGCCTTGCGGATTGGGATGACCTCTACTCGGTGCTTGTCTGGGCCGTCGGTGGCAGCTGGAACGAGGAGAGGTGGATGAGTGATGTGGATGCACTGCGCGTCCTCGACACGGCTGTGTCGGAGGTGCAGACGGAAACTCAGCAGAAATCACACCGGGACAATGCTGAACAGATCCGCGGGGAGATGCAGAAGCGGCTCCCTGTTCCCGAGAACATTCCTGCCGAGTCTGTCCCGCTCGTGAGTGACGGGCAGTGCTGTCCATCTGTTTAGCCTACAATCCATGTATTCTGTATGTAAAAAGAGGTCCTCTTCAGTGCGCCTGAGACTCTCCGTCAATTTAGTCTACGTGCGTACATACACGTTGGTCAATTGAAAGTTCACCTTGTTGGGGCCCGGACGGCTCAAAGGTGCCGTTTGGGATCATTGTTCCATGGCACGTCCATGCGAGACAGCATGATCTGGGGGCCTTTGAGGCCAAACCACCAGATGCACAAGACAAATCACCGGCACTATTGCGCGGAGTAGGAGGAGAATCGATGACGTAGAGAAGCGCTGAATACACCAATGAGACAGACACGCGAACAGCCTCAGACTCAGCGAACGCGGCAAAACTTCGATCCATTTTCGACATCTAGGGACACATCGTCCTACACCAGGGACTGCTCGACGGCCGCTGCTGTCGTTGTCGCTGTTGCTGTTGCTTCTGCGGATGCTCGTAGTCGGACCGAGTCGCCTGGTATGCCGGTCGAAACAGCCCCGAAGACCATGTATGATGTCATTGATGTTCTTGCTGCTGCTGCAGCCCGCCGCCCATCGAGCTGCCGCCGCCGATGCTCCTCCTCCGCGTCCTCCTACTGGTAGTCTTGACCGTAGCTCGTTGAAACAAAGAGGCCGCCCTTGCTGCTAGCCCGCAGCTCGTCGAAGGTGGGTCCGCTCATACAAACCGCACTGGTTACACGCGGTCTTGCCCCAGTTTAGCGTCGACCAGTGCCAGAGAGGCCGCCCAGTCGCGTGACAGTCGGTACGCTGTTGGCGAAGATACCGTCGGTGAAGGTACTCGGTCTCCTTGGTGCTGCGGTGCTGCGTTGACCGTGTGCTACACCAGGAGCGAAGGCGGGGAGCGGGGGGCTCGTGAAGGACACGGGCCGCATAGTGAACATGCATGCGAGAAATGAACAACAACTTGGGGCGCATGGGCTGCTTACTGAACGGGATAGCATGTTTATAGCATCGCAGAGGAGCCGAGGCACCATAGACAGAGAAGCAGGTGAACTACATAGAGCTTATTCGCAACAAACAAACAGGCGAGATTCACAGATGTGGGAGGTAGGACCGGCCCGCAAAGTTGATTGCTAGCTGCATAAGAGGTCGGGAAGCAGAAGGCACGGAAAAGCGCAGACCGTCTATCCAGGCTTCGGCTACAGAGAGAAAAGCGTTCGCGATTCGGTGACGCACGATTTTGAGCGTAGAGCTAGGCATCCCGCGGAATTGGGCGACCAGGACAAGTCCCCAGAGCCGAGTCGTGGCTGTCGCTCATCACCCCCGGGACACATGAAAGATCCCAAGGCGATACGGGCCAAGGTCAGAATTTGATTTCAGCAGAGATTGAGGTCTGTTTGCGATGTGTCGACGAAGTACTGAGCGCTCAGAAATGAGGACGACTCCGGGCGTCGGGCAGATGGACAAACAGTCTGGCGGCCGTGTCGGTCACCTGCCAAGTCGTGGCAGTGCGACTCTGAGAAGATCTGCCAGAGAAGGGGCGATCACATGAGGTCACATGCGACCGAGGACCGTCCGACAACGAGCGCTGTGTCCGATTCTTGAAGCTTCTCTCTGCATTGCGAGATTCTGCTCCTTGTTGTATCTTCACGACTTCTCATATACTCACTGAGATTCTGCGGCGACTGATTGACCGAGGTGCGCCTCCTGGGACCGACGCTGTTTCACCAGGGCTTGACGCGATCTGTTCATCTCCTGGATGCGCCGATGGACTCCCAGGCTTCGGGATGCGCCGTCGGCCAAAACTGTCTCCGTGTGAGCTTGCATGTGTGTTTGTGTGTATGAAGTTGGGCGCTTAGTGGCTGTGAACCGGGGGATCATTTGTTCTGGTAAGGCAGCGTGTATAGTCGCTGTTTGAACGTTAAGCAGAGCCCTGTACCTCTTGCCCTTGACCATGTCTCAAGCGGAGAAAAAGCAGGCCGACCAACAGAAGGCAGACGAAGAGCGTCTCGAGCGCGAGCGGGCCAGCGGGAACAAGCTCTGGGGCGTCTACATCTCAGAGGCGGAGAGCTACGATAAAGGCCTCATCGAGGGGTGGCGCAGCGAGATGGATGGTCTGCTTATTTTTGTGCGTCCGCCTTCCATCTCCATCACTGCTCTGTCCTTGATTCCTCAGGCGGGTCTATTCTCCGGCGTCGTCACGACATTCATTATCGACAGCTACAAGACGCTGAACGCCGACCCAGGCAGCCAGGCCGTTGCGCTCCTCAGCCAGATCTCGCTCCAGCTCGCGAATATGAGCAGCGGGGCTGCGATGGCGGAGACACTGCCTCCCGCTGCGGCGTTCTCGCCCCCGGTCTTCTCCCTCGTCTGCAATGCACTCTGGTTTATTAGCCTCGCACTCGGCTTGTCGAGCGCTCTCGTCGCGACTCTGGTCAAGCAGTGGGCGCAGGAGTACCAGCACCGCACATCGATGTTCTCCTCCCCCTCCGTCCGGTCGCGTGTGTACATGTATCTTTACTACGGTTTGCGCCGCTTCAATATGCATGCCGTTGTTGGTGTTCCCCCGCTTCTGCTGCACTTGTCACTGCTCCTGTTCCTTGCGGGTCTGGTCGCGTTTCTTGTGCCCGTCAACGTCATCATCATGGGAATCTCCTCCGCTCTTCTGTTCCTCTTCGTCTCGGTCTACGGAACTTTCACCGCCCTTCCGTTATTCTTCCTCGACTGTCCATACCAGACGCCACTTACGCGAATCCTGTGGTCGCTGAATCAGTACTTGGCAAGGGTGCTTAGGGCTTATCTCGGGAGGGCAACGGCTGTTTGCAAGGCCTTCATTCGAAATACAGTCGCCCTGACAGACCCCGAGAAACCCGCCGAATCTCCTGCAACGAACCTCGAAGCCTCCACCGAGTCTTCCGCACCTGCCGACACTTGTCCGCATGCCCAGAGCATGGTGGTCGCCCTGAAATCAGCGGCGCTGCATCCTCCTGTTGAAACGGAGACCAGGGCACTCGCGTAGACTGTCCGCTCTCTCTCTGACGATGAGGAGCTCGAGAAACTTGTCGAGGGGCTGCCTCAGACGCTGTGGGATTTCGATAAAAACCAGCCTCGCGGCGTGTATCTAGCACTGTTCCAGTCCCTGTTGCGCGATCCCGAAGTTCGTCTCAGCCAGCGTCTGGCGGATTTCATGGCTGGCTCCCACAGCAACCTGCTCGAGCACAAGGACCGCGTCCGCCGTCAGCTCTCGGTGCTCCCCGCTATCTGGGCTGTCTGTGCATTCTCCCTTCACACGGGGTTGCCACTGCAAAGTCCGATCGGAGAAGCCGACGTGGACAACGCTTTGCTTGGCTCAAGATTTATCAATTCTCCCGACGTGCAGAGCATGGTCCTTGACATATCCGCTTTGATTCGTCTGAACATGATCGAGTCTCGGAGCCGGGAACGGGCCTCCACACAGCCGAGCCGTTCTGACGGTAATGTCGACGCCAATGCAGAGAAGCAGCGACAAGCGGACATGCATCGGACGTATGTGGATTATCTGGTGGCTCTTTCCGCGTGCGCTGCCAGCTTCCAACGGGATGTGACCAATGTGCTCTTCCACCGTTCACAAATGGTCTTCTCAGTAGCGGATGGCTACAGAACTCTGCAAGACGCTCTGCAAGAGCTGATCAAACACGCCACGGACAAAGCAGCGGACAACGTCGTCTTTGCTGCTCGCCAGATCATCGCCCCGTTTGCGCAGACATCGGAATGTCCAAATTGGCCGCTGTGGGATCTCGGGCCGTTCCTTCTCCGGTACCCGTCCCTTGTCACCTCCGATGGGAGGGATTCACAGCCCGGTTCGAAGCATCATTACACGCGATTCCTGTGCCACAAGCTATGCGACAACTTGGGACGGAGATTAGATCCCCAGCCATCTGTTGACGCCCTACAGCTGATCTACGGACATCTGCTTGACTCCTTTGTGCCACTAAGCGACTTTGGTACCCATCTTCGTGTCCTCCGCACTCTACGGACTGAAGCAGTCGACATTCGCATGCACCGTTTGACTGCAATCATCCAGTGTGTAATGCTCAAAACTTTCTCGCCGGACGGTTCGGAATCGGCCAATTTGTGGGAATCGGAGGATTTGTCGGAATGGGAGCAATTGTCGAGTATCTTCGATGACGAGGACTGGCTCAGTTCCGTGCTTGGCCTTGACAATGATAAACGGACATCGCGGGCATCGGCCCAGCAAATTTATGGGTGTGCATGTGCGGGGGTTTGGACCAGTTTCTTCGAGCAGTGTACCGCCCGGAGTCCGGATCAAACGGAGCGAGACCTAGACTTTGAGACGGTCAAATTGGTACACCACGCACTCGACGACATTCCCAGGGTGATCCCGACTGAACTGCAACGTCGATTTGCCGACGCCGCCTCCGCATTCATCCGCAAATATCCAGATAACTGTCTTGCGGATCATTCTGAGCTCCACTTGGTGCTTTACTGGGCCGTCGAAGAGAACGACGGGTACATCACCAATGTCGATGCATTGCACATCCTAGACTCGGCTGTGTCGGCGATGCAGACGGACGATCAGCAGGAATCATACCGGGACAATGCTGAATGGATCCGCGGACAGATGCAGGACCGGCTCCATCCCGAGATCATTCTGGCCGCCTCGGTCTCACTCGTGAGTGACGGGGAGTAAAGTGACCTAATGCACAGGGTATTTTTCATGTACTTTGCCGACGATCATCCTTGTGTCCTATACGTATAATGAGCGACGCAAGTGTGACCTAGTTGAGGGCAACAGTCAAGCAGCGAGATTTCCCTTCCCGGCGTGAGACCTCCGTTGACGGCGCCCTCTAGAGCACTGAGGCTCGTTACTTTGGCAACTTGAACGATGTGCCAACAGGGACGGATGTGCGCCCCGGCTGAGCCAGTGACTCGACCAGAGCCGGACAAATCGTGGGCGCAGCAGCACCGACCGTGGACAGCATCATACGGCTGCGGACATCGAGGACGCGGGGGCGTGGCCGATGATCCCTGATCCTTCTGTCCCGCCGGTGCTCCGTCCAGGCCGCTCAAGGTGCCCGCCGAAGCGTCGATACATTGTCGGTATCGGGGACTCACGAATGTGATCATCGAGCATGGCGTGAATGCAGAGGACGAAAGGCAGGGATCATGTCGGCAGCCAGCGCGTCGCAATGACCTGAGCTGGTATGGGCACTGACAAAAGCAAACAAACGCAAGCCTGCCCACCTGCAAACTCGACAGCTCCCAGAAGAGTCCACGCCGTCTCTGGACCTAGCGTACTCTGGTACCCCATCTATGGCAGTGCCGGTCTGGGCAAAGGGACGTCAGATTAGCCAGGACCGGACACGACGTGTTCGATTGACGCAGTCCAATCTAATGCCTCAGAATCAGACTTCGGGGCTGAAGCGTGATGAATCGACCGACTGTACACTTTGTGCCAGTTTTGCAGCTGGCCCGTAGACAGCCCAGGTGCTCTGACCAAACACTACTCACCCACCTCTGTCGCGACATCAGATCTGCGCTGATGGCGGTCTAGACCGCACTACGTCATTGATTTGTGTGGATAAGAGATTGTAGATTATTGGATTGTTGATGCGCGCATCGTGAAAACGGCGGGAGCACGTGCTCCGCCCTCTCGCGTCTTCCAGCCTTCTCATTTACGCGTCAAACAACAGAAAATGAGCGCGCAAAGATGCACCAAGTGCAAACACACGTTTCCAAGAACTTCAAAGCACTGGGGAGCCCAATTTGGAGCCGGAGGCGTTGTGATCAATACTCGTTGTCGGTCCTGTTGCGAGAAGGATGCCAGGCGGGCGGCGGAGAAGCGAGGCACCGCCAAAGCCGCGGACAGTGAGAATGACAACACAGAAGACGCGTCAGACTTCATCAGTGAGCGCTTCTCGTGTCACCGGACACAAGATCTTACCTCATTGACAGATGTAGAAGCCATTCCTCTGGTGGCATTTCTCGACGCGCTTTCCAATGGCACTACGGACGTACATCACCTTTGCGCTCTTGTCGATGTTTCCTCTGTAGTCGACAGTCCGGACTTGCGTGAAGCAAAAGATGGGGAGTTGGCATTCAAGCCTGTAGTAGATCAAATTGCAGCTTATGTGTGGGAAAGAACAGATTATCGCTTCATGTGAGTATGTCTTATTATAGCATGCAGAGGAGGTCTTATTTCCGTTTAGATATCTGAGATCAACAACTACTAAAGACGGTCAAACAACACGCTTTATATACCACTGTGCACAGCTTGCATCTCGTCAGCATAAGCCAAAGAAGATCAGTGATATGAAGAAGCAACGGGACAAGGGCCAGATGGACACCTTCGACTGTGAGGGCTATCTAACGATCTGGGCTGCAGAAAATCAAGATCAATATTTCATTCGCTACGCCCACAATGATCTGCACCTGAAGTACAAGTGCATTGATCTTCCGGAAGATGTTAAGCAGCTCGTAGATGGTAACTTGGAGCTCCGAGTCACCGAGGTGCGTTCCTTTATCTATTCCCATGCAAGCTTCTCATTTCGTACCAGATCTGGAAGAAGATTCTTGCTGTCTATCCGCAACCGATGTTCACTCGACAGCAGATTTATAATCGTTGGTTACTGAAGACCAATTCGAAGTGGCGATTGGATGACAACGAGGTTAAATCAGCCAAGATGTTGCTCGAAGCGCTGCGTAATTCAAAAGAGGGCTATGTCGAACCCATTGTCTTTCCCGAAGACAACGATGGATACACCGCATTTGGCTTTGCATTGCCATCACTTATTCGCCGGTGGGGTGGTGCAATTGTTGAGGTCGCACTCGACTCGACCTGTAAGTGCCGGATCAATTTTTGCCAAGCAAGTTTCATTTTACTCTGGCAGTTAAAACAAACAAGGCAGGCTATGAGTGCTTTGCGCTACTGGGAGAAGTCTATGGATCGGGTCTCCCACTCGGGTTTCTCCTGATTCGATCAAACGATCCTAGCCCCGGTGAAAAGGAGAAATATATTCGCTCTCTCATCCGGGACATCACATCGAAGTGGAAGATTACTCCCATCCAATCCCTCAGCGATAAAGACATCACCGAGATCAACACATTTCTTGCTGAACTGCCTGACGACATCAAGCATCAGCTTTGCTTCTGGCATGGGATCAGGGCCGTCCGCGGTCGTTTGTCCGTAATCGGGCGCCCACCGGCATTCTATCATGCTGAAGAAGCATTTCAAGAATTCGACTTCATCGACAGAGACTTTGTGCCTCTCGCTCAGATGGATCCAGCTAAGCGGACCCCTGTATGCATTCTCTTATTAAATTGAATATGTGCTTTCTAACCTGCCCTTAGGAGAATCTTCAGGTCGCTCAAGTCATGCTGCCGATGTTGAAGGTCCGCCTGAATGGATCCGCTATCTCCACGGCTCCCAAACTACCGAAAATAGTCATCCAAGTTGACGGAAAGCTCCGCGAGTTTCTCGGCAGCCTGGACAGCCTGGAAGAATCGGATATCGTGGATGTCGTAGACGAAGAAGAGGAGTATGCTGAGCATCTCATTCGAGAGAATGCTCACATGGTCAATCAAGCAGAAGCAGAGCCGTCCTGGATAGAGCCCGGCGAGAAACCAATCGGAACCAGCTTCCGTGTCAGCGACGACTACGAGTTCTGCCGTCCGCCGCACCGATCGCAGCTCCTCCATACTTTCATCCGACATGGCTGCCTGCATCCTCTGCTACCGGAACGTCACGGAGAACGACGCAACAAAGATCAAATCCGACGCGACTGTGTCTTCGAGATGTACACTTTCTGCAAGCAGCGCGGTCTACGCGAAGTTTGGGGCTATATGTGGGAAGCGTGGTATTGTCCAGCAAAATGGAGGCTTTGGGCACGTTCGAGCCAGCCGAATTTCATTGGTCGCTGGCGTACCACAATGTCCGTGGAGAATTTCTGGAAGAACTTGAAGCACGGAACTCTACACCATTTCCTCCATCCTCGGCTGGATCAACTCGTTTATCTTATTGTGACCGATATCGTTCCAACTTTCGAAGCAAGTATGCTCAAATTCGATCCAAATTGGCGACTCGGCCGATCGAAGAAGCTTGCACCGTGGCAGTCCGCTTTCAAATCGGAATGGGCGAAGCTTTCTCGCCGTGAACTGGACTCTAATGCTGACTCATACACCACGGACATTTCGACGTGGACTTGCACTTGCGGGCAGCAGAAGTACAATGCATTCCTCTTATGCAAACATCTCGTTCAATCCGTTGAATCTCCTGACCCCAGATTTTTCCGCGAAGTTTATCGGAGGCGGGTCACTCCGTTCTATCATCACGCGCTTCTAAAGCCAAAAGATGGTTCTTCCGTCGACGATTCTCACTTTTCTCCCTCGCGTCTTGCTGGCGACCTCACACCGGAGCAGCTTTACCTCCCTCAGGCCAAAGAGCTCGCTGTCAGTGAGCAATCCCGGAAACGCAACTTCAGCAACACTCAGACCGATGAGTCCGCTGAGAGACAGCTAACTGACAGCGAAGATGATCCGGTCGCCGCTTCGTCTTCGCCGACACGTTCTCAGTCGGCCGTTCATCCGGATGAAGACTTTGATGATGTGAGTCGTGAAGTTTATGGGTCATACTTGATGTTGACACCATGAATAGTCGGATGAGCTCGAAGACCATACCCGTAAACTTATCCAGGACCTGCGTCGTGGAGCGGATATCCTAGAAGGACAGCTCTCGCAGCTGTCCGAGTCGAAGATACTCTTGCGCAATGTGAAACGACGAAAGCTTGGCCGCGATGTTACCCATTTCGTTCAGGACATTCGGCATTCTCACGAAACAGGGCGCGTGAGAAAGACTGTGTGGGGACAAAATGGTGGGAAAGCAGCACGGAGATACACTAATAATACACTGGGCTCGAGCCAGCCATCGTAAATACCTATTTTATCTTTTGCACTGAAAACCCGCTTCGTTTGTGAATTTCAAGTGCCTCCATCAATGACGTAGTGCGGTCTAGACCGCCATCAGCGCAGATCTGATGTCGCGACAGAGGTGGGTGAGTAGTGCTTAGTTGTGCTCTTGATGGTGTGCGGGAAAGCAGACAGGCGCCCGAATATCATCAACGCTAGCGTTCTGCACTCCCGCGACGCTTGGGGGTCCTCCAGACGGGCTGGAGTGTCCACGATGCTCTAGTCGGCACCTAGGAGTACATACCCCCAATCTCTCACAGCGCCCGCATGTGGGACTGTTTCTGCCGCATTCAGATCGCACGCTGCAGAGAACGGCACCAAATCCACCAAAACCAGGATAAGAACACCGTGACGGGCTTGCAGAATGTTGTTGTTGCTGCTGTGCTTGACGAATTCGAGACTGGTGACTAGCTTACAGGTGTGACAGCACGCGGACATGTTTCTTTTGATCCACTCGAAGCGAAATACGTTTTCGAGCATACTGTTTCCGTTCGATGGGAACTGCTTTCTTTGAGAATTCGCGTGTTCTGCATCCCCGGCGAAGAACGACCGTCTGTCTGTTGATCGTGCACCACGGGGAGAGCCATCACGGCCGGGGCAGGAAAGATCAGGACTGTGCACTGCATGACTAGGCATCAGATTGGCCCTGGCAGTGCGACTTCGAGCAAAGGTGCGAGAGAAGGGACGATCGAAATCATCGAATCACATCGCATGGGACCAAGTGCCGCTGGTCTTTCCGCGTCTGCTCTCTCCCTTTCGTAACTATGCGTCTCGTTGATTCTTCAGGACTTCTTCTCTGCTCACCGAGATTCTGCGGCGACTGAAGGACACACGTGCGCCTGCTGGGACCGACGCTCTTTCTACTGTTTCCATCATAACACCCGTCAATGTCCTGGTAGCGGCGATGGAATGACATGCCCTGGGATGCGCCGTCGGCCAATCATGGCTCTGTCCGATCTTGCATGATGGCATCCCAACCCGCCACTCAGACGTGGGGCACTAGTGGCTGTGAATCGTGGCATTCTTCCGCTGGGGCAGTGTGTCTGTCTGGAGAAACGTTACATACTTGAACATGGGGCACAGCAGTTTCCCGCCTGCCTTTGACCATGCCAAAAGCTGGAAAACGACACCCCGAGAAACGACGAGAGACCGATGAAGCAACTCTCGAGCGCGAGAGGGCCAGCGGGAACGAGCTCTGGGGCGTCTACATCTCTGAGGCGGAGAGCTACGATCGAGGTCTCATCGATGGCTGGCGCAGCGAGATGGATGGACTACTGATCTTTGTGAGTACTCCCTTCTGTTTCGAATGCGAGTCTCTCACTGAATGTGGCTCCTCAGGCCGGTCTCTTCTCTGGCGTCATCACGACTTTCATTATCGATAGTTATAAGACGCTGAACCCCGATTCGGGCAGCCAGACTGTCGTACTGCTCACCCAAGCGGTTGCACTCCTCGGCCAGATCTCGCTCCAACTCGCGAACATGAACAATGGGACTGCAATGGCAGACGCACTGCCTCCCGCCGCTGCCTTCTCGCCCCCGGCCTCATCTCTCGTCTGCAACGCTCTCTGGTTCACGAGTCTTGCACTCAGCTTGTCGAGCGCCCTTGTCGCGACTCTGGTCAAGCAGTGGGCTCAGGAGTACCAGCACCGCACATCCATGTTCTCCTCCCCCTCCATCCGGTCCCGTGTGTACATGTATCTCTACTACGGATTGCGACACTTCAATATGCATGCCGTTGTCGGCGTTCCCCCGCTTCTCCTGCACGGGGCATTACTTCTGTTCTTTGCGGGTCTAGTCGCATTTCTTGTGCCTGTCAACGTCATTATCATGGGCATCTCTTCCGCTCTTCTGCTCCTGTTTGTCTCGGCCTACGGAACGTTCAGTGCACTCCCGCTCTTCTTCTTCGACTGTCCGTACCAGACGCCACTCACATCCATCTTGTGGTCGCTGAATCAGAGTTTGGGAAGTTTATTGAGGGCTCGTCTATGGAGGGCAGTGGCTGTTTGCAAGGCCTTCACTAACGAACGAATCCCGGTGACAGACGCCGAGCAAGCCGCCGAATCTCCTGTGACGAACCCCGATGCCCCTGCCGAGCCTTCTGCGCCTGCAGACACTCGTCCGCAGTCGCAGAGCATGGTGGACGCCGTAAAATCAGAAGCACTGCATCCCACTGTCGAGACGGAGACCCGGGCACTTGCATGGGCCGTCCGGTCTCTCTCTGACGATGACAAGCTTGAGCGACTGGTCGAGGGGCTCCCCCAGACGCTGTGGGATTTCGATCAAAATCAGCCTCGCGGCGTGTATCAGGCACTGTCCAAGACGTTGTTGCAGGATCCGGAAGTCCGTCTCTGCCAGCGTCTTGCTGATTTCATGGCTGGCTCCAACAGCAATCTGCTCGAGGAAAAGGACCGCCTCCGCCGCCAGCTGTCCGTGCTCCGGGCCATCTGGGCCATCTGCGCGTTCTCCCTTCACACGGGGTCACCTCTGCAAAGTCCAATTGGAGCAGTCGACGTGGACAACGCGCTGCTTGGCTCCAAATTCCACGATTCTCCCGACGTGCAGAGCATGCTCCCCGCCGTGGCCGCTCTGATCCGTCTCAATGTGATCGAGTCTCGGAGCCGGGAACAGGCCTCCACACACCAGAGCAGCTCCGACGGGGATATCCGTGCCGACGCGGAGGAGCGACGGCAAGCGGACATGCATCACACGTATGTGGATTATCTGAAGGCACTGTCCAGATGCACTGTCAGCTTCCAACGGGACGTGACCAATTCGCTCTTCTATCGGTATAAAATGCACTTCACGGAAGCAGATGGCTACAAAACTCTGCATTATGCTCTCATTCACCTGATCACTCCAGGATCAGACGAGACAGCGGACAATGCCGTCTTTGCTGCTCGCCAGATGATCACCCCGTTTGCTCAGACATCGGATTATCCGCAGTGGCTGTATTCCCCCCGTCTTGGGCGGCTCCTTGTCCGACATCCGTCCCTCGCCGCCTCCGAGCCGGACTCTGACTCACAGCCTGCTCCGATGCACCATTACACCCGATTCCTTTGCCACAAGCTATGCTGGGACTTGCAGCTTCAAATCGAGCCCCAGTCATCCGTCGACGCCCTCCTGCTCATTTATCAGAATTTGCTCAAGTCTGATGAGCCACCAAGAGACCTCGCTACCCATCTTTTGGTCCTACGCACTCTGCGGACTCGAGCAGCCGAAATCCACACGCATCGCTTGGTTGCCATTGTTCAGCGCCTCGTGCTCGACAGTGTCTCGCCAGATTTGTCGGAATGGCAGCGATTGCCGAGTATCTTCGAGGACGAGGACTGGTTCCGCTCCGCGCTCGGCCTCGACAGGGATAAGCGGGCGGAGCAGGCATCGGCACAGCAAATTCACGACGGTGGAGTTGTGGGTGTGTTCACCACCTTTTTCGAGCAGTGCGCTGCCCGTAGTCCGGATCAAACAGAGCACGACCTGGACTTGGCAACGCTCGAAGAGGTACACCGCACAGTCAGGAACATTGCTTCGGTGATCCCGAGCAAACTGCAATGTCGATTCGCCAACGCCGCCGCCGCTTTCATCCGCAAACATCCAAAGGACTGTCTTGTGGGTGGGATGGGGCTCTTCTGGATGCTATACTATGCCGTCAATGAGGACGAGGGGTGGATGACCAATGTGGATGCATTGCGCGTCCTGGACGCGGCTGTATCGGAGGTGCAGGCGGACGATCAGCAGCGATCACACCAGGGAAATACTCAATCAGCGATCCGCCGACACATGCAGGAGCGGCTCCTTTTTCCCGAGGACATTTTCGCCGCATTTGCCTCGTTCGTGAGTGACTGGGAGTGAAGGGTGTCAGTTTCCATTCACTTAGTCTACAATCGTGCGTGTGTTCTGTATATATAATGTCATCGTCTTCGGTGCGCGCGTCGATTTCGTCCTCTTGGTCAACGACCGCGTCCATACTCGTTTGTTACGGTCACGCAGATTGGATCGTCTGGACCGCACCTCACGGGACTCTCTCTATTGGGGACTGCCACATGAAGAGCTGCTTGGGCGAGTCCGATAACGAGTACCCGGAGTCGGACGGTGTTTTGGCCGGCTTGGATTTCGTCGTTAGCGTAGGCGTCTTCCTGCCGGAGATCGACAGCTCGTCGTTCTCGGCCTGGATCATCGCTGCAGCGCCGTTGCGCGACTCCTGGAGCAGATGCTGCGCCCGTTTTTTCGGCTGCTGGATGATCGGCACAAACTTGCCTGCTCTGGAGCTAGGGCAATCTTGACACCTGCCTTGAACAGCTCGCATGCCCTCTGTAGCTCAATCAGAACAGCTTCAGCCACTTTGGATCACGTTGCATGAGTGACAAAGGAAGACAGCACGATCTGTGGGCAGTTGAGCTGAGGAAACGGGACAGACAGACACGCAAGTCCACTCACCAGCACAGAGAAAGCCTGCGCCCATGACCGAACGATCTCAGACAGTAAACTTTGATTTGCTTCCTCGGACTGGAAAGGATTCTGCATGCACTCTGGTACCCGGCCAGGAACGACGGTGCAAAGGGCCAGTTGTGATAGGATCATTGGGATGGTTGGCGATGGCATATGAGCACAAGGATCGGAGACGTAGAGAGAGGCTAGATGTGCTTATGAGATAGATGCGCATGCTTCCTCAGGGCACGCACCGGAATGTCGATACATCATTGGTACTCAGCGACTCATGAAGGCTGAAAGCAGGATCCCACCCGGAATGGCACGCATGAAGATTGAGGCGTGCCGTACCCGGCCAGGAATGGGTCGAGATCCAGTGGTAGCTTGTAGTCCACGAAAGGTAGCGAGAATGTCCGCGGCTGACCCATCGCTCGAGTCTGAGCACCGCAATGAGCACCAAAACACTGCAAACAGAGGCAAGCATGTCCACCTGGCAGCAATCGATGAAGAGCAGCTTACAAGAGAGAGGACGCCGTTTTCGTATCCAGGGTGCTTTCAAACCCCATTCAGTCACAGTCACGGTCTGGGAGGAGGAAGTCGAATGAGGCAAGGGCCCGGAAGGATGCAGTGGGCTGACGCAGATCAATATAATGCCGCAGAATCAAACAATGACACTGGAGCGCGAGGAATCGACTTACGCTTTGCGTCCGTTTCGAAGACAGCCGCAAGATAGACCAGCTACTCTCGATGGTGTGTTCTCTCTAGCACACACACCTTCGAGTCGAGGGCTGCAGGCAATCCTGATCGCACGTTGCCTAACGCACGATGGGACAGGATAACATTGATCAACGCGAGGTGGTGGGCGGAACCGATGGGTGTCATTCAGCCCCATCGTGTCGATTGCCTTGCCGCCTCAGGCATTGACAGCCCCCAACGGCAGTATCTCGTCTTCCAGCGTGACAGCGCCGAAAACCCACGGGGCTTGCCACAAGTAGAGCTTGCTCAGAGATTGTTTTCCTCGTATCCCGAGAGGCGGCTAGCCTAAGAGTACAATTCAATTCCCAACGCGTCGCCGGAGAAGGGATGCATAATGTTGTTGTCAAGTTGTTTCTGCAGTGCTGACACATCGGAAACTAGCGACGAGACACGTGGTTTGACAGCGCGTGCGACTTGAAACGCATGATGTTTCTGCGTACTGTACCGATGTGTATGTAGGCAACTGTAACGCGTAACGCACCACTTTTGCGTCGCCTAATTTGGCCCTTGTAACGTGTAACGCAGGGCCCGTCGCCAACAGTTACAAGTTGCCCAAAACAGCCCCAAAAAGAGTCCTAAAATCGCCAAAAAAAATCGGAATTTATTCGTCTTCCTCAGGAAGATTTATGTCCTGGTCAAAAAAACAAGTCCTCAGTCAAAAGTTTTCCCTCAGAACCATAACCTCAGATGTTCTCGTTGATTCATCAGAATTGAGCAGAAGAGACTGCAGCAAGTAATTGATGTATTTGAAAAGGGTCTTCATTTTGTTATTCAGGCCCTCCGGAACACCTTTTGGCACTGCTGGTCCAATGGGCCGCCCCTCAAGTCTGGGCCTTGGGGAAAAACAGTAGATCATTGGAGAATAGAGTGAAAATGCACTTGTTTCGTGCTTATTCGGTTCCTACTTGCTTCTTACTGTCAATCCAAGCCTGTGCCGACGAGATGCCGGCCTGTCGCCTAATTTGGAAGATGTAACGCGTAACTTGAGCTCGGTCGCTTACGGGCGGAGGTAACGCTCCGGGAGCTGTCGCCTACATACAGATCGGAACAGTAAACGCTCTCGGTCCGAGTTCAACCGCAAATCCTCAAGAATCGGTGTCCACCGCACTCCGTTGAGAAGCACGCCATCCATTTGATAGCGGTGCAGGGCCTGCAAGCATGTTGTTACACGACAAGAGCCATTTTGGCTGGGGTAGGAAAGGTTGGAGCTGTGCACTGCATGACTAGGTGTCGGATTGGCTGTGGACAATGCGGTTTGGGGAAGATCCGCGAAGGAAGGGACGATTGCATCACATTACATTCGACCAAGTCGGTGGATCTCCACGACTTCACGTCTGCTCACAGGGTTTTTTGGCGATCCAAGAGACAAATGTGCCCCTCCTGGGACTGACGCTGTCTTACTAGTGCTTGATGCCATCCGTCATACTTCTGGAAGCACCCACTGGCACGCCTTGGCGTGCGCCGCTGTTCCATCTTTGTTCGTCCGAGCCTGCAATGGTCTGGGTAGCTGTGTCTGAGTCCCTGATTCAAGCGTTGAGCGCTTGATTGCTGTGAAGCGTGGCATTGTTCTATTGAGGCAGTGTTTCTGGAGAAACGCCGCTCAAACACAACTTCCCTCCTGCCTTTGACCATGTCGCAAGCTGACAGACAACAGGCCGACAAACGAGAGGACAATGAAGCTTATTCCGAGCGCGAGAGGGCCAGCGGGAACAAGCTCTGGGGCGTCTACATCTCCGAGGCGCAGAGCTACGATCAAGGTCTCATTGATGGCTGGCGCAGTGAGATGGATGGACTATTAATCTTCGTGCGTCTCCGACCTTTCTCAATCCCGGTCCCTCTCTGAATCCGACTCATCAGGCCGGTCTCTTCTCCGGCGTCGTCACGACATTCATCATCGAAAGCTACAAGACGCTGAACCCCGACTCGGGCAGCCAGACCGTGGTGTTGCTCAGTCAGACCGTTGTGCTTCTCAACCAAATCTCGCACCAGCTTGGGAACTCGAACAATGGCACGGCGGTAATGGACGCACTCCCTCCACCCGCTGTGTTCTCGCCCCCGGCCTCCTCCCTTATCTGCAACGCACTCTGGTTCACGAGTCTTGCGCTCAGCTTGTCGAGCGCACTTGTCGCGACTCTGGTCGAGCAGTGGGCGCGGGAGTATCAGCACCGGACTACCATGTTCTCCTCCCCGTCCATCCGGTCACGCGTGTACATGTATCTGTACTACGGTTTGCGCCGCTTCAACATGCATGCTGTCGTCGGTGTTCCCCCACTTTTGCTGCACGCGGCACTCCTTCTGTTCTTTGCGGGTCTGGTGGCATTTCTCGTGCCCATCAACATCATCATCATGGGGATCTCCTCCGCTCTTTTGCTCCTGTTCGTCTCCGTCTATGGAACATTCACTGCGCTCCCCCTGTTTTTCTTCGACAGTCCGTATCAGACGCCGCTGTCACGAATCCTTTGGTCACTGAAGCAAAACTTGGGACATCGACTGCAGGCTCATGTTCGAAGGACAGCGGCCAAGGACCCCGAGTCTCACACCGATCTTTCTGTCCCTGTAGACACTTGTATGCAGGCCCAGAGCATGGTGGAAGCTATGACTTCAGTGGCACTGCAGTCTACTGTGGACGTAGAGACTCGGGCTCTTGCGTGGGCGATACGGTCTCTCCGACGATGACGAGTTTCAGCCATTTGTCGAGGGGCTCACTCAGGCGCTATGGGACTTCGAGAAAAACGAGGGCCGTGCCGCGTATCGGGCACATTTTGAAAGGTTGCTGCGGGATCCGCAAGTTCGGCTCTGCCAGCGTCTCGGGGACTTCATGGCTGGCTCCAACAGCGATCTGCTTGAGCACCCAGTCCGCCTCCGTCGACAGCTCTCAGTACTCCGGGCACTCTGGGCTGTCTGCGCATTCTCCATTGCCTTTGGGTCGCCACTGGAGTGTCCCATCGGAGAAACCGACGTGAACAGCGCGCTGCTTGGCCCAAAGTTTCTCGGTTCTGCCGAAGTGCAGATGCTGGTCCCCGGCGTTGCGGCTCTGATTCGTCTGAATATCATCGAGTTCTGGGCCGCGCAGCCCAACGGAGAAGCGACGCAGCAGGCCCTTGCTCGCCTCGCCATTAAGACGATCCGCACGGGGGACGGCCGCAGCATCACAACCGCCTTGTTCTTGACAAGTGGCCGCAGCACATTCGAAGAGGAGAAGCGATGGGCGTACGCGCAGTATCTGATCAATCTTTCTGAGAGCCCTGCGAGTTTCCAGCGGGAACTGACCCATTCGCTCTTCCATCGGTCGCCAGTCCCCTTCCTAGCCGGGGACCACGACCCTGTCATGGTAGAAGCCCTGGAATTGTTGATTGGAACAGAGTCCGAAGAGAAAACGGACAATCATGTCTTCGCTGCTCGCCATATGATCTGCGCAATTGCTCAGACGTCAACATATCCACCTCCTTCGGCGCATGGAACCGAGTATATGCTGCCAACGGGTCTTGCACCGTTCCTTGTCCGACATCCTTCCCTCGCTATTTTTATGCCCGGCTCTGTCTGGCAGCCCGATCTGGAGGAAAAGTACACCCGATACCTGTGCAACTGCATGCTTTTCAACCTAGTACACCAACTCGATTTACAAGCATCAGTGGACTCCCTCAAGCTGATCTATTATCATTTGGACGACATTCACTCAAAACACTTGGAGGACCTCGATGCCCATTTGCTGACGCTCCACACCCTGCGGAGTTCGAGCGCTCGCACAGCATGCATCCACGTACATCATGTGGTTGCCCTAGTCCAGAGCGTTGCGGTTTGCTGCATCTCGTGGGATTTATCGGAAGCGACGAGAGGGCTGGGTGTCTTTGACGACGAGGACTGGTTTCGTGCGGTGATACGCCTAGACGACAAGAAGTGGATGGAGCGGAGATTAACGCGGGAAGATGATACAGTTCCCATCTTCATTCGTAGCTGTGCGCTTTTTGGCGTCATCTCCACTTTCTCGAGCAGTGCGCTCAGAATCCAGACCAAATGGAACTCGACTTCGACTTCGAAACGCTCACGTTGATGGTCCAACGAGCCATGGTTTCGGGATTGGGGTTCTGGTGCTCCCGACGAAAATCCAACGTCGATTCGCCGTTGCCGTCTCTGCATTGCTCCATAGATATCCAGAGGACAGTCTTGCGGAAGACAGGAGGCTCGGCCGGCTGCTTTGCAGCGCCATCAGTCCTCCATCCTTTCAAGATCCTCTGGGTTTTGAGAGCCGAGGGTGGATCAATGACCAGGTTGCATTGCAGGTCCTGGACAGGGCTGTTTTTGACACGCAGAAGGACTACGAACAGCCAACGCACCAGTACAATGCTCAAAAGATCCGCAAACGGATTCAAATGTGGCTCTATCTTCCCGAGAACATTTTTGCTGACTTTGTCTCGCTAGTTACTGATGGAAGCTGAAGGACCATCGTAGAGAATTGTTGTTTTCTCTGTGCTTGACTCAAGGAAATCCTTGATTTGTGTATGCCCCCTTCCGCCGAAGCATGACAGCTTGTCATGCTCAACTCAAAACAGCTTGAAGATGATTCCCCAAATCAACATTGACTGATTCGAATGCAGTCGTGCTGGAATCAGGACAGTCGCTGAGCATTAATGAATTCCAAGATTCGGAGATCTGCCACCTCTTGGGACTGTGCGTTGGCCCAACGTCCCAGCTCATGTACGATTACACGAATATTGCTACAAATCTTGTTACATATCAACTTACCACGGTATCTGTTTCTCTTTGTCCGTTAGTGGAACGTACTGTGAGCGCCACTGTGAACAGCGAACGACGAACGACTGGCAGCAAGCGCACCTGGACCGACATGATTCGTGTTTCCGTCACATTACCCTGGGCGTCCTTGTCCACTTGGACGATGTGCTGAGCGTCCGTGCCGACAGGGATGAACATCCGCCCCGGCTGAGCCAGTTGCTCGACCAGAGCCTTGGGAATCGTCGGCGCAGCAGCACCAACGTGGATGGCGTCAAACGGCCCGCCGGCGAGGTATCCTTACCCCGCGTTGGGATACATCAGCCACTCGGCACCCGCGCGCGAAGGATAGACTCACCAAGGCGGCCATCTCCGACGACCATCTCAATCTCACCGCGCGCGAGCGCCTCCCGGGACACCGCATCTTTCCCAAAGTTCACGATCGACAGGTCGACTAGCTCGGAGATGTGATCAATGCCCACGACTTTGCCGCCCGGAGATTCGGAGACCAAGTGATGCAACACCGCGCAGAGGTACCCGGACCCGCTGCCGACGTCGAGGACGCAGGCGCCTGGACGGAGGAACGGCATCAGGTGGTCGATCGCATACGCGTGCATGTGGGGGGCACTGATCGTCGCGCCGTGGCCGATGGCTCTGCGAAGAGCGCGTCAGAAAGACTCGTGTTCGATGGCATGGTTTTAGTACGGGGATGCGTGACGGACTGAGGCGAGTCCTCGTATGCAGTGCTTGCGTTCCGCACATAGTGCGCGCGGTCGACCGATTCCATAGCCTGTGTACGCGACAATGATGTTGACATTGCCGACTTATCCCTGCGGCCATGGACGAACTTTTGCTATGCGTTCCGGGTGATTCTCCAGTCGGATGATCTGCGAGTTGACCAGGTTCTGAATAAGCTCTTTGTTCGTCTTTCCCGTGCATCTCCAGGCCATGTTAAGTCGAAGTAAGTGTCAAGCGCTGCGAATCATGAATGAGGTCAGTGTTATTGTCATCTGACCGTCGTAGACCAGATTCGTGATACATGAGCCAGGCTTCCCTGCCGTTCTACCAGTGTACATGCAATAATATATGCTACTTTAAATGATACAGATGCGACGAAAGCAAACAAGAAAGCAATAATGAATCTACACGCGACCGCTACGCGTCCTGCATCATCCTCGGCGATCCGACCTTCGACATATACATCTGCCAATGCTCCTGCAGCCTCGGATCCTCCGCCGCCAGCCCACGCATCGCGCCGTCCGGGGTGTAATGCGAGTCAAAATGCTCTGCCGGTAGCCGGTAGTCGTAGTGGTAGCCGTTCCACTGATATTGTTGCTGCGGCTGCGACTGCGGGGGCTGCTGCTGATAGTTCGTTGCTGGCGACGACTCATCCATGTACACCGTCTCAGGGGTCGAGCCACCGGATGGGGGAGAGTGTGAATGCGCATGGCTGGCATGTCGGGCCACTGCGTGATACGACGACGAAGATGAGGAGGATGTGACCGGCCGCTGCTGCTGCTGCTGCTGCTCGTAGTGGGACCGAGTCGGCTCGTATGCCGGTCGAACCAGCCCATGCGGCGAAACCGGCTGAGCATAAGAGTATGCGTAATGTTGCTGCTGCTGCTGCTGATGTTGCTGCTGCTGCTGCTGCTGCTGTTGTTGTTGCTGCTGCTGCTGCTGCTGCTGCTGCCGCATTCGAAGCTCTTCCTGTCGCATCTCCTCGACATGCCGCAAGCGAAGCTGCTCCTCGAGCTGCCGCCGCCGGTACTCTTCCTCCTGTTGCTGTTGCTGATACTGATACTGCGCCTCCGGCGATGTGTAATACCCCCCTTGAATCTGCGCATTCAGCGTGACATCGAATCCGTTCAGCTCGCTGATCAGACTCGGATGCACTCCCGCGAACGACGGATTGTCCGTGAAAGGCTGCTTGGGCGAATCAGATAGCGAGCGCCCAGAAGGCGGAGTTTTGGCTGGCTTGGCTTTTGTCGTCAGCGTGTGCGTCTTCCCGCTGAAGATCGACAGCTCGTCGTTCTCGGCCCGCGACGGCTCGAAGATGTTGTTCGGGATCATCGCTGCGGCGCCGTTGCGCGACTCTTCGAACAGATGCAGCGCCCGTTTTGTCAGCCGCTGGATGATCGGCACGAACTTGCCTGCTCTGGAGCTAGGGCAGATTTTGGCACCTGCCTCGAACAGCTCGCATGCCTTCTGCAGCTCAATCAGAGCAGCCTGCGCCACTTTGGATCGTGTCGCATGAGTGACAACGGAAGACAGCATGATCTGTGGGCGTTTGAGCTGGGGAACGGGACAAACAGACGCGCGAGACCACTCACCGAGGCAGAGAAAGCATGCGTCCACAGCACCCAGAAGCGAGCAATCTCAGACGGGAACACTTTGAACTGCTTCCTCAGGGCCGAAAGGAGTCCACATGCACTCTGGTAGCCAGCCAGGAACGAGGGCGCGTAAGGGCTCTTGATAGGATCATTCGGGTGGTTGGAGATGGCATGTGCGAAGAAGCATCGGTGAACGTAGAGAAGCGCTGGGTGTGTTTATTAGATAGACACGCGTGTTACCTCAGGGCACGCACCAAAATGTCGATACATTGTCGGCATCCAGTGACTCATAAATGCCGATAGCGGGATCCCATCGGGCCGGGGCCCCATGGCGTATTTCGGCAGCTCCATATCGCGGACTTTGCGGTCGAGCTCGACGATGACCGAGTACTTCGGTGCTCGCGATGTGAGGGTGCCCTGCACCACGGCAGACACACACTCGGCCCCGAAGCGCGCCTTCCAGAAGGGGACTAGGTGCGGATCAGCGTCGCGCAGGGACAAGAGGACAGCGGAAATGACGTGCATGAAGATTGAGGGGTACCATCCTCAGCCAGGGACTGCTCGACGTCCTGCGGTAGCTCGCAGTCCACGAAGGGCAGCGAGAATGTCGGCAGCCGACCCGTCGCCAGGGCCTGAGAGACGCAATGAACACCGAAACAGTGCAAACGCAAGCAAGTCTACACACCTGCCAACAATCGGTGATGAATAGCTCCCAGAAGAGAGCGCGCCGTTTCTGGACCTCGGGTGCTTTCAAACCCCATCTGGCACAGTCACGGTCTGGGAAGAGGAGCGTCAGATTAGGCAAGACGAGACCGGAAAGGATGCAGTCCACTGACGGAGACCAATCTAATGCCGCAGGATCAGACAATGAAACTGGAGTGCGATGAATCGACTTACGCTTTGAGCCAATTTCGTGGAAAGTCCAAAGATAGCCCAAGTGCTCTCAATGCTGTTTTCCCCAGCACACAGACCCTCGAATATCGCCATCAACGCCAGCGTCTGCACAGTCGCGACGCTCGGTGGGCCCTCCAAAACAGGCTCGAGCGTCAAAGACGCTTTCGTCAACGCGTAATAGTACTCCGAATCTCGGACAGCACCCGCGTGTGGGACTGTTTCCGCCGCATTCGGATCGTGGGCTGCGGGGAATGGCAGACGCACGTCACCCAGTGCACCAAAGCACAGGATAACGTAGATCAGCGCGAGGTCGTGCGCGGTACCAATGGGCGGCGGACTCCCCCCGCGCGTCGATTGTCTTGGCGCATCGGGATACCACAGCGGCAGTATCTCGTCCTCCAGCTGACTTGACGTGACAGCGCCGAAAAACCACGGGGCCTGCGCCAAGTACAGCTCGCACAGACGCGCTGTCTCCTCGTAAGGCGGTAAACGGCCTGCCAGGTAGTCCAGGTCGATTCCCGACGCGTTGCCCGAGAACGGGAAGGAGGAGTTGAACGAGGCGATGGATGAAATGCCGTTGGTGTCTGGGCGACGCAGCACAGAAGCGCCAAGTGCGGAGGAAAGCGCATTGCTCCCGAGCTGGGGGATCAGTGGTGTTGATTTGGCAGAAGGACCTTCACCCTGCACAGCAGCTGAGAACACACTTGTAGTGGGGGCAGGAATGATATGTTACCATCAGAAGACTCTGGAATCGCACGGTAAGTTAGCAAACGACTAAAAAAGGCTGCACATGCAAACGCACCTCAGTACCAGCACTTCGTCCGTAAAATGTCGCAGCGCCGTCATCCCGGATAGCGAGGGTCCCAAACGCGTCGATAGAGTCGTCGATGTCCTCCGACTCCCCGGCGTTTCCCTCCACGTTGAGCTCCTCCTGATTTTCGACTGCCGAATGCAGCTCGATGCTGGACTTGATTTTAAGCGACTCGCGGTCGAGCAGCGGATGAGACTCGCTCGAGGTGGTGCTCTGCAAGATTGCGAGGGCGTCTTCGAGACTTCGAATCCGGTCACTCATGAGCGCGATCTTCTGGTGCAGTTTCTCCGTGTCCGCTAGAACGAATCTGAGGAGGGGGAAACGTCCCGGTTGGATGAGCGCTCGACGCCAGAAGCCCAAACAAGCACATACCGTGTACCCTGCCCTAATCACAGCGTCAGTGCGGGTGGGGGCAGCCCCAAGTGGAGATGGACGCACCAGTGATCAGGCTGCCGTTGGGGCAGATGGCGGAGCATCCTCGTCGTTTACAGCTGTAATGAGCGTCAGCCCTCCTGCCAGTCGCCGTATCCGCACGCAATGAGAGACGCAGAAATAGATAGCCCTCGGTAAGCAACGGGGATTAATATCATTATCCGCCGCGCCCCCATCAAGTTATTCGAGACCCCGCATGCACCGCGTTCGGGTCCACCACGCTCTTGGTCGGACGGGTACTCGGCAAACGCAAATGCAAAAGCAAAACGACAATCGGAATCTGGGAGGCGCACGGAAGCGGAAGCTGAGACACTTTGCGTACCTCGAGCACGGGACGGTCTTGTCACATTTGAGCTTCAATCTCCTACATTCGGCACACGAAAGCGCGCCTGGGTGAGTCGATGCGGATCCGGAGAGGCACGAGAGCGGCGAGCGGTAGCGCAAAAGGCACGATGAGTGGAAGGGTGACGAGAGGTGGGCGCACGACAGATTAGCGAGGACGACAAGCGAAAGGAAGACGCAGCGAGAACGCACCTCGGGCCCGCTTGGACTCCTTCTCCTGCGCTCTCTGGGCGGATATGTCTTTCTTGACTGCCTGCGGCATACGGGGGAGGTCTGGACGCGGGTCCACTTGTAAAGTCGTGCGCGCGCGCGCCTAGTCGTCCACCGGAGAAGGTGGTGGCAAGAGAAAACAGGATTATGGCAAGGGTTCCCAGATGGCTGCCGGCGGATTATGCTTTCCTTCAGAAAGACTTCTTTTTGCTTCCGTTTGGCGCACACCCCACGAGGTCAAATGGGGAAAGATCACCTTATCCTCGACAGGATCATGTTCCTCGACAGCCATCAACTTTATCACATCGTCTCCCCTCACTCCGAACATTATCTGGAGAAGCCGCCCAGCCTCGTGTGGGGAGGCTCGAGGATTGTCTTGCTCCCTCACCCACTGACTCCCACCTCCCTCCTCGAATCATGCAGAAAGGGCTTGCCCGATTTGCCGCTGCAGCCCTTGTCAGTCTTGCTTACACTATCCTGACTTCTCGATTCGGATAGAGCCGATTCAATCAACGTCAAAGCTGCATAATTCCCACGTCGAAGTCATGGGGTCACGTAATCTCCTTGGACTTCATACTTGATACTATGTGCTCGAAATCAGTCGAAATCAGCCTGACGGTTGCACTGATGAAACTCCAAGTACGCGCTGCAAAAGCAGTGACAGAAAGCCCGGCGGCGAGCCACGGCACGCAATCCGGAGATTCTTTGGATCGAATCAAGCACACTCCCATCCGAGCCGAGACCTCAGTTCGCAGCCCCACTTCCAATTTGGTCACAGCAGCAGGCGGGGGGCGTCTGGGATCTGCAGCCTGCCTGCCTGCCAGCCAGCGGTTCGTGTCCGCAGCATCCCACACCACACCAGCGCCACATCCGCCGGGGCGTGCCGAGAGCACCACGCCAGCCTCGCATTCTCGCTCTGAGACGGCTGTCATCGGGGCGGACGCGTATGTAAGCCAAGCCAGGTGTCAACATCCACAAGGCGGTCCCTTATTCGCATTGGAGCCTGTTGACGTCTCGGGCTGCGTGAGTGGCGATGGAGCCTCTGCACGAGACTCGTCTGAAGTATATGATCTGTAAGTACATGATCTGCCAGGCGAGGGTTATTAGCCACGACCGTGATCGGCACCATCCAGCTTGCGCCGACTACTTCTGAGCCTCGTCGTCATCCATCGTTCCAGGGCCTTTGTGCACATGCAAGATGTGATGCCCACACACACTTCGATTAGATGCTGTTGTCAGCCGGTGGGAACCAAATTTAGCACCTTCTCACCGCCTTCAGGACCCAGGCAGGTGTATGCACATCATGATCATCTTTCCAGACAGGTTTCATCGTCTCCGGTAAAACACGAAAACATCCGACCCGAGTGACAAAGCAGTGTCTGCCCAGTCCCTGTGATAAACGTGGAAGTAAACGTGAAATTTGTACAGGCGTGACAAAAGTACAAGAGATGTAGTAAGTATGGGAAAGCAGGGGACCGAATGCGAGATATGCCAGATGTGTGATGTGTGATGCGTGAGATGGAACCGAATACACGGCTCGTCAAGTATCCCTCAAGACGACTTGAGCCGTTCATACCCAGAGTTCGGTCGACTGCCCCAGCCAAACCAGCTCCCGCGTGACTGCACACCCGGGCGGTCACCCTCGCGCGTATCATAGCCCTCCCCGTCGCTGGGCACCTCGACCTCCTCGAATCGCCCCGAAACGCTGTCCACGCGGTCCCGCGGCCCGCGGTGAACCAGGTCATTCCCGGACGAGCTGCGCGAGTACGTCGTCGAGGGCGAGGCCCCGGGCGTCAACACGGATCCGGGCGACAGGGCGGACGGAAGTCCCGAGTCGAGCGCCGCCAGTTCCGCCTCTAGCTGCCGCCTGCGCTGCAGAATGCTCTGCGCCGCACTGGGATCGAGACTCGTGGGGAACGCGGTCGGGGCGGATCCTGCGGCATCGTATCCCCTGAAGCCGGAGCCGAAGCCGGAGCCAGGCGCCCGCTGCTGGGGCGCCGGGCGGAGCATCGCCGCGCCGCTGGCCATGATCCCGGGCCCATAGGTCGCCCAGAACCCGCCAACTATGCCGCCCAGTCCACTCGGCGGAGGTACCGGTGGCTGCTGGACGGTGGGATCGATGGACGGCTGCTGGCCACTCCCTAATCCAAACTGATCCCACAGCGTCCGGAACTGTTTCTGCAGGAACGCGAAGACGTGCGCGCGCAGCTGCGCGAGGAGCGAATCGATTTGGGTCTCGTGCTCGCGGAGGAACGGGTGCAGGTGCACGGTGTAGATGTATGTGGATCCCTGCGTCTGCGGCAGCGCGAGGTAGAGCAGGAGGATCGTCTTGAGCGTGTAGTAGAAGGGGATCCTGGTCGTCGGAAATCAGCCCGTCGTCGTCTCGACACCACTTGAGACAGATGCGCACCAACAGATAGCCCATTCCGCGACATACTCCACACTAACGATACAGCCAAGTACAGACCAGTACATGAGCCATCGCTCCAGATCCTCCTCGGATGCAGGACGCTGGCTTAACGTTTTGTACGAGGCGTACCCTGGGTACAGGAATGCGACGGCGGAACTAGTCGACGAACACACATGAGCGAAGCTAGGGGATGGTGTTGGATGCTGCCCACATTAATATCCGTGAAGTCAGAAAGAAGATCATGGTTAGAGTCAGAGTCGAGGGGTCAACGTTGCAGGCAACAGGTCTCGTTTAAGAGACCGCAGCTGTTTCGCCCACTGGAATCGGTCACATGACCAGAGAGGTTGGTCAGACTCCTGACGTAGCTAGGACCATAATTCTTTTGCTCTCTTCAGCTGCAAAGGTATTCTCGTAGGTCTCGTTCTCCGATAGTGGCAGATTTACTCCAACCCAAGGAATATCCACTGAACTCGCAGTCTGCTGTTGTTTCGGGGCAATCTCACTCTGGAATTCATTCTTTACGAAGAGTTGGAAGATGCTCTGCAGATGATCGGAGTTGGGGCTTGGACTTTTGAGGATGGGATCCGAAAGATAACACTGGCGTGTGCAGGGATTCACAGTATGACAAAGTCATTGATGAGGTCACTCGTGGAAAGATTGCGTGTAGATCCAGTCGTACATAGTCTTGCTTCGAGCCCGCAGACTTTAAGGGCCAGACTAAATTATCCCGTGCACCGCATGCGGCGATCGGATGCCGAATATCCGTCTCCAGCGATTCCCATGAATCCACTGCGGAAGAAGAGCACGGTTGAGGAGACACCGTAGCCAATAAAGCATGGTCAGGTGGATACGTATTATTACGGACAAAGAGGGGGTACGAGACCCGCAGGGTGAGACAGCGCCGGGTTCGAATTACTCGAGTATGAATGTATCTGGTCGCTGCCACAGGTCAACGAAGGACCCCATCCTGCAGCCGCTCCGTTCTGTTCTTTGTACTCAAAGCGTCTCTTACCTGCGCACGCGTCTGGAGCGTTGATCTCTCTACGACTTCCATCCATCTATTGTTGGTGCTGGAACGCAAACTTCGACTGTGGTGGATCGCACCCCAATTACCTGGGGTGACGAGAGTGTGCCTCATCCACCCATCCAGTCTTGGCTAATTTACGGAGCGAGCTATGTAGTCTTTGCATCTCAGAATAGAAAAGTGTACATAACATTGGCTGAGATACTTGTGGTCCAATCCTTCGTTGCTTAACTCTTCCCCCTCAGACAAAAGATGCCTGCGGTTGCCCAGGGCATGGACGCGTGTTCCGGCGCCGTGTCGAAAGCGAAAGAGTGCGAGTTATTCAAGCGTCGTCCACGCTCAGCAGTACTGGTCAGTGGGTTTATCAGACGGGGTGCATCGAAATCGAAGACTTGACATGCATAGAATACCTACATATAGGACGGTGTGGTTTGTAGCTTAGCAACCTCGGAAACACGGGTGAATCGAGAGGACAAATAGCAGTTACTTGGAGTCATATGAGTCGGACGGACAAGGCTTCTTCGACGGCGAGCGATGGAAATCGCCCTGGAACGCGGCCGCCGATTGACAAGGGCGCTTGAACGATGTTGCTGCTGCTGCCCTCGACTCGCCGGCAGACGCCGACGCAGTGTTTCCCTCCTCTGCTGTCCTGGTGACAATATCCTCATAGCGAGAATCCAGGACGACATTCGACGGAGTGTTTGCAGTGAAACCGCCATCCCCTCCCTCGCTCCCATTGCTGCTGCCGGAGCGCAAACTTTGGCTGTCGTTGATCGAGTCAAGTTCCGCCCTCTTGTCTTCATCGTTCGGTAGCTTGTACGGAAGAGCGCGGTCACCCACGGGCCAGGTTTTGAGAGCAAGGGCTTGATCGAAGAGAGACTGCACATCTGAATACAAGATGTGTCCAGTCCAGGTAGAATGGAGGGTTTGAGTGCAGTCGGCGGTTTACCAGAGAGATTCTGAGCCATGACGAGGTCTTGAAAATCACTTGTCAACGACCACAAAGGGAAGCCACTTGGGGCGTAGTCTTCCTCGCGGAAGAGGGATGATGACTTCATGACAAATAGATACACGGAATTGAAGAACTCAGACAGGCGCCGAGGACCAAGCCCATGTGCCGTGTGTCGCAAGCAAAGCCAGATGAGCAGCCAGTACAGCGACTCGAGATCGTGACCCAGCGCGTGCTTCGCGGTCGGATTTTTCTGGAGCATCGCTAATGCCATGAAAGCGGGGGGAAGTCTAAGTCGATCTATACACCATCCAAACAAGAACACGCACCGTGCTGCCCTTCGTTCGCCCGTCCTGATCCAGGAAGAAGTGTCGGTACGGCCTCGGCTTGACGACATCCCTCAGAACTCTCAGCGCCTCTTCACTCAGCGCAGCGTAGTCACAGTTGACGACAAAACCAACGAGCCTCTCGGGCTCGAGACAATTCTCGATCAACAGCGCATTCCCTGCCCTGATGTCCTGTTAGACCAGGCCAGCTTCGTGTGCGCGATTGAGTTCTGCGGAGACGTTGAGGAAGAGGAGCTGGCGATTGTTCGGACAACTCACGTTCTGCCGCTTGTGACAGACCATGGACCATCGTCCTCATGCTCGGGAACTCTTCGATCCGAACCCCGACGGGCGTAAGCAATGTGCGCGTGTGATACCGGCGCGAGGCAGCGAACTGGTTGGCAACGGATCCCAGGAGGGTCCCGACGCCCCGTTCTCGTAGACAGATCTGCCTCGGGCGCAGACAGATCGATGGTGCCGACACACCGCGCAACGCCATCCATGCTGAGGCCCTTCTGCTTGTAGTAGTGCTCGGTCAGCATATAGCAGTCCACTTCCGGCCGCAGAGTGCCCATCCGCCACGAGTCTTTCAGCACATACACACGCGGAAGCCCTTCCGCAAGGTCGTGTTCCAGCACGACCCGATAGGCCCGCGTCGCCCGACCGAACAGTCCGTGCGACAGGTAGAGCGGCTTGCCAACCGTGATGCAATTGACCACGACAGGCTTTCCACCTTGCTTATTGTCAAACACGACGACCTTCAAGCACCGACTCGTCTGCGTGGCCACGCCTTTGTCTGGGAACAGGTCCATGTAAAATTTGTGTCGCGTGATAGCGTTGTACGCGGCATCCCGTCGCGACTGGGTAGCAGGACGCGCAGTGTCGTCGTCCCCTGCAACGCGGCCTTGCTGCAGTCCAGTCGGGGTGATGGAGTCGGTACAAGAAACGCACGAGTATGTCGGGGAATTCCATCCAACTGAACGCCCGCGTCGCGACGAAGCCAGCCGTGTCGAAACAGAACACGCGCGCACGAGGTCCAGACATGGAGACGACGTACGATTGTGTTCGTCCAGACGCGATCTGCAGGTTCCTGGCTGTTTGCGCCAGCTGCACCATGGCATACTGCGCCTTCTCACTCGATTCCAAAAGGACCTGCATCCCTCCATCCTCTCCACGAACAGTCTCAAGGACGTCGAAGTTGAGCTGTACTGCCAATGCCACAGAGCCCCAATCCCAGCTGCAGCCCTCCGGGGGCGGTCTTATTCCAGGTAGCAGTCCGATGATGTCCGGACGAGCGACATAGTCCCGGTCATCGTCGGGAGAAGCGAACGAGTGTTTACTCGTGTCGTGGAAGCTGGGACGGTCCGATGTGTCAAAGCGGTGGAAAATCGAGTTGAGGATCGGCAGCTGTCACAAACGAGGGTGTGTAACGACCGAAAAGCGGCAGTGGCGCACGCACAATATCTGTCGTCCGCAACACAGCTCCTCTATTCTGGCCCTCCTGCGTTCGATTGTCCCCAGAGCTCGCGAATCTCGCACGGAGGTCGTTCAACTGCTCGTACAGGACCGTGTCCTCCATCAAGTCTTCCACTACACTCGCTTCTTCCCCTCGGGACGGTGGCATATACTGCATGAGAAAGTCCCCCGCAGGCACCGCATACTCGAATGCCCTACTAATCTTTTTCCATGCGTACATGACCGTCTCACGGGACGTTCGAAGCTCGGCGCTAGTGTTCTGGCTTGCGTGTCTTTTTCAGCCGACAGTCAGATCGCCAGAAGCCAGAACCGGAGATCAGGGCGAAGGAGCAGAAGCACGAATGACAAGCCTCTTGCTGATGGAAATGAGTGTGCAAAACTAAGCGCCGTGTCTGTAGGACCGGATTTACGGTTTGATACGCGTCAGTCTTTACAAGTAGGCCCTCTCAGTGCTTGGCTCGTGAAACCCAGTTCACTAGCCAAGAATTGAGCGGCCTTGGTAGCAGTTTGAGCCCAAGAATGGTTCGGTGTGACGACTGTGACTGATCGCGATATGCACCTCGGGGCGAAGATGCGCCTGTAGATTAGTGCAGGTAGTATGGGGATTCATCCCCTTTATTCTCATATCCAACTCCAAATAGTGAGGAAGGAATTGCGACTCGTCAACGACACCGTCTTGACGTCTATAGGGTTAAGAGACATTCTATCGATGTGCTAGATGGTTGGTATCCTGTTCTACTGTATAACACCAGAGCCATGATGACATATAGATATCGTATTGCATTTTATCCTCGTTTATTCCCCGGTTTCGCGAGCGATGTGGTAGATATATGAGTACTCTAATTGCAAGTAATGTGCAGCAGCTATGGATTTGAGTGGAAATGACGACATGCTGGCCTTGCCCGAGGGCTGGCAAAGCGGCATAGTCCGCATGAGTAAAGGAGAGTTGGAGGTGTAGATAGATATCGTGTTATGTTATGTTATTTTCGCAGCGAGGAGTTCAAAGACCCACTCAGAGCAGACGTGTGAGAGAAAAAAATGCCCACACACAAAGCGGTATGAGAGAATGAGCTGAAGGACAGATTGAAGTCGTCGCTGTCGTGCCTCCTTCCACAGCTTCAAGAGCAGAGCGCAGATCGGCTGCTGCGCTCCCTAGCGCACTGGAACTGAGAGCTCGCTGCAGGCAGGAGCCACCAAGTACGTGGGGAGCAGTCTTCCTGCTCGTTCCTGCTCGTTCCCCCAATTGAGCGATTGTCATTCAAAATTGTTATACAGATTACACGAGACAAAACGATAGCAGAAATAAATCGAGTATATCAACACATCAAGATGGATCAATCAAGAGTCAACCTTGGTTGCTTCAAGCTGCTTGCTCTTCCTGCGAGCGTAGTATTCGCTCTGTCTGGCGCGCTTCTTGGCATCCAGCAGTGGGCCGTTGCCGTTGTTCTTCATCACACCCATGCTACCACGCTGGGCCTTGACCCCAAGACTCGACCGGGCGCGACCATTCCCAGCACCGAGACTCTTTCGTACGACAGTGCTACTCGTGGCGACGGAAGAACCCGACGCGACGCGCTGCGACGCCAGTTTGGCAATGACACGTGATCGTGAAATCCGGGGCTTGCGAGCAGGAACCAGTTTGCCCTTGCTGCGGGGTTCTCCGGTGCTGTTGGTAATCGGGTCGAGCACAGGCTTTTCGTGGACCGAAGGCAGTGCACTGGGGGTCTTCGACAGGGATGGTGGTGCATTGTGCATCTTTGCCAGGGAGCTGGCAGTAGGAGCCAGAAGCCGAGACGAACTGGACAGACGATTCACGCTTTTGGTGGACGACGACGTCACACTCGTTCGCGTCCCCATAGATCCAGGCCGAGAAGTTGTTGGACGCGAACCCATCGATGACATCGTACCGGACTGCCGGATCGACGAGGCACTGGACGAAGGGGCCTTGGACGACGAAGTCCCAACAAATGCGGCAGGAATTGGAGCCCGAGAGACTGTGCTGGAAACGCTGCGAACTGACGGAGCACGTAGACTGGGAACAGCAGAGGCCTTTGTCACCACCGGTAGAGCAGGTTTCTTCAGGACAGGCGCTGGCTTCGGTTTCGGCTCAGGAGCAATTGTAGCTTTCTTGCCCCATACTCCTTGGACTAGTTTTGCAGCACCTGCGAGGAATCCAAATCGCCCCGGCTTGGCCTTGGGTTTCACTGGAAATCTTCAGCAAACTAATCAACGCAAGTCTGGCACGAAATGCTCACCAGCACTGCCTCTAGCGACACTGCTCCTTCTCCGTGCCCTGGTTGCTTCAATCTTCTTTCGCGCAGCCTCACTTTCGCGTCTCCTCTTACGCGCATCGTCACTCTCAGCTTGTTTTCCATTCCCAACCTCATCCACTCGCACCCGCTTCCCTCGGTTCTGATCATCTTCCTCCGGTCGAACATTCGCTGCGCTCGACTTGCGCTTCAGTTGCTGCTGCCGCCGAGCCTCAGAGTCCACGATACTCTCCATTTTTCCAAACACCTGCTCGTGAGCCTTGTCAAAGCGACCGGCCGGCTTAGACACCGTACACCCGAGCGATCTTCTCGCGCTGCCAGGAAGCGGTCGAATCTCTTGCGAAGGAACAGATGTTGCCCCGGCCCGAAGATTCATCTCTGCCATCACCTCTGCTGCCAGTGCGGTTTCGGTGGCAGCATCTGTCTCAGCAAGTTTGAAAACGAACGGAGTCGCCGGCGACGGAGAAGGCGTGCCAAACACAAATGGTGGAGCTGGAGATGCTGAACCTCCGGGCATAGCGATGTCCTCGTCACCGAAACCCCCAGGCATAGCGATGCTCCGGTCATCGTCCTCCTGTGCGCCTCTCAGGCTGACTTCAAGACTCATCCGCCGTTCTGATTCATCCACCGGTGGCGAAACCGGAAGAGCAGGATAGATGGATGCAGGGAATGCCGAGGTCGCCGTTGGACTGCCCATATCCAGGTCGAATGTAGTGTGGAATGGCTTGAGTCGGGGCGTATCGCCAGGCGGTGGCATGTCCGAAAAAACGCTGCTGTTTCCGTTTCCGTTGTCGAAAGACACGAGTCGGATAGTGGTGGTCGGACCCCGTTTGCTCGGTGTCCGCGGTGCCAACCCCAGGCTCAGGCGCGCATTGAGTGGTGCAGGGGCGCCGGGACGAAGGGTGTGGCCGGGGAGTGGCGCAGTGCCTAGCAGCGGGTTCAGATTGGCTGCGACTACGGCCGGGTCGGAGGTGTCGAAGGTGAAATGGTCGGTTTGTAGGCTGTCCATAGCTGGCGGGGGAAGAGAATCGTAAGGAATAGACGTTTTCGAAAGCTCGTCCGTGTCCGGGGGAAGCGGGAATGACGAGAGGATGGAAGAAGACGCTTTCGACGAGACGGTATCTAAGGCGCGCGATGAGGTGCTGGCGCTGGTGGCATTTCGTTTCAAGCCCAAAGATGATGCCAACGCTCTTATAGATGATCCAACCGCTGCACAAAGGGAATGAGTGAAATTGATGCAACAAAGGGAACGACCTACATTTAGAGCTCGTGCTTCCCGAGCCGAATTCTCCAGCTAACGTGGTGCTGCCACTTTTCTGCGACGAAAGTGTTCCTTGAGAGGATCCTTCGGACTCCTCGGTAATGCTTTCCATGATAAGCTCCCATTGGGAGCTTGGACGGGGATTCCACGTCTTATCCTCTCCTTCGTCTTCTTTCGGCTCTGTCTCCTCATCTTCTACGTCCGTCATGTTCACGTCGTCACCATCCTGCTCGCTTCTGAAGGCGACACTCAGCGGGTCGTTCTTGGGCAGCGTCTTGGCGTGATGTTGGAGTCGCTCGACAAGCTCGACGTTCTTGCCATTGGCTTTGATGGAGTGGATTTTGCAAAGCTTGACAAGTTGATCGCGTTTGAGAGAGTGAAGGGCCGGTGAGTTGAACAGTATATCTGTAGTGGTGGACATAACGAACGCCCTGTCGGCGGTCAAGCGGCGGGAAGATGGAAAGATCGGGACCAGGCCTTGGAGCAAACAACCAAACTCTGTCACGTGTCCGCGCGACGCAGTTGTTGGGCCTTGTGATTTGTCCGCAGTGATGGGCCAACCCATGTTTCGGACACCGTCTCAACTCCCCCTGGGCTTGACCTACGCAAGACCCATCGTCGTCGAGGAATACACTTTTGGAGATTACACTGAATCTGAACTTGATCTCATTCTACGCGCGCGTTCTGCTGCAGGTCACATTGTCTCATGGCGCACACCTTCTAACACATCTCGCGCATTGCGCATTGCGAACAGTGAGACCGGATCCACGTCCGCCCAAAGACCACTCACCAAGATTAGACTGTTATGAACTCTCTTATCCTCCACCAATGGTTTCCTCAGAACGCAATCACGCCTCGAGAGCACTGCCTGACTGGGACACCGATGTGCAAATGGACGAACTCTTCTGCATAGATGAGCTCGAGCCGTTTGAGAATACCGATCTCTTGCAAGCGATGATAGCTCCATCTCAAAAACGATCCAATTCGCCACTCATCGAACCATTTGATGCTAAGCGAAGAAAGCTGGACGTCTCTTCTCTGCGGAATTGTATACCTCGAGTGCGTTTTTGCCTGCAGCGACCCCTGGCTTCCACTGATGCTCCCTTCTCAGCCGCATATGTATCCTTCAACTCATACAGCACTCACTACGAGTCGTTATTCTACCTACATCAAATCAGAACCCATTGCAATCCCACCGTACGCCCTTCCTCTCCCTGCTCCGCTGCCTTATACTCGTCGGAGTTGGCTTATTCCAATTCGTGGTGAGCCTCCTTGGCTGCATGCTTCGACTGCAGTCGTACTCCGAGACCCTCCAGAAGCGATCTATGACCAAGAGAGAAATCAGTTGCACTGGACTATCGCCTCTGTTCAAGCCTTCTGGGACTTTCTAAAGGCCAACCGCAACAGGAAGTCGTTCGGTGGATACGGTCTATCCTTCCATATCACACAAATCTATGGGGGCGATTACACACAAACTCGCAGCCAGTCTGCGTCGTGGCTAGGAGGGTTCGGCCAGCCCGTCAGCGCGTCAGACCGCGACGAAGATCCCGACGATGAAGACCGCGATGCTTCGATGCACCAAGGCCTGGTCAAGCATGCTACGGCGCTCACTGCTATGGATCACATTAAGATCTACCACGATGCACAGTTTTCGATGGAGATCCGCAGCCTTCTGCATACCTGGGCTTTTGCATGTTCTGAAGCAGAGAAGATTCCTCTCCTTGAAGGGTCTAAACTCACTCTGCTAGACGAGCGAATGAATGGTATACTCATCTTGTGACATTCTATATGAATCACCTATACCCGTACTCTCCTGTCGTCAGTAGAGTATTCACAGCGAATGACAAAATCAGCTGTTGCTCACGACAAGCCGTTGATCTGGATTGCAGTCGGTGTTTGGCCTCCTTTGTATCGCGGCAACCCCCGATCTCGTCTATCACTGCTACTTTTTCGAGAGAATGGCTGCTTCGAATCCCGTCGCTGGTCCCTCTCGACTCACTGGTCACAAGAAGAAAACAAAAAAGCCTACCCGCCCCATTAACTCAGTTCGTGCCAAAAGGCAATCGGAGAAGCAGCGTATCGAAGAATTGGAGCGCACAGTCCAGGCTTATGTGAGTATAGCGTTCCGATTGCCCTGCCGACCTTTCTGTCTGACGTCGGTTTCTCGCCTTTCGCCAGGAACCCCCTACAGATCTCAAAGGATTCGCTGAGCTTCCCATTTCTGATGCAACCAAGCGAGGTGCGCCTATGCACACGAGCGCCTTGATCAGAGCCTAATTCATCCCTCGCACAGGCCTCAAGAAAGCTTTTTTCGTCGACATGACTGACATACAAGCCCAAAGTCTTCCGGTGTCGCTGAAGGGGAAGGACGTTCTCGGCGCCGCGCGGACGGGGAGTGGAAAGACCCTATCGTTTCTCGTCCCCGTCCTTGAGACGCTGTATCGGCAGAAGTGGGGCCCGTCAGATGGACTTGGGGCGCTGATAATATCTCCTACGCGGGAACTGGTGGGTATATCATGATTTCATCTACCAAGGGTTGTTGTACTGACATCGGCACAGGCAATCCAGATCTTCGAGGTGCTTCGCTCCATCGGCGGATACCACACGTTCTCTGCGGGACTGGTTATTGGAGGGAAGAACCTGAAGGATGAGCGGGACCGACTGTCGCGGATGAACATTCTGGTCGCCACCCCAGGACGACTGCTGCAGCACATGGATCAGACGGTCGGGTTCGAGGCGGACAACCTCCAGGTTCTCGGTGCGTAGCGCCTTCTATATGTTCTATTTCGTCGCTCTCTGATATTATATATACTAGTCCTCGACGAGGCCGATCGGATACTCGACATGGGCTTCGCGCGCACGCTATCTGCGCTTCTCGGTCACCTCCCCAAAACGCGGCAGACTCTTCTTTTCTCTGCGACGCAAACCGATTCGGTCAGCGACCTGGCCCGGCTCAGCTTGAAATCTCCCGTCCAGATTGGCATCAAGTCATTTGAAGCTGAAGGGGACGACGACGACGCTTCGGCTATCCCAGCTGGACTCGAGCAGCACTACCTACTTTGCCCCCTCGATCAGAAGCTCTCGGTCTTGTGGGGCTTCATCAAAACCCATCTCCAATCCAAAACGCTTGTCTTTCTCTCAAGCTGCAAGCAAGTCAGATTTGTCTTCGAGACGTTCTGCAAGATGCACCCCGGTCTCTCGCTGCTGAACATTCACGGAAAGATGAAGCAGACCGCCCGGCTGGAGATGTACACTAAATTCACGACGGCCAAGCATGCGGTGCTCTTCGCGACGGACATCGCAGCGCGCGGATTGGACTTCCCTGCGGTCGACTGGGTGGTGCAGGTCGATGCGCCTGAAGACGCCGAGACGTACATTCACCGGGTTGGGCGTACCGCGCGGTATCAGAGCAAGGGAAAGGCTCTGCTCTTCCTGATGCCGAGCGAGGAGGAAGGTATGAAGGCTGCTCTAAACAAAAGAGGCATCGAGGTGGAGCGAATCAAGGCCAAAATGAGCAAGGTCCAGAGCATCGCGAATCAACTGCAGAACCTTGCCTTCCAGGATCCGGAGATCAAGTATCTGGGGCAGAGGGTATGTCTATCGAGCCACTGCTTCTCACCCCGAGTCTGATCACAGTCGCACATAGGCGTTCGTCTCGTATCTGCGCTCGGTCCATCTTCACAAGGACAAATCGATCTTCAAGCTGACTGAACTGCCTGCGGAGAGATTCGCCGAATCGTTGGGCTTACCGGGTGCTCCGAAGATCAAGTTTTTAAGCAAAGAGGTGGCCAAACAGAAGAAGAATCAGTCGCGCGATGAGCAGGCGGTGGGCTTCGATTCGGACGACTCGAGCGAGGAAGAAGCGACAGTCAAGGTCAGACGGTGCCATTAGTATCCTTTGGCAAGTAGCTCAAAACATTTACAGCCTGTGGTGCGCACGAAGTACGACCGCATGTTTGAGCGCAAGAACCAGAATGTCCTGTCCGAGCACTACTCGAAGCTGCTGGACGGAGACGGAGACGATGACGGAGACGATTTCATAACGCTCAAGCGCGCTAACCACGATATCCCCGAGATGAACGAGGAAACACCCGAATTGTCAAAGCGCAGGCAAAAGATGGGCAAGGCAAAGCGGACCATCCTGGAGGGTGGCCTGCCGCAAAAGCTGATCTTCGACGACGAAGGCAATCCGCATGAGCTGTACGAGATGGAGGAGGCCACGCGCTGGATGAAAGGTAAGGGTGGCTTGGACGGTGTCGTCGAGGCCGGGCGCCAGTTTGCCGAAGGAGAGCGGAGCAAGATGCAGACGACAAATGTTGTGGACAAGGAGGAGGCCCGGGAGAAGAAGCGCGAGAAGAAGCGGAAACGCAAGGAACGGGAGGCGGAGATGCAGGCGGAAGAGTCCGGTGGTGGTCATGCCGTGTTGGCGCCGCTCGGCGACGAGGATGATGGCTACGTCTCACCCGACTTTGATCTGCCATCCGAGTCGGAGGATGTCGATGAGGTCCCGCAGCCTCCGGTAAAACGCAGCAAGACATCACATACATTGGAAGATGACGAAGAAATGGCCCTACGACTTTTAGGCAGGGGTCGTTGAAGGTCATTATCTACTATAGGTCGCTTCCTTGTTCGAGCAGACTTGACGCTGTGTAGCCCTGTGTGAGGTATGCCAGTAACCAAGTCAGATCTTCAATACGATGTATACGATCGTAGACAACGCATTCTGCGGCCGCAGTCAAATATTAGGGTCGTTCACACCCTCTGATTTCGACTCGATTTCGATTCAGATTTCGATTCAGATTTCGAGCTAGCGTGACAACGGCCGACCACGAGCATCAGACGAGATCAGTGATAGGATCCGCACGTGTAGAGATGAGATAACGTAGATCAGATAGGGCTGGTGCTGTAACAGCTTTTTTGGTCGTCTTGCTATTGGTTTTCTTCTTTTCTTTCTTTTATTTGACTTTAGCTAGTCGCTTTTGGAGCATTTCGATCTCTGGTGTGGACATGAAGGACGATAGTGCGTGTAGTGCAGAAGAGCGAGAGCGTGTCAATCCAGCTCACGTGTTTTGCAGCATCAATTGATATGTCCGGCATGATGCCGGACAGCGTTACTCTGATGTGACTACATCGAAATCTGAAACGAAATCAGAATCGAAATCGAGTCGAAATCAGAGGGTGTGAACGACCCTATTGGTTGCCGGTTACATAATGCTCATTGAGATGGCACAGCTACGAACAAAACGCTTGGCCCGCTTGGCTTGTGTATTTTCTTCTTACGAGTTGTCTTGGAAAGCGCATATTGTCAGGAGTCAGGACACTAGTACTACGATCGTACTTCGAATATCTGCGTCCCCTGTGGCTGTCGAACCCGGACGCAGAACCAATGCGCCTAATGTGTGCGTTATCAGATAATAAAAGTCGAGGAATGTATACCGTAGTCTCCGGGTCAATTTCTTAGTTCCGAAGCCCCGACACACCACGTAATATCATCATGAAAATGTCGTAAGATCATCGTGCGCCCCCGGTAGCTCCCCGGTGTGCACTAAGAGACAGTCATCTACGGTAATAGTTGGTGGCGCGTTTGCCATGTTATCACCCTAAAAATATATTGCCAGAGTAACCACAGGCAACCTGATCGGGGCAGACTACCAGGGATACAAAAAGGGGGGACTCGGACGAGATAGTGCGATTAGATAAGATCCACGCCACTTTCCTCAATGTTCGGTATTGAACGTCCAGTTGACTCGAATGGAAGGGCCCTTTGGCGCACAGGCAAGCCAAATAGAATGTGTATATGCCTGAAAAACTTAGACTGACTCGACGAAATTTTTCAGCCTGGACGTAATTTCGCGAGCTAATACAGTTTGCTACCATTAGGTCCGCTCAATTCTTGGTTCATGAACCGGGTTCACGAGGTTTTGATGAACCCGACAGGTCCTGACAGTTCCCATCACGCTTAACTAAAATCGGCCGATGGCCAGCAGAGATGTCTCCGTTTGAGGACAAACATGTACGATCTTGCAGCGTTGGACCAAAATGATACTCGAGAGCAAGCCTAGACATTACTTCAACTTACTTGACTCCCTGGCTGTATGAGCTTGTATTTTTTCCCAAGTAGTGATTCATTCCAATTGTGGTAGGTAGTTGAAAGAAATCCATACATATACTGAAAATGGACCCTCAAGTATCCTCAGTTATTCTCCCTGTCCTTTCTTGACATGATAGGAACCGCCATGGATAAAGTTGCGTCCTGCAATGTTCTGCCCTCTGCCCTAAAAGGGGGTTGTCTCCGTTGGCCATCAGTCTCTTTTAGTTAAGCGTGATGGGAACTGTCAGGAACTGTCGGGTTCATCAAAACCTCGTGAACCCGGTTCATGAACCAAGAATTGAGCGGACCTATTCGAGCTTTCGCGACCAGTCCAGTAAGATAAGTGCGGTAATGAAATCGGTCGGGGTCAATGGAAGAGCCACTGGAAGTTTGGTTGAGCCCCTCACTGCGTCCGGAGCGTCGGCAGTGTACTGGAAGTTGTTCGGGCAAACCGGGAGTGAAGAAACGCACACTGCTAGCTGAGACGGCAGTTTCATGCCTGGGTCTCCCAGTTCATCCGAGTCTGCACTGGCAACTAATCGATACGAGCCCCGGATCCAGCCCGTCGATCTCAGTGGTTCTCGCAGTGATCCAGGTCCGGCGGGGTCGTTGGATGCCCCACTGGCTTCCGAGACTGTGATCGCCGTGAACTACTAAACCGAATTGGGGCGAAGCACATAGCTGGTAACTCATGGACGCAATTAGAGTGTCCGAAATATCGTTCTCCCAGGCAGGTTCCGGAGATTCTCAGAAGACATGGACTCAATAGGCCTAGCATGGCATGAGCTGGGTGTAGCAAATCTCATCAAAAGCTAGCGAGATCTATCCATCTATCAAGCCGCAACGTTACAGTTGTACTATCATTAGCATCAGGTGGGGATCCCATCTTTCTTCATCAGCGATTAGTTACAGAAGTGGAGTGCGTCTCTGTGGATTATCCATTCATGAATAACTGGTGCATGTAGAAAAAAAAGAACCCAACAGAGGCTCACGCGACTTGTGCCTGGCCCTGAAATCATGAATGGACAAACACTGAGCGGCAATCTCCGATGAAAAGTTCCGTGATTGACGTGTGAATCAACGTGAGAGTTGATGCACCATTTGGGCAGGCACCGCTTGCGCAATGTGGACGGCCGGTCCAGTGCAGCATGCGCCATGTATACACTACTGTCAACGCCAAAGCCTTATCTTTCCTGCCTTCTTCCTTACTTCTTCTACCCCCCACTTCGTCTGCCTGCCCGCTGTGGCTGATGCTCCGCTTCGGAGCCTGACGACGCGCACGCCACTGGACACACGGATCTTGGATAAGGGGACGAAGACGGAAGACGAAGACGAAGACGAAGACGAAGACGCCGACGACAACGAATACGAGGCCTACGCGGACCACATCGGATGCCCGGCCCCGCCGCCTCGTACCCACCCAGCTACTACACCCCCGAAGTCGCGCGCGCCTATGTCAGCAACACCCTCATCCAGAACTACATCAATTGTGAGTGGACCCGAGATCACGCCTGGGCGCTGCTCACGCGGGCGCACGCAGATGCTGTCGCGACGCTGCTGGTCTACGAGCTGCTGACGACGCTCGACGATGAGATCGCGCGCGTGTGGTCCCTTAAGTGGCGGCTCCCCAAAATTCTCTTCATGCTCAACCGCTACTTTATCCGCGGGATCCTCATCGCGCTGTGGATCCTCGCGGACTTCCCCGGCACCAGCCCCGAGTTCTGTCGCATCTACTCGTACTGGCAGATGATTCCTCTCAGGCTGGCCATCATCGCGGCGCAGGGGCTGGTGGTCATTCGCGTCTGGGCTATTTGTGCGTGCCATCGTTTTCGTCAACAAGATTTTCCTATAGCTCACTGACGCAGATAATAATTCTCGGTTTATGTGGTGGATTCTGACTATTCTCTATACCCGTACGTCGAACTATCTCCCCATATCGTTCGCGTTTTGACGCTCTTCAGTGGAATGTCTCGTCATGGCAGCTTGTATAATTGTGGCAACAGCAGATACTCAGGGCATTGCTCAGCCTGCACCGCTCAGTTGTGGTCTCCACTCGCGGTCGGGCTATTTATTGAAGATGTATGCAAGTGGGACCTGGATCGCCCCTGTCTGCTTTGAGTGTGCGTGTCGGCACTGCCAGTCTGCTCTCTAATTGACTTTTGCATCCAGTCATCATGCTATTGATCACTCTGGCGAAGGTGGTGCCTCGGTGGAAATTAGGCGGAAGGAAAGCCGGACAGTGGGGAATACTCGGGAGCTTCGGAACTGGTGGCAACGACACGTATGGCCTGCTGACCTTCTGGTGCTGTGCGGAGACTGACAGGCGTGCAGGCTAGATGTGCTCGCGCGCGACTCGCTTGTCTACTTCCTCTTCATATTCAGTCAGTTGCTGCCAACGCCCAGGAACAGACAGTGTACTAATCTATCCATGTCTGTCTGCAGCCTTTTCGCTCACGAACGTTATCATCTACGAGTTCGACTTCTCTGCGTACTTTCGCGCTGTGCTACTCGGGTACGTACAAATCTGCCCCATTTCTCCGTGCCACTCGCTGACCGCCGAGTCTAGGCCCACATCTGCCATCTCGTGCATCGCCGTGTCTCGCATGATGATCAACATCCGCTCGCTCCCGTCTTCGGCGCTCGACCATCCGACCACCGTGGGCCGCGTTGAGCTGAGTTTCATGGAAACTGGGGACGACGAGGACCACGCACCTCCGCGGCCCAACGTACGGACGTATCAGGCTCTGGACTCCGACAGGCCGTCAGGCCGACACGCATCGTCGGCCCCTTACGCCGAGGGGGGGATCCCGGACTCCGCAACGACCCCAGGGTTCCCAGCAGCTTCGCAGAGTGCGCCGCCGGCTCTGCTGAACGGGGGGTACTCCAAGGTCGTGCTCGTGCCAGCGTCGACCGAAGGAGCTGAGAGCCAGCGAACCTCAGTTGAGGGCACGCGCATCGGGCTGGAGGAGGACGATATCGAAATGGATCTGCGGAAGATATTGACGCCACCGACTTGATGTGTACGCTGCGAGTGATCAGTCAACGAATGTATCACTTCATTGCTTACTGATGGCGGGCCGCTCGTTCGTTCGCATCTTCCCAGGACCCTTCGTGTTGGCCGATGTACTTACTGTATACCCGCTACTAACCTCCTCACCTACCTATCCTACTCTACATGCCACGCAGTGTAAAGATTCCCAAGTGTATCATAGTTGCTACTTACGGAGAATATGCCTCGATGAGAACCGCGGACTGGTCGGAAGATTCTGATTTAGAAATTGTCTCCGTTCGAGCCGGTTGAGACAAAACGCTTCATGTGCAGAAAGGCTACAAGTTTGGTACATAATCATACACATATGTATTGTAATGTATTGGTGGTGTTCAGAGACCATGCGATGCAATGCAAGAATAGAAATAATGATAAGGGATGCCCAACGGGAGCAAAAAGGAACCGGTCTACTGGCACGCCCGCATCGCACCCAGCGTGCGAGCCCATGCCAGATCCAGCGCGTCATAAAGCTGCTCGTCAACGACGCCGAGCGAGTACGCATTGGCCCACAACCCGTGCACCTGCTTCGCGTGCTGTGCAAGCTGCAGCCAGTCTGCGCCGCACGGCGGGGACAGCAGCATCGCGATGCGCGCGGCGCTGCGGGTGTAGAGGTACCCGTGCAGCAGGCTGAAGGTCTCCGGTGAGGGCACGCGCAGGGCGGCCACTGGGACGGACGTGTTGCCCTGGTCGTCGACGAAGTCGAGCGGCTGCGAGAGCGGGATCGCGGTCGGGAAGCGCGCGCAGTGGGAGGCGAAGAGGAGGTGGTGGATGGGGTAAATGCCCACGGCGCAAGGTGGCGCTTTATCTGCAAGCTTCTTTGAGGACGACGCTGAGGCGCGGTGGGACGATGGGATGCCGCCGTGGACGGCCAGCATGTGTGTTGGGCAGGCGGCGGCGACTTCGTCATTCACAGAGATGGTGAGCGCTTTTGGCAGGGCCTTGGAGTTGAAGGGGGCCACTTTAGCTGCTTTGATAGCTTCACAGCAACTGCAGATGGAGATGAGACTCGGAGGGGAGATCATTTCTAAGGGGAAAAACGTACGCAGAGCGGGAAATGCTGTCCTGGATGTATTCGAGAGGGACACCACTGAGCTCAGGGTAGTGTATGGCCAGATTCTCCTCAATATCGCAGTGCCCGGTAGTGGGGCGCATCAACTTGGCCGGCAGCATAAGCTTCGAAGTGCTGGCGACTTTGGGATCGATGTTGACCGAAGCGTCGTATGTGACGGCAAGGGGTGTGCGTGGGGCGGCGTCGGAGCTGCGTTTTTGGATGACGCGCAGAGCGTATGTGGCACGTTGCTCTTTGGTCGTGTGCGAGCGGGAGGACGAGGTCTTCTTTGAGCCGGTAGTGGCGGAGAAAAGAGAAGTGGATGCAGGCATTGGAGCAATTTTAGGAGTTGCGAAAGTCGAGGCGCGGAATGCTAAGGCGGGCGGCGGACTTGGGTGGACATGTCTTTTCGTCAGTAGAGCTGTTCAGCAGTCGTTTCAAACACGATTTTTAGCTAGTAGTTTGTAAAATATGAGTGGAGCTTAGGAAAATCTGAGTTGCAAACAATACCGGATGAACGCCGGGAACTCCGTTACCATGATCATGTGATGAGCCGAGCCGCCAAACCACCACTTCATTTTCTGTCCTCATCTGAACTCAAACTCCATGGCGGAGGATGCCATCTTTCCTCACTAACACTGTAAATTGAACCCTCGCGGTTGTTCTCGGTCTTCTCGCCAATATGGAGGACAACGATGCATTCAATCTGCCTACACGTGCAGAATGATCAGATCCGTCTTCGGTGGCATGTTTCCTTTTCGGTCAGAATTCGGCCTCGGTGCGATTCCTACGACACTCCACACCTACGTAATTGGGAAGTAAAGTCTACTCCACAACCAGGAAACTCGTAAAAAACAAATTGATTTTTTGGTTCTGCTGAACAGCTCTAGTCAAGTCTTTATAAGGAAGCGTTTGGAGGCAGCGAAAGCGAGCCGCCTTCAGTACAATCACCAATCCGCATTGTCGTAAAGTTGCCATATAAGACATTTATTTTACCAAAGTGTATGACCCAAAGAGGCAATTCTGTCTCGCTTCGGACTTGCTTGATATGGTAGCTGCTGTCAGCCGAGGGCGGAAGCAACACATCCAGATGTCCCAACAAGGCTCGGACATGCTACAGAAGCCCAATAGCGAGCATAGAAGAGGAAGAGTTTGAGAGCATATTTTCACTGACACTTACCCGCATCAGAAACGGTTAGGTCATCACCGCTGCGAGAACAAAGGACAAAGACACCCGAAGCGGTTGAGCATCTCTCATACACCCAATAGACTGGTGAGCCTCGCATCCTGAGTTTATACAAAGGAGTCACTGGTCTTAATCCGGGACTGCCGGCGGCCAGCTCCTTCTCTATCAACAGAGTAGCTGAATCCCAAGGGTCCGGCGTAGATCCAGTAAGAAGAAAGCAGGAACAAGACTTCTATGTCGGAATTATTAGGCCCCGCTTTCCATTTCTTTGAAGGTTCATGGGCAGCCTCCGTTTAAAGCTTCGAGAGCATCAGATCAGCGTGTTTCGAGGAACAGTGCCACCCACCCGGGATTGAGGTCAGGACAAAGACACTCAATGATATTTTGGGAGGAACGAGCCGCACTAGATCCTTCAGAATGTCTTGGGAGGTGGAATTCTTGAAAAAGGCAGGACGGATCCCTCTGCTATGGCCGGGGGAGGATGGTTGTAGAGCATACTCAAAGCACGTGAGCGCGATTGATCTGTGATGCTGATCATGTGCCACTACCATCACTTCGGTCCTCTCGGAGTCAATTTGTGTTTTCGCGTCCAACGCGACTCATGCTCCTGAGGCCAAGAGTTCATATCGTTCTTAATCAAATACCCCATCCCGTCTACCGCTCCTTTACCCACTCCACCACAGCACTCCACGCGTCCACCCGCAAAATGGGCAAGAAATCCAAAGTCATCCCGGAGTCGCTCTTCCGGCTCGTCCATCCCCAAGCCAACAGCGCGCCCATCGTGGACACACACACACACCTCGCCTCCACTTTCGAAGCCTACCGCCACAAATATCCCGCGGGCGAATTCACGACGGTGCACGAGTTCGTGCGGGGGCTTTATGCGCCTGCAGGCGTCCAGCAGATCGTGGACGTGTGGTGCGAGGCCCCGGTGCAGCGTTCATGGAGGGAGTTCGCGGATTCGGCGGTTACTGAGGAGCAGAGGCGCGATCTGTGGGGTGGGGTGGGCTACTGGTTCGTCATGGGTGTGCATCCACACGAAGCCAAGCTGTACAACGATGAGATCGAGGCTGATATGTACGTCCTTCCCTTCCCTTCTATTTGTTGCGCTGCATCATCAATCCCTCTGACTCCGTCGTAGACTAGAGGCGATGAAGCACCCGCGTTGCGTCGGCTGGGGCGAGATGGGATTGGATTACCACTATGATAACTCGCCCCGGGACGTCCAGCAAGAAGTGTTTACCCGGCAACTGCGACGCGCAGTCAAACTCAACAAGCCGTTAACGATACACACTCGCGAAGCAGATGAAGATACAGAACGAATACTGAAAGCGGAGGTGCCCAAGGACCACAAGGTCAGTTTCGACGAACCCGTAGCTTCGAGATTGTGAGGTCCACATTGTTCCAGATTCACATCCACTGCTTCACCGACTCGCCTGCATTTGCACAAAGACTCCTAGACTGGTTCCCGAATCTTTACATCGGCATCACGGGTAAGAAGGGTTCTGAGGTCTGGCGCGGTTCCCTGATCCAGCTTTGCTAAGGTGTCATTTCTTATACCTCGAATGCGGACACGTCCACGACGGTCCGCAACATGTTTGAGGGTGTGGGTTCCCCCCGATTACGTATCCTGCTGGAGACGGACGCGCCGTACATGGTTCCCGCACCCATCTACACCGCACCGGCATTCGCGACAGCCGAAGGCAAGGGCAAGAAGCTGCCGTTCTGTCACTCTGGGATGGTTCCTTGGACGGCTAGTTTCGTGGCCGATCTGTTACCGGGAGGAGAAGCCGGGGCAGAAAGCGAAGGCTGGGATGCCACCCGGGTGATGGCGGTGGCGAGGGCGAATGCGCAAGCGATGTATGGCGTTTGATTCGTTCGAGTTCGATCTCAAGATGTCCAACTCCAAAGCTGTACGGGCCAGGGTCTACAGGAACTGGTGTAAGGCTTCTATACACCTTGTAACCGCAGCGAATCTCACGCGCTGTCCCTACCGGCGCAGTTAGCGTCGGTACGAATCTGAATCTGTCCTGGGAGAGTCTATGTAACATATTTGCTCTCGCTTCATCTCCACAATCGCGCGACGTCCTTCATCTGAAGCGGTGTCGTCGCCACAGCTAACTCCACCGCGGCCGAGCACGCGAATCTTCCGGATTTCCCGGCTCCTATGACAGGCGTACTGGAAGCCGTTGCTGTAACACACCGGACGTGTGCTCGGCACCGGTTGCTTGAATGCATTTCGGAGCCGACGACGACGACTCTCAAACTAATCTTAACTGAGTGCGAGGCGCGATGACGATCTGTAGTCGTAGAACCTCATGCGAAGTGTACTCAACAACCGCGGCAATCTCCGCCGCTACCGCCAGGAAGTTCCTCGGCGCTGTCAGGTCTAAGCGCAACTTGGTCGAAATGTTCAAATTCTGAATATGATGCGACAGTCGCATATTTAGTCGTTGTGCTGTCCAGAATCGGCAATTTGACATTTACATCGGAAGAGCAGAGACGAGCAGTCGTATTCAAGAGAGGAAATTCCATACATTCGCATTCATATATTTCAAGTGGAGGAACATTGTGTGCTTGTTTGAATGATCCTGCCTGGTGTGAACGACGGCCGTAGCGAGAAGCACGAGGCTCTTCCCCAACACCATATTTTCTGTTGTTGGAGCATCTTCCAACGGTTTTGTCAACACCTCAGTATAAGCAGTCGGCCGGGTGGTCTAAGACAGATGACGTGACGCCATAAGACGCTGTGACTCATTCTCTGCTCAACGACGTCGCGGCTGGCTTGCCTACACGCTTTGTACTGAAGAAACTCCGGCCTTTGCACTAGGCGACAAAGATTCATGCTCCTAGCTGCTGCGGTTGTTGAGAAAGAGCAGGTCTAGCTTTGGGTGATGACAATCTTCAGAACAAAATAAGCTTGCGACCGTTTAGGCAGGTTTAGGCCCGCAAGTAAGGCGTACCCACCGGAGCAGAAGCCATCCTGGGAGAGATCAGGTCGTGGAGACGGACTCGACCGCGCGAATTGGAAAATGACTGAGCGAGATCCCGATGACACACCCAGATGGGGTTATTTCTCATGTCTATTTGGGCGGCCGGATTTTTCTGGACGGTCACTCTTGTCCAGAGCCATCAGGCTTGTCTCGGTCAAGCATGCACTGTACTTGACGCCGCCAACACCTCCGACAGCCCTTTTCGCCCGTAGTATGCTGCTGTTCGGAGTCGTCCGCGCTCGTTCATCATATCTGACACTGGTGCACAGACTATTCGCTCTTTACACACCACTCATTAATAACCGACCGACGTACGAAACGACCACAATGCTGAACAGACATTTCCTTCAAGACGAGCCTCCCCTGGAGTACGTATCTCAATCGCCCGTCGCGATCTTGCGCCTGATTATATATGTACTACGCACACAGCGCGCTGTGCCATCACTTCTCCCTGGCCAAAGCGGTTTTCCCGCTGAGCACGCCCCTGGCGCCCACCTTCTCTATGCACCTCATCTCCCCAGCCACCCGGCTGCCAACCCACGTTCTCGCGATCTTCCCGCCGGAAGACAGCGCGATCCCCAACGTCCCGCCGCTCATGGTCCCCATCGACGCGTCCATGTACCACGGCGCGTTCGAGAACGCCGGCGCGGTCCCGCACCCGGGCCTCGCCGCGGTCGCCACGCCGCAGCACATCACCCTACCCGTCGTGTCCGTGCACGCGCCGCACATCCACTCCGTGCCGCTCCTCTTCCTCTTCGGCCTCGGGCTCGAGACGGACCGGAACCAGCTCGCCGCGCGCGTGCTGCCCCCGGAGGTCATCGGCGAGTTCCCCAACGCCGCAGCGATGGCGGGCGTGCTCAGCCGCCTGCCCGAGGCCCAGTTCGACTGGTACCTCGACTACGTGCGCGGCCTGTGGAAGAACGTGCTGGCGTTCGCCCCACGCGACGCCGAGCTCGTCGATTTCGTGCAGCTGGTGTACAAGGTCGTGGCCGACGCCAGGCGCTTGAGACGATAATGCACGCACGCACGCACACACATCCACCCATCCCTCATACGACGCGATCCATGAAAAAACGATACCACGACGCGCGATCCGAAGAAGACTCTTGATGACGACGACAGATCACTAATCTACGCAACCCTGCTTCTAATGCTTTCTTGCTCTTCTGCTTTCAGCGCCCACTTACTCCACTACATACGACTTGCTCTGCTTTAATCCGTGTATCGTAGCAACCTCGTAATTACTTGCTGTGTCCGGAGCTTTTAATCGCAACCCCGCTGCCGCCTGTTCCTTATTCGGACGTAGTGACAAAGCGACAGTTGTCGACTGCTCATGTGCTTGGATCTCAACCAAAACCTGGATTGTTCTGGATGTCCCGGCCAAAGCACGCGTTCCCATCATTGGTATTACCAGAGTAGATTCAAGTAATCAAATGATGGGCCGGTTCCGAGCAAAGCCGGTCTACCGACCAGATGGATCCGTGTAACGACGTTCTGACACCCGGAAGACAGAAAGAAAGAAAGAGAGCATGCATCATAATAGGGCCTAGGACACAACATAGCATAACCTGACCGCGTCAACAGTAATACACGCGTAGCTACCCAGCGCCTGTCTGCTGCATCCGCGGGGATGTCCGATACCAAACCAACGCAGCACACTGCTTATGCGGTCCTGCGAATACGATCAGAGTCGAATCCTAGAATAGGACGAGCTCACACGTACTTGTGGTGAGCGGCTTTGATAGCGGCGACCTTGGCCTTCTTCTCCGCGACACGCTTGGCGAGGAGGGCGTCGTACTCCGTCTTTTGCTCCTTCTGGACGACCCGTTTGCGGCGGACGAGCGAGGAGAGGTGGCGGCGGCGCTGCAGGCGCTCGGGTGTGACGAGACGTTGGATCTTGGGCCTGCATAGAATTATGTAGTGTCAGCCGATCGATCCAGATCGCCGAGCGAGCGAAACAGCGACGCACGCCTTGGTGTACGGCTTCGCACCCTCCTTCTTCGACTTGACCTCCCTCCTGACGACGTACTTCCTCACATCGTCCTCCTTGCCGAGGTTGAAGAAGCGCTTGATCTTGGTCGCACGCTTGGGCCCGAGGCGCTTGGGCAGCACGTTGTCTGTCAGCCCCGCGATCTCGGATTCACCCTGCTTCACGAGCACGAGCGACAGGACGGCGATGTCGGGCCCGACGATGCACCCGCGGACGGATTTGCGCTTGCGCTCACCCGTGCGGCGAGGGCGGTAGCACGAGTGGCCGTCGCCGAGCAGGAGACGCACACGGTACGGCAGGAGCACACCCTGCTTCATCGGGAAGCCCTGCTTGTCGTTTCCGCCCGTGATGCGCAGCACGTAGCCAGCCCACTCTGAACCGATGTTGTCGGCGGGGACCTCCTGGGCGATCTTTTTGTCGTAAAAGTGGCGGCTGGGGAGTGACGCATGAATACGACGCGGAGAGGAAGAGACGGTGGAGTGCGTACTATTTACGCTCGTCATCCAGGTCGAGCAGCTTTTGTTGCCCCGTTGCGGGGTCTGTGGGACGATGGTCAGCACGGCAGATGGGACCCGATATCGGAGGCTCGTACTGGCGATGTTGAGCTTCATGCTAGAAAGGAATTAGTGAGCAGCGTCGCGCCGATTGCGAGACCTTTCAGCTGCGAAGAAAACAAGGGTGGGGCACGTGCTGCCTAACTGTGTAGTTTGCAGCGTGACCGCCTATCCCATCATCACATCAGATGACCGATCAATCGCTCGTTCCGACGGTCGAGCACTGTCTCGTCTCCGGTGTCGATCACGAGGACTATGCGTCATCTTCTCCGCCCTCAGATTGCTGTATGATATGTGTGCATTGAGTCGTGGATACAAATGGCATGACAGGTCATAAATAGTGTAGTGAAAGGTCCGTTTAGATGCTCTGACAAATCCTACAACTCGTGTGTATCCTCGTCTCGAAAATGATGGCTGGAAAACGAAACATTCAGCGCTCGGAAGATGGAGACAAGAGACCATCAGACTCACGAACAGCAACAAGCGCGACAAACACAATGATCGAAAACATGTAGATCATGCCATACGTCAGTTTGATCCAGTGCCGCATTTTCTTCTGGCCCTGGCGCCAGATGGGAGCGCGGATTTGTTGCGAGGGCCGGAGCCAGACTATCACAGATCAGCCCGTGCACCAGGGTGTAAAAAGAAACTAAGAACAAAACTCACATAGACACGTAGCATGGATCCGATCAAAGTACGGGATGAGCATCGGCGGCGTGAGCATGAAGAGCAGCAGATGCCCGATGATGAGGTCCGACACCCACAGCGAGAGCTCGATGTTCTTAACCAAAAACTCGCGCAACGGCTGCGACATCGCATGTGCCCCGAGCCCCCGCCCGTACCATTTACCCGACCACCACGCCCGGTTCGTCTCGTCGTGCTTGAATTCGCGCGACAAAAACACGGCCACGCACACCTTGTGGATGGCGCGCTGAACGGCGATCACCGTAATCAGCCCGAGAACAGCGTGCGAGACGTTCCACAGCTCCAGGTACCACTGCGCGCAAAGTCAGCCAACGCGGACCATGCTCTGCAAAATCGACGCACCAAGAACTCGAGGAAGCCGATCGTGCCAATGGCACCGAAGATGTGGGCAATGAACGCCATCCACGCACCGAACATCGGGAACGGCCGGTCCAGCATGGGGCCGAGGAACATCGACAGGAAGAACAGCGCGAGCAGCACCGCCGCATTCCACACGATAGGGCCTAACGACACAACGGCGATTCTGATCAACGGACTGGCCGAGTACTGCCCGTTCTTGTCTGGGAACGCCTTGACGAACATATAGGCAATTACCATCACCACGGCCATCACTATAGGGAACGCAATCTCCGAAAACAAAACCGCCCGCCAGCTGGCGCGAGGCACGTCTCCAGAGAGCTTCTCCGACGGATGCCCGAGTCTCTTCTTTTTGTAGCCCGTGATCGTCGTCCGGCTGAGACGGCAGTATCCAATCCACGAGTTCGCATGCGTCTTCGTATTACCCCGGCACATCCACCGCAAAAAGTCCCGGTAGTCGACCAAGAAGTCGCCAATGACAAACTGGTGCGGGTTGAACATGAACGGTGCCAGACACAGCGCCGTGATCGAGATCCAGAAGTAGATCAGATACGGCGTCCACAGCGTCAGCGACACATACAGCAGCATCAGCAGCGTGCGGATGCCTAGATAGATGCTCGGGCCCGCAAACCGCGAGAACAGGATGCTGAAGTTGATCCGCGCAGTCGCAAATCCACGCCCCGTGGCAATGTATCGAGCCCCGCCAAACGTCAAATTGCTCAGAATCGAATGCGTGTAGATCTGCGTCGAGAAAATCTCGAAGAACGGCGAGAACGACCCAAACTGTTTGCCCAGTCGCAGCACCGCCTTCCACGTTCCGCGCTCAATCAGTTCTACGCGCCCGTCAGTATCAATATATGCGCGCTATTGAGCACTGCGCACCTTGCAAGAACAACGGCAGGAACGCAATCATGAAGACGAGCAGCAGACTGAAGATGCAGCGGTGGATCCAGTCAAAGACAGGACTCAGATTGTAGCAACCAGACATGCCCCGGACCAGCTGGCCCACAGAATTGTACTGGCAGATCGTCACCGACGAATTGAGCGTCCCGAGGAACAGCACTGGCAAGGAACGTCAGTGACACCCATCTCCTGCTTGCATTACGCAACACTCACTCGTCAGAATGAAGATCTGCACAGACAGAATGACAAGCATGTTGTTGATGTGGAATCCCGGATGGCCATAGTAAAACGTCAAGAACCGGTCGATCGGGAGCTGCGTCCCGAGGTAGTAGTACTCGCGACTGAGCATCTGCTCGCCCATCCCAGTCCCGATCTTCGTCGAGAAGTTGAGGATCGTCCCGAACCCAAGATCACGCCCCTTGCCGCACTGGTAGTACTCGGTGTGCTTAATCCTCCCTCCTCTCCCGAACGCGTTCATGCCAGCGTAGATATCCTCGTTCAGGTGCAGGCCCTTCTGAGCCTTAGACACACCGCCGCGGGTGTTCATGAACAACCCGTTCAGGAAATCCGGATGACCGTAGTGCAGCTTTCCGCCGATCCAGGCCATCGACCGCGCCGATAGGGTCCCGAACGTCTGCTCCTTTCCGGCAGCAAGGTCGCCGAGAATCCCGATGTTCTCCGAGAAAATGTACTCGCGCGCACCGACGATTGCGACAGGCGTCCGTCTGTGGTAGTCCTTGGGGTTCCAGTCCGCGTACGGGCTCTCGTGGGAGCTCGCGTACTCCTCAAACTCACCCAGCACGTTGCGGATCTTGAGACACTCCTCGAGGTAGTTGTCCTGGTTGGCATCGATGAGCTGCAGGTATTCACCCCGATAGAAGATGATCGCGTGGTTCTGGTTGTCAGATTTGCCGTCTCCGAGAATAGGGTTCCCTGGCAGCTCGACCCGGAATTTGGGTTTCCGGCGTCCGGTTTCCGGAAGGAACTCGCTGTGCCCGTCGATCAGGACAGAGAATATGCGCGTCTCGGCACCCTCTTTGGAGGGAGGCTCCTCATCCAGGTAGGCAATCTGCAGATCCGGGTACGCCCGCAGCAGGAACTCGGCATTCTCCTGCTCCTCCGGGGAGAACTTGGAGTATCGCTGCATCGACACAACAAACTTGAATTTCCGGCGCGCCATGCTCTCCAGCTCACGCTCCAGCCGATCGGTGTTCCCCCCAAACATCTGCACCACCTCTGGATTCTCGACACGATAGAGCAGCTTGATGGCCTTGGAGTAGTTCATCATCCCCGATACCGTGCGATACAGCGTTTGCGCTCGCAGCGACGCCCAGATCCGCGTGCGAAGCGTGAACTCCGGTGCCGCAGTCTTGAATCCGAGGAAATAGAATGGCAGATCGGCCACCTTGGTCTTCTCGTTCATATTGAGCGGGTTCGTGCCATTGAACATCTCGGTTTCCTCGGCGAGGATCATCGTGTCCTTGACAAAGTTCTCCCATTCGAGGTGGTGCAATTGCTTCAGGTATTCAAGCAACGTGACCCGCGTTTGTTGGTCTTCCTCACGAATGATCTCTCGCAGTGACAACAGAATCTGCGGCAGAAATAAATGAGCACGAGGCTACAACCGCAAAGAGAAAACGCACCTTTTCGCTGTAATGCGGAGTCAGGACAGTGAATGTAGGCATGGCATCGACCGGCAGGGGCTGGGGAACAGTCGTCGTCAAGGATTGGGCGAAAAACGAGATGCGGCGCTCTGCTTCGCTTCCTGGCGGGAAGAACTCGCCCTTGAATTTTCCGTCGTTCTGGCTGAGGAAGAAAGCAGGCGCCCGGAGACTCCGCCGGCCCTCCTCACCGGTGTCGACTTGATGGTAGAGAAGATTTTGAACATGTTCGATGGAGAGCAGATGCTCGCGGTACATGGAGATGATGATAGCATTCCAGATCTGGGAAACCAGGACCTTCGGGTGGTACTTTGCCTGCATGTCGTCTTTGGCCAGTAGCTTGAGGTAGATTCGCTTGGGCAATCGCGTGTAGATGTCCGTCCACGGGGTCCATATCGATAGCCCGATCGCGAAAGAACGCGCGATACTGAAGACCGTGTTCCAGATCACATACCAGAGGAACGTGTCCAGGAAGAAGAGCACAAGATCCATCAGGTACATGATCGTAAGCGTGAACGCAACCTGGTTGCGACACAAGTTGTTCCCAAAGTACTTGTCGTTGCAGCCTTGAATCTTCATTCCCACCATCACCCGGATGGGGTCTTTGATCGAAAGCGTCAGGAAGAAGTACGACTCCACGAATTTACACAGGAAGACCAATACCCAGAGCAAGATCGACGCCATTCGAGCCGACGTCTTCAGGGCCGGGTAGCTCGCAGTAAACGTCTGACTGGCTAGGTACTTGCGCGACTTGCCCGCCACACGATCGCCGAACATCCGTCCCGAGGGCATGATGGAGAAGAGAAGTATGGCCGCAACACTGATGAAGAACTGGGCGATGCCCAAAATGAGGGCCAGCTGGGTGGCATGTCCATCTCTGGAATCGATTGCCACGTAGACGGTGGGAGCTGCCGTGAGAGCCAAGGTTACAAGCAGGAAAACGAGCCTCCGGGTCAGATGCGAGGTGGTCACCCACTGTGACGGGATGTACCAGAATTCGGCGATAGTGGCAAGGATCATGAGCATGGTGGCCACAGCACCGCCCAACGCAACAGAGCTCCATCGCATCGCCCTGGTCGTCACACCATTGAAAGCGTAGACCGTCGGCGAGTTGTAGGCCGTGAAGAAATAGTACATGGACACGTGGATAACCCAGATACGATTGAAGTTGACCAGGAGATGTCCGAACGAGCGCTTCTCGTAGTAAGTCTTGAAGAATACCCGATTCCAGTCGATACTTTCGAAAGCCAGGAATCGCTCTGAGGCAGGGAGATCGACCAGTCGCCGCTACAGAGAATGTCAGGATCTGTCGGAAGTGAGTGGGAAATGGAACCCACCGTGTTTTTTAGCACAATCTTGGCAATTCCTTCGGGATACCAAAACAGCTGGTTGACGTCGTCATATCCGATGATATCCTCGTGGTCCCGTTCTCGTCGCACAAACTTATTGTCGACCAGCTCATAGCCCTGATCTCGGATGAATCGGTACAACGGTTTCACCACCGATCGCAGATACAGTCCTTCGGGCATGATTTCGGAACTGTTCAAGCATTCCGGCGAGCGGTAGTAGTCATCTGCACACTTGAAGACGAAGCAGAGACATTCGGGGACAAAGCGCAATTGCGCGCCCTCTCCCCAGCACAGCAGATAAAGCGCGACCTGCCGCAGCCTGTCGTACTGCGTCATATTGTGCATCGCCTGGCGCCAGCGCTCCATCGCGATATTGAACGATCGTTGGTGCGCAGCATGCTTGTTTGGAGCACGCTTCGAGCGTAGACGGCTGATACCCGGGTTCTGTGTCTTCCCGATGACATCGTCCAGATCAAGCTGGGCGGCGAAGTACCATTTGCGGTAGTTGGCCTGTTGTCCGCCGATATAGTCGGCGTGCACTGTGAGCAGCGCTTGGTTCGGAGACATTCGGGAGGCCCGACTATCGAGAAGCTGCATAAGAAAGTCGAACTGCGGCCGATAAGGCACCAGGAGAATAAGATCAACCTCCTCCACGCACCATATTCCGCATCGAATCCCTTTGGAACCCAAACTTCTGTGTCAGATCTAGAAACACATCCTCTATCTCCTCCTTCGACAATGGAATCCCTCGTTTGGCGGACCACGCGGGGTACGCTTCCGGAAGCTGTGTTCCCCCGCTGTGGTAGTTCTCATAATGGTAGTCTTGGTGCTCGCCAGACGATTCCGTATCGCTGGACTCCTGTGGTGCTGTTGAGGTGACATGAGCCTCGAGTCCCGGCAAACAGAGAAAGCGATGGGCGACTGACGGTATGGGTCGTAGGCACCCTGGTTGTCATAAAAGCTTCGGCCGTCGCGGACTCCGGGGCTCCCAGAATCCGAGTGCGAGCGGGTATCCGACTCTACTTCGTACGGCGATCGTGGCGAATCGTAACGACGGGATGGTGTGTATGCGGACATGGCGGTGGTCGTGAAAAACGTTCGTCACGTTAGCGTCGTCGCAATTTCATTAAAGGTCCCTAAGTAAGGTGTAAGCGGGCGTTTCGTTTTTGTCCACAGAGTCAGGAGTGCACCTGTGCGGGAAACTCCTTGTGAATCCTAATGTCGTCTTTGATTCCGGCGGTGTTGTGTGAGGAGCGCGTCCTATGGCGTAGTCCCGATTGGGTTGGCTCTGGGCGTGGGCGAAGCGATGTGAAGTGGAGGGGTCTGGAGCGGAACCGTTCTCAGTATAGGAGACCGGAATGACAACTGATGATACTACCTCAGTGAGATGTTACAAGTCAAAGGTCAAGTCCCCAGGCGTCTCCGGCAGCGCCTTCGCTAGGCAGACACAGCAAAAGCAGTGGGGCGTGCGGGAACTTGCGAGGCACGAGTTATCCGAACGGAGGGTCATGTGATTTCATTACGTCATGGGATATTTAGATATGATCAAGTGATCCTTGGAGTGCTCAAGGCCCGGATCTCAGAGCCATGTCTGGCTACATGTCACCGAACTAGGCGCGGCATCTGTAGGATGCTTGGAAATATGTTGCGGTCCCTAAGCATCTAATACGCAGAAACAAACAGTCAAAGGTCGCGAACGTGATCAGTCACAGACTGGGTCAAATCAAATCGCTTTCATGCCATCCATGAAGCTCTTGCGTTTGTCCAACCGAGGCAGATACTGTCTACGAGAACGGAGCGTCGGGTCCCTCCTGTGATCCAGCGCAGCACGAGACACGATCTGTTGTCGACGAGTTCGCTGCCTCGCGTTGGTATCACATGCGCGCACTGCTTACACCCGTCTGGGTTCGGATCGAAGAGTTCCCAAGCACGAGGACGATGGTTTATGGCTTGTCACAAGCGGCAGAACGTGAGTTGTCCGAACAATCCCCAGCCCTTCTTCCTCTACGTCTCCGCAGAACTCAATCGCGCACACGAAGCTGGCGCGGTCCAACAGGACATTAGGGCAGGGAATGCGCTGTTGATCGAGAATTGTCTCGAGCCCGAGAGGCTCGTTGGTTTTGTCGTCGACTGTGACTACGCTGCGCTGAGTGAAGAGGCGCTGAGAGTTCTGAGGGATGTCGTCAAGCCGAGGCCGCACCGACACTTCCTGGATCAGGACAGGCGAACGAAGGGCAGCACGGTGCGTGCTCCTGTTTGGATGGTGTATAGATCGACTTGGACTTCGCAGGGTACCCCCTCTTTCATGGCATTAGCGATGCTTCAGAAAAATCCGACCGCAAAGCACGCGCTGGGTCACGATCTCGAGTCGCTGTACTGGCTGCTCATCTGGCTTTGCTTGCGACACACGGAACATCGGCTTGGCCCTCGGCGCTTCTCTGGGTTATTCAATACCGTGTGTCTATTTGTCATGAGGTCATCATCCCTCTTTCGCGAGGAAGATTACGCCCCAAGTGGCTCCCCTTGGTGGTCGTTGACAAGTGATTTTCAAGACCTCGTCATGGCTCAGAATCTCTCTGGTAAACCGCCGACTGCACTCAAACCCTCCATTCTACCTGGACCGAGACACATCTTGTATTCAGATGTGCAGTCTCTCTTCGATCAAGCCCTTGCTCTCAAAACCTGGCCCGTGGGTGGCCGCGCCCCTCCGTGCAAGCTGCCGAACGATGGAGACAAGAGGGCGGAACTTGACTTGATAAACGACAGGAGGGGATGACGGTTGCGCTGCAAACACTCCGTCGAATGTCGTCCCGGATTATCGCTATGAGGATTCGGTTTTCACGAACTAAATCGTTCCGAATGCTACAGCAGGTCCAAATATAATGAACACTGCAAAGATGACAGGTGCGGCGATGTCGTCCAGGATGACCGGAGCGCGAGTGCGCCGGCGGAAGAATCTTTCATCACCAACTGGATGGCGAAAGAATGAAACACTGCGTCAACGTCTGCCAGCGATTCGATGGCCGCAGCATCCCTCAAGTGCTCTCATGAATTGGAAGCTGCGTCTGAGGGAGGTTTCCATCGCTTCCCAGTGAAAAACCCGCTTCCGTCCACCGCATATGAATCCAAGTAATTTTCATCAGTTCTCTCGAATCGCATGTGTTTCCGAATGTAGCGCGCGCCTCAATAACCCGCGCTCTTTCTCTTTCGACTCGTCAGAACATGCCTCATAGCGTGAGTAATCACAGGAATATCCTCTCTCTTGTCACCCCTCGGAGTCAGTTCAGAGAGAAGAGTTAACCAACGAGATCTTAGATAAAAAAACCTCGAGTATTACATTTTGTCTTCTTGGAAACGACATACTCGCTCGCTTAGTAAATCAGGCAAGATGGATGGGTGGATGGGAGCCTCGGCCAATCTGGCGCACGTGGTAGCGCGCGCAGTCACGATCACGACTCAGGTCACACTGCCGAGACGCGAAAGCCTCCTTGTTGTGTCTCACTTGTCCTCACAACTCAGATCGGATCTCGTTCGAATCGATGTCTCACGATCGAGGAATACATCCCCCTGACCACAGCGAGTTCAGCTGCTCTTGTGATTGTTCACGATGCCGATCTGGATCGTAACCTGAATGGGAGGGATCTGCTAAGTAGTCCCTGCTAATCCCCCGCGGTGCGCTGGACAGCATAGGGATCAGCCTCAGCCCCGAAACACAAGGTACGGGACCGGGACAAACAGAGGACAGGATGGCAATTATACAGTGGATAAGCTAATACATGCGATGCGATGCGTGCGATTTTGCGCAACAAAAACAATGGAACGAAATGCGCAAGGAATGTAGAGTGAGGACAAGGCGACCTGGGCCAGGTAGGGCCGCAGGGGGAGTACTGTACGGAGGGCAGTGAGTGAATGCTACGGAGTGATAAGGATGCAGAGTGAGTGGTGCGAAGTGATGCGAATGAGAGGGCAGAGCCAGGGATGTGGGATGCGTGATGCGTGATACGCAGTCAGTACCAGTCGAGCCGCCACGCAGAAGCTGGCTGTTCTGGGCACGGAATGGAGACCGGGGGAGGGCAGAACGGCGAGAGCCCCGCGGGAGGCCCGACCACGAGATCTTCGGGCAGAGAGAGAGTCGCAGACGGGCTGCCCGCACAGTCGTCGTCGTCCCCACGATCATCAGAGCTGAGGGAGAGGGAGCGGAACGCCGAGACGAGCTCGTCGTCGTCCAATTGCATGATAGCCTCCAGCATTCCCTCGTCCGCATCTGCGCCAGATTCGCCGCATGAAGGACGCACGGGGTGCACCACCGTGCTCCTGAACGCGTCAAAGTACGTGTCGTAGACCAGCCGGGTACGGCTGCTGCGCGGATCCCGGGTCCACGCCGGCCAGACGTCGTCCCAGTCGATCGCGAACTCGCGCGGCGGCGGGGGCGTCGCATCCTGCAGCGGCCGCCGTCGGCCAAGGCTCCCACGGACCGGAGCGGGCGCAGCCGCGGTGTCGTTGGACGGGCCGGCAGCGCGCGTGCAGTCGACGTTCTCGTCGACTTCGACTTCTGATTCGTCGTCGTCATCGTAGGACAGAGGTTCGTCGCGGTCCTCCGTAACGTGTCGATCTTCCTCGGACGGCAACCGTCTGAGAGTAGCCAACTCGATCACAGCACGAAGTAGCGAGGACAGAACGACTGTATGTGCGTGCGATGTCAGCGAGCACCAATCCAAGACCCGCAGGGCGGGACTGACCACAAGGTGAGGAGGGAGAGGCGGTCGGGAAGGGATGTGAGGCTGGCTTTTCGATAGAAACCCCGCGGTGCAGACGCTGAATCGCCAGCACGGCAGGTATGGACAGAGAGACGGTGAAAAAGACAGTCAGAGCCGCCAGCGGATATTGACCCGCCATCTTCGTCGTCGTCGTCGTCGTCGAAGGCAGGCGAAAAACACTGCAGGTAATGACGGTCGGTAAAAGCGAGGTAGTCTGACGGCGCGTGACATCACCCAGCGGCGGCGATGGCCGCGTTAAATCTGTGTGATTTGAGTGAAGGGTAGCAGCAGTACGGAAGGGCAAGCATGGAAACCCGGACGGTTGCTGCAGGCACTAGTACTGGGCTCCTCTCATTCTCCTTGTCGCTTCGAGTGTATCGAAGTGACTCTGGACGCTGGAATCATGGCCTTGCCAATTCAAGCAACGGAGACACAGTCCGAGACGCAATGACGACCAGGGCTTCAGTTCGCGCTGTTCCCCTGTTCTGGAGCTCCAAATCTCATTCATTGCAATATATTTTCCCTATCAACCAGCTAACAGTCAGAACGGGCTCGGTGAATAAGAGGATTGCAACAAGGTACACAGAACAGCGTTAGCTTCATTCCGACGGTCAGAGCGTCGGTGATCGCATGGACTGGAATCGGACCTGTTGCTAGAGTATATGCGGCCCTGAATCGATTTTCTTAAATACTTGAAGTGCGATAAACGGTCCTGAAGATGAATCACAAAGAAGAATACCCCTATGGCGATCTAGACAGCAAGCTTATCGATTAGATATTTATCGGTGGCTGCGTATAGGCCGTATAGGCACGTGAACACATCCAGAGAAGAGCACGGCCGCGGCCAGATAGCGCAGTGAACTCTTATCAGGAGTCTTTCACATAAGATGCCGCTGGCCGTTATCGCGTCGTTGTAGCTTCGTCTCCAATGCTTGCTCCACTCGCAGCGCTCTTGTCGCTCACCCTGCCCTCGATCTCCGCCCACTCACATGCCGCGCCAGCGACCCCCGTGGACGTCTCGACCGAGGCGTGGTTCAAGAAATACGGCGCGCAGCACGACCTAGGCTACACCGGCCCGCTGAGCTTCAACCACCTCCCGTACGCGCGGTGCCTCGAGGACGCGTCACGCGCGTTTGACATCGCGCTCCTCGGGATGCCGTTCGACACGACCACGTCGTACCGCCCCGGCGCGCGCTTCGGGCCGCAAGCCATCCGCGTCGGGAGCGGGAGCAATGGGTACACGCTCGCGTGGGATCACAGCGCGCTAGACTGGGGTGCACGGATCATTGATTGCGGCGATGTGCGTCTCCTCGTCTGAGTGCTACCGCCCGTGTGGTTGGGTAACCGATCGCCAGGTGCCGACGACGATGATGGACAACGCAATGGCGATCGACCAGATGGAGGTCGCGTACAGTACGCTCCTCGGGCGCCCGGTCAGCGGGGAGACCAAGGCCAGCACGGCCGCGCTGTCCAAAGACGGCCAGGAGCATCCGCGCATCGTCACACTTGGCGGGGACCACACCATCGTATGTCGTCTCCGGCGGGTTCTATTCCACACAGACTGCATCATTACGTTCTCAGGTCCTCCCGATCCTCCGCGCGCTCTACAAAGTGCACGGGCCTATCTCTGTCAGTGCCTTCAGATCGAGCCGCTCGACGACCCACTGATAGCCCGGCTGGTCCTCCCAGGTGATCCACTTTGACGCGCACTACGACACGGCGGCCGTCGAGCACATCCAGGGCCCGGGGCGCATCAGCCACGGCTCGTACTTCACGCTCGCGCACGAGGAGGGCCTGCTCACGAACACGAGCATCCACGGCGGGATCCGCCAAAAGTCGAGCGTCAGTCCCACCCTCTCCTTCCGTCCCAGGGCTGCTCACAGGGATGCAGCAGGGCAAGGTGGTTATTGAGCACGACGAGGCAGTCGGGTTCGCCGTGATCTCGGCGGAGGACCTGGACGACTACGGGATCGAGGCTGTCATCCGAAAGATCAGGGAACGCGTCGGCAACACCCCGGTGTACCTGAGGTGGGTGTTGCAGTTGGCGCTGAAGTCACTCATATTCACACTCACCACAGCCTCGACATCGACACAATCGACCCGGGGATGGCCCCCGCCAGTACGTGCATGCATCAGTCGGTGTTTCTTAGCGCTCACCATTCTGGGCAGCGGGCACCCCCGAGATCGGTGGCTGGACGACACGGGAGATGAAGCGCATCATCCGCGGCCTGGCAGGGCTCAACTTTGTGTACGCGAGATTCCACGGTCAAGATCGGCGCTGACTGACTGACTCGTTTTCTCAGCGGGGCAGACGTCGTGGAAGTCGCCCCGGCATACGACATCGCCGAGATTACATCCCGAGCGGCGGCCGGACTGGTGTCCGATTTTCTGGTCATGATGCAGGCTGATGAGCCCCCGCGACCGCACGCGGGGCCGTTCCTAGAATTGTGGAACTAGAGACACGTGTGATTCATAGAGGAGGCGTCAACTTGAATACGTGGGGATGTACGGCCCGTCCCAGCACCGGAACCCGACGTCCCCCGGCGTCACGCTGGCGTTGCACATTACCGTCGGCCGCTCGGACGGCGCGTCCGGTACGACTGCGATCCCCGTCGCCGAGAGGTTAGTCGCCGACCCCGCGTGGAGGCTGTCGAAGATGATGGACTGGGTGCCGTCTGCGCCGGCGACGTGGTACCAGCACGGATCCGATATGCACGAGCCGTCGCCTGGTCAGGAGCAGATGAGATAAGATAGGGGAAGATAAATCCGACAGACCTGGGTTCAGCGAGTTGATTGTGCCCGCAAAGTCCTGGAACGTCAATCCATCGATCTGGACTGAGAGGTTGGACGGCGGGGGTGGCGACTGGCTCTGGTCAAAGTAACTGCCGGCGCATGCAGTCAGCGCTAGCACACGCCATGTTGCCGGGACTGACTTTTGAGTGACGTAGATGGGGAACGTGATGTTGCGCACGACGACGTTCCGGTACACGATGTTGCTCGCACGGCCCTGGTTGCCACTCGTCGATCTGGGTCGCGTCAGCTTCACATTGGAGCGCAGATCGCACCCACTTGTACCGCGCGCCATACAACCCATCCAAGAGCGTGACATTTTCGACGAGGATGTTCGCGACGTTGACGGACCCCCCACCCTTCGCGGCCACGGATATCCCGTGGGACCCAATGCACGTGAGGCCCTTGAGGTGCAGATTCGTGCACGGTGAGCCGATGGCGACGCAGTCGTCGCCGTTCGAGACCTGCGAGTTGAGGATGGTATTGCCGTCTCCGCCGACTGTAGGATGGTTTTGAGAGGGTTTACGAATGTGAATGAGGTGTCTGATGTGATGTACGCACCGTCAAAACCGTCGCTGATGAGACTCGAGATGAGACTTGAAAGAACGTGTTTCAAGAAATCGCACGCACGTGTTGAACGGGAACGCCGTGCTGCTCGACTGCGCATCCACAACGACGTCCTCAATCCAATTCCCACTCCCCGCAATATTGAAGCTCTTTCCAATCGGCTTGCTGATCGTTAGCCCGCGAATAGTCCCGTTGCTGCGAATCCGTTAGAAACCTGGGGTACCCCCACCCGAAGCGTACCTGGCTCGCCACTGGAACAGCAGGGGCCTCGATGTCTGCTGCCCCGCGTCCCACCACGCCTGCCCGAAGCTCCGCACGACCCCTCCGCCGCCGCCTGTGATCTTATCCGGCCCGGCGAAGCGCACGCCAGGCCCGGTGGACGACACCGCGAACCAGCCCGAGCGGTACGCCGCGCTGCGCACGCCCGCCTGCACCTGCGCAATGTCCGCAGGGAGGCTGATGTTGCCTAGGATGCGCACAGTCACGTCCTGCCCCAGCGCGAACTGCACCGGCGTGAAGCTGTTGTACTGCACGCCTGCGGAGAACAGGATCGTCGCGTTCGAGTTGCAGGCTGTGATGGCGGCGGTGATGCTGAGGCTGTCGTCCGCCCCGGGTGTATGTGCGACGGTGCACGTCGGCCGTGGTGCAGACGCCGTTGTTGCGGCAGACGCACGCGCTGTGCAGGCACTTGCACTGATGAGCAGCAGAAGGAGGCAGCACCAGCCGGGCATGAGTCTAACCTTGGCACAGGCTTGTAGCGTGTGTCGTTTATATGCCACGATATATGCAAGAAGCGGTCCGCCGGGCCGAAAGCCTCTTCAGATGATCGTGGCGTTCGCGAGACGACGAGGGAGCTGCACTCCACGTACTACATCAGACAGCTGGCATCGAAGAAGCCGACTGCTTGGTGGATAGCTGCAGAAGACGTCTTTCTCTGCGGGTCCAAGCGGCTGTGGACCCGAGCCCGAGGGGTCATGCGGGCGCGGAGTGTGACGGGGACAGCTGATTACGGTGATGTCATCAATAATTCGAAATCCCGTGACCGTGAATGATAGCGCGTGAGATGCACTCGCGGAAACTCGATTGCCGAGGTTCAGCTTCTGGAGGATAGAACGAGCGGTTTTGTATTGGAATTGATTGCAGGGCTAATCTTGTACCCTTGGCACACACACACACACACACACTCAAAGCCTCCGCGACGTTCCGAACCCACTGCACTTGGATCGAATTGCCAGTTGGCAAGAAATGAACACCGCCTTGGCTTGGTAGAGACTGGCTGCTCAACCTCCATACAAGGTCCTTCAAATCCTTCGACAATCTAGATGACGTCTGGACCACCGCCTGGTCCACCCTCGATCACAAGATGCGCATCAGACGCGCCTAGACCTCGCCACCCCGCACATCTGACACGCGTATAAAACTGCCCACGACAAAGGCCCAGACTGAACACCATCTGCCATGTCAGCGACACTCGCACGCACCGCTCTGCGACTCCGCCTGCCCACCGCGGGCCCCGCGCTGCGCCGCCACGCGCATGGGCACGCCGACTACCAGGTGCGTCCGTTGCTGGATGATGATTCCAGCCAGCCGACAACGTTCTCACCGTATCCCGGGCAGCACATCCCCTTCTCGTACGCGAACAAGACCGCCTTCGCCGCCAAGTGCGTCGCATACCTCGGCCTCGGGTTCTCGCTCCCGTTCGTCGCGCTCGGGTGGCAGTGGTACGTGCTTCGTCCTTCTCGGGGCGCTGGAAATTGATGGGTTTCTGTGTGCAGGTACAAGCCCGGGGGTTCAAGAACCCGTAGATCATTGCGTAGTGACGGAGAGCGCGGAGCGTAGCTTAGATGGGTCTGTATCCACTGTCTACATGTATAGCACATGGGAACAGTTCCCTGCTGACAGCGGCTTCCAATATATTTGGGGGTTTTCTTACCGCGAGCAGCAGCTGTTTTTTCAACCTACTTCGATTGCCCCATTGGAGTGGTTTAAATGATGTAGCAATAATGCCAGACTGCGATGGAGTACGTGTATTTAACTTACGCACCCTTGTCATTGATAGTTTCGAACCACCCTCTCGGAAGGAGTCGGAGACTCCCCGCGTGCAAAGCATTTTCAACCTGAACGACTCCGAAACTCGTGACCAAGTATGCATCTATCAGCAGAAAGCGAGCTGCCTCACTTGATTGGAGACCGCCCAATCGATTAGAATCTGCTGCAAGAATGTACGCTTGGATGGGTCAGAACAGACACACCCGGACATCGACATCAAAGCTGATATATTGGGCAAGACTACCTACGTACACACATGAACAGGCAGTAGAAACGACCGACGTCAAGTTCGAACACCGTTCAATTCTCCACGAAGGCTCGATACCATACATATCAAATTTAAAAGTCCCCAAGATCCAACTCGATCGAATCGATGATAGCCGCCTCAAAGGTTTTCCCATCCGCCTTCAGCGCCTCATCCGTCCCCGGCGTGCCCAAGCCCGGAGTCTGTGGCCTACAATGCCCAGCATTGATGAGAGGCGTCCCACAACAGAAGACATAAGTAACAGCCGACACACACCTAGACGAATCGAGCTTCGCATGCGGCCCCTTCCTCTTCTGTCGCCTCCGCTCCGCCTCAGCGAGCTCCGCAAGCCGCACAGCCTCCATGTTCGCCTTGCGGTTGCGCTCGTTGACACGCGCCAACCGGTCCGCAACCTCGTCCTCGACGACGGGCGTCGCTGCACCAGACCCACCACCCGCCTCCGCTACCAGCTTCGCCAGCTGCTCGTCGATCTGGCGCACCTCCTCGGGGTCGTTGCGCCGCTGGGCGAGCGTACGCTGGGCGATCAGCCGCGAGCGCTCAGCGACGGCCGAGGTGCCTGTCAGGAACGGCTGCGCCTGTCGCTTCTTGGCGATCAGCGTGTTGACGTCCTCCTGTTGAATGGAGGGTATACATGCTCACGATCCGCACATAGCTGCCGCGCACGCACCTCGGTCAATCGTTTGTTCACCAGCGTGCGCAGTTCCTTCAAGCGTTCGTCGACCTCTTTGCGCGTCGGCAACGCGGTGCTCTCCGCCACGCAGGTATCTTTGAGCCTTATGAATTCCTCCTGAGGAAAGGATGAAGGCTGCCGGATATTATCACGCGAGACCGACCGACATCAGTCCAAGGGTCGTTCGATGTACGCTCCATAGACCACGCTTTCTCCGCAGCACCGTGCTTGAGAACAAACTGCCGGTCAATCATCTTGTCCCCGGTAATCTTGTACGGTTTGACGGGGACAAGGCCTGTCGAATTATCAGCTCTGTGTCCGGATAATGCGTCTGGGATGCAGGCACGCACTCATCACTCGGCATATTCGATACACTCGCCTGTTGGAGCCCGAGTCCATGCCTATCAAATACCGCACCCAGCATCCTAAACAGCGTGAGCGTTGGCTGGCAAGTAGACAGAGCGCGGGCCACAAACCGACGACCATCTGCTCGAACCACGGCGCAGACATATACTGCACAAAATGGTCACGCGTGAGCCCGATTTTCCGCAGGTAGTCGCTGCTCAAGGGCAAATCATCGACCGGACTGGACGACGACTTGGGCTTGCCCAGGTAGCGCTCCTCCTGCTGCTGTTGGCGCGTGATCTGTCCGTCCTCCGAGTCCGTGTCAGACATGTCCATGTCCGTGGGCGACGAGGACCGGTCACGTCCATTCTTGGGGGAGCCGGTGTGGTTCTGGAGCGACCACTCAGTTGGGAACGTTTCAATGAAAATGCGCACCGACGACGTACTTTCTTCTTCTCGTCTTTGGCCTTGCGTTTAGCCTTGAGGGCGTGCAGAGACCGGTCCTTTGTCCGATCCTTGCCAGAGCTGCGGGCAGGACCTGCGGCGCCGTGAGATGAATTGGTGAGGCAGGAAAGTAGAGACCACGAACGGGACTTCGGATCTTCATCACCCACTCCCGCTACCCCGGCGAGTTGATTGGCCCGCATCTTTTCGACGTACTTGCGGTCGCGTATCCGTTCCTTCTCGTCCATACGCTCCGAGATGATCTGCTCCCGTTCAAATTCGGGCTTCCCGAGTAGCCTGTGCGTGTGTGCGTTGAGACCGCAGGGGGACCACCACGACCATGCATACTCACTCCGCGCGGTCCTGCTCGTCGACGTATTTTCCTTCCAGGGGGTACAGCTCGGAGTCACCCTCCGTATCCTCTTCTTCCTCACTCTCCGGTTCGTCGTCCGAACTGCGCAAGACCGGCCGTCAATGCCGCTGGGGAGAGCGGGATGCGGGCCGACTCACTCGGCAACCTTCCGCTTCTTCAGGCCTTTCTTGCTCTTCCCGCCCGGCGCCGACCCGTCGCGGCTCCTCTTCCGCTTCGAAGAGCCATCGACGAGTTCCAGCAGCTCGTCGTCGAAATCCATGGGGTGGTTGTGGAAGTCAGGTCGGCGACAGTTTGTTTGCTGCTGCTTGATTCAAATATCGGTTAGCACAGTTCGCGCCATGACATTTGAACCGCGCGAAGGGAGTCCTGGACCATTCAGTGTGGTATAGGGGTCTCTTCTATTGCTAGTGTCTTCACAATTGTCGAGCGGTGGCCCTGGGGCCTTCGACAGGATCACGAAACTAATAGTTTGAAAACTGGGATGAAATGTGGCTCTCTCAGGTGGCCACCAGATCAATAGTACGGCTGCGCATATGTCGCAAGCACACTTTCATATGGCTCCTTCGAGATGGATCCAGAGCAATAAACAAGTCGCGCAGTTTCTAGAGACTTCCATATTGGGCGAGATATAACTTGTCCATGACGCTGTTCTTCTTTCTCCACCCTCTCGTCTTTGACGATGTTCGGCTGCTGCGTCGCTGGCCGTCTCCTTCAGACGAACTTACAACAAGTCGATGAAACGCGTGCCTATTTCGAGCTGCCCGCCGCCAGCTCAATCAACCACATCTGCGTGTTTCTGCTCGGGACCAGTGAGTCTCCTACGAGTCATCTCTGCGGCATTCATCGGGCTGATGCATCTCCAGTCCCATTTCCAGAAGGTTATGGGTGTACGGTCCACTTTTTCTGGCCGGGGAAGGGATTTCAGGTCCTCGGGATGTGCGTATAGATTCCAGGCACTCTTTTCAGATGAAGCAACTCACGGCGACCTCTGCGCTGCCCACCTTCCAGGCTGTCAAACGAGAAACCATCCGCCATCTTCCGACTCCGCGGCACCTTCACCGCCCAGTCCGCCAGCTCAAGCCACTCCGCCTTCTCAGATGCAGCAGGCGGAGCGCCCGACGCCGCCGCCCAAGTCACGGCGATCCTCGGCCTGGCAATCGAACCCCTCGCCGACATCGCGGCGCAGATGTCTTCTATGAGTGGTGCAGTTGCCCGGCCGGAGCCGACGCGGGATCCGACGGTCTTGGCGGAGCGCATCGTGAAGCACCTCTTCAACTACGTGTCCGGGTTCACAGGCGGGAACGCGGTCTCACCTGATGTGCCGGTGCCGATGGGGCTCATCGTCAAGTGGTATGAGAGCTTCATGGCGAAGGTGAAGAATGGCGGGATCGGTTTCTTAGATCGGACGGAGTGAGGGTGTGTGTGTATTTAGACTCTGGGATATTGAATCAGTCGCTGACACTATACTAGGCTCGGAGTTCTCCATCAATCTGTGTTGTATCTGTATCGTTCGCTGTATCAGAATATAGTTCTCATCCAACATCCACTCGTAACGTGCGAGTGCCACCATCTTTCCTCAGATCGATCTCGAAACGCATGCGATCTGCCCTTGTGAAACACGAGTTGGAACACGGATTACCGATTGCGTGTCGGAGCGGCTAGGTTTCTCTACTTCTCGCCCTGCACTTGCGACTGCACATTGGTAGCGTCTAGCCCATTGAGACCAAGTTGACGAAAAAAGATGCCCAGTGGGATCGACGTGCCGACAACAGAATGATTGAAGGATCGTAAATAGCCGCAACCCACCACTTCCAAGGTCTCCTCTACGTTCACTACAAATATCTCTGAGCTGATTTGAGCACCTGCAAGCGCTCACAGTTGCAATGACGCACCCTAATCTGATCGGTGCGCGTAAGCAAGTTTTGTCAGGAGAATTTGATTGTCCAAGTATAGTCGGTCAATATATCCGAAATGCCGTAAGACCCCACTGCGTCATCTCTTCTTCAAGTATCTCTGTCACCACATTCGACAGAATCGACACCAACCCACCACCCTACACAGTAGTCTCTTCGCTACCACCATGTTTTCGATAGCTCGCACTGCCCTCCGGCCCACTCTGACGGTCGCACGCGCGTCGCGTCTTGCTGCCTCCATCCACACCCTTCCCGACCTCCCCTACGCGTACAATGTGTGTATCATCGTCACCTTCCGGTCTTCCCCGAGCGTATCTGAGTGCGCCACGGTGTAGGCCCTGGAGCCGTATATCTCCGAAGAGATTATGACGCTGCACCACAAGAAGCACCACCAGACGTATGTCAACGGCCTGAACGCGGCGGAGGAGTCGTACGCAAAGTCCTCCTCGACCAAGGAGCAGATTGCGCTCCAGGCTGCGCTTAAGTTCAACGGAGGAGGTGCGCTTTATTCCCACACTTTTTTTCTTAACACGTGCCGAGGTGCGGCTGTCTAGGACACATCAACCACTCTTTGTTCTGGAAGAACCTGGCACCTGCCTCTGAGAGCAAGCTCGAGGATGGCGCGCTCAAGGCTGCACTCGAACGCGACTTCGGGTCCGTGGATGCTTTCAAGAAGGAGTTCAACACCAAGACGGCTGCCATCCAGGGCAGTGGGTGGGGCTGGCTCGTGCGTGGATCCGGACGAGAGGGATGGACGCGCAGTGACTAACGACTGGCCAGGGATATAACCCGGCCTCTAAGAAGCTGGAGATTGTGACGACTTCCAACCAGGACCCTTTGATTAGTAAGTCCTCGTGGCTTTTTCGTGCTGTTGGAGAGTAGCTCACTGATGATACAGCCCACACTCCCATCATCGGTGTCGACATCTGGGAGCACGTATGTCCATGCTTTCTCGTAACGCATTCCCTCAGTCTGACATGGTCTACAGGCGTTCTACCTCCAGGCAAGTCCCCACCTAGGTGTGCCAAACCTGCCTAACCGTTTCCGTACAGTACAAGAACGTCAAGCCCGATGTAAGAAGCTCATCAAGTGTTCTGTTTCACTGTGCTCACCACTGGTCTGTCACAGTACCTCGCGGCGATCTGGAATGTCATCAACTTTGCCGAGGCGGAGAAACGCTTTGCGGAAGTAGCCAAGTAACAGATGTATCTCATGCAATAATAGATCGTGGATCGCGGTCCTGGTCTCGCCGACATTAAGGCGCTCGCCAAACGAGAAACCGAGCCGGATCTAATTGAGGTTATTAAAGAGCAAGATTAACGACACATACTCTAAGTGAGTGTTCCATATTGAATCCTATTGTCACCGCCATCAGTGATATCGTATCGTCGTCCCTCCACGACCTCATTCATCGTCTTCGCTGCGGTCCGAGCAGCCGCGATCGGGAACCTTCCGCGTCGTGTATGGCGGGCTGGGGATCACGCTGCTGCTTCCGCTTGGCTCCTTCTTCTTGCGCTTCCTCTCCGTCTCGCGCACGTTGACCCGCACACCGTACCGCGCGAGATGCTGTGTCCCGAATCAGCCAAACGCAAACCGGGGCCCACGCGCACGCGCGCGCACACACACACACACGTAAACAAAAACGGATTCTCCGTCTGGGACGCACCTTGGTCAATTCGGTCGACTTGCCGAGCGGCGGCACCTCCTTCGACGAGTATATCCGGAAGGCGTCACCGCGGCACAGGGATTGGATCTGCTGCTCGGCGTGGCCCGCGGCGGTCGAGAAGATGTCGAAGTAGCGATACTGCAGGATGAAGTATCCCTCCGTCTTGACTGCCAGATCCTGCGGAGCGGAAGCGGCTGTCAATCACGCGGAAGAAACAGAACACGCGCGCGCGAAAGGAACCGGGAAAGGCATGCTTACAGCGAAGGTGAAGAGCAGACTCGTGCGGCCCTTCCACGGGATGCTGTCGACCTGCACAAACGTCGTCCCCGCCAGCGCACTTGTCGCGTTCTCGCCTGGCCGTGGATACGCTGTGCTGTAGTACGGCGACTGCGGGCTCTGCGGGGGCGAGTACGGTGTCGAAGTCGATGGGGATGGCGCGGATGTCGTGGGCGAAGGCGCGGGCGGGTTGACGGGGATCAGGTCGACCATGCACATCAGGCCCATGATGTGGATGTTGCTTCGCGCGCGCAGTGATCGTGAGCTTCCTGCTGCTGCGCCGGCGGAGACACGGGAGGAGGGGGTACGACTCACTCGTAGTCAATCTCAGACTCTGTCTCCCCACCCGCACCGTCGTCGAACACCTCGAAGAGCCGCAGACAGACGACTGGGGTCGGGTTGAGAAGTAGACGTGACGTGTCAGGGGCAGCAACTGACCTGGTGGTGGATCCAGCGGCCGACGATCGACCTTGGCATACCTAGGCACACGCACGCACGCACCATCAGTACTACGCTTGCAAGGACCGAGCAACCGGCACCACTCACTTGCGACCGAACGACGCCGCCTGGAGCTCGTCGAGCGACGCGCGGATCGTGCGCCCGGCGAACTGGCCCTCCTTGAAGTGGATCGGTCGGTTAACTTGTGACTGCTGTTGCTGCTGATGGCCCGGGTGATGGGGAATGGGATTGGGGGTGGGGTATTGATGGGAAGGCGCGCCAGGTTGCTGGACCGACGGGAGGATGACAGCTTGAGACGACCTGTGGGGTAGATGGCGGGGGTATGGTGGCGTGCCCGCGTGATGGTACAGATGCGATGGTGCTTGTGGTTGGGCTTGGGCTTGGTTTTGGTTTTGGGCTTGGGGATGCGGATGGGCCTGCGGATGCGGATGGGGGTACATCTGGGGACTGGGGGCTGGATGCGAACCGGGCAGGGCCCAGATATAAGCAATGGAGCGTGGGTGGATGAGAGCCGAAAGCGATGAAGGCCACGAAGATATCGATTAGTATAGTCCTTGCAGTTCACGTACTCAGGGTCCAACTGGATGCATAGGCGCCAAGCGCAATCGATGCGTGTGTGTGTGCGGGTGTATGCGCGAGATCTAGATCTTGTCAGCAGCGGTGGGGTTTACGAGCCATTGCTGGAACGAGGCCGTAGGAGGGGATGGCCGAGCCCGGCCATCCCCTCGAGCTCAGGATCTGCGGCCCACGAGTGACATCGGCCATTGTTCTCTACCAGGACAAGGCCGTTTAAAAAAGGAAACACCGCCGATTTGCTTCCGATCAAATTTCCTCTGACCATCCACGGAAGGAAAGGAAAGAACCGAGATCGCAACTACATAATCTACCCGGTCCAAGCGACTATAATTAACTTGCACGTCCATCACAGGGGAAAAGCCGAGACTTCTGGTCTGCTTGCTAACCAGCACTGATTCATTCTTGCAAGGATGCATATCCTCGCCCAGACTCCCCATCCCTCTGCGGACCACCCTGCTTGTGCGTCACAGACCGCCGCAGGTTCTGCACGACGTTGTGCATCGTGGGCAATGCCGCCCGGCGCACTACACTGCGAAAGCGCGATTTCGGCGAGACAGGCGAAGCGACGGGTGCATCTGCCTTGGACGCCGAGGGCGAAGTGATAAGATGCGCCGGCAGAAAGTCCTGGAACGTCGCGGCCGCAGCCTGCGTGTCGACGGAGAGTGCGGCCGGTTTGGCGTCGCTGTTATCTGCCAATCGATCGTTTCACGAGCATCAGCACACGCACTCGCATGACGCAATGCACACGCGACACGCGACTCGCAGCGCGGAGACTTCGGACGCACCTGCGGCAAAAGCCTGTGGCCGATCCACAAGCGGCAGCGCGGCAGCTTCAGGACCGGGACGACCTGAGATTGAGCGGACGAGCGTCAGCGCGCCGTACGCGGAGTGGGGCGGCCCGCGGTACACGTTCCCGTCCCGGTCCTCGAATGTGTACCGCCCCGTGTCCGCGTCGTAGCCCGTGCGGCGGATGCCCGGTGGAAGGCGCTCGGAGTCCTGCGGATAACGCCATGTGCGGTGAGTGACAGCGTCAGGAAGGTGCGGTCGCGGAGAGAAGGCCACTTGCATCTTGGTAGTCGGTCCAGCGGGCCATTATGTCTTCTTCTCTGTTAGATGGGTGCGAGGGTGGGAGGAAGGGATGATGTTATACGCATGCTACGGATCTCCCGGCTTGCCGCGGATCTGGGGCTTAGAGAGCCTATCGTGATGTGATACTTCCCACCCTGCATGATGTCATCGTCAAACATGGTTTGGTATCAATGCGGGTGATTTGTTCGTATGGCGAAGCTGTCCAGGGCACAGGCGCTCATCTGGAGGGAGTGCTTATCCGGTGACAATGCGTGGAAAGTCGCGTTGACACATCACGTGTCTAGAACACGATCACGAGACCACGTGAATGCGCTGTTGTTGAGCTAATCCCTGCTGGGTCAGTCCGCCACAAAAGGACGATTCGCACTATCAATTGAGGATTGATTGGCACTATCTCAACCTGAGCTCCACCTGAATTCAGATTCAGCAATGATCAAAAAGATAGTCCTATTCCAGTTGAGTGTGGTGCTGAATCTTCATCAATATGTAGGTGTCTTCTTGACCGAGAGGACCTGATCGACGGGGGGTCTCACACGCATCGAAGAAGATGAAATCTATGTCACTTCTTTCAGATACAGAATACACGGGATAATTGTAGGCTAACTAAATGGAAAATGGCACCCTCTGCGACGGTCCCTCCACTCCCCGTCGCTGCCGGCTGCAACGAGTGGGACAGAGTTGGCAGGGTTGTTCTCAGAAAGAAGGATCCGCTCCTGAATCTGTCCGCGGATCCGTTGAACGTTGTCCCGGTGTGATTGCTGCTGATTGTCTGCCTCCACCTCGGAGACAGCCGTGTCCAGGACGTGCAACGCATCCAAATCTTTGATCCACCCAATGAGCGCATTGACGGCCCAGAAAAGCAGCCAGTAGAGCCCGTCATAATCCGCGAGACAGTTCTTCCGATACTTGTGGATGAACCCAGAGACGGCATTGGCAAATCGACGTTGCAGTTCAGTCGGGGGCGCCGAAGAAATGCCGAAGCCTATGTGGTGTACCAATTCGAGCGTCTTGAAGTCCAGGTCCCGCCCCGTTTGATCCAGACCCCGGGCCGCACACCGCTCGAAGAAAGTGGTCACAACACCCACACATGCATACCCGTACACCCGCTGTGCCAATGCCCGCTCCGTCCGCTTGTCACTGTCAAGGCCGAACACGGTGTGGAACCAGGCCTCGTCCTTGAAAAAACTCGGCAACTTGGCCAATTCCGACAAATCCCTCGATCCCAGCAAATACAGAGAGAAGCTTTTGAGCACGACACACTGGACGACGGCAGGCAAACGGTGCGTGTGGATGTCTGCTGCGTGAGTCCTTAGACTATGGAGCACCAAGAGATGGGTGTCGAGGTCTCTTGGTGGCTTATCAGACGCAAGCAAATTCCGATAAATCAGCTGCAAGGCGTCGACAGATGCCTGGAGGTCGTTTTGGTACTGCAAGTTCCTGCATAGAGCGTGGCACAGGAATCGGGTGTAATGATGGTTCGGACCGGGCTGTGAGTCGGACCTTGGCTCAGAGGCAGTGAGGGACGGATGTCGCACAAGGAGCGGCCCAAGACGCCACAGCGACGAATCGGGATAGTGCGACGTCTGGGCAAATGGGGTGATCATCTGGCGGGCAGCAAAGACGACATTGTCCGCTGTCTCGTGCGACCGGGAATTGATCAGCTCTCTGAGAGCGTCTTGCAGAGTTTTGAAGCCATCCCCGTGCGTGAAGCGCATTTGAGGCGGATCAAAGAAGGACGTGGTCACATCCCGTTGGACGCTGGCAGGGCATTTGGAAAGTGCTTTCAGATAATCCAAATACGTCTGGCGCATGTCGGCTTGTTGTTGGTTTTCTGCCTCGGCACGGAAATGATCGTTAGAGCTCCTTGCTTGTGTGAGGACCCGTTCCCAGCTCCGAGACTTGATTATGTTCAGACGAACCAGAGCAGACACGTCGGGGAGCATGCTCTGCACCTCGGGAGCATCAGCAAATTTTGAGCCGAGCAGCGCCTTCCCCACGTCGGCTACTCCAATCGGACTTGGCAGAGGCGACCCCGTGTGAAGCGAGAACGCGCAGACGGCCCAGATGGCCCGGAGCACGGAGATCTGGCGGCGGACGCGGTCCTTTTCCTCGAGCAGATTGCTGTTGGAGCCGGCCATGAAATCGGCGAGACGCTGGCAGAGATGGACTTCCGGATCACGCAACAGGGACTGGAACAGTGCCTGATACACGCCGCGAGGCTTGTTTCTGTCGGAATCCCACAACGTCTGGGGGAGCCCCTCGACAAGTTTCTCGAGCTCCTCGTCGTCAGAGAGTGACCGGACGGCCCACGCGAGTGCCCGGGTCTCCGTCTTGACATGAGGACGCAGTGCTGCTGATTTCAGGGCGTCCACTATGCTCTGGGACTGCGGACGAGTGTCGGTAGTTGCAGAAGGTTCGGCAGAGGCCTCGGCGTTTGTCACAGTAGATTCGGCGCGTTTCTCAGGGTCTGTCAGAGCAACTGTGGTTCGTATGAAAGCCTTGAAAACAGCCGTTGCCCTCCGAAGATAAGCCCTCAGCACGCTTCCCAAGCTCTGATTCAGCGACCACAAGATTCTCGTCAGTGGCGTCTGGTACGGACTGTCGAGGGAAAACAGCGGAAGGATGGTGAATGTTCCATACACCGAGACAAAGAGGACTAGAAGAGTGGATGTAAACCCCATGATGATGATGTTGACGGGCACGAGAAACGCCACCAGACCTGCAAAGAACAGGACAAGTGCCCCGTGCAAGAGCAGCGGTGGAACACCAACGACAGCATGCATGTTGAAGCGGCGCAAACCGTAGTAAAGATACATGTACACGCGCGCGCGGACAGAGGGGGAGGAGAACATGGATGTGCGGTGCTGGTACTCCTGTGCCCACTGCTTAACCAGAGTCGCGACGAGTGCGCTCGACAAGCTCAGCGCAAGACTGGTGAACCAGAGCGCATTGTAGACGAGAGCTAAGACCGGGGGCGAGAATGGAGTGGCGGGAGGGAGTGTGTCTGTTGCTGCCGTGCCGTTTTGCATGTTCGCGAGCTGAAGCGAGATCTGGGTAAGCAGCGCAACGGTCTGGCTGCCTGAGTCCGGGTTCAAGGTCTTGTAGCTATCAATGATGAATGTCGCAACGACGCCAGAGAAGAGACCCGCCTGAGGAATCAGTTCGAGAGAGGGACCGAGATTAACAACGGCCGGAGACGCACAAAGAGCAGCATTCCATCCATCTCGTCGCGCCAGCCATCGATGAGGCCTTTATCGTAGCTCTGCGCCTCCGAGATGTAGACACTCCAGAGCTTGTTCCCGCTGGCCCTCTCGCGCTCTAGAGTTGATTCATCGGTGTCTCGCTTGTCGGTCTGTTGCTCGTCGGCTTGTGACATGGTCAAAGGCAAGAAAGAAAGTGCCGTGCTTCTCCGTACACGCTGCCTCGCCGGAACAATGAACGGTTCACAGCAATCGCGCGCCAACGCTTGCCGTAACAGATTTAGACACAGCTATCCAGGCTATTTCAAGCTCGGACGGAAGAATGATTGGCGGGCGGCGCATTCCATGGCCAGCCAGTCGGCGCTGCCAGTAGATTGACGGATGGCATCTCAAAAAGAAAGTCACATCATTATCACGTGAAAGTCCCGCAGGGCCAACTTGCCTGTTCGAAAGCGAAAAGAAATCATCACTCCTGGTCCACTTGGCCGTACTATACTGTATTACATGTCAATCTACAACCATCCAGTCCGCAAGATACCTCATGATCTCCAGAACTCAAGCACCCTGGTAAACAGGGCGACAAGGACGTCCCAGCCCGAATCGTGCGGCATCTCCACTCGCGCGTTCTCTCCCTTGACCGGTGGGTCCCCGAAACTGCGTCCTGCACGGTAAGGTCCCGAGCCGGCGTGATAATAACGGGAGAACACCGCCATGTAGGCGCTGGACGTCTCTTCGAAACGTGGGGCGCATGTGATGTGCTCGCTGCTGAGTATCTTGTCAAAGGTCGAGAATGGTTCGCTGCAGCGGGAGGACTCTCGCGCAGTCTGGGTGGGCTCATTCCGAAACGGCGACTTGACTGGCGGCGCTGCTTCCCTCTGATCGGCACTCCCAGCTACGGCCCCACCGAACCCCGAGCCCGCATCGCCGCCGCTGCCCAACCCAGCCGATCGCCAATCGCCGCGCCCAGTCCAGTCCTGCTCCCGGGTATCCGCAGCCTCGGGAGACATTCAGTCCGCGTCCGCCGCCCGCACTGTCACTCGGGGAGTCACGGGTGGCACTCACCAGCACGACGACCGTGTGGCACCCCGTCAGCCACTCGCGCACCGCAGCCGTACGCATGGGCGCGGTCTCAATCTCCGCCGCGGACCCGGGCCAGACGTCCACGCTCCCCGCGCGCGCGCGCGCGAGTGCCAGATCCAGCGGCGCCCGGGCCGGGAGCCCGCCGTGCACGATCTCGACGGTGCGCTTCTGCGCGTCCATCCCCACGCCGCGCCGGTTGCCCTTGAATGCGTGGAGCTCGAGCTGGGCCTGCCAATGGTCGCTGCTGCTGTTCTGCATCGCGCGATTCAGTACTGTAGTTGTTCTCGATTGATTCGGAGGATGTGAGGTGGGGGGGGCCGTCTATGGAGTGCCATTTTATGCTACGCAGTTACTCGGGTCTTGTTCCCGTGCAACCAAAACCCTGCCCGGACGGTCTCGAGATTCGTCGCCCCCCAACCGGACGTATCCATCCGCGGGTGAGGATATCGAACATCTTCCGGGCACGAGACCTGCGGCAGTTGCATTGCATGCAACTCAATTCGAACAGACAAAATGGATGTCTTGGACTACCAGGAAACGGGACCCTGTGTATCCGTCGCCAGCAACAGTCCATTCCTGAAATCGTAGGATCGTAGATAAACACGTCTCTAATCTCACCTAGTCGCACCCAGCAGTGAACAATCAAGACTCCTCAACGAATCCAAAGCGAGAAATGGGCTTGTATATCCGGCATGGCCTAGCCACGCGACACGAAGAACACGGTGCATGATATATGTATGTTTGTATGTGCATTTATGTACGTAGCTGCCTGCAAGACAGCAGCCCCCTCTAGGGGCACAACAGATCCAATGCCGCCAATCGAGGCGGGCAGCGCCAGCCGCACTAGGCAGCAGCGACAGAGAGACGAGACGAGCACAGACAAAGGAGAGTGAGTTTACAAAGGAAAGGAGAGCACAGCACGGCGTGCGTGTGTTCGTAGCCGGGGGTCGTATTCAAAGACCAGCGTTGTATTTGCGCCGGGAATCGTGAGCGCGGCGCGCGCGTCTGGCATGCGTCCCGTTCTGCTTCGCGAGACACGACAGCCGGGACACACGCGCCGGGGAAGCGGAGGTGGACGTGGAAGGGGATGCCGAGCCGGAGGAGGGAGCTGAGCCGGAAGCAGGGGAAGCAGGGCTGGCCGGGGGAGACCCAGAGTGGGGGGCACCGGCCGGGTTGGCCGGAGAGCCCGCAGAGGCGGAGGAGCCAGAGTTGGAGCCGGAGTTGGAAGTAGAGTTCGAGCTGGACGACGACGCAGACGATGCCCCTTGTGCCGGGTTCGAACTTGCGCCGCTTGACGAAGATCCCGCTTGCCCAGCTGGATTCACAGGCGCACTCTTCTCTGCGCCTCCGGAAGAAGACGCCTGTGCAGCGGTAGAGACAGGTGGGCTGGCCAGAGTCACAGGGTTTCCGACAGGGTTCCCTGTGCTGCTCGGGCTGTCCCCCGTGTAGGCATAGACAGGGTCAATCAGCGCTGGGACCACCGCTGCCGCCAACAGCTGGACCTTGCCACCATAGCCCACGACGGGATTGTTACCAGGGAGCGTCGCGAGCACGCCCGTCGTCACTTCATTGACACCCTTGGTGATACGGCAGTTTCCCCCCTTGACGAAATTGAAGATTCCCGCGTTCGAGCAGCAGGTCGGGTCCCCGAACTCGTTGCAATGGCACTCGTCCACAACGCGCTGCAGCACATTCGGCTGCCAGCCCATCATAAAGTCTGTTACGGTACATGGTTCAGTGGAGAACACTCAAACAACCGAAAGCGCTGCACTCACCGGCGTGGTACCCGTACCCAGTCGGATCGCCCATCGAGTAGACGAACGGCTGGCTGCTGTTCTTCGCCTGGTCTCGGAGGCCCCACCACGATCCGGTGTCGAGGTACATCTGCCGCACGTCCATCAGTCCATCAGGGTCGCCCCATGCATCCATGCATTGCGTTACACGTACCTCCATGAAAATCCGCGGCAGGGTCTTGGGGAACTTGGGATCCGAGCATGTGCCCGAGTCGGGGCCGCCGGACGGGAACGCGACGTGCGACTTGTGGTCGGGCGAGTCCGCGTTGACGCCGTCCCAGCACCTTATCGGCGGGTGATTGATAGACAGAGCGAATCAGCATCGACACGACGTAATGCAGGCACACCACACGTACATCGGGAAGTTCTGTCCAGGGCCACCGTGAGATTGTGACACGCGGCGATGATTCATGCGGAAGAAAAGACAAAACACGCACGATCTGGGCCCGGATACCGGACGGGCAGTTTTGGGCGGGGAACTCGTTAAACCGGGTCGACTTGCCATTGAAGTCCAAGCACAGGAACGTGATCGCCTGCTGGGCGTACGAGGTAGGGTCATAAGCTCGCAGCATGGGATTCCCGCTGATCATGCGGAACTGGAGCGCGAGCCTTCAGAACAGTGGTCACAGCACGTCCAAAGTCGGACTCACGTCATCGGGGAACGCCGTCGTCGTTCCGGGTGTGTCGGAGAAAAGATAGTCTGCCAATCGCGTCACGCCCTGCCCCAGTCAACAGAAATGAAATCGCATCGTACAGCTGCAGTGGCGTGAGTAGACATCCCGCACGAAACCCGCAGAAGAAGAGTAACAACAACGTACATAACCGGGTTGCCGTTCACGCTGCTGAACGAGCCGTTCGCCCATCTGCAGGGAGTCAGGGTCGCCCGAGTGCTTGCGCGTAGGAAGGACGACGCACTGGAAATAGGTGGTCTGCAGACGCAAAAATTCAGCTCCACAGTCCCCGTCTACTATCTCACGCGTTCACGCACCGGAGCCCACTAACGCAGCATAGCAAAGTAGCCGCTCGTCAGCAGGGTGTCGCGATAACGAAAGACAGGGCGGTCACGCACGTAGGCCGAGTTGTCCTCCTTGATCGGCGAGGACGTGCACTCGCTCTGCCGCAGGAAGCTCGTGTTCGTCGCCACGCGGAAGTTGCTCCCGCCCACAACTACGCGTCCGTCGCGGTCAGTCGGGAGCCGCACAGCAAAGCCATCCGCAGAGCTCACCGGTGTGGACGTGGCCCGCGACTTTGCCTGTGAAGCAACGCACGCCGCTCAGTTGACAGCGGCGATGGAAAAGAATCAAGGCGCGCGCACCAGGGCTGACGATAGGGTCGATCCGCTCCGTCGTGATCACATCGTCTGTCAGATGCAGGTCAGGCGAGACTGAATACGCGCAGTGACTGTGAACGACGACGGACTCATGGAAAAGAGAAAGTAGGCGTGCTGCATCGGGAATGATGCCGCGGCGAACGCGAGTGACAGTAAGAGCTTGGAAAAAGCCATCGGAGACGACGTCGGGATGGGATCGAAGCGGGAAGGAGCTGCAAGCCTCAAGGAAAGAGGGCGGGAACGGCGGGAGGGGAGAGGGAGGGAGGGAAGGAAGAAACACAACGTCAAGAGGAGTGATTGGCTTTTTTAGGACGTATCCCTCATTGATGATGATGGCGTTGATACAGCGCGCGTTTGAGTGTGTTTGATTTTGACGCCGATCGCGTTTGATGAAGTGATCGATCATTGATTGACCTCATCATCCATAGCGATTATCCACTTGCACGCACTAGGCCCGCGGAAACTCAGTATAAGGTCACTCAAGGACCAAAGCCTGTTTTACTTTACGAAAATTGCCATTTTGGGGTAGTTTTACTTTAAATTTCGAGGGACCCCTCAGTTTTTGTGCATACGTTCACGTGAGGCCTTTTTTGAGCTCTTGGACTGAGATTTACTGCACGTTCTGTGCTTAAATGGGTGAAAGCTGGGAAAAAGCGAGGGGAACTTGTCTGATCAGCTCCGCTTTTAGAACATTTCTCTCCCCCTCAAGCCCGAAACCGCTCAACTGGGGCTGTTTTACGCTAAATTCTGAGGTACCTTGGTACATTTTGACCCGTTTTACTTTATTCTACTGAGTGAGGTTGGGCCATTTTTGGACCTTGTTTTACTTTATTTTTGAGTGACATAATACTGAGTTTCCGCGGGCCTCACGCACTCGTGTTCAATTTACAGCAGACTTTTGTCGAAATTTCGGGTAACACCAACCGCTCTTCATCGAAGGTCTAGTATGATTGTTTGAATTCGCATGTGGTCCTTATGATCCTACCAACCTTTATCGGCTCAAATTCGAACCTTTTCTAAGCCTACCAAAACACTGTCTTCAATTCCAAACTCTGTTCAACTCCGGTGTCGCACTATTTAAGCCCAATACAACGCTTGCCGATCATCTCAAATCCAATCTTCGATATCAAGATGTCGGCCGTGTGCTCAATGGAGAAGGTTTCTGCATCCTGGACACGAATGTGATCGACTCTCACTAACATCTCCTGCACCAGCGCCTTCGATCCGAACACTGGAAATTCGACACAGTGAGGTGGATTGAGCGTGCCGTGTGAAAGAGCATCTTGATGCCGCGGTGGCTGGGATTCAGGAGGTGTACCAGTCGGAGTGGCCAGGATGTGGATATTGGGGAGCATCTCTTCCAGGAGTAATAGCTTGTCGACACACGAGACCTATATGCTTGCTCCACAGATAACTGAGACCCCACTCAGACTTATACGAAGATATCTCATCAGATGCAGACAAGGGCAATGAAGTCGTGCGTTCGGAATAACGTACAAAGCAGAGGAGGTTCTGTCGACGGTTCCGACTGCATCTCGCTTTTTTTGTCTGTATTCAGCTCCGTGGAACAGTCTTTCAAGCTTGGTGGGACACCATTGCCGACCTTGCTCGATGTCTTATTTGATGGTGGATCTTTTCAAATCGGTACCTTATCTTATCTGCTCCCATCTATCATCGGCTTTCGCTTCTTCCAGTCTTTCTCGGCCAATCTGTCCGTTTTTCAAGTAAATATAATTCTACGGTGCCCGCGACTAATCTTCGCTTTAACTTCGTCACCATAAGATCAAGTAATTAACCATGCATGTACGCCACTCATTCGAGTTCGATGACATACATCAGAGGACAAAAAAGATGCGATGAAAACCACGCAGGACCATCGCCTACGACATGACCCACGACACCCTGGCCTGCGCTCTCAAGTCTAACAGCTCCGAGCGGATCTTTGGATCCCTCGACGGCTCAATGCTCGAATCGACCGGTGGTACGACGATCTTCATGCGCTTCACTTCCTGCGATGGTTTGCCAACATTCCGATCTCGCGCACCCAGCGGCACACGTTCGACGACGCCATTCCCAGTGTCCGAGGCCGTCCGCTGAGCGAGAATCTGGCCGAGCTCGTCGCTGACGTGCATAGAGAGATCCAGCAGCCGGTCCTTGTCGTCGCTCGCGCCCTCGATGTGATCCAGCACGCCCATGTTGATGATCAGTTTCTTGAGGTCGATGGCAGACTTGGAGGACTTGGCCGCTACGACTTCGTCCTGCGAGATCGAGAACAGGACGCCCGGCTGCCACTGGACACTCTGGTCTGTTGTCTGGCACCCGACGCTACTGCTGCTCTCCGGCGCTTCGGTTTGCACGCCACGATCCACAGTCGTAGTCGGCGCTTGTGTTTGGATCACTACCTCTTTCTTCTTCTTCGGGGCGATGTTGACGGGTGGCCGGCGGGTGACGCTGGAGCTCTCACTCCGCAGCCGGCTTTTAGCCAGCGGATGCGGCTGCAGCTTCAATTTGGGTTTCACGCCCGGAGCGTTCTTCGAGGAAGCGAGATTCGGAGTCGAGCAAGAGTAGTGCCGGTGCGGCCGAACAAGAGAGCCGGGCTTGCCTGGCGACACGTTCTCTTGCTGGAACGCAGACTTGAGCAGTGGGCGGGCAGGCGGGATGGATTTGGCTTTAGCTGAGGGCGCAGGGCACGGAGAATCTTGCGGCGAGACGACCAGCGAGCTTGCTTTCCGCGGACGGGGACTGTCCACGAACACGTATTCGGCGTCCGTAGCTTCAGCAGCCTTAGCTTCAGTGGTCATCGATTTCTTGATGGATTGCTTGGCATGGGCCGTGTTCATGCTGATGACGCGGAGGACAGAGCGCCGGGGCTTTTGCGTACCCAGACTAGATTGAGAGTCAGGTTGGGCGAGACGGTCGACGAGGACAAGCGGTTTGAGGGCTGTGGTACATGTGCTCGGATTCTGGGTTCGAGGCTTGTGTTTGCTGCTTGCGTTAGCTCTTGAAGCACCTCGTGATGAAGCGGCTGAGGAAGGCTTCATGGGTAGGAATGCTGAGCGGCGTTAAATATCTTCATTGGGGTCAGAAGCGAAGTGTATACTTGCTGGATAGCGGGTAGAGATGGAAAGAGAGTGAGCCTCGTGAATGATGTCCCATCACATAAGCAAATTCTCATATCTACGTTTCCTTGGTTGAATTGTTTTCAGGGTTATACTAGTTGTATCATAGGGTTAGCGCCGGTAAAGACGAAGGGTGGTATTACATGGCTACGCGAATAAGTAAACGGACTCTGGCTTAAAGCAGATTCCAATGGCAGTGAGCAAAGTTCGAAGTCGAATCCGAGGGACAGTGGGGTGCGCTCGATCGAGGCGCGTCGATAATGGATAATGATAAGTCGAATGACCACGACAGTGAGCGTGTTGTTTATTGTGTGTACAGAGCGCGCGGCACTTCGGAGCTGCGAACGCAATGCGAGTGTGGAATGTGCCATGGATGTATGCAGTCTAGACGCTGTGCGCCGAACCAATAGACAGAGGCCGCGGACGACCTCGCTTCGAGTCTGTGTCCTCCATGGTGCGGAGCTCAACTTTAACACTGGAATCGTCACCAGAGTAGTACACGGCGTCGACATCATCGCCGTCCTCCGAGTCAGAGCCATCTTCCTCCCCCTCTTCGTCAATTCGACTGGCCCGCATCCTCAGCCAGTTCTGGAACCACCTCCCCAGGAACACCTTGATGTCAGAAGGCAAGCCGAGATACTCGGCGTTGCGTGCGAGGCCCTCCCACTCGACCGAGCCGGTCTTCAGCGCCTCGGCGATAGGGACAGTGTTCCCGAAGTACATCCAGTGCACGATGAGGTGGATGCTAGTCGGATCGGGCACGGGGAGGAGCAGGATCGGATGGTCGGGCGAGCATGGCATGAGGCGGGGCCGGCGGTTTTCAGGCACGGAGAACTTGCCGCGCGCGTTGGGGCGTGATGCCGCTGGTGATTCGGACAGACAGGATGAGGCGATGAGGTCGAGGGACGAGGAACCACTGAACAAGCCTCGCAGGAAAGTCGAATGGGCACAGAGAAAGTCGACATGCAGCTGTGTAGCGCATTTGTTACTACCGACACTTGCAGGAGGTAACTATCGAACTGACCTTCAGAGATATGCGGGGAACAGCGTTCAGTGCCGGCTCCGTTGCCCGTCGCCCGAGCGTCGGGTCACTGGACATAGAGAAGATCGGCAGATCAGGGGAGCCCATCCTCCCAGGCGCATGGGGAACAGGAATAACTACATTCGAAGCTCAGTCTACACTGATAGACCGCGACGGCGAGGAGAGCATACCAATGGTGCAATCAGCGCTTTCAGTGTTATTCCAATACTGCGGCGCAAGGGCGCGCAGCTGCCGGGCGATGTATTCGGCAGGCACTCCAGCCAGCGAAGGCGGAGGGAAAGCCCGTGCAGTGAACAGCGACGCGGTCGAGATGGGGTGGGAAGCCTTCGAAGGGGGAGATGAAGACCGCGATGCACCAGACCTGTAGCGGGGCATTTCCGTGGAATTGAAGGTGGTGGGCTGAGAAGAAGAGGCCTGTTCCACGGTGCGCGAAGTCATTTAAAATTGCGCGTCTACGCGCTATTGTCTTTCGGCGGTGGGCGTCCGAGAAAGGAACAGAAGGACCGGGAGAATGGTGGGGACTAGGAACGAAGATGAGAGGAGGCGATGAGCTGATTGATCCTTATAGCAATGTGCTTTTTCCATCTCATCGCCTGTAATTGTCTTCCGGGAGGGAACATCGACGCTGCTCTTATTGTCTTTGTCCATCACAGCGGAGCGATCATTTGATGAGTCTCCATTTGGTCAGGGTAGTTCCTTTCTAGGCAGCCGGTTCTCTCTGCTTTGGGCTGATTATCAATTCCTACGGAAAGAGCGCACTTTCACAAGACACGAGGCACGTTTCATCCTTGAAACGGAAGATGTGGGTCCAGCAGCAGATACGCTCCTGTGAGATACAGATCCCGAAAGTTCTAGAAGCGTTGAAACGCCTTTGCTTGTTCCGATCCAACAATAAGAAGGGGGGCCACCAAGAATAAAACCACGGGGGCGGGATCCTCTTGACTATGTATGACCATGGAAACTGTATGAATCCAGAACCCAAGCTCAAGCCCGGCGTGGATGTCACCGTGGAAGGAGGCCCACGTCATGTGACTGCACCAGAATCACAATCTCTTTTCGCAAATGACTGTTTGTCTCAACTCATTGAAACACAACTCACGCAAATGGTCTCTGTGCGCTCTTCATCGCTCCGTAACTACGAGAGTCCAGGCGAAGACTTAGGCAGAGCTCGATCAACGTGGCAGTGCACACCTGAGCTTGCAGCTTACCACAACCGATGCAAGATGGCTTGCCCGAAACCACTCCCCTCCTCACGCGCAACAGGTGGCCTCGAGTATCACCTGTTACGCTGATCATCCCCGTGGCCGCAATATGCCGACTAGCCATCCGCCTTCCCTCCACGACTACCTTTCATGTTATTCAACAGCTACTATGCCGGCTGCACTATCTGGACGCAGATTCGACGCGAATTCCGGCTACCGGAAACATACCCGACGAGCTTTGCGCTATTCCGGACGTCCAACAGCAGTATGCCGCGGCGCTTACGGCGATGGCAATGAGTGACGGAATTGGGTGTGCGCTTCTTCGTCGCCGCGGGCGATTGGATTCATGCTGACAAGTGTGCTGCAGCTATCCTTGCCTACTCCGGGCTGGGCCTCGTTGCGTCCCGAATGGGCCGTAAACCCGCCATCCTGTTGGTCGTTGCCGTAGGCTTACTGGCGAATGTGCTCGTTATCACGTCGAAGCTTATCGGGAGCACGACGGCACAAGTGGGGCTACTCTGCATGTGGATGGCGTGCAACTCGCTGTCTCAGCCGTTGATCATTGTGTTTGCGACCAACATGTATCTTGTTGATCTGGTCGGCCATGAACAGAGAACTTCAGCGCTGAGTACCTTGTGGGGATGGTCTACCTTGGGTGTGTTGCGTGATTTAGCATTTTGCCATCCGTTTTGATGTTGAACACAGGTTCTGCTCTCTCATTTGTCGTTGGTGGCTCGATCACAGCCCAATTCAAGGACGAACTACCCGTCTATTATGTCACGGGGACGATTTGGATCGCACTATTCGCATATATCACCCTTTTCATCCCTGAGTCCTACCCCAAGCATAAACGAAACGCACTGAGACGCGAGCCAGGTGCTGTAGATTCATCGTCCTGGATTCAGCAGCACATTTTACCTATCTTCGAGCCGCTCTCCCTTCTCAAACCGGTTTGTGATCCTGAGACTGGACAGCGGGAATGGCGGCTGGCTATCTGTGCACTTCACGCATTCTGTGTGGATCTCGGCGGAGCCTATGGAGCTACTGCCCTGATTGTCTATCTCACCGGTGTGCAGAGATACACTCCCCAAGAGGTATGTCTCCAGCTAGCCTTGTCAGTGACCCTGTCACTTATGGACCTGATTAGACAGGCTACGCACTGACGACGCTTAATCTCGTTGGATTCACTGTCTTGACTGTGATCATACCTTCCCTGATTCCCCGACTTCGCAGGCTTTATGGGCCGAGAGATGATCATAGCCTGGCTCAAACAAGGGATTGTGTGGACATCCTCGTGGTCTTTCTCTCCTGGGTGATGGACGCTGCTGCATTCATCTTCCTGGCCTTGGCAGAGAGTAGAATAGCTCAAATGACAGGCGCGTATCCCCTCTTACTGACAGGCACCCAGTATCTGTGTGCTGACCTGCCCCGGACAGCTGTCACGCTGATCGGACTCAGCGCAGGTCGTCACCCCGTTTTCCGAAGCTTGGCTGTGTCGGGCGTCAATCCTTTGAAGCAAGGCAAGTACGTTCATGCTCCCGGAGATACTACAGTGACATCGTGGCAGGTCAGACACTGGCGGCCATAGAAATGGTCGCGAGTGTCGGGAAGTTTCTGTCCTCCATTCTGATGGGTGGGATCCTCTCAGCGTGCGTGACCTGTGACGATGCTTGACTAATGACCATTGTCGGGAGCCTAACATGTATGACAGGACAATATCTACTGTTCCGCAATTCGTCTTCTATGTTCAAGCGGTGTGTCTGTCCATGGCAAAAGTTCTCAACTTACCTCATCGACGATCAGGCTATTGTTGTGACAGCTGCATCATCGCTGTTCTTCGCGACCTAGGATGGGTATCATGAATAGATATCTCTGCACGGTGCTGAAAGTGATGGTGTTAAGATTGTTTTGTCGAAAATATAATGTCAATACATTCCAGAAATGGAAATTGAATGAATCAGTCTCAGGAAAACGAGCAAACTTAAAGCATATCAAGGGAAACAATAATCGCCGAAAAAGTGATTCGACCCAGGTTCGAACTGAGGACCGCCTGTGAACCATTTGCTCGCCAGTGGAACTCAAATGTTAGACAGAAGTGATAACCAACTACACCATCGAACCATGCAGATCGACCAGTATAGATAGAGTATAATTGGATTCACTTGTACGGATGATCCATCTGTTATGCACACGGTCAGGCGCTGATGATCCTGCCAGATCCTGTCAACAGAAATGACGACTTTGAACGACATCCCCACCAGAAGGAGATAACAGTCCAGCCGTTCCCTTGCATCTCTATTTAGCTGTACAACAGAAGATGATGGAATCACACTGCTAGTCTGGTCCAAGAATCTGGGTGCATTGAGATAGCTGCGGATTACCACACAGGTGCATCTCAGCTTGTCAGTCTCCAGTGAATGGGTTGGAGATCAGATATGCGCCGTCACATGTAGCTCGAATATCAGGTTCTTTGTCGTAATTCTGTCGGCATCCTCAAGTTCTAGTACTCGGCAACGCTGTCACTGTACAGTAACATTGGTCACAGCTACCATGCACGGCAGTGGCGTTGGGCACGGAAACCTTTAGTGACGGATTAGCCTAGCCGTTAACGCTTTCGTCCAATACCCTGCGACCGGGCTACTGGAGCCGAAGGACGCATATAAGTGCGTCAGCTGCGTGGCGATCGCGTAGCGAGATCCTGGCAAACTGCATGGGCCCCACGCCGAGCCCAGGAAATGTGCGCGGCACCGGCGCGTCAGGAACACTTTCCACGTTGCTTCACAGGGGTCCCCATGTCGGTAAGAGAGTTAGGCTCAGTCTTATGCTCAACAAGAACCGTACAAGGCGAGTCTCCCTGCCTATCGTCGTGAGGTAAGTATTATTTGTCTGGTTATCAATGACATGTTGCTGACAGGAAGCGGTGGTCCAAAGTTTCGTTGACGGGCGAGAATCGGCCGTGGGCTTGTATTCGTAATTTCATATTGCGCAGGAATATATCCTTGGATAGCGAAGATTTCGAGGTATGCCAATATAGCCGCTGGGCACGGATAGAGGGCATGCACTAGAGACACGGTGAGAGATGACCGTGGTGTAGACCAGTGTGAGAAAATGGTGGACGTTGGAATCGATCGCATAATCGGAGAAAGAGATGAGCTCTCTCCAGACCCTTGAGCTTCTGCAAGCGCAGTGCCGTTTGGAGCGACTTTGGAACGGCCAGAATATGTGAGCGAGTGAAACGGTTCGCGGAAAAATATACTGCAAATGGGTGGCTATGTATTGGCCCGATTTTGCCCACGCGTCATAATTTCACCAACTTGCTTCCTTCCTTCCATGTCGTCCCCCCAGCCGGGGAGCAGCGATAGCCACCCTTCCGACTCGACGTCACCCTCCGTCGAGGCGCATCCCAATGACCCTTTCAGCACGCTGAATGGTGCTGGGCGGACGGCTGCATTTTACGACCACGACGACCTCGAATATCCCATCCCAACACGGCCCGATACCTTCATCTCTGAGACCCCCAGCTATGACCAGGGCAGCACCTACGACCCATACGGTGCGCGCCTCTTCTTGCCGCTCTCGTTGGATATAGCTCATCGCTGTGTACAGCCCCACCCGATACCGACTCCGATGGCGATGTTTACGGCCAGCGCTTCGCCACCTCGGCAGAATCATTGAGCGCTCACCGCGCAACGCCCACCTTCAGTGAATACACCGGCGGGAGCTCTACTGATGCTTACCCCGCTTGGGCAACGGACCGTCACATTCCACTGTCGAAGGAGGAGATTGAGGACATTTTTTTGGATTTGACGCAGAAGTTTGGGTTTCAACGGGATTCGATGAGGAATATGGTGAGTCTTCCCCTCCATTCTCGTGTATTGCCCCAGCTGTGTCGTGCATCGTGCGCCGGGCGGGCGGATGTAAGGAGGGGGCGCAATGGCAGGGTGTCTGTGTCTGCCATAGTGCGCTCGACTGCAGCTCTGCTGCCTTTTGGGTCGTCCTATGAGCGCTTCCATCCAGCTGTGTGCTACGCTCCAGCTGCCTTGCGGCTGGGTTTCCTTAACTGCTATCAGTGCTGCGGCACCTTGCGATCCCAATTGGCTCGTTCATCTGCGGTGGCCTTCATCTCTTTTCGTAGTATGCTGACATATGCGTAGTTCGACTTTCTGATGCAGCAGCTCGACTCGAGAGCCTCACGCATGTCGCCCAACCAGGCATTACTAACGCTCCACGCGGATTACATCGGGGGCCAGCACGCCAATTATCGCAAATGGTACTTTGCCGCTCAGCTGGACCTGGACGATGCCGTCGGACAATCCCAGAATCCTGGCGTCACCCAGGTTGCTAGGCGAAAATCGCAGAACGGTAAAATGACCGGCTGGCGGACGGGACGGGAGAAGGCTTTGAGCACGGCTCTGGAGCGATGGCGGCAGGCTATGCATACCATGAGCCAGTATGATCGGCTAAGGCAGATTGCGCTGTATCTCATGGTGTGGGGCGAGAGTGCTCAGGTCCGTTTCTGCCCCGAGGCATTGTGTTTCATCTTCAAGTGCGCGGATGACTACTATCGCTCGCCGGAGTGCCAAAATCGGATGGACCCCATTCCGGAAGGCATGTACCTGCGTTCAGTGGTGCGGCCTCTATATCGGTTCATTCGGGACCAAGGATACGAAGTCGTGGACGGGAAGTTTGTCAGGCGGGAGAGGGACCATGATGCAATCATTGGATATGATGATGTGAACCAGCTATTCTGGTATCCTGAAGGCATTGCTAGGATAGTCCTGCAGGATAATGTGCGTCCGCTTTCTTTGCCACGCAAGACTTGTTGCTCACTTTGTCCAGACTCGGCTAGTGGATCTGCCTCCTGCTCAGCGTTTCATGCGCTTCGATCGGATTGATTGGAATCGTGCGTTCTTCAAGACATACTACGAGAAACGGTCTTTCGGGCATCTCCTCGTCAACTTCAACCGGATATGGGTCATCCACATCGCGTTGTATTTCTTCTACACGGCATACAACTCTCCGGCCATCTACACCGTCAACGGACATAGCGTCCCGGCTTTGACATGGAGCGCTGTTGCCCTCGGAGGGGCTGTTGCGACCCTGATCATGATCCTCGCTACCCTGGCTGAATTCTCGTATATCCCCACAACCTGGAACAACACTTCGCATCTGACAAGGAGGCTCCTGTTCCTGTTGGTCATCCTTGCGATCACCGCCGGGCCCACTTTCTACATTGCCATCGCAGCCAACAATGGGAGCGCGGGCACTGTTGCTTACATCATCGGCATCGTTCAGTTCGGCGTCTCGGTTGCTGCGACAGCCCTATTCGCGATTGTCCCTTCCGGCCGGATGTTTGGAGATCGTGTCGCAGGAAAGAACCGAAAATATCTCGCGAGCCAGACCTTCACGGCGTCGTATCCTAAACTTCCGGGGCCCAACCGGGCTGCAAGCATTTTGCTTTGGGCTCTGGTCTTTGGTTGCAAGGCAGTCGAGTCGTACTTCTATCTGACGCTCTCGTTCCGTGCTCCGGTCGCTGTCATGATCGGCATGAAGATCCAAGGGTGTCACGACAAGTTCTTCGGGAATGCACTCTGCCGAAATCACGTCGCGTTCACGCTTGCGATCATGTACGTCATGGAGCTCGTGCTGTTCTTCCTGGATACATTCCTCTGGTATGTCATCTGGAACACGGTGTTCAGTATCGGCCGCTCTTTCAAGCTGGGACTATCCATCTGGACGCCCTGGGGCGACATCTACCAACGATTGCCGAAGCGGATTTATGCCAAACTGTTGGCGTCGTCCGAACTGGAGAACAAGTATAAGCCCAAAGTTCTGGTGTCCCAAATCTGGAATGCAGTCATCATCTCGATGTACCGAGAGCATCTACTTTCCATCGATCACGTTCAGAAGCTGCTATACCACCAAGTGGATCTGGCCAACGGAAGGAGGACCTTGCGGGCCCCGCCCTTCTTTGTCGCTGACGGCAACAAGGACGACGGAAACTTCCTTCCCAAGGATAGCGAGGCGGAGCGACGAGTCTCGTTTTTTGCGCAAAGTTTGACGACGGAGATTCCCGCTTCTCTGCCTGTGGATGCGATGCCGACGTTCACCGTCCTCACACCGCATTACAGCGAAAAGGTACGTTTTTCTTGCGGCGTTCATATAGGTTACTGATCGCAGTATCTAGATCCTGCTGTCTTTGCGAGAGATCATTCGCGAGGAAGACAAGAACACGCGCGTGACGCTCTTGGAATATCTGAAGCAGCTGCACCCCGTCGAATGGGAAAACTTCGTTCGTGACACCAAGATACTTGCCGAGGAGTCTGCCATGTACAATGGTTCGCCGCCGTTCGACGAGAAGGCCACGTCCAAGGCAGATGACCTCCCATTCTACTTCATCGGTTTCAAGAGCGCTGCACCGGAGTTCACACTGCGCACGCGCATCTGGTCGTCTTTGCGGGCGCAGACTCTGTATCGAACGGTCTCCGGGATGATGAACTATTCGAAAGCGATCAAGCTCCTTTACCGTGTCGAGAATCCGGATGTGGTGCAGCACTACGGTAACAATCCGGACAAGCTCGAGCGTGAGCTGGAACGCATGTCACGGCGCAAGTTCAAGTTCTTGGTGTCGATGCAACGGTATTCCAAGTTCAATAAAGAAGAGCAGGAAAACGCCGAGTTCCTCTTGCGTGCCTACCCGGATCTGCAGATTGCCTATTTGGACGAAGAGCCCCCCAGGAGAGAAGGTGGAGAACCCCGAATCTTCTCTGCCCTCATCGACGGCCACAGCGATTTCATCGGCGATACGGGGCGGAGGAGGCCTAAATTCCGGGTCGAGCTTCCTGGTAACCCCATTCTCGGTGACGGCAAGTCGGACAACCAGAACCACGCGATCATCTTCTACCGTGGAGAGTACCTTCAGCTCATCGATGCCAACCAAGACAACTACCTCGAGGAGTGTCTCAAGATCCGGAACATCCTGGCTGAGTTCGAGGAGCTACAGACGAGCGAGACGAGCCCTTATTCTCGCTGGGATGCGAAAGAGTTCGGGCAGACTCCTGTTGCGATCGTCGGTGCGCGCGAGTACATCTTCTCGGAGAACATCGGTATCCTCGGCGATCTTGCTGCTGGCAAGGAACAGACGTTCGGTACGCTGTTTGCGCGGTCCATGGCGTGGATTGGCGGCAAGCTGCACTACGGACATCCTGATTTCCTGAACGCGATCTATATGACGACCCGCGGTGGTGTGTCGAAGGCGCAGAAGGGCCTGCACCTGAACGAGGATATCTACGCTGGCATGAACGCGTTTGGTCGGGGAGGGAGGATCAAGCACACTGAGTACTTCCAGTGTGGAAAGGGGCGTGATCTTGGGTTCGGGACTATCCTCAACTTCCAGACGAAGATCGGCACGGGTATGGGCGAGCAGATGCTCAGTCGCGAGTACTACTACCTTGGCACGCAACTCCCGATCGACCGATTCTTGACGTTCTACTACGGCCATCCGGGTTTCCACATCAACAACATGCTCGTCATTCTGTCTGTGCAGGTTTTCATTGTCACTTGTGAGTGCCTTGACGCTCTTGATGAGTATGTTTTCTGACGTGCATCCGCAGTGGTCTTTGTCGCGTCTCTGACGTCGAGTATCACGATCTGCAAGTACACGTCCTCAGGACAGTTCATCTCTGGTCAAGCTGGATGCTACAACCTGGTTAACGTCTCGTCCTGGATCCACCGGTGTATCATCAGTATCTTCTTGGTGTTCATGATTTCCTTCCTGCCACTGTTCCTGCAAGGTTAGTGGCCCTCGTCCCTGTACAAGCGATTTCTCACGCCTTGACAGAGCTGGTCGAACGCGGCACCTGGAAAGCTTTACTACGGCTTTCGAGACAGTTCGGGTCTCTCTCCCCTGTCTTCGAAGTGTTCTCGACTCAGATCTACACGCACTCGATCATCAGCAACTTGACGTTCGGTGGGGCACGGTACATCGCGACAGGCCGTGGGTTCGCTACGAGTCGGATCCATTTCAGCACGCTGTTCTCCCGTTTCGCCGGCCCAAGCATCTATCTGGGGATGCGCACGCTGATCATGTTGCTGTATATCACGCTGGCCGACTGGACGCCGTTCCTGATCTACTTCTGGGCATCGATCCTCTCGCTGTGCATCGCGCCGTTCCTGTTCAACCCGCACCAGTTCGTGTTCTCTGAATGGGTCGTCGACTACCGCGAGTTCTTGCGCTGGATGATGCGCGGTAACTCGCGTGCTCATAGCAACTCGTGGATCGGATACTGCCGTCTGAGCCGGACGATGATCACCGGGTACAAGAAGAAGAAGCTTGGTCATCCGTCCGAGAAGCTATCTGGGGATGTCGCTCGTGCTGGTTGGCGGTCTGTGCTGTGGGCTGAAGTGATGTTCCCCATCGCTATGGCCATCCTGTTTGTGATTGCGTACATGTTCGTCAAGTCGTTCCCGGACCAGAATGGGGTGATGCCTCCGAGCCCGCTCGTGCGCATGCTGGTGATTGCATTCGGGCCTTTGGCGTGGAACGCCGTCGTTCTCCTGCTGTTGTTCGTCGTGTCGATCTTCATTGGGCCCATGCTCGATGGCGTGTTCCCGCTCTTCGGCTCTGTGATGGCTTTCATCGCACACTCGCTCGGGTTGATTGGCATGGTCGGATTCTTCGAGTTCTTCTGGTTCCTCGAGCGGTGGAACGTGGCGCATGCTGTGCTCGGATTGATCACGATAATCGCCATCCAGCGCGCGACTCACAAAATGCTTATCGCGGTCTTCCTCTCGCGGGAGTTCAAGCATGACGAGACGAACCGGGCGTGGTGGACTGGTCGGTGGTACGGTCGTGGACTGGGATCGCACGTTGTTTCGCAGCCAGCGCGAGAGTTTATCGTCAAGATCCTGGAGCTCTCACTCTGGAGCTCGGATCTGATTATGGGGCACATCCTGCTGCTGATGCTTACACCACCTGTGCTCATCCCCTACTTTGACCGGTTACATGCCACCCTGCTCTGTTAGTATCTTTGTTGTGCCTCGTGTTCTCGCGCTGTTCTGACTCCTGGTGTCCTACTCTAGTCTGGCTGCGGCCTTCGAAACAGATCCGCGCGCCTCTGTACTCGATCAAGCAGAGGAGACAGCGGAGGTGGATCGTGCGTCGTCTTCGTGCTTTTGTTGTGGTGCATGGCTGACTCGTTTCGTAGATCATCAAGTATGGTATCATCTACGTTCTTGCTATGGCGCTGATCGCTATTCTGATCGTGCTTCGTGAGTGTGCTTCCCCCATGCTCGCGTCGCATGCCCTTGATCTGACGTTGCGACAGCTCTCATATTCCACTCGACGATGCACTTCACATGTTCCATCTGCACGAGCATATAATATCATAGTGCCGGACTTTCATTTTTATCTTATTAGACTAGCACACTCGTTGGCTTTGCTGGATAACGGACATGGACTATCCTATAATACACAAAAGTGTCCCGCTCTCCGTTGCAAGTGAGATCATTGCACAAACTCGTGCGTCAACAGCATCAGCAACCGAGATTGGTAGTCGTCAACACAGGTCTCCGATATGCTCGTATAGGAATCCGATTAGTCACCACAATCCATATCAAACGCTTGGAGGAGAACGGAGAGGGAGGCGATTGGGCACTGGGATCGCACTCAGAGGCTACGTCCCATGGCACACACACGACGAGCTGTCGACTCTCACCGCGGAGACACATCCGCTGACGACGAAAGTGAAGCCGACCGAAACACCGGCTTCCTGGTGCTCGGACGCGAGCTGCCCAAATCGACGGATGTTTTCACGCGCCTTGATTATACATACAGATTGCGCGCATGATTCTAGACTACAGTAAATAAACGGTGAATTGCACGCTCTGCGATGGTCCCTTCACACCGCGTCACTCATGAGCGGGATAAAGGCGGCAAAAATGTCCTCGGGAGGAAGGAGCGGCTTCTGCATCCGTTCCCAGGTCCGTTCGAGCCGCGCCTGCATGTATCTGCGGATCCGTTGAGCATTGTCCTGGTGTGATTTCTGCTGATTGTCCGCTTGCACCTCCGACACAGCCGTGTCCAGGACGCGCAATGCATCCAAATTGGTGATATACCCATCGTGCTCATCAACGGCCGAGTAAAGCACCGCGCTGAACACATGCTCATCCGCAAGACGGTCCTTTGGATATTTGCGAATGAATGCAGAGGCGGCGTCGGCGAATCGATGTTGTAGCTCAACCGGGATCACCGAACGAATGTTGGCGACTCTGTAGTGCACCAGTTTGAGCGTCGCCAAGTCCATGTCCTGATCAGTTTGATCCGGACTCTGGGCGGTACACTGCTCGAAGAACGTGCTGAAAAGACCCACGTATGCACAGCCGTAAACTAGCTGAGCCGACGGCCGCTCCGTCCGTTCATCGTTGTCAAGGCCAATCACGGCGCGGAACCACTCCTCGTCGTCGAAAATGCTGGGTAATTGCTCCCATTCGCACAAATCCCAGAGGAAACTGTTGAGCACAACGGAATGGACAACAGTGCGTAGGGATTTCAGCTGCTTGAGTCCGCAGAGTACGGAGGACCCGAACATGGGTATCGAGGTCTCTCGGTGGCATATTGGACTCAAGTAAATTCCGATAAATCAGTTGGAGGGCGTCGGCAGATGGCTGGGGATCAATTCCGTATGACAAGTTCCTGCATAGCTGGTGGCACAGGTATCGGGTGTAATGATGCTTTGAAGCGGGGTGTAAGTCGGACCTCGGGTCGGAGGCGGCGAGGGAGGGATATCGGATGAGGAACGGCCCAAAACCCGGCAAGAACAAATCAGAATAATTTGATGTCTGGGCAAACGCGTTGATCATCTGACGAGCAGCAAAGACGGCATTGTTCGCTGTCTCGTCTGACTTGGATTGGATTAGCCGGGAGAGAGCGGAACGCAGAGTTTCGTAGCCATCCGCTTCCGTGAACTGCATTTGTGACCAGTGGAAAAGTGAATTGGTCACATCCCGCTGGAAGCTGGTAGCGCATTTGGAAAGTGCTTCCAGATAATCCACATACGTTTGCTGTATGTCCGCTTGGCGTTGGGCACGAATATCACCGTCTGAGCTGCTCGGCTGTATCGAGGCCCGTCCCCGACTCCGAGACTCGATCATGTTCAGACGGATTAGAGCAGACACGTCAGTGACCATGCTCTGCACGCCAGGAGAATCAAGAAATTTTGAGCCGATCAGTGGATAGTTCACGTCGGCTTCTCCGATCGGACTTTGCAGCGGCGAACCCGTGTGGAGAGAGAACGCGCATATGGCCCAGATGGCCCGGAGCACGGACAGCTGGCGGCGCAGGCGGACTTTGTCCTCAAGCAGATTGCTGTTGGAGCCTGCCATGAAATCAGCAAGACGCTGGCCAAGATGGACTTGCGGATCATGCAACAACCTCTTGAACAGCGCCTGATACACGCCACGAGGCTTGTTTTTATCGAAATCCCATAGCGTCTGGGGGAGCCCCTCGACAAGTTTCTCAAGTTCGTCATCGTCAGAAAGAGACCGGACAATCCACGCGAGTGCCCGAGTCTCCGTCTCAACAGGAGGATGCAGTGCTGCCGACTTCAGGGCTTCCACAATGCTCTGGCTCTGCGGACCGGTCTCTGCAGGTGTAGAAGGCTCGGCAGAGGTCGCGGGGTTCGTCACAGTAGATTGAGCGCGTCTCTCTGGATCTGGCACAGCGACTCGCTTTCGAAAAAAGGCCTCGCAAACAGCCACTGCCCTTGGAAGAGAAGTCCCCCTTCCATTTCTCAAGCTCTGATTCAGTGACCAGAGGATCGGTGTGAGTGGCGTTTGATACGGACAGTCGAGACGGAACAACGGAAGGGCGGAGAATGTTCCGTAGACGGAGACGAACAGGAGCAGAAGAGCGGAAGAGATGCCCATGATGATGATGTTGATGGGCACAAGAAACGCCACCAGACCCGCAAAGAACAGGACCAGTGACGCATGCAACAGGAGAGGGGGAACGCCAACCACGGCATGCATATTGAAGCGGCGCAAACCGTAGTAGAGATACATGTACACGCGCGCACGGACAGAGGGAGACAAGAACATCGATGTCCGGTGCTGGTACTCCTGCGCCCATTGTTTGACGAGTGTCGCGACGAGTGCACTCGACAAGCTCAGTGCGAGACTCGTGAACCAGAGTGCGTTGCATACGAGTGATGAGACCGGGGGTGAGAAGGAAGCGGGGGGAGGGAGAGCGTCCATCACCGCTGTGCTATGGTTCGGGTTCCCGAGCTGGTGCGATATCTGGCTGAGCAGTGCGACGGTCTGGCTGAGCAGCACGACAGTCTGGCTGCTCGAGTCGGGGTTTAGTGTCTTGTAGCTGTCGATGATGAATGTGGTGACGACTCCCGAGAAGAGACCGGCCTGACAAGTGAAATTCAGAGATAGATTCGGATTGAGAGGAGTCAAAGACGCACGAAGATCAGCAGACCATCCATCTCGCTGCGCCAGCCATCGATGAGACCCTGATCGTAGTTTTGCGCCTCGGTGATGTAGGCGCTCCAGAGCTTGTTCCCGCTGGCCCTCTCGCGCTCGACACGCTCTTCGTCCGCCTTTCGTTGGTCTGCCCGTTGTCTCTCAGCTTGTGACATGGTCAAAGGCAAGAGGTGAACTACTTTGCCTCGTGTTTCCGCAGCGTTTCACCATGCACGCTGCCTCACTGGGACAATGCCACAGCTCACAGCCACCAAGCGCCCAACGCCGAAGTGGTGGATTCAGACACAGGCGCTCCAGGAAGCCAACACAAGCTTTGACGGCACAAAGCTATTGTCCGGCGGCGCATCCCGAGCCATGGCAGTCCATTGGCGCTTCCGAGAGATAAACAGATTTTGCATCAAGCACCAGGACGACGGCGCCGATCCCGGGAGGCGCATGTGTGTCGATGAGTCGCCGTAGAATGTCAGAGAGCAAACGGGAAGGTCGCATAGTCTCGAAAGGGACAGAGGACACTCTGGTACGCCCAGGGCCCCATTGTACTGGGTCACATGCGATGTGATGTGACCGTCCCTTCTCTAGCAGCTCTGCTCAAAGTCGCACTCTCATAAACACTGATGTCTTGTCAGCCAGTCTCGAGCTCTGATCTTCTTGACCTCGGCCGAAATGGCTCTCCCCGTGATGCATGGACGCTGTGTCGGTGGGCAAGGAAGGGTGATCGGTGGCTGTGCTGATCGGATCTATAGTCAAGCCGATTGTTCCGTAGATAGCTCAGATCGTTGTTCTCCGCCGCCATCGCACGCGCCTATCAGAGCATCGCCACACTCCGATTCCCTCGCCCCCCGCTGTCCCATCGTGGTGATTGGAGTGCGGTTCGTACCCGTCCACGGATTAGTGCGATCGACTGTCGATCCTCGGAAAAAAGTCTTTTTCATTCTGCATACGTCGCCTACGTCGCCCTTGTGCCCACGTCCCCTGTGCCCACGTCGCTTACTGTTCCGAAAATACCGTTCTCCACTCGTTCCCACGGTCTTCTGGGCGCCATTGACCTAGCGTCCTACCCGCCCACTCGTCGTCAACCGAGACAGCGGCAGCGTAGCGCATCTGAGCCCTCTCTGTTTTACACCACTTCGCCGCTGACAGAGCTCAGCAACCCAAGCACATCTTCAAGCCCGACTGGCCCGCCGGCCACCTTTAAACTGTCCCATCTAATAACCCCGCCGACGTCGACCACGTCACAACAGATCCCTCGACCACGCCCAGCTATACCCATGCCCTCAGCCGACGTCACGCCATTCTCCGGTCGCCGAGACAGTACGAACATGCTCACTGCCGATTGGGTCCGTGCAGTCCGCCAAATGGTCGCCGACCGCCAATACGCGACAACCGACGAACAGATACGCGCTGTCAACTACCATCTGAAACCAGATAGTCCGGCAGAAGACCACATGCTCGGCTTGGCAGCAACGTCGCCGGCACGCGCGTCCCTCGATGCGTACCTGGGCGAGCTCGCAACCACATTTCCGGGCCTCAAGCCGATTCGTCGCACCGCCGCTTCTTATGAGGCGGAGCTCCTGAAAACGAGGATCACGGTGGCAGAGCTTGCCGCGGAGACGGTGAAGAGAGGGGAGGTGGAAGTCTACGTCCAAGAGGACTTTGCGAACCAGGTGGAGGACTTGGCCATGCAGGCAAAAGTCAAAGGCACACTCGCTGGGTACCCGCTGTGGAAGGAGAACCAACCAAGCATAATCGTAAAGGCCCTTACACCAGATCCGACGAGCTGGGCAGGCGTGGCCGCACAGATCCGGGCAATCGCTAACTCGGACATCCACGAACTCGCAGAAGGTTACCGGGCCGCGGCCAACACATTGCGAGAACAACAACTCCTCAAAGCCAATGTCAACGACTTGACGCGCAGCTTTAGCGCCTTCCGGTTGTCTCCGACGTCCCACGCGACTGCCGCCGTAGCTTCCAAGCCGGCGCACGTCCCCCCGGCAACCAGCCGACCACCGAACGTGACCCAGCAAGACCGACCCCGTCAGGCGCAATTCGAAAGAGACTACACCCCGACGACAGAAGAGGTCGCGCAAATCAGGGCGGCTCGCGAGAAGTGTATTTCACTCGCACAACCGGACACTCCGCAAGGACGGGCCACGTACAACCAGCAACGAGCTGCATGGGCGACTCAGCACGACGCTGCACGACTAGCCGGCAACCAACACCTTTGGGAAACCGGATACCCGCTCGCCCCTGGAACGCAGGCACCATGCAGCCGCGAATGCTGGAAGTGCGGGTACCCCCGTCATGGAGGTGGGGAGTGCACGGCGCCGTTTGTCCCTAGCGACGAGCGCCGGTTCCGGTACCTCTGCCACACATGGCTGGGCCAGACACGCGCCGGGCCAGCCCCAGTGCCCGTGAACGTAGTTGATTGGACTTCAATTGGGACGCCGACGGAGGAGGACCTCCGGGATTTTCAGGCGGGGCTGACGCAATAGGCGATGCATCGGCCCCATACTCTGGCCAATTGGACGTGCCGGAGGGTCACCAGCATACAGTCGACACTAATGTATTGCAATCTCTTGAACTTGAAACTGTCGACCTGTTTACTGTGGACGAGCCTGAGAACGACCAACCCCTATTCAAACACACAATATCTATGGAGGGCCCTAACGGCGAGCGTGTGCGTGGCACGGCGCTCTTTGACGGGGCGGCTGGATCGGGAGTACTGGACAGCACGTGGTTTGCGGCGCGGAGACACAGGCTGGGCAACGTGTCCAAGCCACAGAAGCGGCTAAGGATGGCAAATGGCACCACAATATCGTCGTCTGCACACTGGGAAGGAACCGTTGACGTTGGCGGTATCAAAGTTCGAGCGGAGTTCGAAGTGATCGACTCGGGAGGGGCCTGGACCATCCTGCTCGGGAAACCCATTCTGCGGGCGCTGCGGGCGGTTCAGGACTTTCGAAAGGACACTGTCACGGTGTCCGATGGGGCGAGCAGATCACTGCTGTTCAACGAATCGAGTGCGTGTCGACCTACACGAGATGCACCTAAAGGAGGGCACCGGGGATTGGGGCGAGAAGCCTCTGTGGGGGATGAGTTGTCTGCAACCTCCCCCCCGAGGCGAGTAGACCCCGTGCTAGACCCCCAACTTGTTGATGCAGAGTCAACAGGAACACACGACATGGACCCTGGAAACCGGCAAGGAGGGATTAACCCGACGGAGAGCGCCACGCAGGGCAAGACACACCTGGCAACGGGCCGTGAAACCCCAGAGGGGGTAGAGTTGTGCGCAGCCACCCCCGCGAGGGGAGTACAAGCTGCTTGCTCATTGCGTTTGAGGGCAGCTGACAACCTTTACGAGGAAGAGAACGTGAACGGGGACGCTGGTCTAGAGGCCATGAATGATGCTGGAACCAGGGATGTGGGTATAGAGACGAGGGGCAGGAAAGCAGAGGAGAGAGGAGAGCCCATGGCACCGCGGCTAGCCGCAACGGGGGATGACTTGTCCGCAATCTCCCCCGCGAGGCGAGTCTTGCTTGATATCCTTCCGCGTTGGTGGATAGCTGATTACCCTATCCATGGCAACGGCAAAGGGCGCAATAGGCGAGAAGGAAACGAAGAGTGCTACGCAAACCTGCCCGTGTCTGAGACGCATGTGGCCTTCGAGGGGGTCGAGTCGTACGCGGTCACCCCCGCGAGGCGAGTCCCACCAACCATAACCCCTGTGAGCAGTGCTGATGCATTTGTGCTCGAAGCGAGCCTGGACAAAAAGACCCTGTTCACACGCCTCACAAACCCATTCATGACAGAGAGGGTCCAGAAAATCGTCGAACTTGTCGAGATTGGGCCGGATGTGTCCACAACAGAAAGGGAGACCGCCCGTGCACTGGTTAAGGAGTACGCGGACATCTTTGCGCTGGCGGTCAGCGAAGTGAAAGCAGTGCCCGGTCGGAAATACTCCCCGAAAATCCCCGAAGGCCACGACTTTGGCACCAAGACCGTGAATCAGCGCCCGATGTCGCCGCCGCAACTTGCGTTCCTTACGAAGCAAGTCGACGAATTAGTTGCTGCTGGCATCCTCAGACGCATTGATGCCAAGGACGTTCGGTGTGTGAGCCCAATCACAATGGCGCCGAAGGACCAACCAGATGGTATCTGCTTGACGGAGTTGCTGCATCAGTTAAACGACCAGTGCGTTGACGCGGGATTACCCTCGCTAGAAGGACTTCCTGCCCGACAGGCGCAGGACAACACCAGCCGACGTGGGAAGCCAGTTCGTTGGCGAGTCTGCCACAACTTCGCCGAGATCAACAGGGTCTGCAAAGTTGTCCCGTTCCCACAAGGAGATATCCGAGACAAGCAACGCCGGCTGGCCGGCCACCGATATGTATCCACGTTCGACTTCGCGTCCGGGTTCTTTGCCCTAGAGGTTGAGGAGACAGCCCAACCTTACCTGTGCATCTTCGTTCCTGGCCGAGGATACCACGCATACACGCGCATGCCGTTCGGAGCAACGGACTGTCCGACCGAGTTTGGCGACACGGTGGCAGAGAAGGTGCACGACCTGACATCCTCCATGGTAATGGAGATATTTGTCGATGATGGAGGCACGGCTGCGGATTCATTTGCTGACATGATACAACGACTACGTATCATCTTCCAACGCATACGCGAGTCAAGCCTCTCGCTGTCGCCATCGAAGACTAGGCTTTGTATGACGGAAGCTGTCTTTGCCGGATCGACAGTGGGACCACAAGGCGTCTCGCCAGACCTCCGCAAATTGACCACAATCATCCAATGGCGCCAGCCAGAGACCGCGGCCGACCTGCACTCATTCTTGGGGTTAACGGGCTACTTTCGAGATTTGATTCGAGGATACTCAGCTGAAGAAAAGCCATTACGCGACCTGCTTTCGAGCCTAGTTCCTTCGGGCGCGAGCAAACGCATCTTCCGAGAGATCATGCGGAGTCAGAAGCTTGCTCATCTGTGGACGGATGAGCACACACGCTGCTTCTTGCGCCTAAAAACACTGCTTACCTCCGGGCCGGTTCTCAGAGCGCCGCGCTTCGAGAACACGGACAAATTCCCCTTCATCATCACAACGGACGGGTGCAAGGAAGGGTTTGGAGGTGTCCTCGCGCAGGAGATGGAAGTCTCCCTTCCGGGCGGGAAACAAGTCATTCGCCGCTTCCCGATTGGGTTTGCATCCAAACGCACCTCAAACGCCGAGTCGCGGTATGCCCCACACGTCCTGGAGCTGGCGGCCATGAAGTTCGGCTTCGACCAATTTGACGACATTGTATACGGGTTCCCGGTTGTCGTAGAAACGGACTGCCGTGCGATCCGCGACGTGTTGGCAGGCGGGAAGCTGAGTGCATCACATACGCGGTGGCAGGAGGGCATCTTCGGCCACAATATCGTTGCTGTGAAACACATCAAGGGTAGCACTAACGTGGCAGCGGACCTGATCAGCCGACAGTATGAAGGCAAGCACCGGGTGGATGGAGACGGCAGTGGGTGGTCCGTGGCACCGGACTGGGACGGCAGAGCTGGTGTTGTCAACGACCTCTTCGCAATTGATATTGTTAGCGGTGCATGCCAGACCTCGGGGGATACGAGCCAGAGCCAAGGGGTCGCCGTCATGATGCTGCCCGAGGGCGCAGCGGCCCTACGAACACGCCTGTCCAGCGAACCACTATTCCTCGAAGTCTTGGACGCGATCCTCGAGTTGGACGGACACGCATCGTCCGACACACGGAAACGAGCAAGGCATCGAGCGAGCAAATACTTTGTGCAGGACGGCAAGCTGTGGGTTCTCGGAGGTGGCAGCAGCATCAGAGCGCGATCCCGGAGGGAGTGCATCACTAGGAAGGAGGCGGTTGACAAGGCCGCAGAGATCCACGCTGAGCATGGCCATTTTGGGCGTGACGCCGTGAAAATTGCACTGATGGACCGTTTCCATAGCCCGGGGCTGGACGCATCGATCTTGGAGGCGATCGCAGACTGCGGCCGTTGCAAAGCGTTTGGGCCAACGGCCTCGTAGAGGGCACCAACCGACTTCTCCTCTTCGTTCTTGCGCGGCTGTGTGGGCCGGACGTAGGCGTTGACGCATTTGACGAGCTGGCGTGGGACAGACTTCCAAGGGACTGGCCGGAGATGCTGGAACGGGCGGTGCATATCCTCAACTGGAGGATCCTGCCCACGGTTAAGTTCTCGCCTAAAGAGCTGCTCTTCGGAACAATAGTTGACTCACTGAAAGTACCGGTTACAGACGTGGAACGATCCCTCTCGGAAGATGACGTGGAGCTGAACATGGCGATGACAGCACAGGCGAGGCTGGACGGTTATGCGGAGCGCGTCCGATACGCGATGGGGCGGAAACGAGCGTTCGACAAGAGGCTGGTGGGGCGCAAACCGGGTGAAGTCGTCTTCGAACCAGGCGAGCTAGTGCAGGTGAACAGGGGGAAATTGGAAACGACGATGGCAGCTGCCAAGAAGCTGGCGTTTGCGTGGGGTGCGCCGTATCGGGTCAGGAAGAAATTGCTGAACTCCTACGAGTTGGAGACGATGGGTGGTGTCGCGGTGACGGGGCTGTTCAATGCGAGGCGTTTGAGACGGTTTGTGCCGAAGAAGGGATCGGATCTGGAATATATCCACAACGCGTACTTGGCAGCGAGAGGGGTGATTGGCGTCGGGACGTCGCCACGAGGAGGGGGGGCACATGTGTCGGTGGGCAAGGAAGGGTGATCGGTGGCTGTGCTGATCGGATCTATAGTCAAGCCGATTGTTCCGTAGATAGCTCAGATCGTTGTTCTCCGCCGCCATCGCACGCGCCTATCAGAGCATCGCCACACTCCGATTCCCTCGCCCCCCGCTGTCCCAACGCTTGCACGCTGTACAGCAACATCAGATAGAATGCCGTTCTTCAGCATAGATGCAGTGCACGCCCATCCTGAAATTTATGCGGTTCGCATCGAACTGGTATCGGTTGTTCACACCGTCTCTCGTCGGAAGTTGGATTGGAGGAAACACGTGCTGTCACATCACATCAAGCTACTCCAGTCAGGAGTCTCCGGCGAATGCTCTGCAGCAACAACGTCATTCTGCCTATCCATTCTCTGGCGACACGTCGGGAATCGATCTTGGAGTTGGCCGCCACGATTCAGCTCTGGGGACTTGCCCTGGTCGCCCAATTTGGTGGGATGCCAAACTTTGCGCCCAAGTTCATGCTTAGTGCAATCAGGCTCTGACCGAATATCTTGCTCCGCCGGGACGCATGCTCATTTCTGTTGACTCGGACACTCAGAAAATCGTGCCAGTCGACAACGGCGCCCTCGGGAGTGTTATGGAAACACCAATCCGTGTACTCGTTGTCCGCGGAGGCAATGTCAGTCGCACATGCCGCCGGTTAGCCGGAAGCGGTGATTGTGCCCAAGGCTCCTATTGGCGCGGTCCCGTTGAACAGGACCTCATTCGCCCAAGCCACAGGGCGCGGTCTGGACTGAGCACCGGCGGGACAGAGGGATAAGGGATCAAGTCCCAGGGCGCGGCCCCGCGCACAGCTTGAGAAGGAACGGCATGGCATACAACGTGTTGTCGTAGGACGTCGACTGGCAGGTTTGGGGAAGAGTGGGCAATCCGCGCCAGCTCGGAATGAGGCATGCGTCTACGGTCGCAACACAAAAGCAAAGAATCGGGCATGCTAGTGGGTGCTTCCAGAAACCACCTCAAGCGCGACTAAGTATGTATACCCAGCCGTCCCAGCGGTACTCCGGCGGGAGTGTGCCGCGGCCCCGCGAATACCTTCGCGGTGTGCGGAACTTCAGTCGGTGCCCAGCGGGTCCCGCCGCGAATCTATGTAGCCCGCCAAATGGTCATGTTTCTGATGTTCACGACTTGGATCAGTCCATGGAAGATCTGTAACACCAGGAAGCCGCACGGCCGTGAATTCTAGAATTCTGAAAATTTCCGAACCGTGGCACTTTTACTCAATCCAACGACGGCTAGTGAACCTGGCGTCGCATCAGGTCGATGAGTAGACTTCTTGGTCCTTGCCCTCCCTTCCTATCGTCCCTCTCCTGTTTAGTACGCCATGTGCGGCCATGATCAACGAGGTAAGGAGGAAAGCGGAAAGCGTGGTCTGATCCTGTTTGAACAGCGGAACCAGCAGACAAGATGAGAAGACCATGTTTCTTGCACAAAGAAGGTCGACTCCCGAAGTATCTCGCATCCGATGGTATTTGGCCGGCCACGGCGAGGCCCAAACGCCACAAAGATTACTATTTTGAGCTCAACGGAGAACTTGCTAACGCGAATAAACCGCACTTCTGAATAGGCCGCGATAGCTTCTGAATGTGAATCGCCTGTTCATGAGATCTATCTGCAACCTGCAGCTCATATATAAGCGCCTGTTGGTATCGAATACGAACAGAATCCCAGAAACACGATGCGTCTTCCAGTTTCAATCGCTCTCTCCTTGTATACTGCCTTTCTGGGACAGACCCAGGGCGATGTCGAGAGACAAGGCGCGGTTGATATTTCGGGCGGCAGCGTCAGCAGTACCACGCCGACCAGAAACAATGGCACCATCACTCAGCCTGGGGTCAACAGCATGATCTGGCTGGATATGCCGTTTCCGTTCGAGTACAAGCCGGCCAACTGGTGTCACGCGGGGTATACCCACATCTCTGTCTGGCTGATGAATCACATACCCGGCGCTGAGGATCTGGACGGATCAGGAAAGCCACTGGATGCCCAGCACCATTTCGGAGACTGGACGATGTCCAACTACGCTCGTGAGTAGTTTCTGAATCGCGACGAGTCTGTCTGACCTGTGAGTTGCAACCAGAACTGCCTGAAGCATCAGACAAAGCCCCGAATGTGCTGTATCTTCGTCGAGATGGCCTTGGTGTGCCTGAAGGTGGGAACATGTACTTCTCCGTAGTAGAGCACGCAACTGGCTGTCCACCGGTGAGCAAAGTTCTTGAAAGTTTTCGGCATTGCCTCATCACCAAAAAAAGCGTAACTCACCAACACAATATGGCATTACGTCGAACCAAGTCTACGTGCACTGATATAGACTGGACCACCTGCCTTGAAAGGTGCACGAAATCGTTGGTGCTCATGGCAGTGGCTATGCTTGATCCTGGGATATTCGTTCCTTCATTAGACATTGTAAGATCGAGATACATTTTATAGCAATAGTATGGATGGTGATGGGAGGACGTGTGAGACCCAAGGCGTAGAGTCAATGGTGGGCGTAACTGAACATGTACTCACTGCATTTAGGCGCCTCCTAGCCACAGCCCTGGTTACCTGAGGCCAGAGCAACCACCCCAGCGACATCCAATTATGATGTAAAATGGCTTCCAGGCCCCCCTCCGGAGGCCATCGAACCACCCCCTACCCCCCCCTGATCGGAGGCCATCCTGGAGGCGCCTTCCTAATTGGTACTCTGCCCAGCCATTCATCCGCGGCCTGCATGGTGGACTGGGCATTGGCCTAGATGTTTTTTTTGTGCTGTAGTACAGTGTAGTACTGTACAATTTCGAGCATTAATTCATGTCACTGGTCACAAGGACCTCTGAACTGAACATTTATGTATAGGGTCACAGGTCACAATTTTTTTGAACTCTGGGACATATTTTCGGAGCAAAAATCGATTTCTTTTGGTCTGGGTACATAGAAATGGCTCATAGATGTTCTAATTAATGTTTCACCTACTCAGAATCACCACTGAATTGTTGCAGGACAGTGGTAGCATAGTAGGGACAGCGGAGGGTGAATGAACACCTGTAAATTGTGTCACAGGTCCCGGACAGCCATGAACAGTTCAATTTTGAACTTTTGGGGTCACAGGTCATAAGCTCTGAACAAGTGGTCAACATTGTACAGTACTGTACTATTACGACCATAGCTTCATGTCATCGGTCATCAGTATTCATGAAGCGAAGCTAATCGCCTGTTGTCATCGGTCATCAAGGGCCTTGAAGCTGATGACATTTGGTTTTTTTAAAGCGAAATTCAGCATTTTGAGTGGGATTTTTCAGTCTATTACATCAAAAAATAGCTCTACAGTTGTTCACAAGTTTCGGGATTGAGCAAGATAAGAACATCATCCCCAAGAAAGCTAATTTTGTGTAAAGGACTGGAATCTTGCCAAATACAGCATGGATATGGAGACACATTACTAATGACATCACTTTCTTACAATCTTATTGCAAATCTCATCACTATTAGGTCCGCTCAATAACTGGTGGTCAAACCCTGGTGGTCAAACTCGACGAATGATGCCATCTGTCAAGTGCTTGCTAACAAACGCCGCGATGTGATTCCAGTCACACTTTCCCATGGCTCGGATGATTTCTCTGCCCTTCACTCCGAAACCCTGCCATTTGCAATATTTGACCAAAGCCATCCATGATCAGCCCAGCATCCATTCATTGTGCTCCTCCAGCTGTTCATGTTCAAAATTGTTATCTGAAAGTATTAGAGAATAAGAGAGTAGTAAGCAGTAGCTGTCAGCCTGTTCCACTTCATCCTTGATGGCAAATGGCTGAGCTTGGGCTTTTGTGTTGCCACGGGCATTGACAGAAAACTTGAGAAAAGAGAGTGGATGGAGTATGCATTGCCTTAGATTAGATTATAGTAGGACTCCTACACGAAATGTTATGGACCAATGCTTGGACCGGCACATGGGAAAGTGTGACTGGAATCGCATCGCGGCGTTTGTTAGTGAGCACTTGACAGATGGCATCACTCGTCGAGTTTGACCACCAGGGTTTGACCACCAATTATTGAGCGGACCTATTTGTTGCAATTGCATGGTGAGATGGTGCCTGGTAACGACAGGCGCTGGGAACTGGCAACGACACCATGATGAAGCTATTTGACCACTGTCATTGGTCATTCCGGTCCGTGAAGCTGTGCTCTGATGAAGCTAAGCTGTCATCGGTCATCCTGGCTGAAGCTACGGTCGTAATAGTACAGTACGTCTGCGTGGATGACAACTTTGAGTTTCTCAGTGTACACAAATGTCAAGATGTAAGTCAGTAAAACAAAAAATACAGGGCAATATTAGAGTCTCTTAAGATGCTATGAACCAAAATTGAAGAGATGAAATTATAGCTGAAGCAGTAAAATAAATGTTTTGCATCAAAACATCAGTTTGTCACGTTTGGGGAGCATGGATGTTACACATCAACGTCTTGATCCTCATCATCACTCTCATCCTCACCGTCATCTTTGTCATCCTCGAAGCTTGGGAGCTGCGGTTTCTTAGCGCACTTGGGTTTGGGTGGTAAGTACTTCCTGAGGACACCCTCTGCTGTTAATTTTTGCTTCTCCTGTTCTCATTGGGCTACCACTACGTTATGATCTTGCTTGATTCACATCCACTCTGTGTCAGGGGAGACGTGTCAGCTGGATGAGGTCATTGGTATTGATCCGGCAGTGTTCCGGCGGTGATCCGAGGGTTATCAGTCAGCGGTGTCATGTCTTATTACGTCATCTACTTGTATATAGATAGTTGCTGGGGATCTCTGATCCCCAGTCTTGTTACCGACTTTGCCCCTGGGCTCCACTCCCCTTACATGCCCAGTGATCCTGAGGTGCGTATTCCCGAAGGTCCCCGCAGCACTCTTTGTAGCTACCGTAAGGCTTGGGTCAGGCTCAACGTTACCTGTGGCCTGGTGCTGTTTGCTCGATATGAACCCTTCACTGCGATCGCGGTGAACGACTAGATGATTCGGTAAAAGGGTAAGTGGGTTGGCAAGGGTGAAGAGGATATAGCGGGCGTAGCGGTGGGGTGCAGGGTAAGAGGTAAGAGGTACGAGGGTATGAGGGGAGTCTTGGAATTATGTGACAATCAACAAAGAATAAGATCAAAAAGACAAGTCAATTCCAAGACTGGAGAATACAACACAAATAGCTACTGTATTTATACTGAGTCCAGTCTGAGTCTTATCTACATCAAAACGAGTCATGGGACTATGTACCGTATGGAACGTTGGTCATGGGTTGCAAGATATCCTTCTGAAGCACATGGCGCGCGACCCCTTGTACAGATAACCCTTTGGAGCCCTAAGCCCGGACCGCATGGTGCCATGATCCATAATAAGATAACCCCGTGTCGATGATAAGATTAGATGATTGATGGAATGATGTGAAAAAGTGATTGAATCATGAAAAATAATTGAATGATGACACAGAGGACGATGCACTTAGGTGTGCATAGAGCGACCTCATCTTCTTTAATGGTATCTAAAACTTGGGATCAAAATTTTTGTCGTCTGCTTGATGCTGCCTTGGTGTCATAGGTGAGCTGTTGATTTTTGGTGTGGCGAGCAGGTCTGACAAGTATTCCAGATGTGTTGGCTGGTGAACTGCTGAAATGCTGAGGTTGTGCTCACTGATGAATCAACTGTGTGAAAAGCTGATCCAACTATAAACATGTCACACTCTTATAACCAGCTTCTCAGTGTGTGTGATGGGTGCAAGGGCTTTGGGTAGACAGAACACCAGGCACAATCTGATAACCTGACGTGAATACTATGCAACACAGTGACGGAGTCAGCGCGCAAGAATCTATATAGCAAGAACTAGGTGTCTCCACCAATGTCTCCTATACAACCAAATCCAACAAACAACAAACAACTAACAACCAACACAAGTCAGATCTCAGTATGAAGTACTTTGATCCCTTGTAGCGACAGCGTCCAAAAGGTGCAACTAAACCTAACAACTAAGTCGATGCACTGCCAACTTGTTGTGTAGAACCCAAATATACCAAGTCGACGCACTGCCAACTATGATACAACCAAAAACCCAAGCACAACCAGAAGCGGTGCACTGCTGTCTGGAGGTGTGGAACCAAAAACCCGAGCACAACTAGGAACAACGCACTGCCGCCTAGAAGTGTGGAAAGATCACAAGCAAAAGACTTGTCGCGGCGTGACAGTCTCTACCCAAATAACAAGAGCGGCAAATCCAACTCTGCTACAATCTTAGACCAAAACTCAAACAAATCACAGTAGATATAAGTGCTCGTGTTGAGACACTTGTCGCTACTGGGCAGGGATGATGGTGAACTTTCTTAAGACTCAAATCATACAAACTTAACCAGGTTCTTGAAGAGAAACTGAAATGAGATGAACAAATTAAAATCCGGGGGAAAGCTTTTGAATACAGAGAAACCGTGCTACTTTTATAGTGCATACAGGAGCTTAGTAATTCTACTATACAACTAGCTAGTAGCTACGCTATCTTCAATGGTATATTCTACTTTTGGTGAACTGTGTGGACGATCAAATAGCCCATGTGTAGTTCGTGTGGTATGTTTTATTGTAGAACCACCAACACGTCATAGTTTGGAATATAACGTGTTGGATTGGCTCGACAGGTAGTCTTGGCAAGTGGGTCCAACATGGACGCTCCAACAAGCCTTTTGGACGTCTAGCACAGGACAATCAACAGAGACGGACACGCTCATGGAGCTCATCTGTTGAGGGGATGCAGAACCGTGGACCAGGTAGAAGGCCAATCGTTGTTGTGCTCAGAAGCTGTCATGGTAGATGCCAATATTCCTGGGTGTCCATGTGGGTCCGCAACAAGTAGTTGTTGTGTGGCAGCTATCAAAGCTACTGATTGCCCAAAGATGAACTTGTTGTTTCAAGATTTCTGTAAATCTTGTAGCTACAAGTTCATCCTGTTTTTGTGTATGTCTGGTGACAATGTTGCACTTGTAGTCCTGAGACGCCAGGAGTTGTCGCTACGGCTGATCTAGTGTCCTTAATGCTACTAGTCCAAAACCTTGTATGGGCTTCTAAGACCAATCCACAGTAGTGATCTGAGTGCCTTGCAATCACCGGTGCTATCCACAGCCAGCAACTAGGCACTAGACCCATAAGTCCTACTGAGCGCACTGCTGGTCTACACAACACAATGCACCGAGTGGGTACAAGGTTTTACTCTGTAAAAGCACAAAAATACGCCTCTACAGAGCTGGTGCAGAGCGCGCCTCATAGCCAGCTTATCAGCGGGTATGCGCCCAGGTCAAAGGAGCCCAGGAGAGGTGCTTGATGGCGTGTGGAGACGGGAATCTTGCATGTGATGATTTGCAGAACCGATTGTCCTCGGCGGTGCTGTCATGTTGCAGGTTGCAGGTTACAGGAAAAGACTTTTCTCTCTGGAATTGTCTTAGATTGTCAAGATCGGAGGGCGTGGTGCGAATCCGACTCCAATCACCAGATGGAATGGGCATGAGCAGGGAAATCCACGTGGAATCTGGGTGTGACTCCTGCCCAGGATGGTGGCAGAGACTAGACTTGATGATGCATGTACTATGGCAACTCGGACTAATGATCCAATAGCACAGCCACCCAATTGCTCTCGCGCACCCCCAACACAATGGGCACATGGATCCTTGAACCGTTCTCTAAGGATTCCCCTCTGTGCTCAGATGAGTAGTGTACACCCCTTGTATTCAATGGTCTGCAGTTCTGCGCGATGTGTCCCAGCTGCTGATAGTTGTAGCAGGTGATGTCGTGGCCACAGGCATTGGTGTGATCAATCTCCATTGGAATCGGCTCGTTGACAGCCAGCCGGGCTGGAGCGGGTGTAGGAATGACAGGTGCCGCTTGAGGGCAATACTGAGGGGTTGGTTACAGGGCAGCGTGTCCGTACGATGCTTTGCACAGTTGGTTGCGTAGTGTGTTCACCTCGATGTTGATGCACCAGTCCTTGAAGGTGCCATATGCCTTGAGCAGGGGAACACTGGTGTTGTAAAAGCGGCTCGCAATCTCGCTGCTGAGCCCACACTCAAGGAACTTGATGAGGATGTTATCTTGATCCCCCTTTTTGTGTTTACCCTGGTTGTTGGTGGCGGTGACCATGTTGTACCCTGTGTCTGCAGCCAACATTTTCAAGTCCAAGATATAGTCTGCAAAGGACCGTCTGCCCTTGCAAAGGGCTATGAGTTGGGCAACAGCAACCTGCTCTGCATTGGAATCTCCAAAGGCCCTCTGAAGCTCCTCCAAGAAGGTCTTCATGGTGACTTCGGCCTTCAGTCCCTGGAAACCCTCAGAGTTGTGATGCTTCCAGTTGATTGCCCATCTTGAAGCGGTGCAGCTTTTGCCCGCCTTGTTGCAAAGGTAGGAGAGGACAAAGAGTATTTTTGTTAAGTCCTCCAAGAATTCAGAACAGTAGGCACCAATGTAGGTGGTGCGCAAGTCTGCAAAGCCTAGATATTTGGACTTGTTGCCATTGAAGTAAGGAGGGTTGGCGACAAGGGTAATGCAATGTCCCATCATGGTACAAGCGGGAGTGGTTGGACGGGTGAGTTTGGGAGAGGACTCACTTTCAAAGGGGAGTTCCTCTAGGTCTGGAATCTCAGGGGGCAGGAGTGCAAGATAAGGGGTAGAGGGGCCGGGCTGATCTTGATGCGCCAGATCAGGTGACGAGGGTATGATGGGGGGAGGAGAGGGACTCCCAAACAAAGATGGGAATCGGTACAAAATCATGAATTTGTGTGCTGTGCAAGCACTTGAGGAAAGGTTCTTTTGATAGGAAAAGATCCCATGCCTATCTCTCCATGTGCCCAATGATCCCAAGGTGCATTTTCCCAAAGGTCTCTGCAGCACTCTTTGTGGCTACTGTAAGGCTTGGGTCGGGCTCAATGTTACCTGTGGCCTGGTGCTGTTTGCTTGATATGAACCTTTCTCTGCAATCACACAGAACAACTAGATGATTTGGTAAAAAGATAAGTGGGTTGATAAGGATGAAGAGGATATTGCAGGTGTAGCAGTGAGGGATGCAGCAGTGAGGGATGCAGCAGTAAGAGGTATGAGGTAGTAAGAGGTATGAGGTAGGAGGGTATGAGAAGAGTCTTGGAATTATGTGACAATCAACTCAAAACAAAAGTCGAAAAGAAAAGTGAATTCCAAGACTGGAGAATACAACACAATAGTTACTGTATTTATACTGAATCCAGTCTGGGTCTTATCTACATCAATTGAGTTATCTAACTATGTACCATGTGTAGCGCTGGTCATGGGTTGTAGTATAGCCTTCTGGAACACACATGTGACGATCAACCCAAAAACAAAGTCGAAAAGAGAAGTGAATTCGAAGACTGGAGAATACAACCAAGTAACTACAGTATTTATACCCAAAAACAGTCTGAGTCATATCTACAACTAATGAGTCATAGGGCTATGTACCGCATGGAACGCTGGTCATGGGTCGTAGTAGAACCTTCTGGAGCATATGTCGCGCAGCCTCGAATCGATGAAGATAATCCCTGGAACCCCTAGTCCGGACCGTCTGATGCCGTGATCTGTGATAAGATAAGTCGTGCCAAGATAAGATAAGATCGTCGATGATAAGATGAAAAAGTGGCCGAACTATGACATTACCCCCTCTCTAGGGTCGATGTCCTCATCGACTAGGCCAATGGGTAAGAAGACGTTCTCGTAAGGGTCGAAGAGCTGTCGTTGGGGATATGGAAGGCGCTCGTCCCTGGGCTTGTAGCGATGAATGAGATAGTCCCAGTGTCCAGCTTCGAGCGTTGGCAGGAGGCGAATGCGTGTGTCTGGATTTGATTGTTTCCTCTGCCAGTCTCTCAGGACGTCCTTTGTGTGGGTAAGGTGACGTGATGGTTCCCAGGTGTTCTCGCTGTGCGGCCATCCCTTCCATTTGACCAAGTACTGTTTTCCTCGGCCGACTTTTCGCTCTTTCACGATTTCTTCGACTTCCCACTCCTCTGCTCCTCCGATCATCTTGGCCACGGGTCTCTTCTCTCGGCGATGGGGGGGTGGTTCGTGATAGGGTGTCAACAGTGACTCGTTGAACACCGGGTGTCTTCGGTCCGTGTCCGGCAAATTCAGCTTCCATGCGGCTGCTCCAACCTTCTCCAGTATCTCGTATGGTCCCAATCTCTTGTCGCTCATCTTCTTCGATGGTCGATCCGTCTCGATATTTTCCCCTTCTATGTACACCTTCATCCCAACCTTCAACTCCGGAACTTCTTTTCTTTGTTTATCGTAGTATTTTTTCATTTTTTCTTTTGCTTTTTCCAATGCTGCTTTTGCTTCGTCTTGTATTTCTTTGATTCTTTTTACAAATTCCTCCGCCGACTCGTTCCTTGATTCCATCCGCTGCTCCACTCCCTTCCATGGGTGATATCCGTGATTAGCATAGAACGGCGACATTTTGGTAGACGTGTTCATTTTGTCGTTGTATGCGAACTCTGCCATTCCCAGCCACTCCGACCAGTCCGTCTGATGGTAGTTGACGTAAATGCGGAGATAGTGTTCGATCTCCTGATTCATACGCTCCGTCTGCCCATCCGTGATGGGGTGATATGCGGTCCCCGGATTCATTTCCACGCCCAACATCCGATTCGTTTCCTTCATAAAGCCCTTGATGTATCGAGAGTCCCTGTCGGTGATGATTTTGCGGGGGACCCCGTGATAGCGGAAGATTCGGTCCCTGGTTAACCGTGCTACTCCTTCGCTGCTGATGTCAGTACTAATTGGTTCGACATGGATCATTTTGGTGAAGGTGTCACACCACACATGAATTGCGTCATACCCGTTACTGACCGGCAAGGGTCCGATCTGATCCATGGAGATGATTTCCCACGGCGCGTTTGGAACTGCATGCGGGTGCAAACTCCCTGTCCTGGCTCTTCTGGTCTTGGTCCGCTGGCACGCCTCGCACGTCTGGATGTATTTCCGAATTTGGTTTCCCATCCTTGGCCACCAGTAGTTCCTTTCCACCATCTCCTGCGTTCGGTTGATCCCAGCGTGTCCAACCAAAGGTGTGTCGTGGTGTAGTCCGATGATCTTGTCTCGTAGCTCCTCATTCCTCGGCACGTAGAGCTTCCCATGGTACGTGATGAGCCCATCTTCCTTTTTCCATCCGACGAGTGACTTCTCCAAGGCCGCTTTGACGCTTCCATCAATTGATCGAGTAGCCTTGATCTCATCGATTAGCTGCTGATCTTGCCCCTCGAATGTGACTTCTTGTGTCCGGAAGAATTCGGGTTTCAGCAGAGTGATATCCTTGTTGTCGTTCTTGCCCTGATCGTGATCCGCTCGTCGAGATAAGAGATCCGCCTTGCGGTTGAGTGCGCCAGGCCGGTGTCGTAAGGTGAAATCGAATTCTGCTAATTCTGTGATCCATCGTGCTTGTCGTCGGTTGAGCTTTTGTGGCTTCCGGAAGTATTCGAGGTTCTGATGATCAGTGAAGATCTCAAACGTTTCTGTGGCCCCCAAGAGTAGCTGCCTCCATTCGTCGAGCGATAACATGATTGCAAGCATTTCCTTGTCGTAGATCTCGTAATTTCGCTCGGTTTCCGTTAATGCATGCGAAATAAATGCAATTGGGCGCCAAATGCCGTCTTGGTTTTGGCTCAAAACAGATCCTGTTGCCCCTTCCGAAGCATCGGCTTCCAGACGATATTGACCGGTGTCATTTGGCAGTGCTAAGACGGCATCCTCCGCGATTCTCTTCTTTAACCCATCAAACGCCGCATGTTCATCCGGACCCCATGACCATCCTGCCTTCCCTGTCAGCCGCGTCAACGGCTTGGCGACCTCCGCATATCCCCGAACAAAACGTCGATAGAAGTTTGTGAATCCGAGGAAGGCTTGGACTTGTTTGACGCTCTTTGGTTCCGGCCATTCCATCACGCCCTTGATCTTGACAGGGTCCATCCGCATCGAGTTGTGTCCAATGATTACACCCAGGTATTCGATTTCCATGCGTTCGAACTCGCACTTTTCCGGCTTCAGGTATAATTTGTGCTTTTGGAGCAACTCGAGTACCCGTTTGGTGATTCGTCGATGTTCATCCAGATTTTCTGTGAAGATTAGTATGTCGTCCAGATAAACTACCACATGTCCCTCGTTGATCAGTTCCCGGAGTATGTCGTTCATCATGTTTTGGAAAGTTGCCGGGGAATTCGTGAGATCAAAGAACATAACCAAGGGCTCGTAAAGTCCGCGGTTTGTGCGAAACGCAGCCTTCCACTCATTGCCCTCTTTGATCCGTACGTTGTTGTATCCCCACCGGATGTCTAGCTTGGTGAAGAACTTGGCGCCACACAGGTTGTGGACCAGTTCGGAAATCAGCGGTAGCGGGTACCGATTTCGGATCGTCATCTCATTCAGCTTCTGGTAATCTTGAACAGGCCGTAGCGAGCCATCCTTCTTCTTGACAAAGAAGAATGCCGATGCCATGGGTGATTTTGATGGCCTGATTCGTCCGCTGGCTAGGTTCTCTTGTAAGAACTCGTCGAGTTTGACCTGCTCGTTTCTCGATAAGGGGTACACCTTGCAGTCCACTGCTTTGGAGCCTGGTTTGAGCTCGATCGCATGATCCCATGCCCGTCGGTCCGGTAGCGAGTCGAATGATTCCTTGGCGAATACTTTGACGAATTCTCGGTATTGATCTGGAATCTTTCCCTCGGTCATTCTCTCCTTCTCCTTTTCCGCTTCTTCTGCGAATTTCTGCGCCGGCGTTTCCTTCAGCCGTAGGTCTACCTCCTTTCCAAAGTCGATCAACAAGATCGATTCTCCCTCTTCCAGATCCGGTGCACCCGCGTCCAGGTCAATTGCATCCATGTCGATCATCGCTTGGTGCTCCTCGTGACCCCTCATTTGACATTGCTCTGGGCATCGGCTGAATCTCATTGTCTGCTCCTGCCAATCCACCTCGGGGTTGTGTTCCGTCAGCCAATCCAGGCCGATGAAGATCCGGGCTTTTCCCAGACACGTCAGAAGGAACGTGCGTGTCTCCACATGAGGACCGATTCTCATTCTCAAGTCGACGTAGTGCGTGATCCGACCGCTGATGTTCTCGGTGTTGTCGGCGTTACGAGCCACAATGGGTTGCGGAAGCTCTTGGATATCCAGCTTTTCTGCCCGTGCGTAGTCGGTGTCGATGCAGCAGGTACTGCAGCCACTATCGAGCAGCGCCTTGACTCCACGCGTTTTCCCTGAGTCCAGGCCCGTGATCTGGACATATACGTCCATCGAATGCCTCTTTCTTTCGGCTTGGTAACTGCGCAATTCCTGCGCCAATCTGCTGGGCTGGGGGCCCTTCTGTTTCTCGGCCGCCAATTTCCTCTGGATGGCATCTGGCACCCTGGTGCGTTTGGGTGCTTCTGGAACCTCGATTTTGGCAGATTCCTTGGGCGCTTCCTCCTTTTCCAAGGATCGAGCCTTCGGAGCGATGCTCCCCTTTTCGGTCTTTGTTGACGTGGTTCCTTCTCCACGAGCCATAAATACGTAGGAGTCCAAAAATAATTTATCTGCAGCTTTCTGATCTTTTTTATCTTGTAAGTATTTTCTATTTAGAGCTATCTTTTCCTGGCGTTCTTTTTCCATCTCGGCAATAAGAAAATCGTGAATATTTGTACGTAGTGAGTCTGAGATCGTGTACGTAGATGAAATATTGTCCGTATCTTTAATCGAAACAAGTACAGAAAATCGTCCATAGTCCGGACGCTCCACCTCCTTGGCTAGAGGAGTGGAGCGCTTCAAAAACCCTTCTCGCGCAGCTTCTCGGCGATCTCCTTGAGGAACTCGTTGTCCTTGTCCCCGTTCTCGATTTCTTCCAGCATTGTCGCCCGATTGAAGAACGTGCGCTTCTTCTTGGGCTCCGGGCAGTTCCGCGCAATGTGCCCGGGCTGCTGACAGTTGTAGCAGATGATATTGCGGCCGCGGGCGTGGGTACGATCGATTTCCATCGGAACCGGTTCATTGGCAGCGGGTCGGGCCGGAGCGGGTGTGGGCGCCACTGGTGTCGTTTGAGGACGGAACTGGGGAGGTGGTCGTTGTGTGGGGTGCCCATACGACGCTTTGCGCAGCTGGTCACGCAGAGCATTGGCTTCGATGTTGATGCACCAGGCTTTGAACGCTCCATAGGCCTTGGGCAGAGGGACACCGGTGTTGTAGAGACGGCTGGCGATCTCGCTGCTGAGTCCGCGCTCCAGGAACTCGATGAGGATATTATCCTGGTCCCCCTTCTTGTATTCGCCTTTGTCGTCGGTGGTGTCAACCACATTGTAGCCTGCATCCGCGGCCAACATCTCAAAGTCGGAGATGTAGTCCGCGAAGGACCGTTTGTTTTGACGCAGGGCCATAAGCCGAGCAGCGGCGACTTGTTCCGCATTGGAGTCCCCGAACGCCCTCTGAAGCTCCTCCAGGAAGTTCTTTGATGTGACTCCTGCCTTCAGTCCCTGGAAGCCATCGAAGTTGTGCTGCTTCCAGTTCATCGCCCATCTCGAGGCAGCGCAGCTCGTGCCGTTCTTGTTACGGAGGTAGGAGAGGACAAAGAGGATTTTGGTCTCATCTTGTGAGAACTCCGATCGATAGGCACCAATGTAAGTGGTGCACGCGTCCACAAAGCCCAGGTATTTGGACTTGTCGCCATCGAAGTAGGGGGGGTGGCGGCGAGGGTGATGCGGTGATGCCCTGACATGGTAGGGGCAGGCGTGTGAGGTGGAGGCGAGGGTGGTTGTTCGGAGGGCAGTTCGTCGAGGTCGGGGATCTCGTCTTCAGGCGGTGGGAGGGCGAGGTAGGGGTTGGAGGGCCCGGGTTGGTTTTGATGCGCCAGATCGGGCGACGATGGTACGATGGGGGGAGGGGACGGACTCCCAGACGACGATGGGAATCGGTACGAAATGGTGGAATTGTGTGCTGTACAAGCACTCGAGGGAGGGTTCTTTTGCTAGCAAAAAGATCCCGGGCCTAGCTCTTCACGTGCCCGATGATCCCGAGGTGCGTTTTCCCGAAGGTCTCCGCAGCACTCCTTGTAGCTACCGTAAGGCTTGGGTCGGGCTCAACGTTACCCGTGGCCTGGTGCTGTTTGCTTGATATGAACCCTTCACTGCGATAGTGGAGGACGACTAGATGATTCGGTAAAAGGGTGAGTGGGGTGATAAGGGTTAAGAGGATATAGCGGGCGTAGCGGTGCAAGATGCAGGGTAAGAGGTATGAGGTACGAGGGTATGAGGGGAGTCTTCGAATTATGTGACGATCAACCCAAAAACAAAGTCGAAAAGAGAAGTGAATTCGAAGACTGGAGAATACAACCAAGTAACTACAGTATTTATACCCAAAAACAGTCTGAGTCATATCTACAACTAATGAGTCATAGGGCTATGTACCGCATGGAACACTGGTCATGGGTCGTAGTAGAACCTTCTGGAGCATATGTCGCGCAGCCTCGAATCGATGAAGATAATCCCTGGAACCCCTAGTCCGGACCGTCTGATGCCGTGATCCGTGATAAGATAAGTCGTGCCAAGATAAGATAAGATCGTCGATGATAAGATGAAAAAGTGGCCGAACTATGACAACACACCACACAACCTTGTACAGATAACCCTCTGGAACCCTTAACCTGGACCGTGTGGTGCCATGATCTGTGATAAGATAGTCCCATGCCAATGATAAGATAAGATGATCAATGGAATGATTGTGAAAAATGATCAAATCATGACACCTATAAAGTCATGTAATAATGTGCCCACTGCCCGCCGTGGTGTGTGGGAGAGGAGTCCATACCAGATTAGTAACTAGGCATCCCCATCATGCCTATTTGATTGCAATGCCTCTTTCCACAAAACTTGTTCTTTTTGAACACTTGGCTGGCAAACAGTTCCTTTTCTCACTCAAAGCTGATACAGAACTTAACCTGCTCATTCAGAGCTAATTCCTAGTACTTCAACTGGCCTCCGGCAGGGCCGTGCCGTGTGTTTTAGGATTTTTTAGGATTTGGGGAGGGAGATGTGGTTATTTTCTAACCCTAACCAACCCAAACCAAACTTAACTGCACCCTAACCAAACCCTAACCGGCCCTTCCAGGCCAAAACGGTCGGCCAGAAGATGAAAGAAAATCTGCGTGTAGTTTTGATCTGTGCTTTGATGCCTATTTGATTTCCATCAAACACGCCCAAATCGTGACAGTTCTAGGCATAATGACATGCCTAGTTACTAATTTCGTCGTGCCTTGTGGGAGAGGGTTGTGGCAGCTCCGCCAACATTTTGAAATTTTTGATGCAGTGCATCATGTGATTTCCCGCCATCCTGCCCATTTGGTGCATCATGTGATTGGCGGTGGTAACTGAGGTGCTGGATTCACATACAGAATACGTGCATGATTTCAAATTGAATAAATGAAAAATGACTCCCTCCGCAGTGGTGCCTCTCTACTCGCTGACCCAAGCGAGCGGGACAGACTCGGCTAGAATGTTTTCAGGAAGGAGCTGTTCCTGCATCCGCTCCCGGATCCGGGTCTCAAGAAGGAGCCGCGCCTGCATGTATCCGCGGATCCATTCAGCACGGTCCCGATGTGATTGCTGCTTGTGGTCCGTCTGCACCTCCGACACAGCCGTGCACAGGACATGCAATGCATCCAAATCCTTGATCCACCCGTTGTGCTTCTTGACGGCCCAGACAAGCACCCGGAACAGTTCAGTCCCGCCCGCAAGACAGTCCTTCGGATATTTGCGGATGAATCCAGAGACAGTGTCGGCGAATCGACGTTGCATTTCAGTCGGGATCACCGAACGAATGTCGTCGACTGCGTAGGGCACCGATTTGAGCGTCTCGCAGTCCAGTTCCCGCTCCATTTGATCGGGACTCCGGGCGGTACACTGCTTGAAGAAAGTGCTATAAACACCCACACATGCACACCCGTAAATCTGCTGTGCCGATGCCCGCTCTGTCTGCTCATTGTTGTCAAGGCCAAGCACAGAGCGGAACCAGTCCTTGTCATCGAAGATACTCAGCAATCCCTCCCATTCCGACAAATCTGCCGATTCCCACGACTTGCCCCACTCCGACAAATCCGACGAGAAAGTCTTGAGTATGACGCACTGGACGATGGCAGCCAGACGGTGCGTGCGGATGTCGGCTGCTTCAGTCCGCAGAGTGCGGAGGACCCGAAGATGGGTATCGAAGTCTCTTGGTGGCGCAGGGGAGTCAAGCAGATGTCCGTAAATCAGCTGGAGGGCGTCAACAGATGGCCGGGGATTCGATCGCCGCCCCAAGTTGTCGCATAGCTTATGGCACAGGAATCGGGTGTAGTGATGCTTCGAACCGGGCTGTGAGTCGGGCCTCCCCTCGGAGGCCGCAAGGGACGGATGTCGGAGAAGGAACGGTGCAAGACCCCACAGCGGCCAATTTGGATATTCCGATGTCTGAGCAAATGGGGTGATGATCTGGCGAGCAGCAAAGACGAGATTGTCCGCTGACTTGTTGGATGTGTATTCAATCAGTTCATCGAGAGCGTGATGTACAGTCCAGAAGTTGTCTGCTTCCGTAAAGAGCATTTGCGACTGGTGGAAGAGTGAATTGGTCGCATCCCGTTGGAAGCTGGCAGCGCATGTGGAAAATGCCACCAGATATTGTGTATACGTCCGGTGCTTCTCTGCTTGCCATTCCTTCTCTGCTTCGGTGCGGATATTGCTGTCGGAGTCGCTCGGCTGTGTCAGGGCCCGTTCCTGGCTACGAGACTCGATCACGTTCAGACGGATCAAAGCAGACACGGCGTGGACCATGCTCTGCACTTCATCGGAATTGAGAAATCTCGAGCTAAGCAGTGCACCGTGCACATCAGCTTCTCCGATCGGACTTTGTAGAGGCGACCCCGTGTGAAGGGAGAATGCGCAGATGGCCCAGATGGCCCGGAGTACAGAGAGCTGGCGGCGAAGGCGGTCCTTGTGTTCGAGCAGATTGCTGTTGGAGCCAGCCATGAAATCGGCGAGACGCTGGCCGAGGTGGACTTCTGGATCACGTAAAAGGGACAGGAATAGTGCCTGATACACGCTTCGAGGCTTGTTTTTATCAAAATCCCACAGCGTCTGGGGGAGCCCCTCGACAAGTTTCTCAAGCTCGTCATCGTCAGAGAGAGACTGGACGGCCCATGCAAGTGTCCGGGTCTCCGTCTCAACGGGAGGATACAGTGATGCTGCTTTCAAAGCATCCACCATGCTCTGAGACTGCAAAAGAGTATCTGCAGGTGCAGAAGGCTCGGCAGAGGCATCGGGGTTTGTCAGAGCAGATCCGGCTCCGTTCTCGGGGTCTGTCACAGCAATTTTCTCTTGAAGGAAGGTCTTGCAAGCAGCCACTGCCCTGCAAATATAAACCCTCAGCACACGTCCCAAGCTCTGATTCAGCGACCAGAGGATTCGTGTGAGCGGTGTCTGATACGGACAGTCGAAGAAAAGCAGGGGGAGTGTGGTGAATGTTACGTAGACCAGGACAAAAACGAGCAGAAGAGCAGAGGAGATTCCCATGATGATGACGTTGATGGGCACGAGAAATGCTACCAAGCCCGCAAAGAAAAGGACCAGTGCACCATGCAGCAGAAGCGGCGGAATGCCGACAACGGCATGCATATTGAAGCGTCGTAAGCCGTAGTAAAGATACATGTACACGCGCGCGCGGACGGAGGGAGACGAGAACATGGATGTGCGGTGCTGGTACTCCTGGGCCCACTGCTTGACCAGAGTCGCGACAAGTGCGCTCGACAAGCTGAGCCCGAGGCTGGCGAACCAAAGCGCGTTGCAGATAAGGGAGGAGACCGGGGGGGAAAAGGCAACAGGGGGAGGGAGTACGTTCGCTACCGCTGTGCCGTTGTTCATGTTCGCGAGCTGGTTTGAGATCTGGCTGAGCAGTGCGACGGTCTGGCTGAGGAGCACGACAGTCTGGCTGCCCGGGTCCGCGTTCAGCGTCTTGTAGCTGTCAATGATGAATGTTGTAATGACGCCCGAGAAGAGACCGGCCTGAGGTGCCACATTAAGAGAGAAACTCAGCTTGAGAACAGAAGGGGGGACGCACAAAGATCAGCAGTCCATCCATCTCGCTGCGCCAGCCCTCGATGAGACCTTTATCGTAGCTCTCCGCCTCGGAAATGTAGATGCTCCAGAGCTTGTTCCCGCTAGCCCTCTCGCGCTCGTGGTGTGCTTCATCGGCCTCTCGTTTGTCGATGTGTGATTCGTCATCGACCTCCTCGCTGGCCAAGATCATGGCCCATATACGCTCTAAATTTTCGTTTGATTCGTCCATGGTTGAAGGCAGGAGGGAAACTACCGTGTCTGGTTTCCGCACAGCGTTTCTCCATATTATACACCGCCTCAGTGAAACAATGCCATGGTTCACAGCCTCCAAGCGCCCAACGTCAGAGCGGCAGATTCAGAGATAAGCGTTCAAGGAAGCCAACGCAAGCTCAGGCGGCATAAATATTGGCCGGCGGTGTACCCCAGGGCAGGGCAGTCCCTCGGCGTGTCCAGGAGATTGACAGATGCCATAAAACAGACTGGAATGTGTCAGTGCCAGGACTTGGGCGCATGCGATGCAATGTAATAGCCCCTGCCTTGACAGATCTTCGGGAAGATGTACTGACAGGGCCAATCTGGCGCCCAGTCATGGAGCGCACAGCTCTGGGCTTCCCAGACCTCGGCCGAGATGGCTCTCGCCGTGGTCCGCGGTCCTCGTGCGCTCTACAGCAACATCAGATGCAAGTCAAACTTTACCATGGATGCAGAGCATGCCGATTCTGAGAGAATGCAGTTCCCATCGAACAGAAAACGGTTCACACCGACGCCTTCGTTGGAGTGGATTGAAAACAACACATCAAGCTGGTGACGAGTCGGTAGTGACTGTGACTATAGCAGCAGTGACAACACTCTGCATGCCCATTTTCTGGCGACGCGTTGAGAATGACGCCAGGGCCAATCCAAGCGGTGCTTGCACGCTCTGCAGCGAAATCAGACGGTTAAAACTGAACGCAGCGCTCACTGATTCTCAGAGAAAGACGGGTCTCATTCAACTGATACCAGTTGTCCACAAACACGCTTCTGTATCCCTTCCCGGATCTCTTGAGCATGGTCCCTATGCGATTTCCGCTGATTGTCCGTCTGCACCTCCGACAGAGCCGTGTCCAGGACACGCAATGCATCCACATCGGTCATCTACCCGTATAACCAGCTGCCAGCGACGACCCCACTGCCAAAGACGGCCCGGTGAAGCACCAGAAGAGCCCAACCCTATCCGCAGAATGGTTCTCTGGATATTTGCGGATGAATGCAGCGGCGGCGGCAGCGAATCGATGTTCCAGTCCGATCGGGATCACCGAAGAAATGTCGATGTTTGTGTGGCGTACTACCGAATTGAGCGCGACCAAGTCCAGGTCGTGCTCTGTTTGATCCGGACTCCGGGCCATGCACTGCTCGAAAAAAGTGGCCACAACCATAAACTTGCTCAGCCGATGCCCACTCCGTCCGTTCATCAGTGGCAAGGCCGAGCACGGCGCGGAACCACACGCTTGCCTCCGGCCCGAGTTGGCTCTCCCCGGAGTGTACGACACTGGCGCACTCTGCAGCAATATTGGATCGACTTCGCACTTCGCCATGGATTCAGGGCACGCCAATTCTGAGAGGAATGCGGCTCTCATCGGAATGAAACTGGTTGTTCACAGATGCCTTTCGTTCGAGTGGGTCGAAAAGTTTCAAGAAACGCGGGTGTCAGACCCCGCGAGGCATTCGTCACGAGTCTAAAATGCGGCAGCCTCAACGACCATCCGTGCATACACGTTCTCTGGCTATGTGCAAGCTATGCTTGGCGCAACAGCCGTTGATCTTGGGTGCTACTACGTCCAATCAACTGGAAGACCAGATCCCTCAGCTGTGGCATCCTCATGCACCGAAGCAATCGACACGAGGGAAAGTTTACCGCGCATGGGTACCGCCCGGGACCTCGCGTTGATTCACGCTATCGCCTGGGTGCCATTCGACTACCGTTCCCCACAGTCCAAGATGTGTATGCGACAGAGATGGTCGCACATTGGGTGTCGTGCGAAGATTCGAAGCACTCTTATGCGACTTAGTATCATGTCTTCGACATCCGAGCCCGTCTAGGAGGGCTACAAGCCTCGCCGCTCTGTAAACGCTGGGTTGATGGCGATATTCCAATCTCTATGTGCCAGAGAGAGCAGCATCGGGAGTACTTGGGCTATCTGGGTGTTGTCTGCGTAACCCGCACAATGGGTGAGTCGATTCATCGCACTTCAGCCTTCAGTGTCTCATTTTGCGGCATTAGTTTGGTCGTCTGTGTCAGTAGATTGCATTCTTTCCGATCTCGCTTGATCTGACATGAGAGTGCCAGGTGGAGTTTGAAGGCCTGCTGCATACATATGCACACACACCCCGTGATCGGATACGGCGCAGGAGCGACGCGTTGGCGCGCGACGCAGAGGGTCTGACAGGCCAATCGTCCTGGAGAATGGGACAATCAGCGCGGTGCTGAGGAGGTGGCCGCAGGACATGTCGGCCCAGGGCGATTCACACCACAGCGGTACAAGGCTCACGCGCTGTCGGTGGCCTTGCAGCGGCATCTGAACTCGAGCCCGATCACGCTGTTCCACAAGGTGCTCTCGCTGGAGCCGGTGTGGCTGAGGAAGTGGAGCGAAGTACTAGGTGCGATCAGGCTTGGTGTACACAAAGTAACGCTCATCAAAGAGCCGTGGGGTGGGTCCATGTGTTGGAGCCATGCTGCTACAATTCTGCAAGAGTTTACGCGTAGGTAGACCGTGTGCTGGAGTGCGTTGGAGAGAGCTGAATGATCACTCATCTCAGGACAAGCATTGAATGACTTGAATCACCCTGAGTGCGATTCTGCAAGCGGTCCTCTCCCTCTCGAACTTGTGACGATGGGCGATGATGAGCTCTCTGGCACGTCGACGATGACAGCTGTGCCCCGGAACCCGATGAGCTTGGGATGAGGTGTCGACTTTCAATCCGCTTTTGCTCGACTTCCCATTGTCATACCCTAGCTCCAGAGTGTGCGGAGCATCCGGCGACCCCCCACATGAGCGCTGCATCTTGATGCATTGCGTAACGGGCCCCCGCACAACTTCTTCGAGCCATCCCGGGCTGAAACAACGAGCTGTCGATGGGCAACAGGAAGACGCAACCAGCTTCGGGCGGTCTAGAAGACTAGCACATTGCGTAGGCCGATGCATTACACTTCGGTTTCAGGGTCTGATTCTGCGGCATCAGATTGGCCCGTGTCAGTAGAATGCACCGCGCTCAATCTCGCTCAATCTGACGTCCCACTTTCCAGACTGCTGCCTATTAACACTACCAAGTGACTCGAACCACCATCATCCCTGATTCAAAAACACCTCGAACATCCGTCCACCGCTTCTTTCGAGAGGAAAAGCCGCGAGACGTGAGGAGAATCGAATACGGATACCGTAGACCCGAGCCATAATAACAAAAAAATGAAGGAGAAACCTCGGAAAAACGTGAAATTTTCACATCCACCCGCGTTCAACTTCCTCTCCCGCTCAACACCCTCGACGTCCCTCCTCCTTCACTGTATGCCGGAGACAAGCCCACTGGAGTCTCGTCAGGCACCTCTCCTCTTCCCCAGTCTCGTGTTATCTTTGAACAACTACGGGGGTACCCCTGCCTCCAACTCAGTCGTTGTCCCGTGGTGCAAGCTGTGAGCGCATCCAAAGGCCCTGGCCCTAAAACTATTGGGATTAAGGTCCATACGCCACTTCGGCTCTTGCTACAGGGACCCCTGCTTCCTCGACGCCAGTCGCTCCTCCTTTGGCCCTCCCCACAACGAAAAATGTCAGCGCCATCTGCCCTGATGAAACCAGCAGCCCCAACGCCCATGCTCCCGGTTCCAATGCCGATCCAGCCCCACTGAACCCAGCCTCTCACCCCCGTGTCCACTCCTGGTCCCACATTGACGGTTCCACTGCCGCTCTCGTTCCCTATTTGTTGCCCCTGAAAGCTGTGGCCAGCAAGACCGAGTCGGGTGCCACTGGAGTCTGTTGTATCGACAGCCACATCAGCGCGGCAACTCCTTGCATGGAAGTCGGCATTCTGAATCCGCAACCATGTGTTATCTCCCCCAGCTTTCCTGCCTTGTAATGGAATCGACCCAACACCGTTCGCTCTCCTCTCGGCCTGTATTGCAACACTGCAAGTGAACCTCGTCCTCCACCTTCACCTGTGACCGTGACCACCTGACTAACTACAAGTCCCTTCCATCATCGATCACGAGCCGTACTGCCTCTCAACACCCCCAGGTCAACCAGCGGTCACCATGACTGGGGAGCGGGCATTCAGCGGTTCTCAATATACCTACGAGCACACTATCACTACTCTGTGACGACAGGTAGTAATACAACGTGCTGCTACTTTGTGACGATGAGGTAGCGCACACCAACTGCCCCCTTCTTGCTTACTCCTTGATAGACGTTCGGAGTTATGTGCTGAAAAGCTCGTCGGATAAGCAGCTGGGGGTCCAAGGCGAAGGCGCATATTTAGCTCGTACATAGCGCTCGGATAATCTTGGGAACACGGTGTTCAGCGATTGGACCATGCCGTGTATAATACTATCACTATCACTATCACTATTACTGTCCCCGGCGCGCCTTTTCAGGTCTGCTCTATGTTCTCCGATTCCTGTTCGCACACCCCATCTCCAGCTGCCCCGATGATCCTATCATGAGCCACTTAGCACCGTCGTTACTGGCTGGCTACAATAGTGCATCTCGACTGCCTTTTCCTGGCATGCCAGCAACGGGCATGCACATCCGTACCGGGCCGAGTCGTCTATGTCAACACACTGCCAGCATTCACAAGATCGATGCCAATAGAATGACTTACGACGATGAATCCCTGCTGGCAGCGGAGCACTTCAGCTAGGCATGCATTGCGGACAACCAGTGCAGTTTGCATGGGTGGACCCACCTGCGTGCTCGGCCACTACGTTTCGACAAGCTACGAGCTCTACTGCCAGCAGCAGGAGGTAGAGGAAGAGCATCACCCGCGGCGCCCCGAGGCATAGCTTCGTCTGGGAGTTGTAGAAGAGATGCCTCAGGGGAGCTACGAATGCGGCGACGGCGACAGCAGCGGCCAGCCACGTCCTCTGCTCGCCTTCGCCTTCGTGACACGCAGCGACAGTCTCAAGATCGAAAATATGTTCGGTGAAATCGAGGGGCTACAGACAGACGAACGAGACCAACGCGTACTCTCGGTGGTGGGACGCAAAAGAGCTCGGGCAGACTCCCGTTGCGACCGTTGGCATGCGCGAGTACATCTCCTCGGAGAATATCGGTGTCTTCGGTGATGTGGGCTGCTCCCTAGTTTGAGGACGCAGTCGCAAGTGTTGCCCCAACTATCGGAATGGTACCGAGAAGACCCCGTTTGCGCCGACGTTCCTGCCGGTGTACCATTGTGCATTTGGGCTGCTCCCTAGTTTGAGGACGCAGTTGCGAGTGTTCCTGTCTCAGATGGGTCGAATGTGTGATCCCCAACGGCAGCTTCCCCAAAGACCGCCTTCCTGGTGCTCGTTGTTGGATTTGCACAATCGAGAGAGTTCTGTGACATGTCGCGTGGACGATCCGATGTGTGTGACCGTGACAAAGGTGTCTGTTTGCATATGTACATATCTTGGACGCAGCAAAGATGATTTCGTTGAACATACGGAATACATGGACTGCAAGCTAAAGCAATGGAAAATGACACCCTCCTACTCCCCGCCACTGACGAGCGAGACAAAGGCGGCGAAAATGTCCTCGGGACGGAGCCGCTTCTGTATCCGTTCCCGGATCCGTTGAGCATGGTCCCGGTGTGATTCCTGCTGATCGTCCTTCTGCACCTCCGACACAGCCACGTCCAGGACGCGCAATGCATCCACATCGCTCATCCACCCGAAGTCCTCAAAGACGGCCCAGTTAAGCACCCAGCCGAGCCCACTCCGATCCGCAAGACAGTTTTCTGGATATTTGCGGATGAATGCAGCGGCGGCGTCGGCGAATCGGCGTTCCAGTCCAGTCGGGACCACCGAAGGAATGCGCATGCCTGCGTGGCGTCCCACCAATCGGAGCGTCTCAAAGTCCGCGTCCCGCTCTGTTTGATCCGGACTCCGGGCGGCACACTGCTCGAGGAAAGTCGTCACAACACCCACACGGACATAGTCGTGAATTCGCCCAGCCGATTCCTGCTTCGCCAGTCCATCGTTGGCAAGGCCGAGCACGGAGCGGAACCAGCCCTCGTCATCAAAGATTCTCGGCAATCGCTCCCATTCCGACGAATCCTCCCCGCAGCTTTGGAGCACGAAGGCCTGGACGATGGCAGCCAAGCGGTGTTTGCGGATGCCGGGTGCCTTGGCCCGCAGAGTGCGGAGGACCAAAAGATGGGTATCCAAGTCTTTTGGAGGCTTATCGGACTCGAGCAATGTCGGATAAATGAGCTCGAGGGCATCGACACATGTCTGGCGATGGATTCCGTACTCCAAGTTCCTGCATAGCGTGTGGCACAGGTATCGGGTGTAATGATGCTTCGAGTCGGATTCCGGCTCGGAGACGGCGAGGGACGGATGGCGAACAAGGAACGGCCCAAGATCAACACGCCACATGAACAGATTCGGATATTTTGATGTGTGGGCAAACAGGCTGATCAACAGGCGAGCAGCAAAGACGACGTTTTCCGCTGTCTCGTCCGCTGTCTTGTCCAACGCATATTGGACCAGCTCGTAGAGAGCGAAATACAGAGTTTCGTTGCCGTCAGCTTCCGTGATGCGCATTTGCGGCGGATCAAAGAATGAAAGGGTCACATCCCGTTGGAAGCCGGCAGCGCATTTGGAAAGTGCCACCAGATAATCCGTGTACGTCTCATGCATGTCTGCGTGCCGTCGGCTTTCCACCTCGGCGTCAGAGTCGCTTGTCTGTGTGGGGGCCCGCTCCCGGCTCCGAGACTCGATCGTATTCAGGCGGATCAGAGCGGACACGGCAGGGACCATGCTCTGCACATCAGGAGAAGCATGAAACTTGGAGCCGAGCAGCGCGTTGTCCACATCGACTTCTCCGATCGGGCTGGTCAGAGGCAATCCTGTGTGAAGCGAGAACGCGCAGATGGCCCAGATGGCCCGGAGCACGGACAGTTGGCGACGGAGACGGTCTTTGTCTTCAAGCAGGTTGCTGGTGGAGCCAACCAGGAAATCGCCGAGACGCTGGCAGAGATGGATTTCCGGATCCCACAACAGCTTCTGGAAATGCCCCACGTACACGCTACGAGGCACATTTCGATCGAAATCCCACAACACAGGGAGCCCCACGACCAGTCGCTCAAGGTCATCGTCGTCAGATTGAGACCGGATGGTCCACGTGAGAGCTCGGATCTCCGTCTTGACAGCGGGATGCAGTGCAGCTGTTTTCACTGCCACAATCATGCTCTGGGACTGCGGATGCGTGTCTTCAGCCTCGCTAGGGACGCCAGGGCCCGTCACACCAGATTCCATCGCTTTCTCGGGGTCTGGAAGAGCGGCTTTGGCTCGGATGAAGGCCTTGCAAACAGGCATTGCCCTCCAAATATAAACCCTCAGCGCGCGCCCCAAGCTTTGATTCAGCGACCAGAGAATGCGTGTGAGTGGCGTCTGGTACGGACTGTCGAGGAAAAACAGCGGGTGTGCAGTGAACGTCGCATAGACCAAGACAAAGAGGATCAGAAGAGCGGAGGAGATGCCCATGATGATGACGTTGATGGGCACGAGAAATGCCACCAGACCTGCAAAGAACAGGAGTAGTGCCGCGTGCAAGAGAAGCGGGGGAACGCCAACAACGGCGTGCATATTGAACCGTCGTAAGCCATAGTACAGATACATGTACACGCGCGCGCGGACAGAGGGAGACGAGTACATCGATGTCCGGTGCTGGTACTCCTGTGCCCACTGCTTGACGAGAGTGGCGACGAGTGCACTGGACAAGCTGAGTGCAAGGCTGGTGAACCAGAGCACATTGCAGACGAGGGAGGATGCCGGGGGAGAGAACGCAGCGGTGGGAGGCAGTGCATCCACCATCGCCGTCCCATTGTTCATGTTCGCGAGTTGGAGCGAGATCTGGCCGAGAAGTGCAACGGTTTGGGTGAGCAGTACGACTGTCTGACTGCCCGAATCAGGGTTGAGCGTTTTGTAGCTATCGATTATGAAAGTCGTGATGACGCCCGAGAAAAGACCGGCCTGAAGAGTTGCATTCAGAGGGGGACAGGATCGAGAACAGTTGGAGACGCACAAAGATCAGCAGACCATCCATCTCGCTGCGCCAGCCTTCGAGGAGACCCTGATCGTAGTTTTGCGCCTCGGTGATGTAGGCGCTCCAGAGCTTGTTCCCGCTGGCCCTCTCGCGCTCGATACGCTCTTCTTCTGCCTTTCGTTGGTCGGTCTGTTGTTCCTCAGCTTGTGGCATGGTCAAAGGCAAGAGTTGAAGTGGTTTTGCCTCGTGTCCGTGCCGCGTTTTTCCATGCACGCTGCCACACCAGGACGATGCCACGGCTCACAGCCACCAAGAGCCCAGCGCCAGAGTGGCGGATTTAGACATAAGCGCTCAAGGAAGCCAGCGCAAGCTGGGACGGCACAAAGATTGGCCGCTGGCGTATCCCAGGGCATGCCAGTCCATCGGCGCTTCTGGCAGATGGACGGATGGCATCAAGCCCTAGTGAGACAATACCGGTCCCAGGAGGCGCGCATTTGTGAATGAGGTGCTGTAGAATCCCAGTGAGCGAACGGGAGGCACGAGAATGCAACGAGACGCACAGTTTCAAAACGGAGAGTAGACTTGTATAGCCCCGTTGTACTGCTTGGTCGCATGCGATGCCATGCGATCGTCCCAGCTCTTTACAAAGTCGCACCGCCATAGCCAATCTGATGTTTTCTCAGGCAGTCCAGATCTTCCTGACCTTGGCCGAGAGCAACATCAGATACTGTAGATGCCCTTCTTTACCATGGATGCATCGCCCACCTATCCGGAGAGTGGTGCTCTCCGCATCGAAATGAAATCGGTTGTTCAGAGACACCTTCGAGTTTCGATTCAAGTGGATTGGAAGACACGAGTCTTGTCACACATCGTCACGATTGTCACGAATCTCGAAACGCGCAGACAGGAACAACGACATTCTGTATCCCCGCTCTCTGGCGACACGTCGGAATTGACTTGGACTTTGTGACCGGCCGTTTCGGACCGTACGAGGAGACCGCCCATCTGCACGGGCTATGGTTGGCGCAAGCGCCGAGATTCTTCGACGCTCTCACGTCAAGTCAGCTGGGCGACGAGATGCGGGCATGCAGCCGCGGTGGCATCCTGAATCCTGATGCACCAGGGCAATCGAGACAAGGGGGGAGTTCGCCGCTCATTGGTTCCGCACCCGACCTCGCCTTTGATCTATCTTATTCTGGTTTCGGTGGACCGGGTGCCGCGCTCTGCCGCGCACAATCTGAATGAGGCGGAAGCAGTCCCACACTGGCAGGCGGGTGCTATGAGAGATGGGCAGTACTATTAGGCGCTCACTAGCCTATCTCTGACACTCGATCCAATCTCGGAGGGCCCTCCATGCGTCTCAGAAGTGCAGAAGCTTGTGTTGACAATCGACACTACGGAAAGTCTACCGTCCATGGCCCAGGACCTCACGTTGATCCACGCTATTGCCTGGACGATGTTTACGCCTACTGTCACCTGCAGTCCAAGATGTGAACGCGTTGGAATCGTTCGCACATTGGGTGTCCCGCGAGATTCGAAGTACTGTCATGCGGCTCATCATGCTTTGACACTCGAGCCAGTCTTGGAGGGTCCTTACAAATGGTGATTTGATTCCTCGCACTTCAGCTTCATTCTCTCGCTCTGCAGCCTGCGTCTGTAGATCGCGTTCTTTCGGGACCCGCTTGATCTGTCGGAGTTTCAAGGTACTGAAGCTCGAGGCGGGGTCCACTTCTTCCTGGGAGTCGTTGATCACCGATTGCTGGGACAGCGAGGTGAGCAGGCTTACTTTTGCTAGTGTTGTTTCGACGCTCATTCCAACTCTCAGGCTACGGTGACGGGTCGGCTGCCGACACGTTTGCAGCGTTTTGTTTATCGAGGGCTCGCAGAGGATGTCGAGTAATCAGAGGCCATCAATCTTCACGCGCGTCGCTCGAAATGGGATCTCATTCATGATTTCCACAAGCCGGTCTCAACAATGTCTTGATATTCCGGTGCGTGCCCTCAGGCAACACCTGTGTCCATCTCATCTGAACATCCAGTGCTTCTCCCTGCTCACACATGCTGCTTTGCGCCTGCCATCTCAAACCACCAGTGTGCGCCCTCGTGGGCGATGATCGCTGACAAAGCTATGAGGCTCCAGCAGACGCGGTCATCCCATATCCCGGTTGACGCCCTACGCGTACGCGTGCACACCACGTCCTGCCCCCCCTTACCCCCTACATACGCCGTCGCTTCGACGTGATTGCAACGGCCGGTCCGCATCCTCCTCCTTGCATTCGACCTCGTATCGCGCAGCGGTCCGGCATGCCGACCATGGGCACTCGCACCTCCCCCGTCCGAGACGGTACACATGGACGCGTCGTCGTCGGCCACACACATGCACCTGTAGTCGCGGCGCAGAAGCGAAGAGTTCTACTTGATCCTGATGCCAAAAATCTGCGAACGCACGAGTCCGACCCCTACCTGGACCGTCTTGAGAATGCTGTCCAGCTCTCCGGCCGATCGAGCACAGATGGCGGCTCTGTCAGTGAGATTGCTTCGTAGATCTCTGGCCTGCATCGGTCAGCTCATCGTCGCTCCCGTCCTGAGATATCACTCATCCGCGTCTCATTTCAAGGTCTCATTCGGGCCGAGATCCGCTCGATAGTCTGGATCATCGACGGACTGCGCCGCTCAAGATCGCGGTCGGCAATAGGAACTGGACCTTGCCCGTGCACCTCGAGCGATGTGTTACACTCTCTGCAGAGACAAGCCTGACCTCGATCATCGTACTGGATTTGGTTCCGTCGAGTTCTCGTTTTTGGCTGTCATATGAGACCGGGTCAAAGGTCATTTTGGGAGACGCTGTCTGGGCTGGACTGTGGTTCCCCTGCACGTCGCTGGCCGCTGAGGAGGTATCGCCTCACCTCAGCCGTGATGGACGAGTACATCCGTTCTGACAATGAAGGGGGTTTTGATACGAAACGCGCTGGGAGGCGGGGTCTGAGAGGTCTTGCACGTAGAGACGTGGGCACCAAAGCACAATGAATCTAGGCCACGACTATTGGATGAAACCAGTCTCATTCGGCGCTGCCGGTATTGGAGAGACGCACTGCGCCGCTGCTTTTGCACATCGTGTCTCCGCACCGGCGTCTCGATCCGGATGCTCCTTTCCCAGAGCCAGCAGTACCTCTTGCGCAAGGACACAGTGATCGACATGCCATGGTGCAAGCCTGGCAGAAGCTTGTCGAGACACAGAATACACCACATTAGGCGCACTTGCGGCTACTTTACATCCGAAACGCACATGCATTCTGACCGCCTTAGCCGGCAGCGCCGTCACCAAGTTCGCGGAAACACCTCGGGCATGGTGAATATCGACGTGGCATTCTCGGGGACGCCTCGGCCGCATCCAGGTGTGAAGTGGAGGAATTTGCAGACGGGGATGGTCGGTTTTCAGCGAGTCTATAGTAGGTGGCTCCCAATACCCAGGAGATTCGGCTAAAACTACTACAGAGGGTGGAAGCGAGCCTGCCGCCGCCGCCGCTGCCAGACTGCGTTCCCGTCTGTCCACACATCCTCATTTCCGAGCGCTCTGCACTTGGTTGACATGACGCACACAGACCCAAAATCCTGTCGCCATCCAATTCTGACCTTGGTCTGTGTCGCCTCAGGATCTTTCATGTGTCTCAGGGATGATGTGCAACCGCTACGATCCAGCTCTGGGGACTTGTCCTGGTTGTCCAATTCGGCGAGCTGCCTCACCCCGTGCTCAAGCATATGCTTTTTCGAATCGAGGCCGCTTTCCCCGCTGTTGCCAAGACCTGGATCGACGGTCTGCGCCTTTTCAAACTCCCGCTGTCCGATCTCTTGTGCAGCCAGCAATCAACTTTGTGGTTCTGTCCTGCCTCCCACATCTGCGAATGCTTAGTGCTGTTTTGTTGCGGATACGCTCCATGCAGCTCACCTGCCCCAGTATCTATCGTGACTCCAGCTCCTCTTTGATGATATGAGACATGCTGTCTCGCTTAGCGACCAGTTGGTGCAGTTATTAGCGTGAGCAGCTCTGGGATCATATTTCGTCAAGCCACGTCGCTGATTTGTGCTCCGGATCTTTGCTCAACGCGTCTCTCACCGGTCTCCTGCATGCCTATTCACCACGCGCACCTTGTCCTGCAGGAGCCACCCGTACCTCTGAAGTAGCCTCCGTTGCAGCACCAGCACACGGACGATGTAACACTGAAGCAAACGAAGTTATCTTTGCTGACAGGATCTTTGCCGACGGGGTTTTAACTGTCACACGACTGAGCTGCCTCTCTGGCACTGGTCGACGCTGAACTGGGGCAACACCGTGTGTCAGCAGGGTGGTTTGCATGAGCGAACTACGGGATCGGTCGACCGCGCGCCCTAAGCACTGACGCCACACGCGCGCACGGCACGTCCTCCCCCACACACGTCGCTACACCCGCGGTCGCTTTGACGTACGGTTCGAGCGCGAGCGCGATGTGCAGTATCTGACTGGGCTGGGCATGAGATGAATGGGGCGGTGCTGAGGAAGTTGCAGGCCTTGTGACTTGTCAGCCAAGGGCGATTCATGCCACCGCGGTTTACGGCCAATATGCTGCTGGTGGCCACGCAGTGCCACCCGGACTTGGGCCGGGCAGCGCTATTCCGCATGGTTTTGTCCGTGGAGGGGCGGGTGGCCGAGCTAGTGGAGCAAGATGCTGGCTGCGATGAGGGGTGGTGGACACACCAGCCCGGGAGTGCGCTTTCGCAGGTGGTCCTCTTTCTGTCGGAGCTCTACAGGCACGCACTGGTGGCCATGGGCGGTGGGGCGTGTCGACGGCGCAGAAGGGCTTCCAACTGAACAAGGACATCTACGCTGGGATGAAAGCGTTTGGTAGGGGAGCGAGGACCAAGCACACTGAGTGCTTCCAGTGCGGAAAGGGGCCTGATCTTGGTTTTGGGACGATCGTCAAGTTCTCGACGAAGATCGGGACTGGTGTGGGCAAGCAGATGCTTAGTCGCAAGTACTGAAACGGTCAACCTCGACACGCAACTCGCGATCGACCGTTTCCTGAAGTTCTACTACGGCCATCCGGGATTCCACATCAACAACACGCTCGTCGTTCTGTCTGTGTAAGCTTTCATGGCCACTTTGGGAGTGCCTGGATGCTCTGTTGAGTCTGTTTTCTGACATGCGCTCAGTGGTCTTTGTCGCAACTTTGACGTCGAGCATCATGATCTGTCAACACACGTCCTCGGGACAGTTTACCTCTAGTCACGCTGTATGCTAAAACTTGGTGAATGTCTCATCCAGGATCCACTGGTGTATCATCAGGATCTTCTTGGTCTTCATCCGAAGCTTCTCTACATTTATTGATCCTCCTTCGCACATGCCATCTCCAACTATGTGAATGGTTCCGGGAAGATACTATACCTTTTACGCCGAGCTTCCTGCCAGTCTACCATGATGTATGTGGGCTGTTCCCTAGTTTGAGGACGCAGTCGCAAGTGTTGCTGTCTCAGATCTGTGATACCAAACGGCACCTTCGAGCCATCCGAGCCCCAAAAGGATGAGCTGTCGATTCTCAGCGCGAAGATGCATACGTTGACAACGCAAGTGAAGCCGACCAAAACACCGCTCTCCTGGTGCTTCTTATTGGATTTTCCCGAGAGAGAGTTACATATGTGACATGCAGCGGGGAAGACTTGATCTGTGTGGCCATGACCAATGTGCATGGACGCACGCAGACTAGATCGACGGGCTCAGGCGCAGTGAAGAGGATCTCGTTGAACATACAGAATACATGGATCGTAGGCTAGATAAATGGAAAATGACACCCTCTGCAATGGCCCCTTCATTCCCCGTCACTCACGAGTGAGACAAAGGCAGCAAAAATGTCCTCGGGCAGAAGAAGCCGCTCCTGCATGTATCTGCGGATCCGTTGAGCATGGTTCCGGTGTTCTTGCTGCTGGTCGTCCGTCTGCACCTCCGACACAGCTGTGTCCACGACACGCAATACATCCAAATTCTTGATCCACCCGTACTCATCGACGGCCCAGTCAAGCACCCAGAAGAGCCCAGTCCCATCCGCAAGACAGTTCTCTGGGTATTTGGGATGAATGCAGACGCGGCGTCGGCGAATCGACGTTGCAGTTTGATCGGGATCACCGAATCAATGTCCATGTCTGTGTGGTGTTCCACCAATTGGAGCGCTGCAAAGTCCAGGTCGCGCTCCTTTTGATCTGGACTCCGGGTGGTACACTGCTCAAAGAAAGTAGTGAAAACACCCACACGTGCGCAGTCGTAAATTTGCTGTGGCGATGCCCGCTCCGTGGGCTCATCCCTGTCCAGGTCGAGCACGGAATGGAACCAGTCCTCGTCGTTGAAGATACCCGGCAATCGCTCCCATTCCGGCGTATCATACCTGAAACTTTTGAGCACGACGCACTGGACAATGGCAGCCAAACGGTGTATGCGGATGTCGGCTGTTTCATTCTGCAGAGTGCGGAGGACCAGAAGATGGGTTTCGAGGTCTGTTGGTGGCAGCCAAGAGTCAAGCAAATTCCGATAAATCAGCTGAAGGGCGTCGACATCGAGAACGATGTGCTTGTAGTTTTCGCATAGCTTATGGCACAGGAATCGGGTGTAATGATGCTGTGAGCAGAATTTTGGGTCAAAGGCGGCGAGGGACGGATGTCGGACAAGGAACGGCCCAAGAACCCACAGCGACAGGGACGAATCGGAATCAGGATACTCCGATTTCTGGGCAAACGGGCAGATCATCTGACGAGCAGCAAAAACGACGTTGTCCGCTGTATCGTCCGCTGTCTTGTCCAACGCCGAGCCAATCAGCTCATGGAGAGCGTCTCGCAGAGTTTTGTAGCCATCTGCGTCCGTGAAATGCATTTGTGACTGATCAAAGAGTGAGCAGGTTGCATCCCTTTGGAAGCTGGCGGAGCATTTGGAGAGTGCCAGCAGATATTGCGTGTACGTGCGATGCATGTCTCCTTGCCGTTGCTTCTCCGCGTCTGCATGGATGTCACCGTCTGAATCGCTTGTCTGGGTGAGGGTCCGTTCCTGGCTCCGAAACTCAATGACGTTCAGACGGATCAGAGCGGACACATCGTGGACCATGCTCTGCACTTTGTCGGCATGAAGAAATTTCGAGCCAAGCAGCACACTGTCCACGTCAGCTTCTCCAATCGGACTTTGCAGAGGCGACCCGCTTTGCAGAGAGAACGCGCAGATGGCCCAGATGGCCCGGAGCACGGACAGCTGGCGGCGGAGGCGGTCCTTGTGTTGGAGCAGATTGCTGTTGGAGCCAGCCATGAAATCAGCGAGACGCTGGCCCAGATGGACTTCCGGATCCCGCAACAGGGCCTGGAACAAGGCTTGATACACGCTGCGAGGCTTGTGTTGATCAAAATCCCACAGCGTCTGGGGAAGCCCCTCCACAAGTTTCTCAAGCTCCTCATCGACAGAGAGAGACCGGACGGTCCACGCCAGTGCGTGCGTCTCCACCTTAACAGGAGGATGTAGTGCTTCTGATCTCACAGCGTCGACCATGCTCTGGGACTGCGGACAGTTGGCAGAGGCATCGGCGTTCGTCACAGGAAATTTGGCGGCTTTCTCGGGGTCTGTCACAGCGATTCTCGTTCGAAAGACGGCCTCGCAAACGGGCACTGTCCTTCGAATACAAGCCCTCAGCACACTTCCCCAGCTCTGATTAAGTGACCATAGGGTTCGCGTGAGTGGCGTCTGGTACGGACAGTCGAACAAGAACAGCGGGAGTGCACTGAACGTTCCGTAGACGGAGACAAACAAGAACAGCAGAGCGCATGTCATGCCCATGATGATGACGTTGATGGGCACCAGAAATGCAACGAGACCCGCAAAGAACAGCAGTAGTGAAGCGTGCAAGAGAAGCGGGGGAACGCCAACAACGGTGTGCATATTGAAGCGTTGTAAGCCGTGGAAGAGATACATGTACACATGCGCACGGACAGAGGGGGAGGAGAACATCGATGTCCGGTGCTGATACTCCTGGGCCCACTGCTTGACAAGAGTCGCGACAAGGGCGCTCGACAAACTGAGTGCGAGGCTCGTGAACCAGAGTACGTTGCAGACCAGGGAGGAGACCGGGGGCGAGAAGGCAGCGGCGGGAGGCAATGCGTCCGTTGTTAGAGTTCCGTTGTTCATGTGCGCGAGCTGGACCGAGATCTGGCCAAGGAGTGCAACCGTTTGGCTGAGGAGTACGACAGTCTGACTCCCCGAATCGGGGTTGAGCGTCTTGTAACTATCAATGATGAAAGTCGTGATAACGCCCGAAAAGAGACCGGCCTGACGAGTCAAATTCAGAAGGTGGCCAGGATCGAGGAGGGCCCGAGACGCACGAAGATCAGCATACCATCCATCTCACTGCGCCAGCCTTCGAGGAGACCCTGATCGTAGTTTTGCGCCTCGGAGATATAGGCGCTCCAGAGCTTGTTGCCACTCGCCCTCTCGCGCTCGATACTCTCTTCTTCTGCCTTTCGTTTGTCGGCCTGTTCTTTCTCAGCTTGCGACATGGTCAAAGGCAGGAGGGAAAGTACTTTGCTTCGTGTCTGCACAGCGTTTCTCCATCCACACTGCCTCACTGGGACGATGCCACAGCTCATAGCCACCAAGCGCCCAGCGCCAGAGCGGCGGATTGAGACATAGACGCTCAAGGAAGCCACCACAAGCTCGGACGGCACAATGATTGGTCGGTGGCGTATCCTAGGGCATGGCAGTCCATAGGCACTTCCTGGAGGTGAGCGGATGGCATCAACCACTAGGAGGTCGACGTTGGTCCCAGGAGGTGAGCATGGTCGTTGTAGAATATCAGTAAGCAGATGTGAGGTCGTTGAGATCCAACGAGACGCATACTTTCGAGAAGGAAAGAGTTGATTCAGATGGGCCCGTCGTACTCGGTTGTATACGATGTGATACGATCGTCCCATCTCTCGCAGCACTTCTCAAAGTCGCACTGTCATGGCCAATCTGATGTCTTGTCAGGCAGTCAAGAGTTCCGATCTTCCTGACCTCGGCCGAGAGCAACATCAGATGAAATGCCCTTCTTTGCCATGGATGCAGCGCACGGCCATCCTGAGAGTGAAGCTGTCCGCATCGGAATGGAATCGGTTGTTCACAAACACCTTCGAGTTTCGATTGAAGTGGATTGAAAGAGACATGTGCTGTCACACTCCATCAAGCTCGTCACGAATCTTGAATGTGGATAGCACTGCAGCAACGACGACATTCTGCACAAAGTTCCAGCCGACGCATCGGGAATCGACTTGACTTTGAGAACGGCCGTCTCGCACTAATGGAGGAGACAATCCCTGTGTGCGGGCTCTAGTTGGCGCAAGCGCCGTGATTCCTCGGCGCTCTCACCTCAAGACAACTCTACAGCCGCGGTAACTTGAGGCGTGAAGGCAATCGACACGAGGGGCAGTCCACCGCGATATAATGTTGATCTGGACGGTGAGCTGCTGCCGCTGTGGCATTCTGATCCACCCAGGGCAGACGACACGACCCTCATTGGTACTACCCTCAACTCGGCGTTAATCCTCAATCATGATGCTTTCGTGCACTGGGTGACGTACAACCGCCGCCTCCCTCTGCCCAAGATGCGAGGGCGTGTGTACTGTAGAGAATATGGCATCGAGAGCACCGGGGCCATCCTTGGGCTGACTATTCAAATGGCGCAGAGTATAAAGGTCGATGATTCTTCGTGTCTGTTTGGTCGCCTCTTCAGCCCCAACGCGTACAGATTGTGATGTCTCGCCTGAACATGCTCTACTATCTCTAGGATAGGTAAGTTTGTGACGATGACCCAGCGGCTGACAAAATAGGTGCTGATCTGTTCGCAGAATTGTGCAACTGGATTTCTCACAACACCGCCGAGCCCTCCCAGCGCGAACGGGAAAAGCTGTCTGTCTACATAGGGAAGACGTCTTTCGCTGACGACCAAAGCCGAGCGGCCCAAACACCGCCTGCCTGGTGCTCGTCATTGGATGGACTCAAGCAAACTGCTCGAGTACGATTTGTCGCTCGCGGGGTGTATCCAAGCGTGCTTAGCGAGCTAGAAACATGCTGCCCCGACATTGTGCACCTGTTCTCCGCCGTGTGCCAATTTCGAGACGCTATCCTCCAGCGGGGCCCATTTGCAGTAGGGAGCATCGGGCGATGCTGTGCAGTCTCAGCGGCGGATCATCGCCGACGCAGCCACAACCCTCATCGCGTCTGATCTCACTTCTTGCCTTGACGCCTCCGCCCGCGCATGACACTTCCTTTCACTCTTACTAGCGCGAGTCTGCATTCTTACACCCAAGTGTCCTTGAATCCGATCTCATTTCTCGATTAGCGCCCCGCGCGCGCAGAGCGCATCCTCTCACCATATCAAAGCATCCAGCGCTTTCCTAGGCTTACCAATGCTGCTTTACATCCCAAACCCTCATCGGCGATGATTGCTGACAAAGCCACGAGACGCCACACATGCGCATCCGGCTTGACCTGCCACATGTCGAAGAGATGCGTCAGAAACAGCTTCGCATGCGGCGGCGGCGACCGGCCACATTCTCCTCCCCACCTTCGTTCTTGTATCAGTGTGGCTCGCCACTGCATTTGAACCCTACCCTCTCCGGTGGATCAACTCCTGAGACAGGGGACTAGGATGTGTCGTCGCTGGCAACACACTTTCAGCAGCAGCAACAACATCAGTGGGCTGGCGGGAGAGCATTTCAGTCAGCGTCAGACCGCGGGGCTGCGCGATGTTTGGGCTGGCGGCGGACAATCTCAGGTTGCCAGACCATGGGGAGCTATACCAGTCGAAGATCGGGTCGCCGAGGAGGAGCATAATCAGGCTCCGGTCGAACTGCTGGCTCTGCCGGGGCGCATGCCCATCACTTTCGGGATGGGCCCTCAGCAAATCGTGCAAGTCGACAACGCCGGTCACGGGAACGTTACGGAAACACGAATCCATGTGCTCGTTGCCTGCGGAGACGATGAGCCTCGCAGATGCCGCTGCTTGGCTGAGATGACGAGTGATTGTGCGCAAGATTCGCACTAGCACGGTCATGTTGGACAGGACTTCTCTCATTCGTTCAGATCCAGAGGGCGCGGGCTGGACTGAGCACCGGCGGGATAGAAGGATTAGGGGATCGGGCTTCTCGGGCCGGACACAGCTCGAGAAAGAACGGCATGGGACGATGTGGTTTCGTAGGACGTCGACTGGCAGATTTTGGGAAGAGTGGGCAATTCCGCGTCAGCTCTGAACGAGCCATGCACCTGCAGTTGCAGTCCATCTTGAGAATGCTGTCCAGCTCCTGCATAGCCGCCGATTGAGCACAGATGGCTGCTCTCTCAGCGAGATTGGCCCGCCGGTCCCATGCCTGTATCGGTCAGCGCATCGTCGGTCTCGTCCTAAGATGTCACTCATCCTTGTCCCATTCAAGGTGTCATTCGGGTCAGAAAGCCGATCGACAGTCGTCTGGATCATCGACTGACTGCGCAGCTCGAGATCGCGGGCGACAATCGGAACAGGGGATTGCCTGTGGACCTCGAGTGGTGTCGCGTGACCTGCAGTGGCAAGCCTAGCCTCGAGCACCGCAATGGATCTGGTTCCGTCGAGGTCTCGATGATGGTCGTCGTCTCAGACTGGGATCAGACACGGACGGGGCAGCACCTAGGCAGACACAGTTATCTTGCTCGATAACGGCGTCACGTCTCTCACCTGCTCCTTCACCGACGGTATCCTCGCCAACGGCGTTCTCGCTGCCACACGGTCGGGCTGAATTCCTAGCGCCACTCGACGCTCAGTCGGGGCAAAACCTGGTGTGACAATTCGGGTATGTATGGGCAGACCCGCGTGCGTGTTAGTGGAGCCGGCGGCAAGAACTGAAAGAGTGCCTTGTGCGACATTTTGTCGGTGAGTGCTGGTCCAGCTGGCTCCCTGAAATTGCGGAAAGTTGATGACGGGATAGGCGGTCTCAGCAGCAACGGGATCAACGTCATCGAAGGTCGCGCAAGATTCGAGATAATGACATGTGGTTTGTCATGCTTTGACACTCGAGTCTGCCTTGGAGGGTTCCCAAGCGTCGCTACTGTGAAGACGCTGGCATTGATGGCAATATTCGGGCGCCTGTGTGCTGGAGAGCACAGCATCGAGAGCACGTCAACCAGCTTCGGGCGGTCTGCGAGACTGCCACATTGGGTAGGTCGATTCATTACACTCCGGTTTCATGGTCTGATTCTGCGGCATGAGATTACCTTGTGTCTGTGGAATGCACCGCGCTCGATCTCGCTCAATCTGATGTCCCACTTTCCAGACCAATACTGTCCCCGGCGCGCCTTTTCAGGTCTGCTCTACGTTCTCCGACTCCTGTTCGCACACCCCATCTCCAACTGCCACGATGATCCTATCATAAGCCGCTGAGCGCCGTCGTTCCTGGCTGGCTACAATAGTGCATCTCGACTGCCTTTTCCTGACATGCCAGCAACGCGCATTCGCATCCGTACTTGGCCGAGTCGTCTATGTCAACACACTGTCAGCATTCGTAAGAACGATGCCAATAGAATGACTTACAGCTACGAATCCCTGCTGGCCGCGGAGCACTTCAGCTAGGGATGCATTGCGGACAACCAGCGCAGTTTGCATGGGCGGACCCACCTGCGTGCTCGGCCACTATGTTTCGACGAGCTACGGGCTGGGCTGCCAGCAGCAGGAGGCGGAGGAAGAGCATCGGCCGTGGCGGCTCGAGGAATATCTTCGTCTGGGAGTTGTAGAAGAGATGCCTCAGGGGAGCTACGAATGCGACGACGGCGGCAGCAGCAACAACATCCACGACATTATGCGCGCTCTCATGCCCCACCGGCTTTGTCGCACGGGCAGTTTCGACTGGCATACCAGACCAGTCCGACTACGACTCTACGAGTAGCCGTAAAAGTACCGGCGACGGCGACAGCAGCGGCCAGCCACATCCTCCTCCTTGCCTTCGCCTTCGTGACACGCAGTGACTGTCTCAAGATCCGGAACATCCCGGATGAATTCGAGGAGCTGCAGACGAGCGAGACCAGCCCGTATTCTCGGTGGGATGCAAAAGAGTTCAGGCAGACTCCCGTTGCGATCGTTGGCGCGCACGAGTACATCTTGTCGGAGAACATCGGTATCCTCGGCGATCTTGCTGCTGGGAGGAAGCAGACGTTCGGTACGTTGTTTGCGCGGTCCCTGGCATGGATTGGCGGCAAGTTGCACTACGGACATCCTGACTTCCTGAACGTGATCTACATGACGACCCGAGGTGGTGTGTCGAAGGCGCAGAAGGGCCTGCACCTGAACAAGGACATCTACGCTGAGAAGAACGTGTTTGGTTGGGGAGGGAGGATTAGGCACACGGAGTACTTCCAGTGTGGAAACGGGCGTGATCTTGAGTTTGGAACTATCCTCGACTGCCAGAGGAATATCGGCACGGGTATGGGCGAGCAGATGCTTAGTCGTGAGTACGATTATTTCGGCACGCCACTCGCGATTGACCGTTTGCTGACGCTCTACTATGGCCGACCGGGATTCCACATAAACAACATGCTCGCTATCTTATCTGTGCAGGTTTTCATTGTCACTTGTGAGTGTCTGGATGTTATTGTGGAGTTGTTCCGACATGCGCTCAGTGGTCTTTGTCGCAACTTTGACATCGAGCATCACGATCTGGAAATACACGTCCTCGGGACAGTTCATCTCTGGTCACGCTGGATGCTACAACTTGGCGAACGTCTCGTCGTGGATCCACCGGAGTATCATCAGTATCTTCTTTGTCTTCATCCGAGGCTTCTGTACGTTCATTGATACTCCTTCGCATATGCCATCTCCAACTATCCGGATGGTTCCTGGAAGATTTCTTTTGCGCCGACCTTCCTGGCGGTCTACCATTGTGCATATGGGCTGCTCCCTAGTTTGAGGACGCAGTCGCAAGTGTTGTTGTCCCAGATTAGTCGGATGTGTGATCCCAAACGGCACCCTCGAGCCATCTGGGTACAAGAGGGCGAGTTGTCGATTCTCAGCGCACAGACGCATGTGCTGACAACGGAAGTGAAGCCGACCAAAAGACCGCCTTCTTGGTGCTCGCGTTTGGATTTGCCCAATCGAGAGAGTTCTGTGGCATTGGCGGGGACGATCCGATGTGTGTGACCGTGACAAAGGTGTATGTTTGCATACGTATTTTGGACGCGGCAAAGAGGATCTCGTTGAACGTACGGAATACATGGATTGTAGGCTAAATCAAAGGGAAATGGCATCCTCTGCGATTACTACTCCACTCCCCATCACTGACGAGCGGGACAGACTCGGCAGGACTGTCCTCGGGAGGAAGCCGATTCTGTATCTCTCCCCGGATCCGTTGAGCATGTTTCCAGTGTGATTCCTGCTGGTCATCCGTCTGCACCTCCATCAGAGCCACGTACACGACGCGCAATGCATCCAAATCGGTCATCCACCCGGCCCAGAAAAGCACCGAGTCAAGCCCATTCTCATCCGCAAGACAGTTATTTGGATATTTGCGGATGAATGCAGCGGCAGCGTCGGCGAATCGGCGTTGCAGTCCAGTCGGGATCGCCGAAAAAATGGGCAATTCTGTGTAGCGTTTCACCAATCCGAGTGTTGCAAAATCCTGGTCGCGTTCTGTTTGATCCGGACTCTGGGTGGTGCACTGCTCGAGGAAAGTCGTCCAAACACCCACACGGACACAGTCGTAAAATTGCTGCCCCGATACCCGCTCCGTGCGTTCATCGTTGTCAAGGCCGAACACGGAGCGGAACCACTCCTCGTCATCGAAGATACTTGGCAATCGCTCCCATTCCGACGAATCCTCCTTGCAGCTTTTGAGCACGACGGACTGGACGATGGCTGCTAAACGGTGCATGCAGAGGTTGGTTGCTTTTGTCTGCAGTCTGCGGAGGACCAGAAGATGGGTCTCCAAGTCTGTTGGTGGCTCATCGGACTGGAGCAATTTCCGATAAATCAGCTGGAGGGCGTCGACACATTCCTGGGGATTTGATCGGAACACCAAGTTGTCGCATAGCATGTGGCACAGGAATCGGGTGTAATGATGCTTTGAGTCGAATTCCGGCTCGGTGGCGGCGAGGGACGGATGGCGGACAAGGAGTGGCCCAAGCCGCAACACTGACGGATACGGATATTTTGATATCTGGGCAAACGGGGCGATCATCTGCCGAGCAGCAAAGACCACGTTGTCCGCTGTCTCCTCCGCTGTCTTCTCCAACGCTGAATCGATCAGCTCGTGGAGAGCGTTGAGCAGAGTTTTGTAGCCATCCACTTCCGTGAAGCGCATTTGTGACCGATAAAAGAGTGAAATGGTCACGTCCCGTTGGAAGCTGGCAGTGCGTTTGGAATGTGCCTGCAAATAATCCGTGTACGTCCGATGGATGTCTGCGTGCCGTTGCCTTTCCGCCTCGGCGTCAGAGTTGCTCCGCTGTGTGAAAGCTTCATCCCGGCTCCGAGACTCGACGACGTTCAGGCGGATCAAAGCTGACACGGCAGGGACCATGTTCTGCACGTCGGGAGAAGCATGAAGCTTGGAGCCAAGCAACGCGTTGCGCACGTTGGCTTCTCCAATCGGACTTTGTAGAGGCGACCCGGTGTGCAGAGAGAACGCGCAAATGGCCCAGATGGCCCGGAGTACTGAGAGCTGGCGGCGGACGCGGTCCTTTTCCTCGAGCAGATTGCTGTTGGAGCCTGCCATGAAATCAGCCAGACGCTGGCAGAGATGGACTTCCGGATCACGCAACAGCGACTGGAACAGTGCCTGATACACGCGACGAGGCTTGTCTTGATCGAAATCCTACAGCGTCTGGGGGAGCCCCTCGACAGGTTTTTCGAGCTCCTCATCGTCAGAGAGAGACCGGACGGTCCATGCGAGTGCGTGCGTCTCTATCTTGACAGGAGGATTCAGTGCTTCTGATTTGATGGCGTCCATCATGCTTTGCGACTCCGGACGGGTGTCTGCCGCGGCTGCAGCACGCTCGGCGGAGGCATCGGGGCTCGTCGCAGGAGATTGGGCGGCTTTCTCGGGGTCTGTCACAGGAACTCTGGTTTGAGGTATGGCCTTGCAAACAGCCGCTGCCCTTCGAATGTAAGCCCTCAGCGTGCTTCCCCAGATGTGATTCAGCGACCAGAGGATCCGTGTGAGTGGCGTCTGGTACGGACAGTCGAGGAAGAACAACGGAAGAGCGGTGAAAGTTCCGTAGACCGAGACAAACAGGAACAGCAGAGCAGAGGTGATTCCCACGATGATGGTGTTGATGGGCACCAGGAAGGCAACGAGACCCGCAAAGAACAGCAGTAGTGAAGCATGCAGCAGAAGCGGCGGTACGCCAACAACGGCATGCATATTGAAGTGTTGTAAGCCATGAAAGAGATACATATACACGCGCGCGCGGACAGAGGGAGACGAGAACATCGATGTCCGGTGCTGGTACTCCTGCGCCCATTGCTTGACCAGAGTCGCGACGAGTGCGCTCGACAAACTAAGTGCGAGGCTCGTGAACCAGAGTGCGTTGCAGACCAGGGAGGAGACCGGGGGCGCAAAGGCAGCGGCGGGAGGAAGTGCGTCCGCCATTGCAGTCCCGTTATTCATGTTTGCGAGTTGGAGCGAGATCTGGCCGAGGAGTGCAACCGTTTGGCTGAGCAGCACGACAGTCTGGCTCCCCGAGTCGGCGTTCAGTGTCTTGTAACTATCGATGATGAATGTCGTGATAACGCCCGAGAAGAGACCGGCCTGACAAGTCAAATTAAGGTGGTCGAGAACAGTCGGAGACGCACAAAGATCAGCAGACCATCCATCTCACTGCGCCAGCCCTCGAGGAGACCCTGATCGTAGTTTTGCGCCTCGGTGATGTAGGCGCTCCAGAGTTTGTTCCCGCTGGCCCTCTCGCGCTCGATACGCTCTTCATTGGCTTGCGGTTCGTCGGTCTCGGATTCGTCGGTCTGCGGCATGGTCAAAGGCGGGAGGGAAACTGCCGTGTCTCGTGTTGCACAGCGTTTCTCCATACACGCTGCCTCACCAGGACGATGCCACGGCTCACAGCCACTAAGCGCCCAGCGCCAGCGTGGCGGATTTAGAGATAGGCGCTCAAGCAAGCCAAAGAAAGCTTGGACGGCACAAAGATTGGCCGGCGGCGTATCCTGGGGCGTAGTAGGCCATCGGCGCTTCTGGCAGATGGACGGATGGCATCAAGCCCTGGTGAGACAGTACCGATCCCAGGAGGCGCGCATTTGTGAATGAGTTGCTGTAGATTATCAGTAAGCAGATGTGAGGTCGTTGAAATCCAACGAGACGCATAGTTTCGAAAAGGAAAGAGTAGATTTGGACAGGCCCATCGTACTCGGTTGTATACGATGTGATGCGATTGTCCCATCTCTCGCAGCACTTCTCAAAGTCGCACTGTCATAGCCAACCTGATGTCTTGCCAGGCAGTCGAGAGTTCCGATCTTCCTGACCTCGGCCGACAGCAACATCAGAAAGGATACCGTTCTTCACCATGGATGCAGCACACGCCCATCCTGAGAGCGATGCTGTCCGTATCGGAATGAAATCGGTTGTTCAAAACACCTTTCGATTCAAGAAGAAGATTGGAAGAGACACATGCTGTCACACTCCATCAAGCTCGTCACGAATCTCGAATGCGAGCAGCACTGCAGCAACAACAGCATCCTGCACACCCGTTCTCAGCCGACACATCGGGAATCGACCTCGACTTTGGGAACGGCCGTCTCGCACTCAATGAGGAGAGAAGCCGTGTGTGCGGGCTCTAGTTGGCGGAAGCGCCGTGATTCCTTGGCACACCCCAAGTCAACTCTACAGCCGCGGTAACTTGAGGCGTGAAGGCAATCGACACGAGGGGCAGTCCATCACGACCTAGCATTGATCTGGACGGCGAGCTACTGCCGCTGTGGCATTCTGATCGACCCAGGGCAGACGACACGACCCTCATTGGTACTACCCTCAACTCGGCGTTAATCCTCAATCATGATGCTTTCGTGCACTGGGTGACGTACAACCGCCGCCTCCCTCTGCCCAAGATGCAAGGGCGTGTGTACTGTAGAGAATATGGCATCGAGAGCACCGGGGCCATTCTTGGGCTGACTATTCAAATGGCGCAGAGTATAAAGGTCGATGATTCTTCGTGTCTGTTTGTCCGCCTCTTCAGCCCCGACGCGTACAGATTGCGCTGTCTCGCCTGAACATGCCCTCATAGCTCTAGGACATGTGAGTTTGTGACGATCACCCAGCGGCTGACAAAACGGGTGCTGATCTGTTCGCAGAATTGGGCAACTGGATCTCGTACAACACTGCCGAGTCCTCCCAGCGCGAACGGGAAAAGCTGTCTGTCTACATAGGGAAGACGTCTTTCGCTGACGACCAAAGCCGAGCGGCCCAAACACCGCCTGCCTGGTGCTCGTCATTGGATGGACTCAAGCAAACCGCTCGAGTACGATTTGTCGCTCGCGAGGTGTCTCCAAGCATGCTCAGCGAGCTAGAAACATTCTGCCCCGACATTGTGCACATGTTCTCCGCCGTGTGCCAATTTCGAGACGCTATCCTCCAGCGGGGCCCATTTGCAGTAGGGAGCATCGGGCCATGCTGTGCAGTCTCAGCGGCGGATCATCGCCGACACAGCCATAACCCTCATCGCGTCTGATCTCACTTCTTGCCTTGACGCCTCCGCCCGCGCATGACACTTCCTTTCACTCTTACTAGCGCGAGTTTGCGCTCTCAAACACGAGCGTCCTCGAATCCGATCTCATCCCTCGATTGGCGCCGCACGCGCGCACAGTGCATCCTCTCACCTTATCAAAGCACCCAGCGCTTCTCTAGGCTTACCAACGCTGCTTTGCATCCCAAATCCTCATCGGCAATGATTGCTGACAAAGCCACGAGACGCCGCACACGCGCATCCAGCTTGACCTGCAGATGTCGAAGAGATGCGTCAGAGAAAGCTTCGCATGCGGCGGCGGCGGCGACCGATCACAATCTCCTCCCCTCCTTCGTCCTTGTATCAGTGTTGCTCGCCACGGCATTTGAACCCTACCCCGTTGGGTGCATCGACTCCAGAATGTGTCGTCGCTGGCAACACACTTTCAGCAGCAGCAACGACATCAGTGGGTTGGCGGGGGAGCATTTCAGTCAGCGTCGGACCGCGGGGCTGCGCGATGTGTGGGCTGGCGGCGGACAATGTCAGGTTGCCACAGCATGGGGAGATATACCCGTCGAAGATCGGGTCGCCGAGGAGGAGCATAATCAGGCTCCGGTCGAACAAGCTGGCTCTGCCGGGGCGCATGCCCATCACTTTTGGAACGGGCCCTCAGCAAATCGCGCAAGTCGACTGCAGCGCAGGAGTATCTGTGCTAGGCGCAGCGGATCCAGAAACAGAACACGCGCTTGTTGGACGGGTTCTCGATCCAGCAGAGCCTTTCTCGCGCGTCCTGTCGTGGGAGGACGGCTGACTGCTACCTTGCTGGACCGGTATTATGGCGCCGAGGGAAGCTATCGTTCACAGTGGGAAGATATTGCTTCAGGGCTGGGCTGCGTCGAGCGTGTCGAGGATCGATGGGATCATGTCCCGATCCAGTTTCATGATTCTCACCTGGCGGAGTGGGGGACCCGGGGCGGCCCGTGAACCCCACAGACCCGGGCGCTCGAGCTTGCGCTCGAAACGACTGAGGACTATCTCGCAGCGTTCACGAAATATTGTCGCAAGCCCCTGGACTGAGATCCTGCCTATGTACATGAGCATGATATAGAACAGAAAGCATCGTATTCTTGAATCGTTTATTAGTTTAGGTATGGGTATGACGAGAACTTCAGAACAACCTACTCCTATTTAAACTTTGTCAAACATCAGTACAGTAGAGGCAGGCCCGAACGGATTAGTGTGAGCGATCCCAAGCAAGGATGGATATCCAGTGAATATCCCATAGAAAACAGTGAAGAAGAGGAGGATAGTGGCAAACATGCTCATGACGATGACGCTAACGGGCGCAAGAAACGCCACAAGACCCATAAAGAATAGGACCAGTGCCGCGTGCAGGAGAAGGAGAGGGACCTTGGCATTGAAGCGTCGCGAACCGCCGTGAAGGCACATGCACATGCACGACTGGGTGAAGACGGTGGGAAACATGGCCGTGCGGTGGGGAAAGTCTTGCGCCCGATGCTTGACCAGCATCGCGATGAATGCACTCGACAAGCTTAATGCGAGGCTGGTGAACCAAAGTGCGTTGCAGACGAGAGAGGAGACCGGCGGCGAAAAGGCAGCGGCGGGAGGCAGTGCGTCCGCCATCGCAGTCCCGTTGTTCATGTTCGCAAGTTGTTGCGAGATCTGGGTGAGAAGTATGACGGTCTGGCGAAGGAGCACGACGGTCTGGCTGCGCGAGTCGGGGTTCAGGGTCTTGTAACTGTCAATGATGAAAGTCGTGATAACGCCCGAAAAGAGACCGGCCTGACGAGTCAAATTCAGAAGGTGGCCAGGATCAAGAACGGTCGGAGACGCACAAAGATCAGCAGACCATCCATCTCGCTGCGCCAGCCTTCGAGGAGACCCTGATCGTAGTTTTGCGCCTCGGCGATGTAGGCGCTCCAAAGTTTATTTCTACTGGCCCTCTCGCGCTCGAGACGCTCTTCTTCTGCCTGTCGTTGATCGGCCTGTGCTCCCTTGGTCTGCACTTCTGGAGGCTGTGGTTCATCGTACTGTGGTTCGTCGGCCTGCGATTCTTTGGTCTGCGATTCCTCGGTCTGCGATTCCTTGGTCTGCGATTCTTCAGACTGTCTTTCGTCGGCCTGCGATTCTTCAGACTGTGATTCGTCAGTCTGCGGTTCCACGGGCCGTCTTTCATCGGACTGCGATCCGTGGGTCTGCGATTTTTCGACCGCTCCTTTGTCGGCCTGTTGTTCTCCAGCTTGTGACATGGTCAAAGGTAGGAGGTGAAGTACTTAGCCTCGTGTCCGTGCCGCGTTTCTCCATGCAGGCTGCCTCACCAGGACGATGCCACGGCTGACAGCCACCAAGCGCCCGGCGCCAGAGTGGCGGATTTAGAGATAGGCGCGCAAGGAAGCCAAAGAAACCTCGGGCGGCACAAAGATTGGCCGGTGGCGTATCCCAGGACACGGCAGTCCATCGGCGCTTCCTGGAGATGGACGGATGACACCAGGCACTAGGAAGACGGCGTCGGTCCCAGGAGGTGCGCATGTGTCCATGAGTTTTTGTAGAATCTCGGTGAGCAGATGTGAGGTCGTTGAACTCAAACGAGACGCATAGCTTTGAAAGGGAGAAAGCAGGCTGCAATAGCCCCATCGAAATCGGTCGCATACGATGTAATACGATTGTCCCATCTCTCGCAGCTCTTCTGAAAGTCGCACTGTCATAGCCAATCTGATGTCTTGTCAGGCAGTCGAGAGTTCCGATCTTCCTGACCTCGGCCGACGGCAACATCAGAAAGGATTCCATTCTTCACCATGGATGCAGCACACGCCCATCCTGAGAGTGACGCTGTCCGCATCGAAATGAAATTGGTTGTTCACAAACACCTTTCGATTGAAGTGGACAAGAAGAAACACGTGCCGTCGCACAGCGTCACGACTGTCACGAATCTCGAATGCGGTAGCGGCAGCAACTACTTACATTTCAGCATCCCCGCTCTCTGACGACGCGTCGGGAATCGACTGCGACTTTCTGACGGGCCGTCTCGCACTATCCACGTATACAGCCCGTTTGCCCCACCTGTCGTTGGCGCAGGCGCCGTCATTCTCCGACGCTCTCACGCAACTCAGCTGGAAGATGCATCCGCTGTGACACCCAATGCATCAGAGAAATCGAGACGATGGGGGAGAGTTCACTGGACATTAGTGCTGTACACGACCTCGCCCTCTCATCTACCTTATTCTGGCACCCACGATCCGAATGCGACGGAAACAGACCCACTCGCGCGGGTTACTCAGAGATTGCTTTTGAACTTCGAAACTGTGGGGACAATAGCGTTCATGGCAATATTCGAGCGTTACGTGCTGGAGAGAACACTACATCGAGAACACTTGGGCTACCCTTGAGCTTCCTGTAAAACTGGCACAAATCGTGGGTCGCTTCATCACACCTCAGCTTCGTGGTCTGACTCTGTGGCATTAGACTGGCTTGCGTCAGTGAAATGCATCATATCCAGTCCTAGACTTTCTGACGCTCCTCTTCCCGTCACTGTCCAAGATTGGGCTCAGAAGCACGCAAGGATCAGCAACGGCGTGGTGTCATCTGAGAGCTCTAGGTCGCCGATTGCTGGCAGGTGGGCAGGATCGCTTCCGTTTGCTCATTGTCAGCGCCAATTCCTGCTCTTAGGCCATTGCGACGGATCCACCGCCGTCATGCTCGCTGCCTTTCTTCATCTCCATGCACGCCATTCCTGATAGGATCCTGCTATTGCATTCACGAATCACTCGATACCGACAATGTATCGACGCTTCTGCGATCCCGCTATCGCATCCAGGTCATGAGTCACTGGGTGCCGACAATGTATCGACACGCTGAGTTTACTCAAGGTCACGCGCGTGCTGTCTTGTCAGCGCATCCATCTCCCACCACCCGAATGATCCTGTGACGATCCCTTTTGGTGCCGACGTACCTGCCTGGTCACCACTGTGCTTTTGGATCGCTCCTTGGTCTGAGGAACTTGCAGTTAGAACTGTTTCTGTCCGAGATTACTCTCTTGTGGATGCCGTGGACACATGCCTTTTCAGCGTTGGTGAGTAGTCCCCTGCATTTGGTCGTCTGTCTCTTCAGTTTAAACACGCCACAGATCGTTGTCTCGTGTGGAAATTCGCTAGCTCCAGAGCAGGCAAGTTCGCGCCAATCACACAGCGGCTGACAGAGCGGACGCTGCGGCGACGATCCTGAGCGACGTCTTCAAGCCGTCCCGGGCCGAAAACAAGGAGTTATCGATCTTCAGCGGGAACGCGCATAGTGACACCAACAGCCAAGCCGACCGAAACACCGCCTCCCTGGCGCGAGTTCGCGTGCTCTAACTCACTGTACTCGGACGACGCGCTCGAGTTTCTCGCCACGCTGCCAAACTCAGAAAGCGGGAGGCACACGCCCTGGCCAAATCTCGAGATACCGTCCTTCCGTCAGGCTCAGTTCCAGGAAAAACACCGGGCGATGCTGTGCAAATCCGTCGGCGATGATCGCTGAAAAAGGCTAAGTCACAAAGCCACGAGGCTCGTTGACTCTGATTTCATTTCTCGACGGACGCCTCCACGCACGCAGAACACGTTGTCTCCCTCCCGGGCCGCTACATAGACATAGATGGAAGCGAAGAAAGAGACGACCAATCAACCTCGGCGGTAAGCGTCTACCCCGTCGCGAGTCTCGGGGCGTTCACACACCCCGCAGTACAAGTCTATGCTTCCCGCCAGGCTTGCCACATACCTCAGCTTCCTCTGGATTCGCTTCCAGCGAACATGTTCGACGTGCGCCCAGCGTCAACATAGACGACAACGACAACGACAACGACGACAAACTCGCGTCTGCCACCCTGGTGTCGGTCATGTCGACATTCGTGCTGAGTGTGCCGCCCGTGGTGTTGCCCGCGCTCGACACTAAGACGTAGAAGTAGGAGCCGGATCCGAGCCGGGCCTCGCTGCTCCACGCGATTCTGTTGCTGAAGCGGGTGTGGCCAAGCAAGTAGAGCGAGGGGCTAGGTGCGATTATTGTCGGTGGGCATCGGGTAACGGCCACCAAAAGGCTGCGGTGTGCGTTTATGCATCCATGCATCAGTCCACGCAGTTGACGCCCAGATGGACGGTGTTGTGTCGTGCGTCTGGAAGCGCAGAGTCACGAAATATGTCCGGACTATCGGCGAATCAGCCGCTGAGAGCGGCTCTGCAGGCATCCTGTTCCTGTCGGATCTTTACACACACACACGCACTGTTGACGATGGGCAACGAGGAGTTCTCTGGCACAATGTCATCGACGGCTGTGCCCCGCAACCCGATGAGCTTGGAGGAGCTGTCGACGTTTAGCTGGCTGTTGCTCGACATCCCACTGTCATACCTTGGCTCCGTAGCATGATTGTTCCGCGGCTCACCAAACTTACACTGCCTCTGTTCGAAGATTTGCGCGGCGCTGCAGCGATCATCTGGAACAGCATCTTCGAGCTATCCCGGGCCGAAACGACGAGCTGGCGATCTGCAGCAGGAAGACGTATTCGCCGACGATGGATTCCGTCTCGCATCACGTCTTGGACGATGTGCTGCGTGGGCTGGTGGCGGCGGAGGATCCGAGACTGCGAGAGCGTTGGCAGATGCACATGTCGAAGGTCGGGTCGCAGTGACATCAGATATACGGTCCTTCACTTTGGCTGTAGGGTACGTCACTTCTGAGAGAAATGCGGTTCCCATCAGAATGAAACCCGTTCTTCACAATCGCTTTTCGTTCGGATGACTTGTAGAAACGCCAGGCTTCAACCTGAGCTTTACTCGAGGCAAGCCCTGTGGATCTTCGACACTGGCACGTCAATTCGGCGGGACGACATGATGCACCAAAGCAGTCGACACGAGGGGATTTTACTGCCCATTGGCACTGTCCAGGACCTCGCGTTGTTCTACGTTATCCTGTGCTTTCATGCATTTGCTGACGTGCAAACGCCATTCCCTGCAGCCTACGATCGGAATACGGCGGAAACGGACCCACACGCAGGTTGCTCAGAGATCCAGTGTACTCTGTTTGCGCTTACTACAGCGTCGTTGGCACTGAAACCTATGCTCGAGGCCCAGTGTCGCACCTTCGGCCATCTTTGGACTGTCTGCGAAACGGGGACAAGGCGTAGACGGATTCATCGCATAGACTGATTCTGTGGCATCAGACCGGCCTCTGTCAGTGGCTTGTATCGTCTCCGGCCCTGCCCAGCCTGACTTTCCTCTTTCCAGACCGTGGCTGCGCTCATCGGATTTGAGAGCACCCGAGTGTGTACACGGTGCGCTGTTGTCTGGGAGCTGCGCATCACCGGTCGTTGACAGGTGAGTAGGCCTGCTTGCGCTTGCTCTGTCTCGGTGTCCATTGCGATTCTTAGGCTCTGGTAACGCGTCTGTTAGCGACCTGATCACTGTCCTTCGTGGATGGTGGACTGCTGCAAGACGTCGAGCAGTCCTTGGTGTAGGACGATGAGTCTCTAGATCTGTATCGGTGAGTTGTTTTGTGCATCTGGTGGTCTGTCTCCTCAGCTCCAACGCCCCGCAGATCATGCCTTCTCCCATCGATGTGTCATAGATCCAGAGCAGACACGTTCATCATGATGCCGATCGGCGAGCGGCCGACCAAACGGGGCACTGGAACAATAATGCCAACTGGCACCTTTGAGCCGTCCGGGCCCCAAAAAGACGAGCTGTCGATCTTCAGCAGGAAGAGACATACGCTGACGGCAAAAGTGAAGCCCACCAGAACACCGCCTTCCTGGTGCTCGTTATTGGATTTGCCTTCTGGAGAGTTCTGTGACATGTGGTCCGGACGATCTGATCTGCGTGACCGTGACAAACGTGGATGGACGCGCGAAGACTAGATCGACGGAGGGTCTCACACGCAGTGAAGGGGATCTCGTTCAACATACAGAACACACAGATTGTAGGCTACATCCATCGAAAATGATCTTCACTGCCCGTCACTCACGAGCGAGACAAAGGCAGCAAAAATGTCGTCGGGATACAGTCGGTCCTGCACGTATTCGCGGAGCCATTGAGCATTGTCCCGGTGTTCTTCCTGCTGATCGTCCGTCTGCAACTCCGACAGAGCCGTGTCCAGGACGCGCAATGCATCCAGATCGGTCATCCACCCGAAGTCCTTGTTGACGGCCCAGTAAAGCGCCCGGCCGAGCCTATTCTCCTCTGCAAGACAGTTCTCTGGATATTTGCGGATGAATCCGGCGGCGCCGTCGGCGAATCGACGTTGCAGTTCGGTCGGGGTAACCGAAGGAAAGGGCATGTCTGCGTGGCGGTCCATCCATCGGAGCGTCTCAAAGTCCAGGTCGTGCTCTGTTTGATCCGGACTCCGGGCGACACACTGCTCGAAGAAAGTAGCAAAAACAGCCACACATGCACAGTCGTAAACTTGCTGTGCCGGTGCCCGGTACGTCCGTTTATCGTTGTCAAGGCCGAGCACCGAGCGGAACCAGTGCTCGTCGCCGAAGATGATCGGCAATTGCTCCCACTCCGACAAATCCTTGTTGCAACTTTTGAGCACGACGGACTGGACGATGGCAGCCAAACGATGCGTGCGGATATCGGCTGCTTCTGTCCGCAGAGTGCGGAGGACCAAAAGATGGGTATCCCAGTCTTTTGGTGGCTCATCGGACTGGAGCAATTTCCGATAAATTAGCTGGAGGGCGTCAACAGATTCCTTGGGATAGTCTAGGTGCCCGCAGTTTTCGCATAGCTGGTGGCACAGAAATCGGGTGTAATGATGCTGTGAGTGGAATTGTAAGTTGGAGACGGTGAGGGACGGATGTCGGACAAGGAACGGCCCAAGGCGCCACAGGGGCGAAACGGGATATTCCGATGTCTGGGGTGAAACGGGATATTCCGACGTCTGGGCAAACGGGCTGATCATCGAGCGAGCAGCAAAGACGACGTTGTCCGCTGTCTCATCCGCAGCCTTTTCCAAAGCGTATTCAATCAGTTCGTCGAGAGCGTCTTGCAGAGCCCAGTAGCTGTCTGCTTCCGTGAAGTGCATTTGTGACCAAAAGAAGAGTGAACAGGTCGCATCCCGTTGAAAGCTGGCAGTGCATTTGGAAAGTGCCTGCAGATAATCCAGATACGACCGTCGCATATCTGCGTGCCGTTGCTTCTCCGCCTCGGCACGGATATCACTGTCAGCGCTGCTTGCCTGTGTGAGGGCCCGTTCCCGGCTCCGAGACTCGATCGTATTCAGACGGATCAAAGCGGACACGTCAGGAAGCATACTCTGGACGTCTGGAGAAGCATGGAACTTCGAGCCGAGCAGCGCCTTGTCCACGTCCGCTTCTCCGATCGGGCTTGGCAGAGGCGATCCCGTGTGAAGGGAGAACGCGCAGATGGCCCAGATGGCCCGGAGCACAGACAGCTGGCGGCGGAGGCGGTCCTTTTCCTCGAGCAGATTGCTGTTGGAGCCTGCCATGAAATCAGCCAGACGCTGGCAGAGATGGACTTCCGGGTCATGCAAGAGGGACTGGAAGAGTGCCTGATACACGCGACGAGGCTGGTTTTGATCGAAATCCCACAGCGTCTGGGGGAGCCCCTCCACAAGTTTCTCCAGCTCCTCATCGTCAGAGAATGACCGGACGGCCCACGCGAGTGCGTGCGTCTCTATCTCGACCGGAGGATGCATTGCTTCCGATTTGATGGCGTCGTCCATGCTTTGCGACTCTGTATGGGTGTCTTCACGTGCAGGACGCTCGGCAGAGGCATCGGCGTTCGTCGCAAGAGATTCGGCCGGCTTCTCGGGGTCTGCCACAGCGATTCTCTTTCGAAAGACGGCCTTGAAAACAGCCACTGCCCTCCGGATATAGGCCCTCAGCGCGTGTCCCCAGCTCTGATTCAGCCACCACAGGATTCGCGTGAGTGGCGTCTGGTATGGACAGTCAAAGAAGAACAGCAGGAGTGCACTGAACGTTCCATAGACGGACACGAACAGGAACAGCAGAGCGCATGTCATGCCCATGATGATGACGTTGATGGGCACGAGAAATGCCACCAGACCCGCAAAGAACAGGAGCAGTGAAGCGTGCAGCAGAAGCGGCGGAAGGCCAACAACCGCGTGCATGTTGAAGCGTTGTAATCCGTGGAAGAGATACATGTACACACGCGCGCGGACAGAGGGAGATGAGAACATGGATGTGCGGTGCTGGTACTCTTGAGCCCACTGCTTGACCAGGGTCGCGACAAGGGCACTCGACAAGCTCAGTGCGAGACTCGTGAACCAGAGTGCGTTACAGACGAGAGATGAGGCCGGGGGCGAGAAGGCAGCGGCGGGAGGCAGTGCGTCTACCATTGCAGTGCCGTTGTTCATGTTCGCGAGTTGGAGCGAGATCTGGCCGAGGAGTGCAACCGTTTGGCTGAGCAGTACAACAGTCTGACTCCCTGAATCGGGGTTGAGCGTCTTGTAACTATCGATGATGAAAGTCGTGATCACGCCTGAGAAGAGACCAGCCTTAAGAGTCACATTCAGAAGGTGGCCAGGATCGAGAACGGCCAGAGGACGCACGAAGATTAGCAGACCATCCATCTCACTGCGCCAGCCTTCAAGGAGTCCCTGATCGTAGTTTTGCGCCTCGGTGATGTAGGCGCTCCAAAGTTTGTTCCCGCTCGCCCTCTCCCGCTCGATACGCTCTTCTTCTGCCTTTCGTTGGTCGGCCTGTTCTATCTCAGCTCGCGACATGGTCAAAGGGAAGAGGGAACGGAAAGCCACTGAGCGCCCATCGCCTGAGTGGCGGATTTAGACACCGGCACGCAAGGAAGCTCACACAAGCTTGGACAGCGGCTGGTACCAGTAACCAGGGGCATGCCAGTCAGCACTTTCGACAGACGGATAGATGACATCAAACACTAGCGCGACAGTATCGGTCCCAGGAGGCGCGTCTTTGTCCCCGGGATTGGCGTAGCATCTCGGTGAGCAGATGGGAGGTCGCGAAAAACCAATTAGATGCATAATCTCTCAAGAAACCGAGTAGAAGTTCCCGAGAGATCTCCGTGGTACTTGGTCCTCAGGACGATGTCACGGCTCACAGCCACTTAGCGCCCAGCGCCAGAGTGTGGATTTAGACATAGGCGCTCAAAAGAGCGAAAGAAAGCTCGGACGGCACAAATATTGACCCGGTGGCGCATTCCAGGGCCCAAGCACTAGACAGACGGCGTCGGTCTGAGGAGGCGTGCATGTGTACATGAGTCGTCATAGAATCTCGGTGAGCACATGGGAAGTCGTTGAAATCCCTCGACACGCATAGTTTCGAAATGAAAGAAGTAGATTCAGATGGGCCCGTTAATTGTACTCGGTCACATACATGCGATTGTCCCATCTCTCGCAGCTCTTCTCAACGTCGCCCTGCGACAGCCAATCTGATGTCTTGTCAGGCAGTCCAGGGCTCGACCTCGGCCCCGAGCAACATCAGATAGATCGCCTTTCTTCACCATGGATGCAGCGCACGCCCATCCTGAGAGTGATGCTGTCCGCATCAAAATGAAATCGGTCGTTCACAAACACCTTTCGATTGAAGTGGATTGGAAGAAACACCGTGACGTACTGTCACACTTCACCAAGCTCGTCACGAATCTCGACTTCCTCTAGCACTGCAGCAACGACGACATCCTGCATACCCTTTCTCAGCCGACGACCGGGAATCGACTTCGACTTTGGGAACGGCCGTCTCGCACTAAACGAGGAGACAACCCCCGTGTGCGGGCTCTCATTGGCGCAAGCGCCGTGGTTCTTTGGCGCTCTCACCTCAAGTCAACTCTATGACCGCGGTAACTTGAGGCGTGGAGGCAATCGACACGAGGGGCAGTCCACCACGATCTAATTTTGATCTGCGAGGGCGTGTGTGCTCCAGAGAATGCGGCATCGAGAGCACTAGGGCTATCCTTGAGCTGCCTACTTAAATAGCGCAGAGTGTAAGTCGTTCCCTAGAACTTCAGTTTGTTGTCTGATTCTGCCGCATTAGAATTGCTGCCTGCTTCAGTGCCCCGAGTCCTTTCCGGTCTTGCCTAACTGGACATTTTCCCGATTGTGGCTGGGAGCCCATTGCCCATTGCTGGCAGGTAGGTAGGCTTGATTATGCTTGCTCTTTCCTGCTCCTCATCCAGATTCTCAGGCTCTGACAACGCTTTTGCTGCCGATATACGCGCTGCCTTTCGTGGAATGGCAGCTATCCCAAGACATCAAGCACTGGCCGAGGATGGTGCCCCTTAATCTTCATGCGCGCCATTCCCGGCAAGATCACACTTTCGTTATTCACGATTCGCTGGTTGCCGACGATACATCAACATTCTAGTGCGTGCCCTCAGGAAACACGCACATCTTTCTCATAAACACATCCGGCGCTTGTCTGCGTTGTCTGATCCTTCGCACATCCCATCTGCAACCACCCCCATGATCCTATCAAGAGCCCTTACGCGCCGGCATTCCTGAGTGGAGGACTGTCGCTTTATGCTTCGAGGAAGCGATTCCAAGTGTTTCTGTCTGAGATTGCTGCAGATACACTCTTTCCCTGTGTTGGTGGATGGTTCTTCGTGACTGTTGTTCTGCCTCTTCAGCTCCAACGCGTACAGATTGTGCTGTCTCGCCTGAACATGCCCTAGCTCTAGAACAGGTAAGTTTGTGGCGATCGCCCGACAGCTGGCAAAACGGGCGCTGATCTGTTCGAAGAATCGCGCAACTGAATCTCCCAAAACACCGCCGAGCCCTCCCAGCCCGAACAGGACGAACTGTCTATCTGTGTAGGGAAGACGCCTACGCTGACGACCAAAGCTGAGCGGCCCAAACACCGCCTGCCTGGTGCTCTTTATCGAATGGACTCGAGGCAACCGCTCCAGTACGATTTGTCGCTTGCGGCTGGCCACATCCTCCTTGCCTCCGTCCTCGTATCACCCAGTGACTTGACATGCCGGCCACAGGCATTCGCATCCTGGGTCTATCCCCGAGACGGTATGCGTCGCCGCGTCGTCTTTGGCCGCACACGATCAGACTTGGCCCGGCGCAGCATTTCGGCTGCCGTTGCATCCCGGACGGCGCAGTGCGTGGGCTGGCCGCGGACGATCCGACGCTGCGAGAGCATTAGCAGATGAAGTCACGCGTATATTCATCATTGCCTGCTCGTTTGTTTTCGTCACATCTATATCATCATAGCAAGTAACATATAGTAGATCGAACTGCAAGGAGGCCTCACAGCATCTAGTCACTTCACAAAAGATGAGACGAGCATGATTTCGGGAATAAGTGGACTGGCGCCGTGGAAGCCGGCACAAGGAAGGCCAGACGCAATCCCACCTCAGCCATTGTGAGACAGAACGATTTTGCGATACGAAAAGCGCTAGGAGTCGGGATCTAAGGTCTTGCACGCAGAGACAAGGGCGCCAAAGCGCAAAGAATCTAAGCTGCGACAATGAGATGACACGAACCGTTATTCACAGCACTTGAGAGCGAGGCCCAGCATAGTTAGCTTCGTGATTCTCGGGTAAGACGAACGAGGACCTCATTCAAAATCTGTTGGCAGACGGTATGAGCCCAACATGAGCAGATGCGGCTTTCACAGGCCCAAGCCCTGGCGCTGCCGGTATCGGAGAGACACTGCACCATCGCTTTCGCATATCGTGTATCCACACCAATGTCTCGAAGCAGATAGTCCTTTCCCAGAGCACACAGTGTATCTTGCGCGAAGGCAAGATTATTGACATGCTACGGCGACCATCCGTGCGCCGGCACGGAATTGGCAGGCGCCTGTCGAGACACAAGATAGACCACATTCGGTGTATCGGCGGCCACGTTCGATCCGAAATTCACATGACTTTTGGCCACTTCAGCTGACAGCGGCGTTGCCCAGCTCGCAGAAGCTCCTGGTGCAGGGTGAACATTGAAGCAGCATTCTCAGAAACGCCTCTGCCACATCCAGTTGTGAAGGGGTTAGATTAGCGTGTTTCAGCGAGGGGGTACTTGAGAACCCGATGGTTCAATTGCTGGGTGGCGGTGGAGCTCTAGGATTGCAACGCAGCCGCAGATGCGATGTCTGCAGGACATGGGGACGTCGTACTGGATACACCAGCGCATACACGGATCTCGGACTCTGCTTGTGGTTGAAGATAGCTCAGCTGAACGCCCTGCAACGAGACCATGTGTGCATGGATTCGCGAAAGAAAGTGACAAAAACACGCATGGCGAGTCGGGACCAGGGACCCGTCAGAACGAGCCATCATCATCATGGACTGCAGTGGCGGCGCCGATCCGCTCTGACAAGCTGGTCAGGTGACCGACACTGCCGTCGGGGCCGCCAGGCTGTTGTTCTGTCCGTCCACCTTTCTCATTTCTGAGCGCTCTGCACTCGAGTGACACGTCACAAGTGGACCTAAAATTCTGCTGCAATGAAGCTCACACCGTGGCTCTTGTCGCCTTGGGAGCTGCCATGTGTCTCAGGGATGTTGAGTGACCGCCGCGGATTGTGGCCGCAGGACATGTCGGCCCAGGGCGATTCACACCACAGCGGTACAAGGCTCACGCGCTGTCGGTGGCCTTGCAGCGGCATCTGAACTCGAGCCTGATCACGCTGTTCCACAAGGTGCTCTCGCTGGAGCGGGTGTGGCTGAGGAAGTGGAGCGAAGTACTAGGTGCGATCAGGCTTGGTGGACACAAAGTAACGCTCATCAAAGAGCCGTGGGGTGGGTCCATGTGTTGGAGCCATGCTGCTACAATTCTGCAAGAGTTTACGCGTAGGTAGACCGTGTGCTGGAGTGCGTTGGAGAGAGCTGAATGATCACTTGTCTCAGGACTACCATCAAACGACTCGGATCACCCCGAGTGCGATTCTGCTGGCGGTCCTCTCCCTCTCGAACTTGTGACAATGGGCGATGATGAGCTCTCTGGCACGTCGACGATGACAGCTGTGCCCCGGAACCCGATGAGCTTGGGATGAGGTGTCGACTTTCAATCCGCTTTTGCTCGACTTCCCATTGTCATACCCTAGCTCCAGAGCGTGCGGAGCATCCGGCGACCCCCCCACATGAGCGCTACATCTTGATGCATTGCGTAACGGGCTCCCGCACAACTTCTTCGAGCCATCCCGGGCTGAAACGACGAGCTGTCGATGATCAACATGAAGACGCAACCAGCTTCGGGCGGTCTGCGAGACTGGCACATTGCGTAGGTTGATTCATTACACTTCGGTTTCAGGGTCTGATTCTGCGGCATGAGATTACCCTGTGTCAGTAGAATGCACCGCGCTCAATCTCGCTCAATCTGACGTCCCACTTTCCAGACCATTACTGTCCCCGGCGCGCCTTTTCAGGGGTGATCTGCGTTCTCCAATTCTTGTTCGCACACCCCACCTCCGACTACCCCGATGATTGTATCATAAGCCGCTGAGCGCCGTCGTTCCTGGCTGGCTACAACAGTGCGTCTCGACTGCCTTTTCCTGGCATGCCAGCAACGCGCATTCGCATTCGTACTTGGCCGAGTCGTCTTGGTCAACACACTGTCAGCATTTGTAAGAACGATGCCAATAGAATGAATTACGGCTACGAATCCCTGCTGGCAGCGGAGCACTTCAGCTAGGGATGCATTACGGACAACCAGTGCAGTTTGCATGGGCGGACCCACCTGCGTGCTCGGCCACTGTTTCGACGAGCTACGAGCTCGACTGCCAGCAGCAGGAGGCGGAGGAAGAGCATCGCCCGCGGCGGCTCGAGGAATAGCTTCGTCTGGGAGTTGTAGAAGAGATGCTTCAGGGGAGCTACGAATGCGGCGACGGCGGCAGCAGCAACAACATCCACGACATCATGCGCGCTCTCATGCCCCACCGGCTTTGTCGCACGGGCAGTTTCGACCGGCATACCAGACCGGTCCGACTACGAGTATCCGTAGAAGTACCGGCGACGGCGACAGCAGCGGCCAGCCACGTCCTCCTCCTCGCCTTCGCCTTCGTGGCACGCAGCGATTGTCTCAAGATCGGGAATATGTTCGGTGAAATCGAGGGGCTACAGACAGACGAACGAGACCAACGCGTGTTCTCGGTGGTGGGACGCAAAAGAGCTTGGGCAGACTCCCGTTGCGACCGTTGGCATGCGCAAGTACATCTTCTCGGAGAATATCGGTGTCTTCGGTGATGTGGGCTGCTCCCTAGTTTGAGGACGCAGTCGCAAGTGTTGCCCTAACTATCCGAATGGTACCAAGAAGACCCCGTTTGCGCCGACGTTCCTGCCGGTCTACCATTGTGCATTTGGGCTGCTCCCTAGTTTGAGGACGCAGTTGCAAGTGTTCCTGTCTCAGATGGGTCGGATGTGGGATCCCCAACGGCAGCTTCCCCAAAGACCGCCTTCCTGGTGCTCGTTCTTGGATTTGCGCAATCGAGAGAGTTCTGTGACATGTCGCGTGGACGATCCGATGTGTGTGACCGTGACAAAGGTGTCTGTTTGCATATGTACATATCTTGGACGCAGCAAAGATGATTTCGTTGAACATACGGAATACATGGATTGGAGGTTAAAGCAATGGAAAATGACACCCGCCTACTCCCCGTCACTGCCGAGGGGGACAGACTCGAGCCGCTTCTGCAGGTATCTGCGGATCCATTGAGCATAGTCCCGGTGTGATTCCTGCTGATCGTCCGTCTGCACCTCTGACACAGCCACGTCCAGGACACGCAATGCATCCACATCGGTCATCCACCCGTCCCTCTCATGGACGGCCCAGAAAAGCACCCAGAAGAGCCCATCCAGATCCGCAAGACAGTTTTCTGGATATTTGCGCATGAATGCAGAAGCGGCGTCGGCATATCGGCGTTGCAGTCCAGTCGGGATCACAGAACGAATCAACCTGCCTGCGTGGCGTCCCACCAATCGAAGCGTCTCCCAGTCCGCGTCCCGCTCTGTTTGATCCGGACTCCGGGCGGCACACTGCTCAAAGAAAGTGGTCCAAACACCCACACGGACACATTCGTAAATTTGCTCAGCCGATGCCTGCTCCGTCAGTCCATCGTTGTCAAGGCCGAGCACGGAGCGGAACCAACCCTCGTTGCCGAAGATACTCTGCATTTTCTCCCGTTCTAATGAATCATTGCAACTGCAGAGCACGACAGACAGGACGATGGCAGCCAAACGGTGTGTGCGGATGTCGGGTGCCTCGGCCCGCAGATTGCGGAGGACCAGAAGATGGGTTTCCAAGTCTTTTGGTGGCTTATCGGACTCGAGCAATGTCCGATAAATGAGCTCGAGGGCGTCGACAGATTCCTGGGGATTTTCTTTGTTCTTCAAGTTCCTGCATAGCATGTGGCACAGTAACCGGGTGTAATGATGCTTCGAGTCGGATTTCGGGTCAGAGACGGTGAGGGACGGATGGCGGACAAGGAAAGGCCCAAGATCAACACGCAACAGGAACAAAATAGGATATTCCGATGTGTGGGCAAACGGGCTGATCAACAGGCGAGCAGCAAAGACGACGTTTTCCGCTGTCTCGTCCGCCGTCTTGTCCAACGCGGAATCGATCAACTCGTGGAGAGCGTATTGCAGAGTGTCGTAGCCGTGTGCTTCCGTGAACCGCATTTGTGACCGATCAAAGAGTGAACAGGTCGCATCCCGTTGGAAGCTGGCAGCGCTTTTGGAAAGTGCCACCAGATAATCCGTGTACGTGCGATGCATGTCTGCGTGCCGTCGCTTCTCCGCTTCGGCGTCAGAGTTGCTCGGCTGTGTGGGGGCCCGCTCCCGGCTCCGAGACTCGATCATGTTCAGACGGATCAAAGCGGTCACGTCAAGGATCATGCTCTGCACGTCAGGAGAAGCATGGAACTTGGAGCCGAGCAGCGCGTTGTCCACGTCGGCCTCTCCGATGGGACTTTGCAGAGGCGAATCTGTGTGAAGCGAGAACGCGCAGATGGCCCAGATGGCCCGGAGCACAGACAGCTGGCGGCGAAGGCGGTCCTTGGGCTCGAGCAGATTGCTGTTGGAGCCAGCCATGAAATCGGCAAGACGCTGGCCCAGATGGACTTCTGGATCACGTAACAGGGACTGAAACAGTGTCTGATACACGCCGCGGGGCTGGTCTTTATCAAAATCCCACAGCGTCTGGGGGAGCCCCTCGACAAGTTTCTCGAGTTCCTCGTCGTCAGAGAGAGACCGGACGGCCCACGCGAGTGCGTGCGTCTCTATCTTGACAGGAGGATGCAGTGCTTCTGATTTGATGGCGTCCAACATGCTTTGTGACTCCGGATGCGTGTCTTCACGGGCGAAAACCTCGCCAGAGACGTCAGGACTCGTCACAGCAGATTCCGTGGCTTTCTCGGGGTCTGGCACGGCGACTTTGGTTCGGATGAACGCCTTGCAACTAGCCATTGCTCTCCGAATATAAGCCCTCAGCATGCTTCCCCAGCTCTGATTCAGCGACCAGAGGATCCGTGTGAGTGGCGTCTGGTATGGACAGTCGACGAAGAACAGCGGAAGGGCGGAGAACGTTCCGTAGACGGAGACAAACAGGAACAGCAGAGCAGAGGTGATTCCCATGATCATGATATTGATGGGCACGAGAAAGGCAACGAGACCCGCGAAGAACAGGAGCAGTGAAGCGTGCAGCAGAAGCGGGGGAACACCGACAACGGCATGCATATTGAAGCGTTGTAAGCCGTGGAAGAGATACATGTACACACGCGCGCGGACAGAGGGAGACGAGAACATGGACGTCCGGTGCTGGTACTCCTGCGCCCACTGCTTGACGAGAGTGGCGACGAGTGCGCTCGACAAGCTGAGTGCAAGGCTGGTGAACCAGAGCACATTGCAGACGAGGGAGGATGCCGGGGGCGAGAACGCAGCGGTGGGAGGCAGTGCATCCACCATCGCCGTTCCATTGTTCATGTTTGCGAGTTGGAGCGAGATCTGGCCGAGAAGTGCAACGGTTTGGGTGAGCAGTACGACTGTCTGACTGCCCGAATCAGGGTTGAGCGTTTTGTAGCTATCGATTATGAAAGTCGTGATAACGCCCGAGAAAAGACCGGCCTGACGAGTTGCATTCAGAGGGGGGACAGGATCGAGAACGGTTGGAGACGCACAAAGATCAGCAGACCATCCATCTCGCTGCGCCAGCCTTCGAGGAGTCCCTGATCGTAGTTTTGCGCCTCGGTGATGTAGGCGCTCCAGAGTTTATTTCCGCTGGCCCTCTCGCGCTCGATACGCTCTTCTTCTGCTTTTCGTTGGTCGGCCTGTACTCCCTTGGTCTCCACTTCTGCAGGTTGTGCTCCCTCGCTCTGCACTTCGGCAGGTTGTGCTCCCTCGCTCTGCACTTCGGCAGGTTGTGCTCCCTTGCTCTCCACTTCGGCAGGTTGTGCTTCATCGTTCTGTGCTTCATTGGTCTGCGATTCTTCAGACTGTGGTTTGTCGGTCTGCGGTTCCTCGGGCAGTCTCTCATCGGACTGCGATTCGTGGGTCTGCGATGTTTCGACCGCTCCTTTGTCGGCCTGTTGTTCTCCAGCTTGTGACATGGTCAAAGGTAAGAGGTGAAGTACTTAGCCTCGTGTCCGTGCCGCGTTTTTCCATGCACGCTGCCACACCAGGACGATGCCACGACTCACAGCCACCAAGCGCCCAGCGCCAGAGTGGCGGATTTAGACACAGACGCTCAAGGAAGCCAAAGAAAGCTCGGGCGGCACAAAGATTGGCCGGTGGCGTATCCCAGGGCATGGCAGGCCATCTGCGCTTCCTGGAGATGAACAGGTTTCGTCAAGCACTAGGAAGACGGCGCCGGTCCCAGGAGGTGTGCATATGTGTGCATGAGTCGTCGTAGAATATCAGTAAGCAGATGTGAGGTCGTTGAAATCCAACGAGACGCGTAGTTTTGAAACGGGAGGAGTAGACTCCAATAGACCCGTCGTAATCCGTCGTATGCGATGTGATACGATTGTCCCATCTCTCGCAGCTCTTCTGAAAGTCGCACTGTCATAGCCAATCTGATGTCTTGTCAGGCAGTCGAGAGTTCCGATCTTCCTGACCTCGGCCGACGGCAACATCAGAAAGGATGCCGTTCTTCACCATGGATGCAGCACACGCTCATCCTGGGAGCGACGCTGTCCGCATCGAAATGAAAATGGATGTTCACAAACACCTTTCGATTGAAGTGGATTGGAAGAGACCTGCACTGTCACACCCCATCATGCTCGTGACGAACCTCGAATGCGAGTAGCACTGCAGCAACGACGACATCCGGCATACCCGTTCTAACTTCTCAGCCGACGCATCGGGAATCGACTTCGAGTTTGGGAACGGCCGTCTCGTACTAAGCGAGGAGACGACCCGTGTGTGCGGGCTCTAGTTGGCGCAAGCGCCGTGATTCTTCGGCACTCTCACCTCAAGTCAACTCTATGTACGGCCGCGGTAAATTGAGGCGTGAAGGCAATCGTCACGAGGGGCAGTCCACCCCTCATTGGTACTACCCACATGCTTTTGTGCACTGGGTGACGGACAACCGCCTCCATCTTCTGCTCAAAATGGGAGGGCGTGTGTGCTGTAGAGAATACGGCATCGAGAGCACCGGGGCTATCCTTGGGCTGCGTACTCAAATGGCTCAGAGTGTAAAGGTCATTCGGATTCTCAGGCTCTGGCAACGCGTCCGCTGCCGATATACGCGCTGCCCGTTGTGGAATGGCAGCCATTCCCAAGACATCAAGCACTGGCCGAGGATAGTGGCCCTCAATCTTCATGCGCGCCATTCCCGGTGAGATCCTGCTTTCGGCATTTACGATTCGCTGGTTGCCGACAACGTATCGAGATTCTAGTGCGTGCCCTCAGGAAACACGCGCGTCTTTCTCATAAACACATCCAGCGCCTCTCTGCGTTGTCTGATCCTTCGCACATTCCATCTACAACCACTCCAATGATCCTATCACAAGTCCTTTTGTACCGGCATCCCTGAGTGGAGGACGATCCCTTTCTGCTTCGAGGAAGCGAGCCCCAACGAGTACAGATCATGCTTTCTCGCCTGAACATGCCCTAGCTCTAGAGCAGGTAAGTTCCTGACGATCACCCAGCGGCTGGCAAAACGGGCGCTGATCTGTTCGAAGAATCGCGCAACTGGATCTCTCCAAACACCACCCAGCCCTCCCAGCGCGAACAGGACGGGCTGTGTATCTGCATAGGGAAGACGCCTACGCTGACGACCAAAGCCGAACGGGCCAAACACCGCCTGCCTGGTGCTCGTAATCGAATGGACTCAAGAAAATCGCTCCAGTACGATTTTTTGCTCACGAGGTGCATCCAAGCATGCTCAGCGAGCTGGAAAGATTCCGCCACGGACATCGCGCGCCTGTTTCCCCCCGTGTGCCATTTCGCGTGCGTGCTTGGGCTCGCTGTGAACGGAGGACGTGTTTGAGTCTGTCAGGCCACCGCCCGACTCGGAGAGCGCGACGCGCATGTCGTGGGCCCATTTCAAGACGCTGTCCTTCAGCGGGGCACATTCCAGGAGGGAGCATCGGGCGATGCTGTGCAGTCTCGGGCGGCGGATCATCGCCGACAGAGCGACGACGCTCGTCGAGTCTGATCCCATTTCTTGCTCGACGCCTCCACTCGCGCATGACGCTTCCTCTCCCACTTACTAGCGCGAGTTTGCGTTCTCAAACACGAGTGTCCTCGGATCCGACCTCATTTCTCGATTGACATCCCACGCGCGCACACGTCCCCTCACCTTATCAAAGCAGCCAGCGCTTTTCTAGGCTTTGCACCCGCCATCCTGATCGCTGACAAAGCCACGAGGCTCGAGCAGACACAGCGCTCTTATCTCTCGATCGACGCCCCGCGCGCGCATCGCACGTCCTCCCCCCACACACCGTGTCTGGTCGTGCTGGGGCACGAAGTCAATGGGGACGGTGCACCAGCGCGCTACAAGGGTCACGCGCTGCTGGCGGCCACGCAGTTGCATCCGCATCCGCATTGGAGCCAGGCCGCGCTGTTCCACCTAGTTTTGTCACCCATTTATCGCATGCGCTGCAGCGACGACAAGGATATCAGGGGCAAAAGACAACAGCACATCATGCGTACTTTCATGCCCGGCTGGTTCGGCCGCATGGACTGTCTCGACCGGCATACGAGCTGAACCGGTCCTGCTACGGGCGTCGGCGGCCAGCCACATCCTCCCCGTTTTCGTTGTCGCAGCGCGGACGCACAGGCGTGATTGTGCTTACATAACTAGTGGCATGCACGAGGATCCCATTTCACGATTGACGCCTCACGCACGCACGGGACGGCGTTCTCCCGACACACGCCGCTACATGCGCTGTTGCTCGATGTGAGTGCGCCGGCCGGCACACATCCTTCTCCTTGCCTTCGCCCTCGGATGACGCAGCAGCCGCACAACATGCCGGCCACGGGCATTCACATCCTGCCCCGGCCGAGACGGTGCACGTGGACGCGCCGTCGTTGGCCCCAGACAGGCACCTGTCGTCGTGGCGCATAAGGAATCGATTGGATGAAACCAGCCTCATTCGGCGCTGCCGGTATCGGAGAGACGCACTGCACCGCCGCTTTCGCATATCGCATCTCCGCACCAGCGTCTCGATGCAGATCTTTCTTTCTCAGAGCCTGCAGTATGTCTTGCGCCAGAACGCCGTGGCCTGGCAGAGGCCTGTTGGGACACAGGATAGAGCACGTTTGGCGCACTTGCGGCTCCCCAGACCGCGTACTCGTCCGGGTGGTTTGGGCTTGCATGAGCGCACCACTGGATCGGTCGACCGCGCACAGTACGGACGGGACGCGAGCACTGCATGCTGGCAGAACAGCAGAGCGGAGGAGATGGCCATGATGATGATGTTGATGGGCACGAGAAACACCACCAGCCCAGCGAAAAACAGAACCAACGACGTGTGCAGGAGAAGCGGGGGAATGCCAACAACAAGATGCAGATTGAAGCGGCGTAAATCGTATTTAGAGATACATGTATTTACACACGCGACCGGATGGAAGGGGAAGAGAACACGGTCGTTCGGTGTTGGTACTCCCCCGCCCACTGCTCGACGAGTGTCGCAACGAGCGCACTTGACAAGCTCCGTGCGAGGCTGGTGAACCACAGTACGTTGCACATGATGGATGGCAGCGAGGGCGAGAACGCAGCGGGGGCAGGGAGTGGGTCTGTCACCGCCGTGCCGTTGTTCAGATTCGCAAGCTGGTGCGAGATCTGTGTGAGCAGAGCGACGGTCTGGCTGCCTGAGTCGGGGTTCAGCGTCTTGTAGCTGTCGATAATGAACGTCGTGACGACGCCCGAGAAGAGACCAGCCTCATCAGTCAGATTCGGAAAGGGACTGAGATTGAGAACGGTCAGACACGCACGAAGATCAACAGGCCGTCCATATCACTGTGCCAGCCATCGATGAGACCTTGATCGTACTTCTCCGCCTCGGAGATGGGGACGCCCCAGAGTTTGTTCCCGATAGCTTTCTCGCGTTCGGAAAACGCTTCAGCGGTATCTTGTTTCTCTGTCTGTGGCTGGTCAGCTTGCGACATGGTCCAAGACAAGAGGTGAACTGCTGTGTCTCGTGTTGCACGGCGTTTCTCCATACACGCTGCCTCACCAGGACAATGCCACGGCTCACAGCCCCTAAGCGCCCAGCGCCAGAGTCGCGGATTCAGATATAGGCGCGCAAGGAAGCCAAAGAAAGCTCGGGCGGCACAAAGATTGGCCGGCGGCGTGTCCTGGGGCATAGTAGGCCATCAGCGCTTCTGGGAGATGGACGGATGGCATCAAGCCCTGGTGACTGGTGAGACATTACCGGTCCCAGGAGGCGCGTATTTGTGCATGAGTCGCTGTAGAATCCCAGTGAGCGAACGGGAGGCGTCAAAATCCAGGCACACGCATAGTTTCGAAACGGAAGGAGTAGACTCGTATAGCCCCGTCGTACTGCTTGGTCGCATGCGATGCAATGCGATCGTCGCAGCTCTTTTCAAAGTCGCACTGCCATAGCCAATCTGATGTTTTGTCAGGCAGTCGAGAGCTCCCAGCTTCCTGACCTCGGCCGAGGGCAACATCAGATAGGATGCCCTTCTTGACCATGGATGCATCACACGCCTATCCTGAGAGTGATGCTGTACGCATCGAAATGCAATCGGTTGTTCACAAACACCTTAGAGTTTCGATGGAAGTGGATTGGAAGAAACGCGTGCTGTCACACGGTGTCACAATTGTCACGAATCACGAAACGCGGTACATACTTAGACTGGAGCAACTTGAACGACAACATCCTGCACACGCGTTCCCAGCCGACGCATCAGGAAGCGACTTCGACTTTGGGAACGGCCGTCTCGCGCTAAGCGAGGACTCGAGACATCCCGTGTGTGCGGGCTCTAGTTGGCGCAAGCGCCGTGATTCTTCGACGCTTTCACCTCAAGTAGAATTAGTGCCTGCGTCGAGTCTCTCTGACGCGGCCCTGCGCAGAGCCATTGGTGACGGCGCGACGATCAGCGCCCCGTACATGCACGATTCGGGCGGCCTAGTCGTAGGCATTGATCGCATCCCTGACTCAGCTAGTTGGCCTGCAGATCGTGAGCTTCGGGAAAGGTGCGGGATTGAGAGGGTCGTCGGGAATGGCCGGCTTGGTGAGTCTTTCTTTTTCTTATGTGCGGGTGCCGAGTGGCTAATGCATTTGCAATGCAGAGTAAGGATACCTTGGCGGCAAGCGGTATGCTTCCGTCCCCCGTCGGGGCTGCTGCGCCCGCGATCCGTCAGTCTCTGGTTAAGCACGTTCAACCCCGTCGGCACGGGACGTGTGTGCAGGTCGAAAAGACGCCGCGAGCGGACGCGGGCTGTAGAATGTTGGTCCAGACCGGCTGTTCTTAGTATCTCAAAGGACGTGTTCAACGGAGGTCTTACGCCGGGAAGTGAAATATTAGGATCTTAGCTACTCGACTGTTGTGCTCAACTAGGTCCCTCTCGTCTTGCTCATTGTACATACCGAATACAAGCATGATTGTACTCGGCTGAGCACATGAAAAACAATCCAACGAATCACAATCTGACGAATCGCGGACCGAGGGGGCACAGCCTGATAAATCTCAGACCCAAGGGAGCACATGCCGACGAATTGCAGACCGACGGAGCAAGTCTCGGGCGGCCGCGCGAGAGCGGCAGCCGCGACGGGAACAAGCTCCGGAACGTCTACATCTCTGAGGCGCCAAGCTACAATCAGGGTCTCGATGATCAATGGCTGACGCAGTGTGACGGACGGCTTGCTAGTCTTCATGCGTCTTCGACCGTTCTCAATCCGGCTCCCTTTCTTGATCTGGCTGATGATCAAGCTGGTCTCTTCTTCCGCGTTATCGCGACATTCGTCCTCGACAGCTACAAGACGCTCAACCCCGACTCACTGGGCAGCCAGAGCGTCTGGTTGCTTAGCCATACCGTCGTCCTCCTCAGCCGGATCTCACACCAGCTCGCGAAGACGCACAACGGCCAGCAGTGGCGGACGCAGTGCCGTCGTCCGCTGCGGTCTCGCCTCTGCCTCCGCATCCGCCTCCAACTCTCCTCTGCAACGCACTTTGGTTCGCCAGCCTCGGGCATAGCTTGTCGGGCGCGCTGATCGCGACACTCATCGAGCAGTGGGCGCAGGAGCACCAACACCGGACTATGTACCGTGTTCTCGTCGCCCTCTGTCCGCGCGTGTGTGTGTGCTAAATGCATCTCTACTACGGCGTACCACGCTTCAATATGCGTGCTGTCGTCGGTGTTCCCCCGCTTCTCCTGCACGGGGCGCTGCTCCCCTTCTTCTTTGGGCGTCTGATGGCCTTGCTCGTGCCACGTCATCATCACGGGCGTCTCTTCCGCGCTCCTGCTCCTGTTCGTCCCCGTCTACAGAAGGTGTCCGCCCTCCCGCTGCTCGTCTTCCGACTGTCCGCACCAGCCGCCGCTCACACGGATCCTCTGGTCGCTCGTGGCGAACCACGGGGCCTGTGCCGAGCCTTCTGCACCTGCTGACACCCGTCCGGAGTCCCAGAGCACGGCCGACACAGAGGCAATGCATCCCACTGTCACGACGGAGGAGACCCGGGCTCTCTCTGACGATGCCGAGCTTGAGGTCGGGGGGCTGGCTCCGACGCTGTGGGATTTCGATCAACACAAACCTCGCGGCGTGTGTCAGGCATCGTTCCAGCTCCTGTTGCGGGTGCGGAAGTTCATCGTGGCCAGCGTCTTGCGGATTTCATGGCGGGCTCCGACAGCAACCTGCTCGAGCCCAAGCGTTCCCCCTTCGCCCGGGGTCGCCTCTACAACGCGCTGTCGGCTCGAACTTTCTGATTCTTCCGACGTAGAGATCAAGGTCCCCGACATGTCTACTGTCTGCTCTTATCCGGCTGGACATGATCGAGTCTCAGAGCCCCCGTATAGCCAAGCGAGTCCAACGATGACATCTGGGCTGAAGCGGAGAATGGACGGAAAGCAAACACGTGTACGTATCGAACGACTTGGAAACCGGAGTGCGTTGCAGACAAGGGGGGGGATTGGGGGGCAAAAAAGGCAGTGTCCGGGGGAGTGCTGTTGTTCATGTTTGCGAGCTGGTGCGAGATCTGGCTGAGGAGGGCAACGATCTGGCTCCCTGAGTTGAGGTTCAGTGTCTTATAGCTGTCGATGATGAATGTTGTAACAACATGAGAGAAGAGATTAGCCTGATGAGCCAGCCAGATTCAGAAAGGGACCAGGATTCAAGATGGAACGGGGGACACACAGATCAGTGATCCACCCATCTTGACAACTCTGCTGATGTCTATGTGCAAGCTAATCACAAAATATGGATCAGCTACTATGCAACAGCAGCAGAAATGATAATGCAAGGGTTCAACCTGAACTGGAACATATTGGGCAGAAGGAGGAGTTGGTGGTTTGGGCAACAGAGCTTCTAACTGTCAGGGACAATAGCCAGAGTCGAAGGCAAGATATGAGGCTAAAGCAGAGTGTGCCAAAGGCTCTAATTTTTAAGGTAGTCTAAATCTGTCTTCTTTTACAAGTACAGACATATAGGTTTATATAGAGTAGAAAATGTAGACAATGGGAGTATGTAAGTCCTCAGTCACACCATAGATGTGGGTAAGGCTCCAACTGTTTCTGTTTACAAATATTTTCAACAGTTGTAACTGTTTTTGTTTCTGTTTAATTTGTGGGAGTCCTCAAACGGTAAACATATAGTAAATAAACAGTTGAAACAGTTTCAATTTGTGCTTGAAATGGACTCTGTGAGACATTGCCTGTGGATTGCGCACAAACTTCAGAGTTGCATCCAGGACAAACACACTAAGATTAGAGTAGTCAAGATTAGATATGAAGTACATGGCCTGACCTGGCCAGTGTTCTCTAAGCCTCTCTGATTGTCATCTATTTACCAGCATCTCTACAGAGACATTGTCAAGTAGACCCTATGACTGAAATCATTGGCCTGAGATTCACTATATAGGCCCTGTATTGGGAGCATCTTGCGCAATGAAGGCGCAGACATCATGTGAATAAAAATATGGGACAGGATTGTGACCCAACATGTCATGGATTGATCTTTTTCTGCACTCTCGGGTTTCCACTCATGTCTGCTCCTACTCCTGTTCACTCCTTGCTACCTGCCTGCACCCGTGTTCCATCAGCCAAAATCATCGACAAGTGTGCCAGGACACCTGTAGCTCCCTCAAGGCCTTGACAATCAAGGAGGCAATGTTGACAGAGATGTGGCTCAAAGACAGCTATATCCGACTGTAGTCTGTCATATTACCTTTGCAGATTACTTGTACATCATTAGCATACAATTTCTGTGCCAAAAAAAAGATTGTTTAGCAACTGTTTTAAATGGTTTAAACTGTTTATAAATGTTTAAATACTGTTTCTGTTTATTCTATGGCCACCCATAAACAAAAACAAAATGGTTAGAGCCTTAGATGTGGGTAAGACTGAGGGGCACAGTGAAAAACAATCAGGAAGTTTCTATGGGATGATTGGGCATAACAACCCTGAACACTGAATGCCCACATCCACCAGGTGATGCAATCACAACTCAACAAAAAAAGATATATACTGGTGATAGGCTGCCTACCAGGCATGCGCTGCACCAGCTCTATAAGGGTGTATTTTTACGCTTTCATAGAGTTTACTCTTGAACCCCTCAGTGTATCATGTTGCAGGTGCTAGGATCATGTTCAGTAGGACTTGAGGGTTTGCTGCCCAGTCAACAACTGTGGATAGTGTCAACAATAGCAAATCAGTCAGACCACTACTGTGGAATTGGTCTTATAAGTCTATACCAGACTCAGGGCTAGTAGCAATGGACACTTGTGTCAAAAAGGATACTCTTGTTATGGCAACCCCTTGAAAGGGTCATTCTCTACAGATGGGAACCCGTGCTGGAGGGCTTGGCAATGCACAACGTGCTCAATAAAACAACTACCACAAGACAGGACTTGGTGTTACAAGATTGAAGCAATCTTGTTGCGGCAACTTCCAGCTTTGGGTTGGGCGTTCCTTCAGATCATGCTATAGTGATGATTTGTCACATGCCATGTTCTACTCAATCACGGGATATTGTGGACACGTCGCAGCAACACTTCCAAGTGTCACAACAAGCCACATCCACACCCAAACACACCAAAAGTGACACAGACTAGATCTGTGAACCAAACCATGTGAGCAATGTCTGGTGTGCCTAGGACCATATGGCTTCTTGGGGCACCCACGTTGGACTCACTTGTCAAGATATACCGGTTGGTCAATCCAACACTTTGTGTTCCAAGAGTATAATCTGGTGGGTTGGCCTGCATCAAAACACCATATGGACAATGGGGTGGGGTCCTGATCAGTCAGGACCTGTCCGATTGTTCAACTTTTCATTACCATAAAAAGCGACCAATCTTAGATAGCATAGCTACTATGCAGTTGTACAGAACTTTACTGAGTACCGTCGTAGACAGTATAAGTAGTGCATTGTTTCTTTGTATTAGGGAGCTTTCCCCCAGACTGTGAATCATATCCATATCAGATTGTTTTGTACAATTTGCGTGTCACGCGATTCCTCCTTGAGAAGTTCTATTATCCCTGCCTTGTCAGGGGAACCCCTGCTTTCGTCCGATCATCATGGGATCTGGCATGTGACCGTGCACGTGCCATCTGTCAAGCATCACGTGCTTCGGTCCAGACTTCCATGCCAAGCACGTCCACATAACCTTCTGATCTAGGCCCCCATTGTTCTGATGGTCCGGCTCCTATTGTTCTCCCTGATCCAGCCCCCTTATTGTTCTCTGGGCCATTGTCATGTGCTCCCCATTGTGCTTGGTCACCTATTGTTCTCTAGGCTATATATAGTGGGACCTGACAAGGAGAGCCCCCAACTCGGTTTCTCTTTGGACTCTCCCTTGTCAGGTTTGCCAGTCTCCTGTATGAATCAATCCCCTTATCTGACACCTTTAGACTCTTCCTTGTCAGGACTCTGAGATTGGGCCTCAAGGTTGCCCTTACAGCAGAAACCAAGTTCCTAGGGATAACTGGGCAAGCTTGCGAAGATTCGTCGACAGCATTAACTGACTCCTTGCTTCCAAACTTGTCCCCTCCTCCCCCTCCACGATTGCTATGTCCTACATGGAAGAAGAGGACAATGGCCCTTCCCCCGAGCAACGACTAGGCAATCTGGAGGAAGCCATGCAGAGAATGGAAGGTCTCCTGAATAACTTCCTCGTTTCACAACAACAGCCCCTCCCTACCCCTGCTCCTGCTCCGCCTCCAGCAGCGGGTCCAGGTGTACAAGCCGGCCAACAAGCCAACCCCCGACCCCTTATCTGCTCTAACCCTCCATTCGCGTTTGATGGGGATCGCACCCAGGGCAGGACGTTCCTGCACGCTGTCAAGCAGTACTGGCAGCTTCTGCCCAAGGCTTTCCATGAGAACAGGGTTGTGTCGGAAGAACGGGTGGTGCGTTTTGCCCTTTCTTACATGTCCAAGGATTTGGCGGCCGCCTGGTCAGAGCGCATGTCAGAGCGCTCCCTTTTCCCCTTCCCCACCTGGAACTCTTTCGTTGCCAAATTCAAGCTCCGGTTCGTTGAGGAAAACAAGCAAGATCATGCTCTGGCACGACTGGAGACCCACGCCTACTACATGGGCTCTCGCAACGTGTTCAAATATACAGACGAATTCAATGACCTCCTCGACCTGGCGGGGTACTCCGACAACTTAGTCAAGGTCACCAAGTGTCGGGCGGGTCTAGACCCAAGGATCAATCAGGCGATCACGACCTCAGGCAACCCACCCAGCCTCATGAACTACTCAGAGTGGTGCACTCGTGCATTCTGCCAGCACAACGCTGAGGTAGCCGCGAGGCCAGACATTCCCCCTGCCTTGTGCTCCTCCCCCCCGCAGCCCCCTGTCCTTGTCCCGCTGCTCCTCTAGCTGTTGCACTGGTGTTTGCCCCCAGACCGGCCCCGGTTGCCCTACCCCCAGGCATCCCCATGGAGATTGAATAAACCCAGGTCCGCAGCGGTGTTTGTCGCACCTGCTTCCGCTGCGGAAGTCCTGGACACTTGGCCCAGGACTGCCCGACCCCAGCCGATGTCCAACACATGGACATCCTGAATGAAGTGATCAATCAGCTAGGAAGCGACCTATTGGCAGAACTGATGGCCCACTTAGAAACTACAGTGGCTGTGGAAGAACACAAAGCAGAGGTCGCCAACAAGCTAGAGCAGGGTTTTCTCCCGCGCGATGAGTGAATAGTATGCCCTCGTTTGCATCACGTAATCATTTCGAATGCCTGCATGATGAATGCAATCACCTTTCCCCTGCAAACAAAACAATAGATGTACCCCCTGCCACCTGCTCAATCTTGCTGGTCCGCAAGGAGAAGTGGGAACGGAAACTCCCTCAACGCTATGTGGTCGCAGCTGCTCCAGGAGCCAACTCCCTGCACCTCCCCTTGGAGATCCAGTCCACTGATAATGCAGTGCAGCTCTCCCTTAGTGGGTTGGTTGACTGCGGCACTACCTCGGATTTCATTGACTCTTCTTACGTGTCTGACAACCGACTCCCGGTCCAGCAACTCTTCCAGCCGATCCTGGTCTACAACGTGGATGGGACACCGAACAAAGCTGGCTCCATTTGTCAAGTTGCCGATGTGATCCTACGTTACTAAGGACACAGTGAGCGGGTCCAGCTTGCTGTCACTCAGCTTAGCAAGCAGAAATTGATCTTGGGCTACTCCTGGCTTCGGAAGCACAACCCGGAAATCAATTAGGACACTCCAGACGTGAAGATGAGCCACTGCCCTTCTCACTGTTCGACCTTCACCGAAGAGCTTCGACAAGAAAGACAGATGGCCTGGATTTTGGCCTGAGCACTTTGATCAGTTGGGCAGGGCCCTGCCCCCTCCATCTGCGTCGTTGACATGGAAGACCATGAGGACGAGGCCATGCCACCACTCCAAGAAGACAATGGGGAAGACTCGGATGACGAGGAGGACTGTCTAGAAACTGGTGACCATATCTTTTACACCCATTTCAACCCTTCTGAAGACATCCAAGCCACTAGCACCGTCTCCCAGTGTCTTGCTGAGGCGTTTGCCAAGAACTCTGCCCCCCCTTGTGATTCCATACCCGAGTGGGCATGTGAGTTTGAGGATGTTCTCAGCAAGGAATCCTTCGACAATCTCCCCAAGCGCCACCCTTGAGACCACGCTATTGAACTGGTTCCCGACGCAAAGCTGACAAACTGCAGAGTCTATCCGATCTCCCCCTTAGAGCAGCAGCAGCTGGACACCTTCATCAAGGAAGGTGTGGCCAGCGGCCAAATCCGACCTTCCAAGTCCTCCATGGTGTCTTCTGTCTTCTTTGTTAAGAAGAAGGACGGCAGTTTACGCAGATTACCAGGCACTGAGCACAATAACAGTGAAGAATTGATAGTCCCTCCCTCTGATCAATGACTTCATCAACAAGCTCAAGAGAGCCTGGTTCATTACCAAACTCGATGTTCGATGGGGTTTTAACAACGTGCGGATAAAAGAAAGAGACGAGTGGAAGGCGGTGTTCTGTACTAACCACAGGCTGTTCGAGCCGCTGGTGATGTATTTTGGCCTCACCAACTCCCCCACGACGTTTCAGACTATGATGAACAACATCCTGTAGGATCTCATTCTTTCAGGTGATGTCATGGTCTACTTGGATGACATCCTCATTGCGCACTCAGATGTTCTTCTGCATTGTCGTATCGTCAACGAGGTCCTCCGACGCCTTTGCAAGAACAAGCTCTACTTGCGCGCTGAGAAGTACGAGTTCGAGATGCTCTCCATTGAGTATCTCAGCGTGATAATCTCTCATAACCACGTCGAGATGGACCCCGTGAAGATGGCAGGTGTTGCTGAGTGGCCAGCCCCCTCCAACAAGAAGCAGGTGCAGCAGTTCCTGGGATTCACCAACTTCTATCGACGGTTTATCCGGGACTTCTTGCATGTCGCGTGGCCACTTTTTGATCTCACAAAAAAGGATGTGCCTTGGACTTGGGGTGACAACGAGTCTGCCTTGTTCCAGGCCTTGAAGAATGTGGTCACCTCTACACCGGTTCTTCTCTTCCCAGCCCAGACTCCTCTCGTCCTTATTGTCTTGAGGCTGACAGCTCCGATTTTGCCACAGGAGCCATCATCTCACAGCAGTCCACCTCAGACAACAAATATGGCACCCGGTCGCCTTCTTCTCCAAGAACCTCAATGACGTCCAGCGCAACTACGAGATCCACGACAAGGAGATGCTCGCAATTGTGCGCGCCCTGGAGGAGTGGCGGCACTTTCTTGAAGTGCGCCAAACACCCCGTGGAGATCTGGACCGACCACAAGAACCTGAAGTACTTCCGCAAGGCCCAGAACCTCAATCGTTGGCAAGCCCGTTGGTTGCTCTACCTGTCCTGCTTCGACTTCGCACTGCATCACCAACCCGGCTGACTCATGGGACGACCAGACACACTCTCCCGCCGTTCAGACCATGGAGCCCCCTCAGACAACACGGATGTCACTCTACTGAAGCCGGATCTATTTGTTGTGCGGGCACTCAAGGGACTGTCTGTCTCTGGCCCAGAGGCCCTGCTTGTCCGTGACATTCGGGAATCGCTTTCCAGTGACCCTGACCTTGAGGAAGCAGTTGCGCTCGTAGCGTGACAGCTTCTAAAGGGGATGAAAGGGGCCACTCTGCAGTTGCAGCAGAGTGGCACATCCAGGACAGTCTGCTCTACTTCCATGGAAAACTGGTGGTTCCGCGCGACAAGGACCTTTGACGTGTAAGGGCAACCTCGAGGCCCGATGTCAGAGTCCTGGCAAGGGAGAATCCAAAGAGTGAATAACAGTGGTAGCTAGGTACAAGACCGGTGAAATGCTGAGGGCGCGCTCACAAGTGAATCTACTATGAAAGTAAACCCAAATATAAACACGTTCACACTCCTCGTAATCAGCTTCTCAGTGTGTGAAAGATGCGAGGGCTTCGGGGTGGACAGAGCACCAGTATCACAACTCTCAATAGACGCAGATCCAATAGTCGCGGAGACGAAGTCGACGACAAGGATATATATATATATAGCAAAACAATGGTATCTCAACCAATATCTTCTATACGAACACAATCAACACTAATCCAATCCACAACAACAATATAACAAGTCAGAGCTTAATACGAAGTATTAAGATCCCTTGTAGCGACAGCGTCCAGATGGTGACGCAAAGCCCAAATATCAAGTTGACGCACTGCCAACCGATGCAACCAATATACTGAGTCGACGCACTGCCAACTAGTAAACCAAAATGTCAAGTCGACGCACTGCCAACTGACACAACCAATAGTACTGAGTCGACGCACTGCCAACTAGTAAACCAAGATGCCGCGTTGACGCACTGCCAACTAACAGCCAATATCCAATGTCCAAAACCCGAGCACAACTTGTCGACGCACTGCCAAGCAAGAAGTGTGGAACCAAAGTTCTCAAGTCGACGCACTGCCAACTGACCAAAACAACCCGAGCACAACTAGTCGACGCACTGCCAAGCTAGAGGTGTGGAACGATCTCAACAAAGCCCGAAGGCGACGACACTAAATGCCGCGACTAAACCAGATGCGGCGAATCCGACTTTCTGATGTCTCAAAACTCAAAACTCAAATCACAGTAGCTACAAGTGCTCAGGGAGCAACTCGTCGCGACCGGGCAGGGGTAGCAGAACTTCTTAGGGTGGAATCACGCGGCACGCAAATTGTACAAAACAATCTGATATGAGAGTGATTCACAGTCCGGGGGAAAGCTTCTTAATACAAAGAAACGTCGTGCGACTTATACTGTCTACGACGATGCTTAGTAAAGTCCTCTACAACTGCATAGTAGCTACGCTATCTAAGATCGGTTGCCTTTTAGGGTAATTGAAAAGTTGAACGATCGGACAGGTCCTGAGTGATCAGGACCCCGCCCCATTGTCCATATGATACTTTTGATGTGGGTCAACCCACCGCGTCATACTTTGGAATACGACGTGCTGGATTGGCCAACGGGTATGTCTTGGCAAGTGAGACCAACGTGGGCGCCCCAAGAAGCCGTATGGCCCTAGGCACGCCAGTCGTCCCCCACATGGTTCGGTTCACGGATCTTACCGTGTCGGTTTCTAGTGTGTTTGGGTATGGGCGCGACCCGCCGTGACACTTGGAAGTGTCACCGCGACGCGTCCACAATGTCCCGTGATCGAATGGATCCTGACATGTGACAAGTCGTCGTCGTGGCATGATCTGAGGAAACGTCCAACTCAAAACCGGGAGTTGCCGCGACAAGATGGTTTAAGTCTCGTAACGCCAAGTCCTGTCCAGTAGTAGTTCTATTATTGAGAACGTCGCGCATTGCTCAGCCCTTCAGCCCAAGTTCCCATCTGCAGAGAATGACCCTTTTTGAGAAGTCGACGCAACGACAGATCCCTTTGTGGGGAATGGTCGCGGTCCAAGCGTTCGTCACTAATGGCCCTGAGCCTGGTGTAGACTCATAAGACCAGTTCCACAGTAGTGGTCTGACTGCCTTGCTATCGTCGACACTACCCACAGTCGTTGACTGGGCAGTAGACCCATAAGTCCTACTGAGCGCAACACTGTCAACCGCGACACGATACACCGAGTGGTTCAAGAGTAAACTCTGTAAAAGCGCAAAAATACGCCCTTACAGAGCTGGTGCAGAGCGCGTCTGGTAGCCAGCCTATCATCTCCCAGGAACACTAATTTTGACCTCCTGGTCAATCCCGCGACAGTCTCACTGCGTCAGGTCTAAGTCCAACAGTCGACGTCTCATTCATTTATTATTAAAGCCGCGGAGACATAGAGTTATGTTCCCACGTCTTATTCATTTGGTTGTTCGGTTCCTTCCGTGATCTGCCGCGATCAAACTTCTTC